TAAAATATATTTATTAAAATATTTACTTTTTAATAAATTTTAAATATTATATATTAAAGTTTTTTTATAATAATTAGTTAATTTATATTTTAATAAATAGTAATTAAATTAATTTAATTTAATTTAATACTAATTACTTTTTATTTTTTAATTTAATAATAAATTAAATATTATAATTTATACTTAACTTTTATATAATTATATATTTTATATATTTGCTTAATAATTAAAATATTAGCTAATTTAACTTTTTTTTAATATAATAATATTTTAAAAAATTACATTATTTTAATATTTAATTATATAATACTTTTTATATTTTTAAATAAAAGTATTATTATAGTTTATAAATTTACTATATTTATTTTTTTAATTTTTATATTTATAATATTATAATTTATAATTTTTATTATTTAAATATAGCAAAAATACTTAAAAATTTTATAATTATAAAAATTTAATTATATATTAAAAAGCTTATAAATACTTTTTTATATTTTTTAAATATTAAATTTAAAAATTTAAAAACTTTATTTTATATAATTTTTTAAATTTTAGCTTTAAATTATATTAAAGTAAAATAATGCTTAATTATATATAAAAAGTTTTTAATAATAATTATACTTTTAATATTTAAAATTTTAAAAGTTTATTTATTAAAAAAAAGCTTATATTAAATTTAATATTAGTTTTTAAATTATATTATATAGCTTTTTACTTTTATAAAGTATACTTAATAATTTTTAATTATAATATTTTATAATATATAATAGTTTAGTATTATATTAGCTTAAATATTATAAAGTATTTATTATATTAAAAAGATTTATTTTTAAATATTAAACTTAAAAAGTTATATAAAATTAAATTTAAAAATTAATTTATTTATACTTTTTTAAATTTATAATTAAATTTTATTAATTATTTTATTTATTTTATTATTATTTATTTTTTTAATAATTATATTTTTAAAGTAAAAATTATAATATTTTATAACTTTATTAATAATAAGTTTTTTAAGTTTAATAAGTTTTTTTAATATATATATTAATAAAAGTATTAAAATAAATTTAAAAATATTATTTTTTAATTTATTAATAATTTAACTTATTTATTATATATTAAGCTTTATTTAATATTTAATATTTTACTTTTTAAAATACTTAATATATTATTTTTTAAAAAAAAGTATTATATTTTATAAACTTAATTATAGTTTATTATTAAGTATATTTAAGTTTATATACTTTTAGTATTTTTTTAATTTATAATATAATTTTAAAAGTATATATTAATTAAGCTATAAGTGTAAATTATTTATAAATTATTTTAAAAAATTATTAAAAAATATATTAATACTTATTATTAGTATAATTAAATTAAATTTATAATAAAAAGAAAAAAAATTTATTAAAAATAGTATAATATATTAAATAATATATATAAAAAAGGTAATTAAAAGCTTACTAAGTAAATTTTTTATTTTATAAATTTTTAATACTTTTAATTAAAAAAAAAAAAAATTAGTAAACTAAGCTTATAACTATAAAGTATTATAGATTATATAGTAAATAATAAAGTGTAAATAAAAGCGTTATTATTTTCGCTAAGTTTGCTTTAGTAAAGGGCAAGCTTTTAAAGCATAATTTATAGGTACTTTAGTAAGTATGCATTTCTCTATAGTAGCTTTTAGTAGCTTGCATGCATGTCAAATTTGCAATAAAAGATAATTTATTAAGGAAAAATAATGCTTACGACAGTTGTTTCTGCTGTACTTGTACCGTCAGTGGTGAGTGTGCTGAGGTAGCACTGAAGAGGGAAACAATACCTTGCAAGTACTCGAAAGGCACAGAAGGTGGATGACATCAGGCCAGATGGGATCTACAGAAAGAAGGACTGGAATGAGACTTCAAATGATGTGAGATGGCTGACTTCAGTCTTGGGATCAATGTAATCCTTACGTACTTGTTTCTTAGGCTTTTGCGAAAGTAGCGTGGTAGTTCGGTAGGATTGGCAATGCGTTGTAGAGATCGATATGATAAGTGTCAAGCCTGATGATGGGTGGTTGAGCTTCAAATAGCATGAATTGTAGCTCTTCGTTTGATTCTGCTTGCCGAGGAGGGCCCAGAATTCACTGCCAAGGTTCAATGTTTGCAGCCCAAACGCGTGTGGTAAAGTAACCAAGATAGTGAATGGCCGCACAGAAGATGAGAACATGGTCGCCCACATTCAAAATTGGGTCTAAATACTAAGTTTTCAGTGTTTTTTATGAATTCAGAGATGCAATACAATTGCATGCTTGGCTCGATGTGTAGGGACTTTGATCACATCAAATGTTAGATTCAACTGTATCTCTTTATTTTCCTTCAATGCTGTAACTGCGTTTGCTCAACTCGATGTGCTATACAGATGAACTAGCTTCTTTCGAGGTCCATGTCACTGTAAGTATCATTGGAGTACTGAACAACGTCTGTGCTTGAGCTTTGGAATTCCATTGAGATCTCGGCTGTAAAACTGTCTTTGTATTTACAATGCTATTTCGGACCGCCCTGATAATCAGGCACTTATCACTGATACCCGACAGTATACTTCCAGCAAATGAAGATATCAGAATCTAAATAGGTATCATGTTGACTAGGCTTAAATATAACTGGACTCCTGGTAGGGCCTCCACGCTCTTCATTTTACAGCATCACAAATGGTGATGAAAGGGGAAAAGGCACCTGTTCGATGAGATTAGCATACGTCAGATTCCATTTGCAAATGTGTTCCATACCACCTAAGAATAATCTCCTGGTTTTCGTATCATGAACCACAGTCGTAGTTCCTGGCAAAACACTTCCATCTCTGTCTTCCAGCACCTTCTCCGTTACGAATCTACCCGCATCTTCCCGAGAAATCTTGAAGATAGTCGAAGACGGAAAGTATTTATGCGGATCGTTGGACTGTTTCATAATCTCGATACCCCTTGGTATCACAGCTGCCCATAAGAATCCGTCTTGATCCTCAGACAGATTATCAACCACGTAGGGCAGGTCTATTTCGTGCACGATCTCCAGCGAGTTGTCTGCTGTTGGCCGAAGCACAGTGATTCCGCCTTGTGCGGATCGAGGAACGTAAATCAGGCCGTCTACTCGACTTCGAATCAGACCATTTGGATAGCCGTAGCCTTCCGAGACAATCCTGCACGGGATGGAGGAGTCTTGCGGGCAGAATGTGACATCTCCTGTGAGGAGAATCGGCGAGAGCATAGTTCTCTAGATACACACACCACTCATTAGTTTTCTATCCGTTAGTCGCCCAGAGGATTTTGATTATCATCCATTGGATGCAATTAAGTAGTTCTCAGACCGCACGTACCCAGCCTGTCCTGTACTGCCCATGGTCGTTGGTGAGGTACAACCCTTGGCCTTCCGCAACGGCCACCCTGTTCGGTGTTGCAACAGCAGGATCTGCGATTGTGCGTACATGCTGCAGAATATCCGTGTTCGGAAGAAGCTTGAAAACCTCAAGTGTAGCGTTGCCACCAACGACGGCCTGAACTGGCACGAACTCACCACCGCTGTCGAGCGAAGGTCGGAAATTTGTGACGAAGAACTTGACAGCACCGCCCTCCACATCTACTGCCGTAAAGCCTGTAAAGTTTATGATCCCGTCGCCTGCGGTTCCTGGAAAATCCGACATGGAAGTTGACTTGAATTCTAGAGTCTCTAAGTCCATGACTATGATCGCATCTCGGGTTGACCGCTCAGCAAATTCAAACTTCGCCTCACTTCGATTCAGTTAGTTTTAGATCGTGACAAGTTGGAGCAGTTGGCAGGCTACGGCGTACTTGGGCATCCATTTGGTCCGGGAGTCTGAATCGGAACAAGCGAGGAAAAGCTGCCGAGTCGCTTCGGATAACCACAAGTCCTCGCACGCTTGAAGAAGCGGGTCCTGGATCCGGCGGCATTCGTATGAAGTGAAGTCGCTAAGGGGCTGCAAAACCCTGCCAATCGCGAGACCCAATTTTAACAGAATCCATATTCTCTGGACGAAAGGGAGCTGGATGAGTATAGCGACGAGGGCGGCAACGCCTAGTCCCATCCTCGTCAAATCAGCCATGGCAAGTGTGCTCTAGTGCGGGGAGTCGATGATCCGGAGTGTTGTTGGTTTGAAGGTGGAATAAAATGTAAAGAGCTTAAAATGGTATCGAGACTCGAATATAGCTTCTCGGCAGTGAGAAGTTGGATGGATATTTTCATTCTCCCTGGTTGCTCCGAGTGACTCGTCATATCCGATTGTGCAGGCTTTATGGGTAAGCAGGCCCAACAATGGCTGTTGGGACAGGGAGGCAGAAGACGGCTTATGCCGGTCATCTTGATGACCCGTTGGCCCGACTTGACCCCGACAACAGCCCAGCATGCCAACCCACAACATGTTTCGCAACCGCACTTTAGCAGCCGCAAATATGCAGTTGAGCCCTTGAGATTGATGAAGTTGGGCTCTTGGTGTCTTGAGTCTCTTCGAAGCATGCCTGTGTGTTCGGTGTTGGCAGCTCCTGGTCGTCAAAGACCTATCGGCATGCTCCATTAGAGAGGTCAACTGAGTGCAGCGCAAAGTCCTGATCATAGAGGGCTACCTAAAAAAAAATATTTGTTTTCTTTTTTAAATCTCATAGTTCAGTGGCTTGGTTTAAGGTGGGTATTTGGAGCCTCGTGCCGGCCTTTTTGGCAGCACTTTGAGACTCCCGCTGCCTGCCTGCCTGCCTGCCTGCCTGCCTGCCTGCCTGCCTGCCTGCCTGCCTGCCTGCCTGCCTGCCTGCTGTCATGGAGGCATGGTTGGATGTGCTATTGCGGATTCAACATTTCTGACCGATTAACGTCTCTCAGGACGTAGAAATTACTCACTAAGTTGCTTCTTACGGCTATAGCGAACTCCGAGTGCGGAATGCACACTCGTGATCTAGACAGGTACTTAGTAAGAACACTGAGGTGTTGTCAAAGTGGTGATGCGATGGTTTCACCAGGTGATGTAAGCGTGATGACCAATGCCCCACGCGCAACGCCCTTTATGTAAATTCCTCGAACAAAGCCGCAGATCCATATAAGTCTCTGTTTTTCGCACTGAAATTTTCCCGGGCAACATCTGGGAAGCTTCACTACAAACTCTACGCATCAAACGTAGCAGCTCTTGACAAACAACATGCCGACCAACGACAGTATCGCGCTTCACGGTTGGACTTCCGTTGTGAGAGACCATCAAGCTATCTTGTCTGGGAAGCCAAATATCAATGAGCCGAGTACGCTCCTGGTTAATGACATCACGTTTCCATCCGATGAAGTCGTTGCCAAGGTCCGGAAGCATGCCGAAGAGAAGCTACCCGCTCCCACATTCAACCACTCCATGAGAGTTTTCTACTTTGGTACGCCGGATCAGCTCAAAACCTCCCTGATTTTTCAATGTGATATTGAGGTAACCCATGAAAACAGCCACCGCGATATTGGATCAACAATTTCCAGACCTGGCCAAATCTCTTTCCCGTTCGACACTGGCCCTGACAGCTCTTCTCCACGACATTGGAACCACTCACGAGAATCTCCACGCCACTCAGATGTCGTTCGAGTTCTACGGAGGGTTTCTAGCCCTCGATCTCGTTGGTCAGAAACTCGGAGCTCCACAATCCCAGGCAGAAGCCGTAGCTGAGGCTATCATCCGTCACCAAGATCTGGGGTCAACCGGTACCATCACCTTCCTGGGCCAGCTGATTCAGCTCGCGACCGTCTACGATAATATGGGCGACAACCCGGGATTGATCCATTCAGATACAAAGGTCGACGTCAATAAGGCTTTTCCGAGGCTCGGTTGGAGCAAGTGCTTCAGCGCGACGATCCGCGAGGAGGTTGGCCTGAAGCCGTGGGCTCATACGACCCATTTGGGGGAGGCGTTCCCTAGAGGAGTGGAAAATAACAAGCTTATGTCTGAGTTTGAGAACTGATCTAGAGCCGTACCGTTGGAATCGGCTTACGGCAAGAGAAAGAGGACTATGGCAGTCTTCTGAGCTCGCTTGTAAGACAGAAGATGTCAGTAAGTTCTGACCTTCTGGCTGGAGTCAAGTGTTTACGGGTCTGGTAGTTTCACTTTTCAATTCAAATCATGGTATGCTAGATCGAGATGGGTGTGTCAGCCGAGACTAGATGATCAATTTGTCCTTGACCAAATCACTCATTTGTCCTGTTCCCATCTCCGAGCTCCTCGTGCCTGGAGACATGATTCCAAAACCTGTCTGACCGTAGCTTTATTAGATCATTCCAAGATACTATGAGTAAATCGTGCGACACCTGACTCCTTCCGACTTGGGATACGACCGGACAGCGGATACAAAAAAGCACAAGTGAGCGGACTAGCAGCTGGAATGGCCTTTGGAAGATGATAAGGTAGCCATTTAGTGTGTAGCCGGTCAGCGCAGGCCGTGTCAAATTGATCCTCAGAAGGAAATCCAACATGGATACTTGTTGAACTGTGAACGTGATAGATTGCGAGTGCACACTAAGCATGGCCGGACGGATCGCATGCAGTGGAAGTGGGTCATGTTTGAGAAGCCTCGGGTCAGCTTGCGTCTATCCGTATCTCTGACTACACTCACTCCGCCGTTGACTGCCAATATGCCTTTGACGGCATTGGGAATCACGAACCATAGGAGCAAGATCGTTCACATCTTTGTCAAGTCTGGCTCGGAGACCTGCAAATCATCACGAGCAGCAAAGATAATAGGAAATCGATGAATTAATACTGTATACTAGAATTTAGGTAATGTCTACTCAATAGACTTATGCGCGTGTCCAAGGCCGACGCTGTGACTTCGTCGTGGAGCAAGACAGCGAAATCTCCAAGCTCGGCCAAATTCTGAGAACACATCTGGTAGGAGCATGATTTCAGGCCAAGTCTGTCTCGTCCATATTCCGTATGAATAAGGAGTACCATTTCACACCATTGACGTGGCCGATGATACTCGCACGCTCGTTGTTGTTGTGCGCGTTGCTGCTGATCTGGTTGTCCTGTGCATCGGCCATGTCATGGCCCGGGCTGAAACGAAAGATGTGCTGCGTTAAATTCCAGTAATGCCGAGAGTCTGTGTTCGCGGGCATCACGATCGGCGTCACAAGTGTCAAGTTACTATCCTTGTACAAGCTTTGAATCGTGCCTTGCAGGATACCGTATGGTGTTATGCCACTGACAGAGAAGGGGGTGACTGGTGATTGCTCCAGTGAACCTTGAAATGCCGTCAGCTTGATCGAATTAACCGAATCCTCGTCAGCCCAACCGCGGAATGTAAGGTTTGTTCCATCTTTGTCTGCGTTTTTACCTGCGATGTAGGCCTTGACGATCTGCTCCAGGTGACTCTTTGCTTGCTCAACGGAAGTACCAAGATGAAGCCGGTGATTAATTGACAAAACGGTCTGCTCAGGAATAACGTTGATCTTGTTTCCGCCTTGAATCATGGCCAAAGAGTGAGTGCTTTCCACAAGCGGCCTTAGCGCTGGCCGCTCGTCGATTATCCTGGGCAGAAAATCATTGACAGCTGTTTCGTTCAGGTCAATACGCTCCAGGGCATCAATGTACTTTTCTCGGAAACCAGCAACGTGCTGACCCAAGCAGAAAAGTGTTTCCAGGAATGGATCATATTTTTGAATTGGGCCGCTCATCGGGTGTTCGGCGTGGAGTTTTGTTATGAGATCAGCCATGATAGTGATTGAGTTGTCTCTAGTTGAAAAGGCGATATGGCCCGATTCCATGTGCACAGAAATGTTTGCGTTGAAAGCGCCTTTCTCAGCCAATCCTGGTACAGCGTAGATCGTGGCAAACTCTTTGTCGTGAAAGAAGCCAGGGCCCTCGTCAATGAGTAAGGCTATTCCGTCCTTCTTGTAGCGGTTCAAAAGGTGTTCGGCAATTCTCCTGGCTCCCTGAAATCCACCAATCTCTTCATCGAAGCCAAATGCTAGGATCAGCGTTCTCTGTGGGGCGTATCTGACCTCGAGTAGGGATTCCACTGCCGACATGCTCGCGATGAGGGTGGTTTTGCAGTCGATCGAGCCCCTGCCCCAAATGTATTTGCCGTCAGAATCTCCACTGAAAGGTCCACGTGTCCACTCCCCGCGTATTGTCTCGTTTGGGGCGGGCACAACATCTTGGTGAGCGAGAAAAAGAGTTGGCTTCAAGGACTGGTTTCTACCTTCCCAGGTGTAAACGAGGCCATGCTTGTTGATCCGCTCAAGCTTGAGGTGGCGATGAATCAAAGGAAAAGTTTCCTCGAGGTACTTGCGGAATGTCGACATGGGCTTCCATACTGGATCTTCGCCCGGGAAGTCCCGCCATGAGTTCTGGCTCGTCGTGTCGATTTGTACGGCTCCAGACAATCGTGCTACGGAGATGTTGAGGAACTCTTCGGAGTTGAGGTACTGATCCATGTCGGCAAGCGCCTTGCTGCTTTTAGGATTGAGAGGCCCAAGCTGTGGGCATCTGTGCTTCCATTCGTAAGAATGCGACTCATGGGCAACTGTGATCCATAGTTGGAGTCCGATGGCAGCGAAGTGAGTGAGCTTCATGATGGCGACCGAACTTGTCAAATCGAGTGATATGTTTTCAATCCTGGGAGACCTGGCCAGAATGAAATAGGATTTGTTATTCGTGTTGCCCCCCAGATGCTTCCCTGGTCTTTATGGGAGTGAGCGAGACAAGCATACCTGTGGGATCAAGGAAGCAAGACGGTCCAATGGCAGATGCTGATATCTTCTTGAATAACGATGTCTTCACCACGTAGGCGATGCTGTAGAGGATGTGTGAGAATGAGGTGACTAGTTTGCTGAGTGACAGGCGAAATGCAGATGAGGGCTGTGGTGGAGGGACCAATTCCAGTCAACAATGTCAGATTCAGAGGATGAGCCCCCAGACCTGGTCCTTCCTACACTCCCCGGCATGTTTTGGACCGCCCATTTGGAAGGTGCGCTTGGATAACAAGGAGGATCTCTTGCAGAGAATGCGATCCACGCAGCTCGACTGCCAGGAAACGCATGCAACTGTCCTCATAGGGTCTGCCCTGCGTTCCTGCCCAGAAACTCAAATCGATGGGAGGTCGTGAGGAACGACTAAAGATTCTTTCCAAACAAGGCCAGTCAAGTCGTTGTGAGGTCTTCCGTCAATGCCATCTCAGCTCCTGCTCGATTTTCATCCAACTGAGAGAGCAAGGTAGGTATTTGACTCAAGGATCCTGGACGAGTTTTCTGGCTTGGATCTCACATTTAACATTCACGTGTTCTCATGTAAGATGTTTTGGAGATAAGTCATGGACTCATGACTTTCGTTGAAATGTGCTATCTCTGTTTACTGTCCCTTACAGCCTTACAGGTCCTTCACAGGGGCGTCGCCCTCTTTCTTGCCCGTGCCATACTCTCGTCTCTTCTCCTTGCCAGCGTCCTTGTCTGCTTCGAATTGCTTCACCTCGGCACTGTCCATGAGATTGACCACTTTATCGGCCTGGAACTTTTTGATAACAGCGCCAAAACCTTCGTTTGAGTAGTCTTTCTCATTCGCCTGGTCTTTGTGATACTTGACCTGGATGAAATCACTGTCGATTGTCGCCGGATCCAAGGACAAGCTCACAATTGCATTCACTACCGCCGTCTTTGGAATAACCTTGAAAGTCCACTCCTGGAAGGTTATCATTAGCCAAATGAATTCAAAAAGAAATCGAGATAGTATGAGCGGGCGAGCCTTGATAGACAGGCGTACCTCTTCGTGCTTGAACTGGATCAGATCTCGGTCATTGGTCACGACCTCATATCCGTGGCTTTTCGCCCCAGCAAAAAGCTTGGGTAGTGCAAACCACTGTCCCGCCATTTTGTACCGGTCGTTGGCATAGACAAATTGGTCATTATACACACAGTCCGGAGTGTAGCGCTTGACGCGGTCCACTGTCGGCTTCATCTCGTAAAGCGCGATGATGTCGTCTATCAATGATTGGCGTGCAGTTGACAGAGGTAGGGACTTGGACGGGTCCGGTTTGTAGTCTCCAGTCGGGTGAGTCTGACGGATCTCGAAGTATTCACCGGGGAGAGACGCATCTGTGGGGAAGTTGACTTTGCCAGAATCGGCATTTTGTTGACTCGCCTGTTGTGCAGACATTGTGATTCTATTGTGCAAGTGTCTAGCAATTGGAGAGATGTTGGAATTCAAGGAGGTTCGTTTGGCAAGCAAGATTGGCGAAGGTCTTAGTTGGGAGAGTATCATGGCCATGTTAGCCTAAATCTCGCCTTGAGAAGTTGTCCCCTATGCATTTTAATTTTATTAAAACACTTGCTTCTTGACCTACCGGACTCAGTATAATGATTCATCAATCTGTTGTGGCGGCTTCTGGAGGCTGTCCGGGTCCTAGGTCCAAGAGGATCACGGCTGTGACGTAGAGCTGCACGTAATCTGAAGTCATGTCGACATCAGCCATCCCGCCCGTCTCTACGGGCCCTCCCGCGCCATCTGTGCATCGACTGAAAATACGATGCTGAAGCTTGAAGAGCTACCTAATTGCTCTGACTTCTTTAGCGTCCGCATCATTCATCGCAAACATTGTGGAACTATCAGAAGAGAATATATTGCTAACAATCGTTGCCAATCTTTTGCTGTTGAAACATTGGCGAAATTCAAAAGGGGATTACTACCCACATAATGTCAGAGCTGAGCTCAGGCACAATGTAATTGATTGTTCTAGGGCGGTTGCCTAAGCCAGTAAAATCATAATAATATTTCTTGGCTGATATTCAAGGCAATATGAGGCATGTGTAAGCATCTATATATGGCGCTGGCAAATCCAGGAGGGAAGGGTGAGTGCGGAAGTTTACAAAGAGTCAGTGCGCATGTCACACTCTTCTACATCAGATGCGGGCGGCTACATAACTGAAAGAGATCTTCTTATACCCGCGACCGGAGCAACAAAGCTCAGCTATTTCTTGAATCACAGGTGTTCCCTTCTCGCGATGTCCAATCAAGTCCTTCTCCTCATGCTGCCCTGCTCAAGCTCTGGCCCCGGTGCTGGATATCAGATTTTCACGACCGCCAGCCATTTTCAACGCATAAAACAGGCACTTATCCACTGAAACAAGAGCTGAAATGTAAGAACATCTAGACTACAAGAGTAAAGTCCCGTATAATTAAGCCAGTGATGGGCATGGGCTGAGGCGGCGGCGTTCCCCAAAATTCCCTGCTCGTCAAAGCATCGCTTCAGGATCTGAACAAGACTTTGCGTTTTTTACTGGCGCCTTGTATCTTCATAATTGACGACAGTCCTCTATGCTGAGTGGTGGATCTCGTAGTCGTTCGCAAGTTTGTTGATGGGACACAACCTCGGCCGGCAGAGGCCATGCTCACACGAGATCAACTTATGCCACAATTGGTTGCTTCCTGGACCATCAAGCCCGTGAGCTCGGCGTAAGTGAAATAATACGTGAGAAGTATGTGTTTTGTACATATCGGAGCTGCATGCTGGAGCCAGGCTCGCCCGGCAGCTAGCCCGACGTCCGGCACTTATCTTGGCTTGCCGACCGCAACAGCGGCAACCCCGCTTCCAACAATTGTGCCTTCTGTATCAACAACTCCCAAGTAGCGGCTTTTATTTTTGGTATTGCGATCTCTTAGGGAAACCGGGCACTTCCAAAGGCAAAAGGAGATAATCATGCTCATTCGAAATTCTGCTGCAGGGTTGAAGGACCTGCGCTGGCGCAGTGTGTCCGGTCAAAGCCTGTGCAAAAGAGCATGGGCGGCGAGATGTCATGCTCGGTCGAGAAGACATTTCAGCGCCTCACAGACAAGATGGATTAAGACGGCCGATATGAAGGAGGCTGACCTGGCAGCCCTCAAGGTCGATGGACGGCGGCTGCTAGACACGCTCCACCATACTTGCAAGTTCGGCACCGGTCTTCGATGGGGAAGGCAAGCATTTTCACCCCATGTCGAATATTCTATGTTACCGCTTGGGGACTTTTCCGCAATTCTACGATGTTTGTGACACTTGAAACGAAGAGTGGCTGACAAGTGCAGCCAGAATCCAGTGAGCCAACTGAGACTGGAATGGCCCGTCTCGCGCTGTCAGATACGGACAAACAAGCTCGAGACTGGTTTGTGGAAACGACGAAAGCCCTCGGTTGTACCGTTACCATTGATGCCATGGGTAATACTTTCGCCGTTAGACCAGGGCGCCGTAACGTCGCTCCCATCTTTGCTGGTTCCCATCTCGACACCCAGCCTGCCGCCGGCCGGTACGACGGGATCTTGGGTGTGCATGCAGGTATTGAGGTACGCGACGAAGAACGTTCGGGCCTGGATCTGTTTTGAAAGCAACAAGCCCATACAGAGAAAGTTCAATTAGCGGCTCAAGACGCTCTGAAGCCTCATTCCACGCAACTCAACTCTCATTTTTGTTACCGACGCTGGCGTGAGGAAGACTGACCGTAGTTTCTACAGATGTTGAACTTGCTCCGCGACCATGAGGTGGAAACGGAGCACCCTATTGGGGTGGTGAATTGGACGAAGTACGTTGTTCTCGACTGCGGCCAAAAGCTTGCAGGCACCGAGTTGCTAACATGAAGGCGGTGGTTACAGCGAGGAAGGTGCGAGATTCCCAATGTCGATGGTCTCATCAGGCGTGTGGGCCGAAGACATTCCGCTCGAGCGAGCACACACCCTCCAGGAAGTCGGTGGCGGGACAGCCACAATGCGTTCGGAGCTTGAGCGAATTGGATATTTGGGCAGCGTACCAGCAAGTTTCCGCTCGACACCGATGGCAGCTCACTTCGAGCTTCATATCGAGCAAGGGCCGATACTTGAGGCCCAGCATCAGAAGATCGGTGTGGTACAGGGTGTGCAAGCATATAAATGGTTCACCGTCGAGGTTGAGGGAAGAGGTGAGCTATCATGTTCCCCGAGACCACGCCCTCTTCATACCCCGATTACTGACCCGCCAAAAAGCCTCGCACACAGGCACAACCCCATTCTCTGCCCGCGCCGACGCCTTGCTCCTCGCAGCTCAGTTGATCACTCACTCCAACCGTATCGCCGTCAAGCACTCTGCTCTTGCCTCGACAGGTATCCTCACCCTCTCTCCTGGCAGCGTGAACACTGTCCCAGGACATGTTCGCTTCAGCCTCGACGTGCGTGCCGCAGCTGATGCAGCCGTCGAGGCCGTGGAGTCAGAGCTGAAGCGGGACTTTCAGACCTTCGCCCGGCGGGGATCCATTGACGGCGATGGCGACTCGTCGCAGAGTCAGGGTCAGCTGCCGCTCTCTGTCAAGGTCACGACGGATTTTGAAAGTCCGGCTGTGCTTTTTCATCAGGACTGTATCTCTTCGGTAAGGGCCGCCGCAAAATCTGTCCTAGGAGACGAACATCTTTTCCGGGATATGACCAGCGGAGCCGGCCATGACAGTGTGTATGCGAGCAAGCGATGCCCGACCTCAATGATCTTTGTACCTAGCAAGAATGGGGTCAGCCACCACCCCGAGGAATGGACGAGCCCTGAGGACTGTGCCCTGGGCGCAGAGGTTTTGTGTCAGAGCATCTTGAGATACGATCGCACGATGGCTTTAAAGGGCTTAGCAAATGTGTCTTGAGCTATCTGCGAGGTAAATATCCATCATCTCAGATAAGCCTCCAATCGAAAGGATTTTCGAGCTCAATAGGAGCTTCCAATGTTAAACTCCTCATTCACTTATTTGAGTGCCTTTGGCCCCACTACAAGCTCTCCTCACTTGTGAGAGAGCTGCGAAGTCAAATTCAAGTAGATGGATACAGACGATTAACCCCATCCCTCGTTCCGTGCAATTAATTTCAGGATTGTTCTCTCCAGCCAACCAGCCATCAAATGGGTACAAATGCCAGTTTCTACTGAAAAGAACAAATGACTTGATCAAATGCCAAGGTGTCGGAGCATCTGTCCAACCTGTGCAAGAGAATGTCAGCTACGCTTACAGTCCAGGTTTTCCACAATGCAGGGAACCTGACCTCAGTGGCATCAACGTTGCCGTTCTGCATCATGGACAGAACACGGCAGAGCAGGCCCTCCAGCAGAGCGACACGGCCCTTCAGCTGCTGGAGCTCCTCGAGAGTGGCCTTCTTGTTGAGCTCCTCGACAGTGGCCCTCTCCTCGAGCTCATCATCGTAACGCTTGAAGCGCTTGTCATAAGTGACGTCAGAGTCGCGAAGGCCCGACTCAGCCAGGTTTGCAAGAATCTTTGCCTCAGACGCGTTGTGATTCGCCGTGTCGTTGCGAATGTTGGCTATCGCCGAAGAAGCAGCGAGCAAGTTCAGGGCGTCGGCAGGATTGTGGGCAGTGACAGCAGCGAGGGCCAGGCTAGTGCCGTCCGCATCAGAAGTTCCGATAATCTGAGTGGCGTGGTTGACGAGATTGGCGACGTCGGGATTGATCGTGGTAAGCTGGCTTTGCCCGGGGTCGGCTCCCTCGTCCTCAGACGAGGTGTTGCGACGGCCGTCATCCTAGAAGTAATGAAAGCATCCAGTTAGCGAGGGGTCGCTAAGTAAGCCCAGTCAGGTAGCAAGGTAGATGATGGATAGAGTCAAATCTTCTCTCCGCCCCGCATTCGACCCTGGAGTCCTATCTCGAGTCCTCCAGTAGTACGGGTTTTCAAGGGTGAACAATTAATCTCGCCTCCCACAGTCGTTTGCGCCAAGACGACATGCGACTCCCCTTTTCCAGTCGAATAACCTGCAAGCGAGAAACTTCCCCGTCTATGACCAGGCGATGTGCAATGCCCGATGCTCAACGAGGAAGAGTCCTTGGAGCCCTGTATGTGCACGTCGTCCTCAACCCAGCGATGAAGTCTGGGCTGTGTCCGAAGGTCTCATGCTCACACGTGGTCACGACCCACCAGAGTTTCACTCTCGCTTGCGTGGTTTGTTGGGCAGGGTCGGAGAGAAAGATGCGTACCAGGGTTGGATGTGTGGAGTATAGACTTACCTCTTGGTTAGGAATGTCGAACTCCATGGTGGAGGCATCCTCAGATACCCCTTGCGCTCGCTGCACGCGTGCTGCGCGACGATTCTCGCGAGCGCGACGACTCGCCGCAACCATGTTTGTTTAGAGGAGGTGGTGGTCTTTGATAGATCGAGATGATTGAGAGAAATGCACTTTGTATGGGAAAAGGAGAGTGGTTGCAGAAGGCAAGCATGCAATTGACTGTGGTCATGTCGAGGTTGCAAGGTTGGGTGGGGTGGTTGGGAAGTTGGGGGGAGAGATTCTGGAGTTGAAATGTGTTTTTATATTCCTGTAGAAGTGTGCACTGACCAATCAAGTCACAATCGCTCTTCTCTATTCAAATAATATTTGCCCATTGTCTTCTGGCTACGCTGAGTCACTGCCTTCCAAGTGAAAGCTCGGATGAAAAGATGGCTCAAAAGGCTTGTGGAGTTCGTGATCGGAGAAACAAAGTTTGGATGAGCTTCTGGCGCTCAATGTGTCACCTAAACTGACTCTCAGATGGTTTTTGATACCTTATAGACTTCCAGAATCAGCTTTAGCAGCTTAGAAGCGACGTTGAGACACCCTAGGGAGACACCCGATGATGGCAGTACCTTACGTTCAATAAGAAGACCAGTTTTAATAGGTGCTCCCTCAATGGTATGTTGTTCATAGTAAGTTATCCTGCAGTAAGTCATCCTGCAGTAGTTTATGCTACAGTAGGTTGTGCCATAGTTTACATGCTTTCATGGCAGCAGTCCAAGCTGTAGTCAGCGAGTAAAGTAAGTACGCCTTGTGAGCAAATGCTCGTTTGAGGTTAGCCAGTTGAAGCACTTGTGACAATTTGCAGCAAGGCTCGTTGGCAGATTGAGATTGGGAGCACTCTGGAGCTTCGAGCGAAGGCCACGAAGGGGGGTGGGGGCAATTGCGAAGTTCTCTGCTGCCGTTGATGTCGAGCATCCTTCTTCGAAACATGAGGGACCATCTAGGTTCGCAATTAACACTACACGGTTGAGGGTAGGGCATGGCTCTACGTCTATCGAATCTATTTCCAGCGCAATGTCCTCATTCCATGATCACCTGCTACCGCCTATTCTATACCAATTGATCAACTTCCTCCATCCAAGTCGAGTTCCTCGCTGGGCCACTAAACGTAGTAGCTCTTCGATCATGTTCCTGAAACCGAAGCAGAGCACCGAGCCGCATACGCGGACGAATTTTGGGACAACCTTTGAAATGACTTGACCTAGCAGTTGGCTTCAGTCAGACAACCTCGCTCTGTATACATGTTAGAGTTGCGGCGAAAGTCATTATTCTGGCAGCGTGACCTGTACCTGTCATGTTGCGCTCAAATGGGCTAGTCATAAGTGTAGAACATCGGCCTAGACGTCGGGGGATTGTCAGCATGGTCATCTTCTGTCAGGGAGAACCACAAGATGGACAATTAATTTTCTGCCTTAAGTAGGGCATTCGAAATTGATTTGGATAAATACTTTCATAATTCAATCCACCTCGTGTCATTAAAAATCCTTCTCTGGGTTTGTTGATCTGCAGAGCAGGCACGAGTCTTCCTGCGTACCGACACAATCACGCGTGGCAAAGCAGGATGTCTGTCTCCTGTGGAACCACCGAAATCATCTCACGCAAGAAAGCACTCTATGGTCGCTTCATAGATACAAAACAGTGGGATAAGTTATCTTCCATCGCCCTTCCAGATGCCGAGCTCCGCTTCTTCGAGCCGGACGGCTCCCTCACCCATGTGGGCAGGACACCCTTGGCTTTTACATCATCAGAAGAGTGCGCATCCTTCTTCCATAAGCTTTTAAGAAATGCTCAAACGCTCCACATGTTTGGCCGGGGAGAACTAGACCAGATAAATCCAGACGAAATCAGGGCCATATGGCCTATGGAAGACCAGATCATTCTGCGGCAGGGCTGGCTGTCCGTCGAAGTCCGCGGAGGAGGTTATTACTACGAGACATGGAGGCAGAAGGAGAACGATTGGTTTCTTGAGTCATTGGTTCTACGAAGAACTTATACCAAACCCAGCTTTCTGGCTTGGCTTGGAGCCCTCCTGTCGTCATGCTTCAGGCCAAAGGAAGATACAGTGTTCGACACCATGAAAATGACACATCATCAGGACTAATCAAGAGAACGAATCCACGACTGATCCAGAGTCGGCATGAATATCATAGGATGGCGGTGGGCTCATCGACAGTCATACAATGTGAGCCGGTAAGCCTCATCCGGGTAAGCCCTTGCCAGTAGGGAGGAAACGTGGAAAGTTTACTGACGGCACCCATGGACTAGAACTTCGAATAGTATGATTTATTCAGATAGCAGACCGCCTCATTTGAAATGAAAGTCAAATTATGCCGCTAAATACACGCAAGTCCAGCTCACTCGTTTCAAGCTTACAATACTACAGGCATCTCAAAGATGAGTTACTGCCAGCAAACCAGATCGTTCCAAAAGCTCTTATATGCCGATTTATTATCTTGATCACGAGGTAATTTCCTGAAGCGCTGCTGCTACCAAGTCGTTCCTTTCAAAGACCCTTGCATGCCGTACCACAGCTTTGTTCACGACGTTATTTGACGCAATAGTAAATTTACTCAAACCCGGCACGACAATCAACCCGACAACCGAGTCATCATCTAAATAAGTTGGGCTTCCCGAACTGTTTCCCATCACCTCGTAGCGCTGCATAGAAGATGAAGGTACGCCCCGGATCTGGCAAACATGGCCCTCCGTCCCAAGAAATAAATCATACACATGGTCGGCCCTCCTCATCAGTATGTCAAGTTCTCGGGCCTTCAGTATGAGGGACTTTGTGTCTCTGATGAGTACCTCAATATTTTGAGGCTGATCAATGGGCAAATATGCGTCCGAGAAGTACGGGTAGAAGGCGACAAGCATTTCAGTGATTAGCCATCCCGTGATTTTCTGGTATCTTTCCTGAGTGACATATGAGTTACGTATGATGTCTGTCATCATCCTCCGCTTATCTATGCCGCTTGAGTACAGGTCAGGTGTCAACTGTGGGAGTGTCGGGTCGAAAAGTCTGGCCACTATCAAGGAGTATCAGCTCAGTCGGTGGTTCACTTTTTCTTTAACTGGATGTCTAGGTGTGATCTATGCATTCGCTTACCAAAGTTCCTGGTAATCCTTGCTGCACGGCCACCGGCTCCACCTCTATCCACGCGGACATCGTTACCTGCCCACGTCAAAGAGTCGAATTTGAATATCTCTTGATAGAGATATCTCCAGACCCATGCTTCGTAGACGTATTTGGCATATGATGCATTTGAGAGCATTCTATTCCCAAGCGTCAGAGGCTCGCACCACCCACAAAGCTCCCAGTATGTCTCGGACCTCTGGATCTGGAAGTCTGGCGGAAACGTATCGGGTAGACATTCCTCCACCCACGTAGCTACCATTTCTTGAAGCCTGCCAAATAATCTGATGATCTCAGCCTCATCTGATGTCGAGATTGTCTGCGTAGTGGGCCCTGTGTTTGTCGTTGTCGTCGATTCGAGGCCACTCAAGTTGCTCGTGCCTCTACCAGCTCTCCCCTTCTGGGTAGAGGGGCCCGTGGTTGGTGGTGTGGGCTGCTGTTGCGCCCCCCGTACCTGCCTCTGCGGAGTACCAGTTGCCTGTTGCGTGGGTTGATTAGAACTGGTTGGCGTTGTCTGACTCCCAGCCGATCCCTTGTTCCCAAAAGGAGTCTGAATGCCTGTAGACTGGTTGCTTGGAGCGGTGCCAGTCTGCAATGTGTTTGTACTCTGAATGGGTGGAATTGAACTGCTTTGAGATGGCTGATTTTGGTTGCTGCGCCGGCCTCCATTCTCGTCATCTTCATCACTGTCCAAGATACGATTTTGATGCGAAGGCAAGGCCTCATCTCCATCGCCATCGCTGTCCGAGATGATGATCGGATTTTGAGTGGCTCTGTTCGGCGCAGGCCCGAGTGGCGGTGGTCTGGGCCGGGACATTCCTCCGCGGATATGTGGGACGTGTTCACGGCCGTCCAAGCTCTTGAGATGGCTTCGCACTCTGCGCTGTCTCTTTGAGAAAACCTCTTCTCCTTCTTCACTGTTGCGCTTCCCGCAAAGTCGGTCGATGGGAAACCGCGAAGTCTCCATTGTGGCTACGCCGTCCTGTCGCTCAGGGAGCTGTGATTCAGGAGCAAGTTGTCGAAAATGTGGTTGATCATCAACGATTACAGAGTCGCAAGCCCTTATGTTGTGTAAAATCTTCTTTCTGCAGACTCATCCGTCTTTATGCAAGTACTCCAGCGCGTGGTTCAAAGAAAGCGCTCCAAACCCTCCGCATCCGGCCAAGCTTTCGAAACTACGGCAGGGAGACAAAAGAAAGCGAGTAGCATCACTTGATGGTTTCATGCTGCAACCTGGTCTGTTGATTCAATGAGCGATTGAAGAACAGTAGAAAGCTATTACTCCTAGTCATCTACGCATAAGGAAATCCGTGGCGGTCGTGTTTGGCCATGTGAAATGGGAAGCTTCGTGATGGACTCTCCAAGCTTCCGGTCTGCCCCGGATCAAGCTTGCTGCGGGATATGGTCGATGAGGGGAGCCGGCCTACGAGACTCAAGAGATGGCTCCATTCAATGAGGATAACAGAAGTAGCTCCATAACTAATGTCGAACATGAGGCATGCATATTTGTGCAACGGCTACAGCATGCCGTTTTGAAGTCATGCTATGAACAAGACTGTCAGTGAGGCTCTGCTCAAACCGGCATCCTCTAATCTGATTTCTTCAGGGCAAGATACCTCTAGGTGAGAGACAATATATGCTTTGCAACTACTTGACATGTAGGCTATCTTCGGTAAGCATCAGGGACAGAAGTCAAGCTCTCCTGGAGGTCGGATGTGCTCAGCTGCACATATGCACTAGGTGCAAAGAAACTCAACAAGTGACAAGGTGATGCTACATGTGTTTACTCTGTGAGAATTTTCCAATCTTTTCAATACCTACTCGCGATGTCCTATCGGCACAGGCATATTCTTTTCTACCTGGTAGGCATTGGGTCTGCACCTGAGGTGGAATGCATTGCTATTCAAGACGCAACCCTTCGTCGAACCCCGTCTAGGAAATTGCTAACATCTACACCGAGAAGGTGATACACGCTGCGGAACACCCGTCACTACATCCCGTTAACAGGTGGACTGGTAACAAATTCGCTACCGGAGACTCCTCAGGGGAAGCTGAGGATCAAATTGACCAGCGCCGTTCTCAAGACCTGGCTGTGACCTGATGCTTCGTGGCTTCGCAAATCGCAATTCCCCAGCAAATGGACAACCTTACTCCTTCCATCATATCGCGCCCCGAGGTTTTCCTTACTTTCCCCTTCCCTTGTCCCACGCTTAACCACCTTCCTGTTTCTTCTCCTCTGCAATCTGATATTCTTCACTACCAGCTTTATCAGCTTCTTCCAAGCTGACTTTTGCAATCTTTCCACTTTCTCAACTTTCTTTTCGTTCGACCCTTCAAAGGTCTGATTTTGGGGTCTAACCCCATTGGAGTGTTTTGCTCCTCCAGTTTACATTTGATCTCCAAGTCTGGAAAATTGACGCTCTCCCTTCGTACTTCAAGAAACTCTGACTCGTTTGTGTCATCAGTCAAATAACACACCCCATCGCATCGATGATCCACAAAAAGGATCCAGACGTCGAGAGTGGCGGCGCAATCGAGAAATTCGACAATTATGTTCCTCCCACTCCACCCCAGCCCAAGGTGAAGAAGGCTGCCGGCACACCCTCGCGTAAGCGAACAGCGCCCATCTCCTTTGGCAGTCCCGCCGCCAGTGTCAGTTCCCCGGCAAAGAAGCCTGGTTCAGCGAAGAAGAAGAAAGAGACGGCAGGTAACTCAAAGCTGGGCGAGGAGCCCACGATGTCTATTGGAATTGATTTCGGAACGACGTGAGTCTCCTCTCATTGGTATACTTCTGGATCCGCACTTACACACTATTAGCCATACCGGTGTCGCATACGCCTGGTCCGGCAATCCTCAGAAGATTGAAGTCATAACGAATTGGGATGATACCACCAATGACCAGGTGAAAGTTCCTTCGGCTATCAAGTTCTTAGCGGAAGCACCTGGAGTCATGAAATGGGGTGCAAAGGCCAAGACTGCAGCCGGTGCGCTCAAATGGTTCAAGCTCCTGCTTATTGACGAAGTCGACCTTGCCGAAGACATCCGAACATCTGCGTACTTGCAGGAAGCTCGCAATCAGTTACGTGACCTAGTTATGACTGCTGTGGAGGTTATCGCACTGTTCCTGGAAAAGATATGGAACCACTGCATCTCGAAGATCAAGGTCGCAGAGGGAAACGATACTGTGGACACTTCTCGATTCCACGTTGTCATTACTTTGCCAGCCATCTGGCCCCACTACTCTCGTGACAGAATGCGCGAGGCGGTTGTTCGGGCCGGCATTCTCAACGGGCGCTCAGGAGTTGGTAAGACCACCTTGAGTTTCGTGGCTGAGCCTGAAGCTGCTGCTCTGGCGACACTGTCGGGTGTGGACGGCCGGCACGATATCAAGGTGAGTCTTCTGAGAGTACTACGGTGAAGACTGTTCTAACTTCACTGGAGATTAGGGACAATTTTGTGATCGTGGACTGCGGGGGTGGGACCGTTGACGTGATCAGTTACAAGGTCACCAAAACCGACTCAATGATTGTACGGGAGGCTGCTACGGGTGAAGGTGAGTGGAAGTTTCAAGCATTTTTGAAACGTCTGCAGCTACTGAAACAGTTTATCCAGGCGCGCTGTGTGGCGCGATCATGGTGGACGATCGATTCAGGAGCCTGCTTGTCACAAAGCTGGAAGAGGTTTCTGAACATGCCATGCAGCGTCTTCGCGAACGAGATATTCAAGATCTCATGATTACAGAATGGGAGAATGGCATCAGATCCCAGTTCACCGGCGAGGAGAGTGAGTGGATCATTCGTCAGCCTCAGAGACTTGTCAACCCAAGTATCTTCGTCGACGAAGATGATGATGACGATAATGCCGGTTACCCAACCTTTACCATCACTCATGAAGAAGTGAAAGAGGTTTTCAGACCCATCGTCGAACGAATCTACGAGCTGGTCGAGGCTCAAATTCGTGACGTACAGATGAAGACGGAAAGATTGCCCAAGGTAATTATGATTCATTTTGTGGCGATTGGCAATTGGCGATAGCCGTTCGGCTTCTAATACTCGTCTAGTACATCATCCTTGTTGGAGGTTTCGGAAGATGCCAGTATTTGCAGAAGTACCTCAGTTCACGCTTTGAGGGGGTAGAGATATTGCAGAAGTGGGGCTCTGAGCCGTAAGTAGTTTTCCTCCTTGGGAGACTTGATTCTGACACATGATAGTTGGAGTGCCATCTGCCGAGGCGCTGTCATTCATGGCCTGACAAATGAGAATTTTGATAGTCTGCTTGCGGTCCAGGTTCGATCTAGGATCGCTCGAGCAAGCTATGGTATAGTCTGTCAGGAGAAATTTGATCACGAGAAACACCTTGAACAGGATAAAATTTGGGACGAGGATCAACAGGCCGATATGGCCGGGAACCAGTTCAAACCCCTGATCACGCGCGTAAGTCAATTATTTGGGTTCGCAAGAAAAGGGACTTCATGTTAACAATAAATGTATTTCCACAGGGTGAGGATATTCCTGTTGGTAAAACGTTCCGGAAAGAGTTCTTCAAGATCCAGACCGATTATTCAAGCGACATTTCCACCAGCGTTTTTTTGTCGAAGTCAGAGAGGCCTCCAACACGCAAGGACGGATCTGTGAGCAAGCTCTGTGATATCCGGTGGATCAAGGATATTGACGAGGACGAGCTGCAGGGCTTCGTCAACAAGAATGGAGGGGAGTTCCTCCGAATGGGCTTTATAACTGAAATGAAGCTCTCGGGTGGTGCTGTCGAGTTCAGGATATTTCATGACGGTAAGCTCCAGGCGCGGGAGAACGTGGCCGTGGAGTTTCAAGATCATGGGAATGTTTGATACTGCCATAGGTCTCACGACATTTTCTTTTCGAGGACAGGCTGTTGATTTCTCTCGATCCTAAGTTGATTGCATGGTAGCTGGGTTGTACAGATAGACATATCAAGCTCACAGAATCAAATGGAGCCCTAATAAACACAAGATTGGCTGAAGTCGTTCTCAACCAACTCAATGATTTTGCAAGTACACAATATGCTTCTTCATGACAACAAATGACCACTATTCCATGGCATCTATAAGGTATTGAGTGGGTCTCTCCAAAGCTGTAGCCTTTGCTTTAAAACAAATTTGGAAATTTCTACTGTCAGATCAGGGTACATTGTTGGTGTAAGTACTGTGGAAATGTAGCTGCTCGCGATATAAAACTGCAGTGATCTCAGCAGCTTTGCAATCAGAGCCTTCTCCTACAAACGGAGATCTTTCAACTACCACAAAGAGCATCAAAAATCAACCCGAGAAAGTTTTTGAGTGAGACAGTCTCCCCACCTTGAGGTGTCAGCCTACCCACCTAGGTACTTAATCTGATCGAAATCGCCTGCCTCGCTTTTCCTTCCACACCTCACCAAATGACCGAACGCCACACACAAACCTCCTCCAAGTCTACACAGCAGACGCCATTTTAATATCCTTCAATTCCTTCAAGAAACGTCAATCCTCCTCAAGATGCCGCCCGACCAGCCCAAAGAGCTATCGCAGCTTTGCAAAGACCGTCCCGAGTCGTTCCCACCCGGTTCAAGCACATCAATCGATCTCACAATGAACGAAGAATCTGGAGCAGACCTTGGAAAGCACGATCGCGAGAGTGATGAGCTCAAAACAGAGCCTTCAAGCAAGCGCGCTAAGCTTGCAGCCGACAACGAGCCAGTGGACTCGATGCGTAAGACAGTCACAATTCCTGCAAAGAAATACAATAAATTGACAAAGGACAATGCTCGACTCCGAAAAGCATGCACATCCAAGCACCAAGAATCGCTAGAATACGATCGCCGCATCACCGATGAGCTCAGCGACCATGACAAAACAAGAAATCAGCTAACCGAGCTCCAAGAACAATACGTGCAAATGGAAGCGGAGCTGTTAGCCAGAATCGGAAATCTCACCTCTGAGATTGAAGGCCTCCAAGTTGAAATTGCCGCAAAAGATACATCATTGCAAGAGAAGACTCAGCTCATCCAGGACCAATCTTCAGAGCAGAGAGCTCTTACTGCCGCAGCTGAAAGGCACCAGCATGAGTATGAGAAGCTGCAAGCATCTAACAAAGAGAAAGATGCAAACTTGATAGAGAAAGATCGGGTTCTTGACAAAGAGCGCACAGAGAATGAAAGTTTGAGACTCAAGGTCGCCACGGTGCTGGAGGACCAGAAGTCGATGAGAAAGGACATCAAGTCGAAGAATACACGTCTCCATGACTGCCAAAACACATTGGCGAAGAGAGAAGAAGATTTTCAAATCAAGGTTTCTCAGTTACAGACCGTCCAAGTAGAGAAGGACAGTCGACAGGAAGAGGTTGAGAGTTTGCGCGTCGTCAATGATCGTAACGGCGCCCACAATCAAAACCTCCGGTCCGAGCATGAAAAGTTCAAGAGGGAATCCAGCCTTGCCCTTGAAAAATCCAAGAACAAGCTACATGGTTCGTCGTCCCGACTCTTGTTTTATGTTATTGCGTTGCATGGAGAGACGTTTGACAAAAGAAATCACTAGATTGTCAGAAGCAAGTGGCCGTTCTGAAACAAGAGAAATCCGACCTAACAGAGGAGTTCAAAGTGGCTCGAGGCGACTTCGATGTTCAGAAAGGCCGATGGAATCAGAAGAAGCACGAGTTGCTTCAAAAGATACGCCAGGCTAATGGACAGCAGAAGTCCTTCAACAATTACAAAGAATCGGATCAGCAAGTCCAGAAAATATTTGGAGACCTAAAATTCAGTATCGCCCAATTCGTGAACAGGTACTTGAGATCGGTCTCCGACGCGGGAGATCGCGAACTAGAACTGGTCTGGTACAAGTTGATGCCAGATCCAGCCAAGTTTCTGAAGTCTCGCCTTTTGTACAACGCGGCATTCGAAGCTTACATTTGGAATTCCATACTCGACCAGATGACGGCTAACACATCCAACATTTGGCCTGGAGAATTGGGGCACGAGTTCTTCAAGACTCTGTGCATGACGCATGGTAATATTACCCTTGATCTTGAATTATACGCGCCAGCTGACGGGGCAAACTAGACCAGATCAAAGGCCTTGCGCCTCTGTCCGAACTATACACGGACTACCAAAATTGGAGATCTGCTTCATGCGGCATCTTTGAACGCCTAACAGAACGATATTATAATCCTGACCTCTTCCTTTTAACTGCTGAGGCTATGGTCCAAAGCTTGTCCAGTCTCTGTGGAGATTTGGATGTCGAACGCGCCGTCGCCGATGCAGTGAGAATCTTTGATGATGCTCGAAGCTTCTTCATAATGCTCAAAAAGCTGAAAGCCGATTTCAGAATCCTCTCTCATAAACCTGGTATGCAAGGAAACCAGATCACAAATGGATTCAAATATGATGAGTCTTGCATGGAGGATAGTTATCTTTGCCCTGAGGCTTCCACTAAAGTTCCTCGAACCGTGGATCTTGTCGTCTCCCCTGCTGTATTCAAAAAAGGGAACAACGATGGTACCAACTTCCAGACCATGATATGCATCACCAAGAGGAGGGTCGTCTGTGATGCCGTCAGGCTTCTTCCGAAGGCCAAGACTCCAGGCCGAGTGCAAGCTCAGACTCCCGATACCCCTTTCGGAGGCGACGCGCCGGGTGCTCAGCAATCGATTACAGCCCCAAGAGCTACGAGGAAGGCTGATTTCGCCAACAAGATCAAGACCGAGGAGCTCGTCTCCGACTTCAAACATGAGAACCAGGACGAATCAGCACATGGAACCGCCAGTCAGCCACCGTCTCGCACTCTCTCGTCAGGGTCTGTAAGATCAAACCAAGACAATCCTACTGTTCAGCCAGGCGCTTCTTTTGGAATGCCGACGGACACAATCATGGATGATGCGCCTCAGAAACAGTTTGACGAGAATGGGGCGGTGGAAACGGTGGATATTCTGACGACGCCTACATCTGAGGATGGCACGTCTGACAAGGAGGGAACTAATTGGATTGAAAAGCCTGCTGACGAGAAGGATGGTTATGACGAACCGGGAGATACTTTAGATTGCAATTGAGAGGAATAAGCGACATGGACTACAAAAGAGACCTCCGGCAAATGCTGCTCGCGACTGACGGACAAGGAGGAGCCTACCGGTAAAGGACTTGCCTTGGTGGCACCCATGTTCTATCGATATGAGCAAATTCGTGCGAGATTCGTTAAATCTCCGACTGGGATCAAACTTTTGAAATTCGGTAATGGTTGTGGCAGAGGGCGTCTTGGAAGAATGGACGCCTACTAGGGCTTCCAGTGGTCTCGAAGGGTTTCCAGGAATGAAGGCGCCCATGGCTCATGAAGGGCCGACTGCTGATTTTGAGAAAGCAAAGTTGATGCATACAAGATGACGAGTTCAGCGACAGCTGAAATGCTCCTGAAGGGTAGCAAAAAGCCAGGCAGCTTCTCGGTCTAGAATGTTCAACAAGGACAGTTCTCGGTGGGTTTCGCAAGTGCGATAAGCCCTTAAGCCTTCAATACAGGTCACAGTTGCGAAAGGCAGATAGCAGAGATTGAAATGAATGAGCTCATTTTGGACCCTAACTAGTTCTCCCACCAATTTTCCGCCGGATCAGCTCGTTCTGTATAACTAGGCGGTGGCCCTTCAGGAGGCGGTACGTCCGCTGGCGGAGACGAAGATGCTACCCGGCCAGTGATCCTCTGAAACGCTGCTTCTCGTGCTCTCTGCAATCTTAATCTCGCCTGTCTTACCACCTCGTTCTTCTGGTCTGTCTCATGCAACAACTCCATGTGCCGCTGTGTCGCCGACATTAAATCAATGTTCAGGGACTGTGAGCAGTGCCGGACCTCCAAGTTTGACTGCTGGATCTTCTCATGAAACGCCATGTCAGAGAAGATATTGTCAAAAAAGACGTCGCCGAGCAAGTTCCCCTGTGCTATTTTGACCTGCGGCAGAGGGCGGACCATAGGGGAGGCCGCTTGTGCCTGGGTCACGAGCATCTTCGCCTGCCGCACCAGGTTCTCGGCCTTGTTGAGTGCGTTCCGCTCCATCATGTCTGAAAAAGTGCCACCTCCATACATATCCCTCCTAGACGCGTGCAGGGCGTCTTCCATCGACATCAGGGCGCCATTCAGCCGCGTCTGCGCCTGTGTCAGGATGCTGACCACCTTTCCTTCCGCCTCTGCCCGTGACCGGGCCTCCTTGTAGATCTGCAGTGCATTGCTCGTTTCCCGCTCCCGCTCATCCTCTTCCGGGAACCCAGGCGACGGGCCCGTGAAGATGGACTCGTACAGTCTATCTAGATCGTTCTGCGCCTGGACGTGCGTGGCCGCCCTGATCTCCAGTTCGCCGTGCAGCGTCCTCGCATCAGCCAACATCTCGTCCAGGTTCTTCTTCATGACGTCGGCCTGGTGCTCCTCCTGCAGGACGTCAAAGTACTCGCGCTCCTCCTTGGCGGCCCGGGCCTCGAACTTCTCCGCCTTGCCGCCCACCTTGAAGGCGAAGCGCCGCAGGACGCTGTCGCGGTACTTCTCGTGCTCCCTGAGCTCCTGCTTGCGCCTGTAGCCGATCTGCTTCAGCCTCTCGGCTGCCTGTGCCACCTGCTTCTCGAGGTCGGCGACATGGCGTTTCTGGGCCTCGAGGTCTGGGACAGAGCTGTCGGTCTGGTGGAGGATGTTCAGCAGCTCCACGTTGCGCTCTGAGGTGTCCCTGATCTTCGCCTCGAGAGACATGGTGTAAGTGAGTGGGCCTCAGCGAGGTTGCGGGTATGAGATAATGCGGCTGAGGCTGAGAGGGCTAGTTATTGCCGTGGTGGGCCGGAGAGAGTCTGTGCTCGATTTGGGTGTATGCAGGTGATCTGCGATGGATTGAGTTGGGCGCTTCTGGTCCTATTGTAGTGATTTGGAACTGCCTGGATGAACGATGCAGTCGCGAGCTTATGAGTCGAAAGTCGAAACATTGGAACTGTTAAATCTCGGGTGACGCAAGGTGGCTTCTGGCAATTTTTAAATGAGGGCTCCAGCAGAAGTTGTTTTTGGGTGCTTACACGCAATGTAGGCTGCTGCTGTGTTCAGCCCAAGGGACCGCCCCCTTCCCGCTGCGCTCCGCCCCATCCATTCGATCCCATGGTAGAGAGGGTGGTCGCTGACGACCCAAGCTGCGCCACAGATATCGCGGCCGGGTGTCTTGGCTAGGATTAGGCACCCCTATTTCCGACCTTCCCCAACCCTGAACACAGGGAAACAAGTGGGGGAGAGGCGCCCTGGCCCAGTTCAGAGCCGCCCCTTCCAGAAGCTGGGGTGTTTGTTCGGGCTCAGCTAAGGGCGGGCATCTTAAAGACTCACGCAATAGCATTGACTTTGACTCTGGTTAAAAATGCATTCCCAAGACCCTGCTGTCATGCCAACTGCAAAACTTCTCGAGGCTATCATTGAGGCTCTCGAATAATAATGATGACTTCCCACGAATCATGCATCCCAAAATCCCAAAACCATGAGCCGTTGTCTCACCCCCCCCCCCCAATTGAATCAAAACACCAACCAAAGCTCTAATGCAGCCTGCTCAAGCCCTCCATTATAGGTCTGCGCCGTTCCGGGCAGCTCAAATGCCGTGCTCCAAGAGGTAGGTGTTGGAGATTACCTTGAACCGTCGTCCATCCTCTAGGCACTTGAACACCAGCCCCTCGCCCTTCTTCTTGGCTGCTCGCTTCTTGAGGTCGCCGTGGCTGGTTGCAATGTCAGTGAGCTTGACATAGCCCAGCACGGGGACATGCTTAAGCCCCAAGTCCTCCGCCATCCTCTCCACCTCTCTGGGGTTGATGAACCGCTGCTTGTCAATGTCGAACATGGCAAAGACAAAGAAATCCTGCTCGCCGTTCGGGATGCGCTCGCGGTTGTTCTGGATCGAATCGCCGCACAGCTCCCCCTGGATCGCGATGTTGCGGCCGAGCTTCGATAGCTTGGCGGGGAGGTCGTACCGCAAGGCCGTCTCCCAGTACTTGAAAGCCGCGGGACCCTGGATCTCCAGCTCGTTCTTGTCGACCTTGTTACTGCAAACGCCAAAGCGGCCCGTCTCGAGCACTGTGTTGGGCCCGACCTTCTCGGGTAGGGGATTCAGCGAACCGAAATGAGAGGATGTCTTTGTGAGGAAGTAGACAACCATCGCAGCGCCATCCATCTTGACGCTCTCCTGGTAAATCAGCCTGTTGTACTTGCGCTTGGTGAACAGGTTCGGGCAGTCCTCAACTCGGCTCACATCCGTCCGCCTAAACACCTCACCCGGATACATCCCGAGACGTTGATGCTCAGGCTGCTGCTGGGGCTGGGCCGCCGTCTCCTCCCACTTCTTGACCCCCAATATCTCCGCCCAGTTCTTGTCGCGGTACATGATGAGCAGAGTCGCGTTGATCAGGGACACATCCCCTTTCATTGTACCGATTGAGATGAACTGTCGCACCACCTCGATCTTCTTCCAGATTTCTGGAAACGTCTGCACAGGCAGGACCATGCCCTGGGACACGATCTTGTCTTCACCTTTGCCAAACTTCTCGGTCTTGAGTCTCTGGCCCAACTTACCGCCCAGCATTTGAAGCTTCTTTGCTCTTCCGAAACGTTCATCCGTGCCGGGCAGGAAGGAGTCAACCTGGAAGTAGAGGACGAGCTCCCCCTCGCGGTATTGGCGAGCCGGTATCTTGCAGGTCCAGCCATCTAGCTCGGCAAAGGTGTATCGTTTTTGGTCGATCTCTGTGTTGTGGATTTTATTGATCACTCGCAGGCTGACAAGTCGCAAGGTTCCGTTGTCGTGAGGTCCATGCTTTCCGGTTGTGGCGCTGGTCTCTGTGGAAATTGGCTCAGTGCTTCCTGCCGGTGATGAAGCCTCTTCCGGCCCCGTCACGGAAGTCGCCTTAAGTTCTTTCCTGAAATTCTGAGGTTCCGGACTCGACTCACCACCAGCCCAAGTCTGCACATTGGTCTCATCGTCCGTCTTTGCAGCAGTCGGCAGCTCTGAGGACGACGCGGCGGCGTCAAGCTCGGCAGCTTTGGGCTTTCCGGTGTATGCGGTAGGGTCAAAGGGCCGCAAACTGCCAATCACAGGCGCATTTTGGAGAGCCATTGCTTTTCCTTCGATTGAGTACCCTTAAGTCTGGCAATCGCGATAGCTTAGAGGTTAGATTTATGACTTGTGCAAATGAAAGGAGACAGACGTTTGAGGGAATTTCAAAGGCCGGGATTCGCTCAGGGGTAGTTGCCAACAGGGGAGACCGAGCCAGTGGAGCACTAACGTGTTGAAGCATGAGCAAAACAGTGGACAAACGTGGACGATGCCAAAGATGCTGTGAATGTAAGCACCAGTCAGAGAAGGCATAGAGGTCCCAGCTAAGGTAGAAATAGGCCACAAGTTATGACAGGTCCGGAACTTACTTCCCACGGGTTCTGTTGCTTTTATCCCGGACGTTGAATTCGCTCAGTGAGAGACTGATTTCAGTCAAGAACTTTTGTATGAACGCTTCCAGATCCGACGTCGTGAACACTACCCTGCAAACAGCAGAGATGAAATTAGAAGGAGGTGCCTCTTGGGTCGGATTTGCAAACAGTGTTTTTCGACGATGATGACGACCCGGGAAGGAGTGCTTCCAAAGTTGGTCGGTAGAGAAGTGGGCCAAAAACTTGACACCTAGTAGAAGCAAGGTAGAAGTTCAAGGTAGAGTCGCATGTAATAAGAAGGCTGTTAGGTGTCAAATATTGCCCCTCTCGCCTAGAATAAGGATGCTTTGATGCGTGAAGTGTGTGAAGGAGTGTAGGTACGTGAAGGTGTTTCCTCTGAGTCTTGGGGCAGATTGAAATTGATTTATTGCATGGGAAAGAGCTGTGTCGCTCACTTTCTGTCACTGGTCGATATCCGTCAATTGATCTGTAAAACGATCCCCAAGAATGTTGCTGGAACACCAGGAGTGACGCAGGCAGACAGATCTGAACACTTTGAATCGGCTTCGCTGAGGAGCTTGTGAACATAGCCGCGGAGTTGCACGGAATAAAACTCAACTTGAAGGTTACGGGAGAGCCTCCGGGTGGGAACTCGGGGCTGATCGTATTCCATGATGGCCTAGACTCGAACTTGCACACGCACAAGCATATGACCTCAAGCTGACATTGAACCGCTTGGGCAAGTACACAATCCTACGTCGTCTGTGGCACGCAGGTTCATGTACAGAAGCCATGACGATGTCTACCATATGCCACGGCACTTTGAAGCCTCAGAGTACGTTTCAAAACAACTTTGTGATATTCTTGGTTGATCGAATCAATATTCACACTCGACCAACCGTTGCGGCAGCAGTGACCTTCTTGTCATTGACAGGGTCGGCCGCTCTTTTCAAGTTCGTCAACGAATAAACGAGTATGTTTGGTTGCTCGAGATGAAAGGGCACTTCGACACCTGGAACGACAAGTTCTGGCTGTCAGAGACACACAGGGTGGCGAGGGCGCCCATAACTTCGCAAGTCTCCAGAGCTGACCACATCTCCATGTTGAGGGCGAACAACGAAACAAACACGCTAATACTGTGTTCCATGAGAAACACTGGCATTAGAGTCAAACTCACATAGCCTCTAGTCGTGAGTTGCTGAGAATTCACGAAGAAATACGAGCTTGAGCTCTGATATCCGCTTCGCAGCCACAGTGTCTCTGTAACGAATCAGCGAAATAATGAAGGTAAGTACGGGACGACTTAAGTAGTCCCTGACAGAACAACCAATCATGTGATAACCCAACCGTAGCATAACCAACCATCGTGTCTCTTGGGATGACCTTGCGTAAGGGGAGAAAATAATCTTGCTTAGAATAGCCTCTTGTGCAATACTTTCCTGCTGAATGACTTTTTATACAGGGAACTAAGCCACAGGCGCTCCTCAGGGAGGTGGTTTCGAGTGTGTCGGTGTTGTTCACTTAGTGTATGTGATTACTCCGTCTTTGAAGAGCATGAGAAATTAAATCGATTCCGTAACGTTATGATATCGCCGTAGCACGCATGTCTTTCGTGATACATGGGCATAATTTTTCATCGTTAACTTCAGTGTTCAGTCACATTGTCCAGATTATGCTTAGAATTAAGCTTGGGTATCGTTGCATCTGCTGCTGTACACCCAGCCAAGCGCTTCAATCACGGTCTTGGTACAGCTCCTAGAGTCGTACTAGGCAGTAGAATAGAATCTGTAAGCAATGTCAAAGAAATTACGAAGGGCAGTGCGGATGTCCCTTGCGACCACTCTGCGCGGGAACCTTGGCCAACTTAGGGGAGGTACATCGACAATAGCAGGCGGCGTGTGCGTATCGGATCCCCAATTAGGGAGGTCGGCGGTAGATTTCCGCGGGTGAGCTGATTGCCAAATTGTGTTCCTGGCACAGCTCCGTTTGAGCATCCGCTCGATGGTACCCTGCCCGGAAGATATGGGGACAAGTCCTTGTCCACTTCCTTGGCGTCGAGGCCGTCCCTTGCTTTACCGATATTCGGCAAATATGCTCCCAGCTTCGCGCCTCCGCTCCGCCACGCGCGGACGGAATGAACCCCAGTGCAAGGTCTTGGTAGGATTCTTTCACTTGGGAATCCGATGTCGGACTTGGCTGCTAAACTGAGACCGGTTGGTCTCCTCTATTACTTACCTGCAGCAGCAGAGGCACGCTTTGCCTTATATGTCTGAGTCCGAAAGAGATTTGTCGCTGCGGTTGGCCGTGAATAGCAGGTGGTAATTTCCGAAGTATGGCCTCTGCATATGTCACCCGACAAGCTTTGGTAAATCTTGTTTACAGGCTTACTGGACTTGAGCTATCACAAGTGTGGGGGGGGGGGGTATTCAGCAAGCCAGCTTGTAGATAAGGAGTGACGGCAACTACCCCTGAATATTCGTGATGTTAAGCTGAGGTACAGATCTATCAAGCCCGGTGTGTGACCCGCAACAGCCAAGGCTTTGATACCTGTGATATTTGAAAGAGAAGTCCACACAGTATCAATGCGTCCTGCCGGTGCAACAGCATCCAGGTTGTTGAGCATCTCATTGGGCATGCTAAGTTCCGCATTTTCTTTATATTATGGTGGTAGGTTCTAAGATATAAGCGAGTCAAGTCCCATATACGTTGATATTTATTTATCTACAGGGCAGGAGTTTTGGCCTCTGTGACTTGCGGTCTGCTATAGGAAGGCGCGTGCAAAGCTATGAAGATGTTTTTGACTCTGGCTTCGGGTCTTGTCCTGAGTGGCTTGGTACTCGCTCAGATCCAAGGGGAAACTACTGGCCTCCTACCAACCGAACCATCCAACGTGCCTTTGGGAACTCGCTATGTCGTTGAGTTCTCAGAAGCTGGCTCAGCAAAGTTCCGGACCCGCGATGGATCCATGGTACACATGACCATTTCTTGCTCACGACCTAGTATATACTGATCTTCTACAGAACACGGACGGCTTTTATCAGAGTGTCGCTCAAGAGACAAACATCACCACAAAGCCAGCGCTCAACTTTACCTCTAGTATCTTTCACGGTGCCTCCTTCGATCTCGCTAACGAGAGCACCGCGGCAGACCTTGAAGAGATCAAGGCTTTGCCCGGAGTCGTCAATATCTGGCCTGTTGCAACTGTTTACGCCAGTCCCCAGATTGAGTCCACTGGGGTGGCGAACTTCAGCCAGTGGAGCCCGCACGTTCTAACCAGAGTGAACGAAGCCCATTCGCTAGGCTACGACGGCGAGGGTATCATCATAGCCGTTGTAGACAGTGGCATTGATTACCTTCATCCCTCTCTGGGCGGTGGTTTTGGCGAGGGTTTCAAGGTCCAGTCCGGTTGGGACTTTGTTGGTGACAACTATACGATCAGCTCGCCGGATGTCCTTTTCCCAGACGATGACCCTATTGACTGTCTTGGTCATGGTGCGTACATAAATGCAACGACCCACAGCAGTCATGCATAGCCATGTAAATAGCGAAAAGAATTACTGACTTCGACGCACCCAGGAACCCACGTAGCCGGTATCGCCGCTAGTTCGAATAACAATTTGCCAGGCGTGGCACCTAGCGCTACCCTGCGAGCATACAAAGTTTTTGGATGCTCTGATGGCACGACTGAAGACGTCATCGCTTTGGCATTCATTAGGGCTTTCGAAGATGGGGCGGATATCATTACTGCCTCGCTCGGTTCAAGCCAAGGTTTCCCCGAAGTTCTCTCCGCCTTGGTGGTCACTAGGATGTAAAATATTCCTGGAGTTACCTTTTCTTTGGTGCTTGGAAAGCTGACTTCGAATTATGTAGTGCTAGCCAAGGTACTTTTACGTCAGTTGCGGCGGGAAACTCCGGAGCACGTGGTCCATTCTACTCCAGCAGTCTCGGTAACGGGTACGGTGGTCTTGCAGTCGGCAGCGTTCAGTCAACACAGGAAGTTGCTTACTCCGTCGTGGCCAAGTCGACGAGTGGTGATTCGAGGACGATTGTATACCTGGACGCTTCTGCCAACAACTGGAACTTGACCGGAGTGTTCCCTGCCCACATACCCGCGAATCCTCCAGACATATGTTCCCTTGAGGTGCCGTGGGATGGAGCTCTCCCAGTTGACACGATTGCTGTGCTGGTAAGTCCTGCTCAATTTCCGAACTAATCATCATTGGTCAAAATGACTGAGGAGCTGAGCAATCCTCAAATGCGCTTCTGTTACACGAAAATTGCAGCAGATGCTAATTAGAAATTGATTAGCCTCGTGGCCGTGCAGGCCTTTGTGGTTCCGGCGGTACCTGGCAAATTATGGACTCTGCTCTCATCGACAAGGCGACATGGGTCTTCCTATATAACTGGGAGAATAAGACATACGAAAGGCCATCTCGGGTTCTCTACAGGGATGGTCAGCCTGTGGGTTTCGCGTCGATAAACTATGATGATGGAATTTGGCTGAACAATCAATCCCTTTCTGGCGAGAATGTGACATTCGAGCTCAAATATGATCCGACAGCTGCTGTCGGCGTTGACTATTTCACGAACATGATTAATGATTTCAGCTCTTGGGGACCAACATTGGATATGAGACTAAAGCCCGAGATATCTGCACCTGGTGAGTCAAAAATTCATCTTGCTGAGAATGATGCGCATGAAGTACTAAATTGGCTTGCAGGTGGTCAGATTCTTTCAACGTGGCCAATATCTAAAGGCAGCTGGGCAGTGCTCTCCGGCACTAGCATGGCAACACCGTATCTTGCTGGCGTCGCCGCCCTCTACTACCAATCCACTGGTGGAAGATCCACCCTGGACTCTAATCCGGCTCAAGTGGCGCACACTCGCCTTGTTTCGAGTGGTTCCTCTGTCCTTCACCATAACGGCAGCACAACTCTCCAGGCGTAAGTGACCTACGTTTCAAAACCACAAACCCGTTTGATGTATGCTGAAAAATTCCTGAAGGCATGTTGGACAAGCTGGTGCTGGACTCATTGATGCTTTGAAGGTGGTTTCATACAACACTTCGATCTCGCCGGCGAATATCCACCTCAATGACACAGACCACTTCACCGGTGAGCATACCATCACTATCACCAATAGCGGTCCTGGACCAGTCACCTACTCCATCGGCCACGAATCTGGCCCCGCCAGTATGACCATGAATCCTGTTAACTGGGTGGGCCAAGACCCCATCCTGAAGACGGAATTCGGCCAAGCTATTGCAAACTTGTCGGTTTCAGAGCTCACGGTTCCTGCTAGGGGCAAAGCCAGCTTTGATGTGGTCTTCACTGCCCCTACCGACATTGATGCTTCGCTACTGCCAATCTACGGTGGTTTCATTCATATCGTAGGTGACAACGGTGAGGCTCTGAAAGCAACTTATCTGGGTAAGCCTAAGTGATCTTTGGAATTATGAAGACTCCAAAACCCTTCAAGCTGACTTAGTGAAAAACTATTATAGGTGTGTATGGATCGCTGTATAACGCGAAAACATGGGAGCTTGAGCGTGGCGTACCAGTTTTTTTTGGTGCCGGTGGCTATGGCGATACTTTCGAAGATGGCCGTGTCTTTGACTTGAGTCAAGCAACTCCCGAGGTGTATTATAACCTACTCTGGGCTACTCGCGAGCACAGCTTTGATGTGAGTCTCCAAGCCTTATTGAATACCCCATTACACAGTTTGTAGGAATCATTCGCTATCAGAAAGGCTGATCTATCCAATTCTTTTGACTAGCTTGTCGCATCAGAATGGAATGAGTCCGACTGGGCTTACCCCCAAGTCGCAGGAAAGAACAACTGGTTTGGCTCGCTCCAATTCTATGATGCTTTGAACGGTGCGTATTGTCTTCCATTTGTCCCTCTCTGCGTTACAAAGTCCTATCATGCCATGCACTACATGAAAGTTAGACGACATGTATAGACCCGGACACAACCCGAATCGCTGGGGTACACCCTGGACTCGACATTTTACGAAATAATGATTCACTGACGAATTTGATAGAAATCTATTATCCATACCCTTTCAAGTACTACCCTCGGACTTTGACCACCTTCCAAGGCGCCATCAGCAGCAACTACAGTGACGGGACCCCAATACTCAATGGCAAGTACCGTATTCTGGGCCGGGCACTCAAGACCTATGGCGAGAGCGGAAACCCCCAAGACTGGCAATTCAGGCTCTCTAACTGGTTCATCGTTGGGAATAACAACACCACTAACGCAACCACATCTGCTCTACTTAATTCGCGCTTGGAGGCAGCATCCTCCTGAAATTCATATTCATATAGTCGATGCCATCATACCATTCTTGGGCCCCAGCTCTTTTCTTAGAAATGGCTTTCAAGCCCTGGCTATAGTATCTCGAATGCCGCCATTCATGTCTTTCTTTCATCCACAACTTCACATCTTCCCTGTGAATCGTTATAATTAGAAACTCTGCCAACATACCAATTCTCGTACGAGGCTTAAACACAAAAATAAGAAATCAGAACCTGCCTATGCTGACATGTTATAAACCCCGGTTAGTCAATTGCGTAATATATATATTAATATAGCATAACCTTGTGCTATTATTGTAACTGCGGCAGATCGCGGATAAAGCCAAGTTGTCCACCAAAGCTATCGATATGACTTAGTGCGGAAATGCACCTTGCAAAGATGTGAAGTTTCCGGCTTTACCCATGACATGCAATATGCTTGTAACACGATGGATAGAGCATAGCCTATCAATTCGCCTGGAATTAAAAAAAATAATATGAAGACTCTCAGAGCACTAGGACGCTTCAAATCTGATGAAGGTCCCGTAGAACGAATTGATCTCCGTACTGAAGCTTGAGACACAGTCTGCAGCTTCATCACTTCCTATGAGAGCAACAAGGCTGACCAAGGCCAGGATCTAATGCGAAATGCAAAGTACATATATTCATTGTTATGTGCATTGAAGGACGATTTGGCCCTAGCTTCAAATATGTCGTGAAAAGAATACAGCCAAAAGGCCGGGAGTCCATAATTACAGCTCTCCGGTAATGTACATGAAACCGCGCTCATTTCTGTCATTCCTCATCCGCTCTTACTCGTTGATTCTGTGCTGCCAGACCATCTGTTCTTCTCTGTGTTTGCGAGTATTAGCAATCAGTGCATGACTCGATGCGCTAGGTAGATCATGGTTCAGAGGGTAGCTTGACGTACCTGGCACTATACGTGCTTGCCGCTAGGATCCTCTGCATCTGCTCGTTGCTTGTGAACATCACTTGTCTTGCCACAAACCAGCGAACTACAACGTTCAGAGTCAGCTATCAACAAATCTTTTTGGGGAGCTCAGTGTGGTAGTAGGCCGCGAGTTTCTGGTGCTGCAAAGAGGCAGGAATGTTTTAGGGGGCTTCTTACTTCCTTCGTGACAAGGAGGGCTTGTCAAGCTTCCCTCGTATGACCAAAATTCATTGAACCTCGCCACACTCGACAGTGCTTCTGGCAAGGACAGCGTGATCTCCGTTCTTGCCGTGTCGTTGAATCTAATGAGAGGTGAGGGAAATTGGTCCAGGAAAGCGTCATTGGTATTGCCCGGGTCCAACATAACAGCGAATACAGCCTTCTCATGGCCTTCAGCGTCGACGTGCACGAGATGTAGTTCAGCGCGAGTGCGATAATTGTTGACCGAGTGGTCAGCTGGAGTGTGAATATGCCAGCCGGTAAGGTACACAGTCTCGTTATCGTACGTCAGTGACGGGTTGTCAGTCCAAACTCCCTCAGCGTGCTTCACCGTAAAGGCCGGGCCGTATCCCCAATTCCAGAACTCTCCAACCGTCTCGTTGGGGTAGTTAAAAGTGGGAATGTGGTTCAGCGAAAGTCCGTTGTTGAGGCTGAGTGCAATCGGAGACTGCTGTGTACCAGATTGGCAAAGTTCATATTCTATGATAGGTAATTAGATGAGTTCCACCCCTTTCGGTTCTCGTTGACCAGACAGGGCAAGCTTCGAGCCTGGTACGCTTCGGGATTGCCAACAAGAGCCAGCACGCCTACTGACTCGAGAAATCCACAACATGAGTCTCGTCCGCGCGTTCACATCCAGTTTGCTTCGACGCGCTACCATTGAATCAGATTTACTTACCAGGGCTGACACGTCCCCAGTCAAATGATGCATCGTAGCTCCAATCGCTGGCTTCCGGGCCTGTTGAAGAGTTGCCTCCGTCTTGTCGTCTTGCCAACTGCCCGTGATAGTTATGTCTCGCGCAGCCGAGAGTGGCTGTGGCTAGTGACAAGGCGACTAACAGACTGTATTTAAGCATTTTTGCTTGAAGGATGTTGTGAGAGAATTGTGTGCAAAAAGACCCGGTAGGAAGGACAGTCAGGAAAGTTCGTAGGCAAAAGTTTCGGATGACAACGGTTGAGACTTAATTCTGTGCCATGAGCAGGAAACTGATGAGCTTTATACAATTACAATATCGCTTCTGGCGGCAGAATTGAATTTCTCGGCCCATTCCCCCTTAACTATAGCAACTTCATTTATCTCCTGAGCTAGTTCTATCAGTGGGCCTTACCCTGCCCATCTGAAGAACTACTAATGAATACCGAAGAGTCGTGATGTAGGCAGAGTTGGGAAAGGCACCAGCGGGCTGGGTTGCCAAGAAGCTACCGTGCTATGCATATCTTGCACGCCTCGGCTTGGCAAACCTCTGCTGGCTTAGCCAAGAATCGCGTTTGTTTGCGCCTGGTGAAACACAGCGAAGATAGAGTTTATTTAGTCTGATGGCATGACTATGACGACTCTTCGGAAATGAAAGCTCAGCCTAGAAGTAATTGAAGAATGCAATCTTGTAGGTGGGATAGCGTAAGTTCTTGCGCTGACCTTGGCGAATGCTGTTTCTCAAGCTTGGTAAAGTCTTGTTACTATCTTGGCCCGATAGTCCGGATGACTGTCTGGCGGCCGACCGCCGTGCGACTTTATCGTCCGGGCGCGTGTCATGCTTACGGCGGCGCCGAATATGGTCTAGACGCCCATACCTAAAAGTTTGATCGAGAGGGGCGGGCAGGTGAGGAACGGAGTGCCGGCACTCGGTGTGACTACTACTGATTCGCGTAGATCCAAGTTTAGATTTAGTGCGATGGAACACCACAGTGCCTTGCACAGCCACATGCAGTCAGCTTCACTGTTGAATGCTCACTCAGTGGATCACCACTCGTGCAAGTGATTCGTAACATGATATGCAGCTTGACTGCAAATACCGGGCCCAGTGTACGTTCAACAATGTCAAGAATGGTGACACGAAAGGTATTTAAACTCCAGATCAGAAGAGGTGGGTTTCCAATCCTACACAACCATTTCATGGCTTGGTGAGTGAATTGGCTTGTAAACCTCGTGGGTACGCAAGATAATTCACATCTTCGGGGACACTTGCACAATCGGCTTTGGAGTAGAACCGCGCTTCTCATGTCACTAATAGAGTATTCTTCCTGTGTCTCTCCCATTCAGAGCAAAATTTTGGGTTTATTCTTGACCTGAATTTATTCCTGCAAATGCATACGGATGTCTATTCACACGCAGAGGATGAATTCCATTACAATGTGTAGAAAGCCTGATTGAGGGCTGTCTATACCACCCTCGGGGCTCAGTAAAGCTCATGTTGCCGATAATACTGGAACAAGGCAATCCAATAAGGAGGCCCCCACTGCTGTCTAAAGTTTGCAATTCTCGGGAGAAAACATTGTAGCTTATCATTATAAAAGCCGCTGATTTAGCGTAATCAAATAGTTCACTGTCTTGGCTCTTCAATATCATCAATTTTCCCTTAAAAGTTCTCTCTGACTATTCTCGCATCGATCCTATGAGCCTGTTCGACTTGTTTAAGTCTATTCTCGTATTATGTATTTATTGTCCTATTTTGAAGGGGAAAAGATTTGTCGTAATCTTGGCCCAATTATTTCAGTCAACTGTGGCAAGTAAGGTCTCAAAGTCACTGCAAGTTTTGAGTTTTACAGACTGAGACAACAACATCAGTCAGAAGCGTGCCCTCGCCTCAGTAAATACCCACGTCAGGAAACTTTACTTCGAGCAAATGATTCCGCGATCTCAGCGCTCTGGTATCAATGTTGAGCCCAGATCCGGGGCTCCGGACTTGTGGTGTGGTGAGACCCCCGCACAGCCGTTGAGAAACTCTGGGCGCCGATGCTTGTCTCGAGTGGAGTCCAGCTCATGTGACCAACCTTCCTCGGTCGATTTGTAGAATTCAGGTTTACACATGACTGGGCACGATGAGCTGAGATCTTGTATTTAGCAATTTCTTGTCGATTCTACGCGACATTTCAACGGCAGATCTAAATCGCACTCTGCCCGATTACTACCCTCAGGGTATCGTAAACACAAAATTCTCGGAACTCCGTTGCGTCTGTGCCCCATGTGGTTGCAATAGATTGTTCAATCTCGTCCAGAAGTGCTGTTACGAGGTCTCCAACCTGACGAGGAAGTTCGTCGCGACAAGATGGGCATGGGCCTGGTCTCTGAGCTGGTAGACAGCACCATGTTTGACCTGAAAGTGTTGCTCGGTTTGCTTGTGCACTATAGCAGTCAGAGTTAGCTTTTGAAGGAAACAGAGTAAGATATGTATACAAGAACGCAGTGGACGACGCTGTTATTACCCATTTGCCAGTCTATTGAGCTATGGACTGACTTCAAGCCAAGCAACGAAAGGCACTCCTTTCTCCTTGGAAATTGACCCCTGTATCTGAAAGCTGCTTACTGCTTAGCACGGCCCCTGGCAGATCAATCAGCTATTTGGACTCTGCAGCTGGCAGAAGGACCAGTTTCCCAGGGCCCAAGATCGGCTCTCGCACTGCTACACTTTTGTGTTGTTCCTTACGCAGGATAAGAACAGACTTGAGATCGAATGTGTTCCTCCATGTTGCGCAAAGATATGGAAACAATTCGTCTTTCCTAGCATTTAAAATCGGTATATTAGGAATATCTGACGTTCTCAACAAAAATTAGTACAATATTTATCCAAAGAGTAAAGTAACTGGCACAAGCACCGGCGGCCGCAGGAGCGGCTCGAGCCTTGCGTCAGTAGTCGTGGTGGTTCTTTGCAACGGATAGCATCAAGTGCATCGTCTCTACTTTTCCTAAGAACTGGCCGCATGGACATCGTTCTTTTGAATCTCCGCCATCGTATAAGTTCCCAGGACTTTATGTGGGTAGGACGTTCGCAGCCATGGTTTTTCAACTGGTTGCTCCGCAGCCACTACGACTCGCGGCGAGACGTTACACAGCAAGACTGGGGACATACTGGAGGCACTTAATCAACGTTGCTGCGTTAGTCATTGGTCAACAGCGCTGAAAGCCGACCTCTTCGGGCAATCACGCTACAATCGGGCCGTCTTTTACTGAACAGCCCCATTATTCAAGTCCAAAATGATTCCTGGAATATCAGGCGGAGGTCAATTCGTGAAGCGAGGGTGATAGGCGCGCAAAGAAACACAACAGAGCGTTTCGACAAATCGTTCGGCTGTCAGCATTGTCTCAAAGGACATGATGATAAGAGTGGAACTACCTAATCGAAAGCATCCTAGTGGCCACAATCTAGACTAGCTGTCAATGAGGGGGTTTAGAATTCGCGCCAGCACGGAGCATCGAGCGTTGCTGACTCTTCAACACAACGAGATACAACATTCTGTCTATCCAGCCCAAGAGACATGGCGCAACCGGCACAGCCGAGCGGGCATGCTCACGAGGACGCATGGGATGTTGACTGGCTCCGTGTTGACTCGATTCACGAATTGTACTATGAGCAGTATGGCAATAAAGACGGCAAGCCAGGTACATGACACCTAGTGCCCCTGTTCATTGTCTTTCGACGCAGAAAAGCTAAAAGCATTTGCCCTTTTTCTTCCGCAATAGCGATCTATCTTCACGGAGGGCCAGGAGGCCACATTTCAAAGGGAAATACAGCATTCTTCGACCCAGGCCAATACCGCGTTGTCTTGTTGGACCAGCGGGGATGTGGACAGTCACGACCCAATGCTGAAATCCGCGAGAACACAACGTGGCATTTGGTGGAAGACATCGAGAAGCTCCGGAAACACCTCCAAATCGAGAAGTGGCACTTGGTGTTCGGCGGATCGTGGGGCTCAACCCTTGCACTTGCCTATGCCCAGACGCACCCTGGGTCTGTCGGTTCACTCGTTCTCAGAGGCATCTTTGCAGTCCGCCAGCTCGAACTCAACTGGACTCTCATCAAGGGCGCCAACATAATGTGGCCCGATGCGTTTGAGGAATTCATCAGCTTCCTCCCCGAAGAAGAGAGGGGAAATCATGTTGAAGCCTACCTAAAGCGATTGTTGTCGGAAGACGACAAAATCAGCCTTCCGGCGGCAAGAGCTTGGAACAAATGGGAACTGTCTATCGGTACTCTCTATCCCAGCAGTGATGCACTGAAGCAGCTGGACGATGAGTCATACCTGCTTGCCCATGCTAGGACAGAGGCTCATTACTTCACAAACAACGCGTGGTTAGAAGAAGGTCAACTTCTAAAGAAAGAGAGCGTCGACAAGATTCGCCATATTCCTAGTGAGTTAACGCTGGGAATCCCTTCAATTCGGTTGTAAAGCCACATTCTAATCTGGTGGCGACAGCGACCTTGGTACAAGGCCGATACGATGTGGTAAGAGAAATCTCGCAATCATCTACCAGTATAAAAATATTATTAGCCATCGACTTAACCCAGACGGGTACAGGCGGTGTCAAAATTGTGATAGACCTCCACAACAAAACACTCTGCGACCTATGCCTTCGCCCTGTGGAATTGCAATTACTAATTTGACACGACTAGGTTTGTCCGCCTATAACGGCTTGGGAACTGCACAAGGTGTTCCCAGAATCCAAGCTTCATTGGATCGATGATGCTGGGCATAGTGCGCTGGTCAGTCATTAATCTTCAACTGGTCGAGGTCAAATCGCTGATTAGATTTAGGAACCCGGAACGAAGCGGAAGCTGATAGAAACATGCGACGAGTACGCTAAGTTATAGTTCTATACCGCTGACTGCCGTCTTGGTCCCCAGAGATTGAATATTTGAACTATCAAGAATGTATTGTCATTCACAGGTATGAGATGTGATACTTGTTGTCGCGCGAGTTAAAAGGTTTCACGGGCAAGAGCACATTCATTTCGCTATGTCCTAGCTCTGCTTTGTATTCTTAACGGAGTCGTATCTTGTTTGCACTTATGGTTCTGTGATTGATTAAAGCCACGCTTGATGAATATCGGAATAGTAAATAGCAATAGAGGTCATATAAGAACATGGTTGTGAGAAAAAAGTTCCGAATAGGATCAAGAGATTTTCTGAGATCTGATGTCATGCAGAAGACGTGCAGAAGAAGGGTGCAAAATACCTACGTAGTCTTTGCTCTGCTAAGTTTGATAGTACGCTCATGAGCTTGGATCACATGTATCAATCTAGAGGTCCAGATGTTGTCGAATCGAACCTTACGGCCAGGCCACATGGACGTTACACGAGCACCTAGGTCACTAGTTTGCAAGCCTTTACTAGCTCCGAAGCGAAATGTTTTAGAGCAAATTACCTCTGCCTGTATATAATGTTATGGAATTACATTTCAGATAGAGTGCCCTTCCCCAAGCTATCCACTGAAAAATATGCATCCAGAGCCAATTAATTTCAATCATCTCTGCTACATCCGCACAAATCCTATCATCTAATGCGAATCATAATCACCGCTACTCAAATCCGTGACATTTGAGACACGCCGACTTCGACATCAACACCTCTACGATCCGAAATAAAACTGCTTCGGCTGCATTCATAAGATTACCAACGGAATCTTCTTGCTGCTGCAGTAGACTCGCAAGTGACGCTTACCTCAGGTCAGAGCCTGCTGCTAGGGAATAACATCTAACAGTTCAGCATCAATTCATTCAGGCGGGGGGAAACATGGAAAGCTTATTCTTCAATACGGGTATCTGAGATTCAGTAGACTAGATACTACTAATGTATCAATAGATGACAATCCGAATCCGGTCTTGTAGCTAGCACGACGTTATCGTCAAAACTGCCATCAAATGGCCAAGTTGGCACAGCTAAACGCAGGTCTTGTATCCCCTGAATAGTCAGCAATTATTGCCTCCACAGCAGCGTAAAGACCAGGGCCAAGCAAAAATAATCCAACGAAAAACACAATAACATGTATCAAAGTTAATAATGACCTTCCCGCCCCAGAGAACAGATTGCCCTTATATAGCTGCCAGTACGCAACGGCAAAATAAATGAAACCAAAGAAGGAGTCAAAAGCAGCACCAAGCAGGGACAGGAAATCACCCATACTGGGAATGATCTCAGCGAAAACAAATCCAATAGCCCAAATACCAACCATGACTGCAATCCAGGCTCCCCAGCCGAGAAGTGTGTTGCTGTGCGCATGCCGCGATTTGCCCATCAGACGGAAGTAGATAAATTTTGCCGTCACGTTGGCGTAAATAACACCAATCACGAGGGTCGGAACAATTACAAACGCAAAAGAAGCTTTTTTGTATGCAACGACACCAAGCGAGCCGAACGCTGGCGCGGTAGCGTACTGCCCGAGGTATCTGAATCCGATGGCCGGAGGAACGATGAAGAGTATGACTGAAATGCCTGTGAGAACAGCAAGGGACTTGGGAAAATCTTCGGGGTGCTCCATCTCCGAAATAAAGGTGGGAAAAAGTATCTGAGGGACCCAGAGGAAGGTGATATTCAGAACCGCATTCATACATGCGACCCAGGTTGTGCCCGCGGGAGGAAATGCGTCTGCTTTTGGTTAGCAACTGGTTTTAAGATTTCAGGTAGTTCTTTCAACCACTCAAGAGAAAAGTAGACAGGATATTGTGCCAGGCAGGAGCTTCTACGTACAAGTTTTGACAGGGCCGGCAGTAGGATAGTCACCATTATAACCGTAGAGAGGAGCAGGCTCAATGCCAGCGAAGATGAGGAAGAGAAGAATTGCAATCCCCATGCAAGCTGCTGAGAACATGGACATAAAAGAGACATGCTTAAGCGTTCGTGGAATAGACATGACGATGCCCATAATTGTGACGATCACTGAAAAGTCGACAGTGCACAGCGAGTGATCAGAAAGGGTATTGATCACCTTGGCGCCAGTGAGGACATGGAAGCCGATGAGAAGGATGTTGTTCGCAAGCAGCATACAGCCACTGAATTCGTATGCAAGTCGGCTTTTCCCAAATACTTGAAACCCGAAGTCACAGATATCCTTGATATGACTATTGTAGAAATTCCCAAGTATTAGCTTCATCTTGGACAGCCCGAACCAAGGTTTGCGTGAGTTCCTTCAGAACCAAGAGGACATCGGCAAAGGGAAATGCGAATGCGTACGGATGCTTCATTATATACTTGTGCATTGTTATGCTGGTAATCCAGAAGAACAAGCCTGCAAGAAACATGGTGAGGAGCCCAGGGACCCATCCCAAGACGCTCAGAGACCATGACTGAGCCATTATAGCTAGGCACACTTGATCTCCAGCAAGAAGCCAGGCGGCCTTTTGCCAAGTCATGGTTCTAAGTTTTATATCGTGCTTGTGGTCTGAGTACTCGTCAGTATATTCGGTGATACAATATATAAAAAAAGCCATTGAGAAATTCACCTTCAGCGACCAAGGCTGTGAAGCTAATCTCATCACTTGAGGCATCAAAGACATTCACATGACCGGTAATGTCTGCCTTGGCTTCCTCATCTTTTTGCGTGGTCGGTGGAGACATGGTGAATCTGGAACTCGAAAATTTTGGGGCTCGATAGCAGCTCCAAAACAGCGGTTGGATTGACCAGGAGATCGGCTGCTTTTCAGCCCCAGTGGGATCAATTCAGACTTCTCGACTTATATGTATTATTTATTGAAGCGCATTCTGAGCTGCTTGTTTCTCGTCCCTCAATGTCTCCTCAACTTTGACATTCCATGGCGCGTTTGCCGGGTAAAATGGCGTTATCAGCCAAAGTTTAACTTTTGTACGTTAGCACCATTTCCGAAGCCGCTTCTCGAATAGCAGCACGCTCTGACGAATTGAGCTTAAGATTTTAGGGCCCAACGCTTGTTCCAAGTAGGAAAGGCTGCTTCAGCCTCAAAGCTTGCCACCGACGCTTGTCGGGCCGAGACCTCAGCTGAGTTTTCTTTGTTAGCTGGTGAAATTTGCTGTGATGTTATTAAAGCACTCGAGATAGCCGCGCGTTTCTTCCGCTTTGCACGGCTTTGCAAGACCCAGCTTCACCATGGTAATGCTCTGCGAAGTTCTGAAATCCAGCCTAGTTTTTCCTAGCTCGTCTTGCCCAAGAAGTGGCTGCAATCACGACTTTTACACTGAGCAGTTCATCTAGAAATCGGTTCGGCGAAGTGACGAGAGGCGCTCATGGTATCAGAAATATGTGTCGTACGTCGTATGTTGAGAGTATGTCGTTTTAAACAATTCCTTGCCACGGACAGGACAATAAAAACATGGCTATGTTCACATAAGACACGGAGGTCTTGAGGGGTTTGAACGATTGAAAAGCTCACGCGAACAACTGTGATGGCAGCTAGGTCGACCGAGCAATATGGAATCGTTTGACCAATCTGCTACCTGTTCTTTGCCTCATAAAAGTCGAGAACATGACTCAGTGCCGCCTCTCTCTCACTGTCACCTTCAAGTCTGCCTGCTTCACAAACCACGCATTGTACGTTTTAAGTTGCGCATTTGGGTCTTCCAGCTTGAAGTCAAACTTGCGCACCAATTGTGGAATCAGCTTGCACATCTCCATCATTGAAATATTCTTACCCAAACATGTTCTCGCTCCGTGTCCAAACTAAAAAAGTGAGACCGTTAGAAATGCTATATGGTAGGCGTCGCAGAACCCGGGGAAGATGTGTAAACAAGGTCCACGCACCGTAAGAAAGTATCGCTCCATCTTGCGTTTTGTCTCCTCGTCGCCAGTGAGCCATCTTTCCGGCCGAAAGTCATCGACACGTTCGCCGAACACTTCGGAATTGCGATGTGCGACCCAGGAATTGATGCCCACGTATGTCTTGGGTTTCATATGTCTAGTCAGCAAAGGCAAACGGCCTAGATTGCGCATTTTCACGATGACAAGGCAGCTGGAGAGGGTCAAGGGGCAGAGAACAGTCAAGCCTCTAGATACTTACCCCTTCAGGGAAGAATTGGCCTGCGAGCTCAACTCCTCCTTTAGGAACCACCCTCTGCAATGGCAAGCCCGCTGCAGGATGTATTCTCAAACTCTCTTTGATGACTGCCTGTAGGTAAGGCATTTTCTGAGTGTCGCTGAAGGTAACACTCTCGGTGATGTCTCCATTCGCAATCATCTCATCGATCTCAGCTCGTAGCTATTCAGTCTCTTTTAGCTTGATGGCCAAACGTACTTAAATATCAGTAGTAGTGGCAGCAATATGATGTTTCGTACCTTGGCGAACGCCTCAGGGTGCTTCAACAAATTCCACATCACGGCAGTAAGGCTGATACTTGTCGTATCGCTACCAGCATTAATATTTGCCGCGGTAGTGTTGTACACTTCAGTGTCTGTGAAGTATTCGGGCTTCTCCTTGTGCAATCGTAGGGCTCGTGCCAGGAAAAAGTTATCACCAATGGGCTTGTCCGCCGCATAATGATTCATTTCTTCCCGAACAAACTTCATAATCTTTATCATTGCTCGAGCCCCTGCGGCCCCATATATGAACAGATACTTGTGCAATTCTGGATAGATGCCAACGCGGGCGGCATACACAAGGAAGAAGTCCAAGGACTGGATCAGGTTCATCTCGTCTTTTCCAGCATCGAGGAAGCCGAAGCGTTTTGCTACCTAATCTCATTTGTTGCATTAGCTTGTAGATGTCACTTGAGGGCTCCTCTGGTATGTAGTAGTAGATAAAACTAATCTTACCGTTATGTTCCCAATAACGTCGAAAGCATAGCATTGCATCCACTGCTGCAGGTCGAGAGCAGCACTAGCCCTACATGAGTGCACCGAACTGTTAAGAACCATTCGTTTGAACGGGAATGTATTCCGGCAATGATCTTCCTTCAATAGTGCTTACCGAGCAAGTTCGCGAAACCTGGTCTCGATTAAGGCTATGCATTCGTCAACCTGTACTTCCATCTTGAGGAGTGACGACATCGTACTATTCGCTATCTTGTCAGCAAACCGGCACTCTCGGAAGCAAGTTCTCGGAAATATTCCGGAACTTGCCCTGTCTCACGCACGACTGATTGAGTATGAGGATGGGAAATGAACGCACTATAGTCCTGCTAGCTTCTTCCTGATTTCAATGTGTTTATCATTTTCGGGCATCTGGAACATATTCCAGTCCTTTTTAAAAGGCAGCCCACTCGCTGTATACCAGGGGCCTTTTGTAAACGTCGTGCCCAGGCCATAGATAGTCTTGATAGCAGCGGGGTCATCGAGTGAGTATTCATTTGGTGCCAGACGCACCACTGGGCCATATTTGCGGTGCAAATCGGCGTTCAACCGTGGGAGCTCTCCAGTCCAGACCTTTTGCAGATACCAAAGTCGACTGAAGCGTGCTGCGAAGGGCCCCGGCACGGATTTCAACGGGGAGATTGCGGCTCGGATCAACGAGTAAATGATCGTTGTTACCGCTAGAGCTGCTATACACCTCAGAATTAGCCCTGAGGTGCTCGTAGCTTCGATGAGTATGCGGAGGTCGTTCATGATTCTGAGCACTGTCGGCCTGCCTGAGATGATGGGTGACGAGCAGGCTCTAGTAGAGAACAAAGCAAAACACGAAAGGTTTGAAGGCTTGGGGGTAAAGGGTCTTTGGAGAAACATCCACTGCCCCTATTGATTGGGTGAAAGCTCAAGCATACAGGCCAAGTTTAATTCTAAATGCACCCTACGGACGACGCGAGGTTTTATAGGCGATGAAGGCGATGTCACCTTTTATGCAGCTGACGGTGCTCGGCACTAAGTCTCGTCCGATGCTGTGCACTCTCGACCTCAAAGACTTGACTACAAGTAGAAACTTGGATATATTGGGGACCTGACGAGCCCCACTCAAGTCTCATCTTGGGCCCGGTTATACGTCTGGATGTACTTATGTGGCTACTCGCACTATGGCTACCGAACACTCACCACGTCGTTCGATAGTGTTCAGTGATTCGTGAGAGGTTTATTTGTTCTGTTCATTTCCACCAGGCTCAAAATTCGGTCTCCCGCGAGACTGTAATTTTTGTTCCGGTGAAATCGGAAATTCCGTGGCTAGAGAGTCTAAGGTCCTTAAGACGTTGATTAAGTGACATTGGGAGTGATTGGCTTCTCAACACACAGGCTTTCCGTCCGCTCTCTCGGGTGCCTCAGGTTTCCCGAGCATGATGCATTTGACTAGCTGCGCAAGTACCAATCAAACCCAGCCAATAACCAAGATGTAGATCACTGCCGGTGAGTCTCCACTGTTCCTGTTTTCGGGGTGGTTCTTAGGCAAGCCAGTACAGTCGCCGTCATTGACGACCTGTGATAATGAAGCATGTTCGGCCGCAGCTGCCTTTTCACATAATCGGTAAATGATTAAACGAAGAAGCGAACATTACTAATTGATTGGGGAATCCTCGAAATCTGCGGTCACAGGGGTTCAGATCCGCGGGTCTGTGTTGGAATGCGGACTGACTGTCTCTCGACCTTGGTGGGTTCTTCCGACGGAAGACCGAGCACCGACGTCAAGAACCCTCCATACGTGGCCAGTCCCCCACAACTCGCACTGAAAATGCCAGTATGATATATTTCAAGTCTGTTCGATTTCAGCTTGGGATTGCATCTTCTATGCAGGGGCACGTCTTCGCAACATTCCCCAAGCTCAAGTGCCGTGCTTTCCCCGCCCTGGTGTCCCACGACTCCTCTTCTTTAGTGCTACATCTGCCATATATCGCAATCTTGTATATTAGCCCATGGCATGAAATTTGACTGACTAAACACGCTATATACAGTCATTCACGATTGCTTCTGTATGTTGTACCTACAAATGACGAAACAGTCGTGCCGTTTGTTTTAGCAACAGTCTCTGGATACGGCCTCTTGATTCTACAAGGCTTGAGTGACTCTCCAGAGATTTACAGATGATATTCTGGAAATGAGGGTTTAACATTGCTCTGTCCAAGTCCGCAGAGCTCAAGGCTTCATTCTAAGATGTGAATTGATGTACATTGCGTGTCAAGTAGCCACTGAGGACTTCCTAGAGCCAGCCAAGATAGAAGCTGAACACTTGGTCCAGGCTGTTGAATAGAGACTAGACAGCTAGCCCCCTCTGCGCATTGCAAGGAGACAGCGTCTTCCGTACTCGCTGCTCCGAAATAACATCATGATAAGGCATGACCACAACCTATACGTAGAACCTGTTTCGCGGCTAATTCCCTGTAATATATTCACTGCCAATTTACATACTGGCCCAGACTTTGTGTTGGACAGGAGGTTTGCCAACAGAGCTTCATGTCCAGCGCGTAGTGTGCATGGCTTTGAGAAAGATTCTCACTGGACTGAACAGATCCCAGGTGGAAAGACTCTCACATCGTGTGGCTGTTTATGTTTGCCACAAATCAGCCCAGTGTTGAGGTATTCAGGTACTTGTCCATGGGCGAATGTACTCCAATGCACCCATCTCTGTGCTCCATCTTTCAACACAGCATTGCAGTGGTCTTCCCTCACAGAGTTTGCTGTCCTCAAAATAGTTATATGGGCGTTGAGAAAATTCGTTCTTGCAAGGAGTTCAATGGCCAATGAAACCTGGGGTAGAGTGACCTCGTGCTCAGGGGGCGCCAAAGAGCGTAGTTGAGGTCAAACAAGCATCGAAGGTAAGGTCGCACTCTGCAAAGCGAGACCGCCAGGTTCCACACGAGCATGTGGGGCCGTGAAGGTTTAGGGCTGCTGAGGCGCTGCAGAGCTACCCCTGGCGCCCGGGCTGGGCGCTAGTGCCAACGTGTAGCGGCATTCCTGGGAACCTCAACTCCATCAGGTCCGCGCTGGAAAGGCATTCAGAATTTCGAACTTCGATTTGTGGATCTCAACTCGGCTAAAATGCCACGCCCGTTTGTGGTAGAAACGCTGTCTCACCTCGGCCGATCCGCTTTCTTCAAGCCTCAAAATGCGCACTCGCAAAGCCAACAAATCCAAACGATTCAGTTTTGCTGACACTTATGGCATCGAGTCGGACGAAGATACGGAGGGCCCGGCTGAGGTCCTGGATGCTGATGAGGACGATGATGTTGACTTTGATGTAACGAAAGATGCCGGTGAAGGACAAGGCGGAAGTGACGAGGACGAGGACGAAGAGGATGTGCATGATGAGGCTGCTGAGGATGAAGAGCCATTGGGCGATGCAGAGGAGCCTGACGCGGTCGATGGCGATGACATTATCCGCGTCAATTCCGAGGACGATGACGGCACAACCAGCAAGCTTCACAGCAGGGTTCCAAGAGGGAGAGGCAGGTGGAAGAAGAACCTCCCCAAGCGTGCGACCGTTCATGGCGTGCCTCCATACCCGACGGACCTGCGGAAAACGAGAGTGTACGACGGGCCCTTGAAGCGATGGACCCGGGGCCACCAGCTTCTCACCATGCTCTACGGACCTGACGTGGCACGCATCACAATCGCAAGAGGTATGCTCAGAAAATGGTTTATGAACCAGGTGCTGCCTAACAAGTCATACACCGGCAGAGGTGGTGTCATGCAGAGTCCCTGGCTGGCCGAGGACTACGAGGTGAAACAGAGACACTGGGCGAGGACATGGTATGAGAAGTGCCGTGCTGCCAAGCAGCTACAGCGCTCACGCAAAATCCGGCCGGATCACGTCGAGATGTTCAAGCCAGCCTCAGATAGCTTGATTTGTTTCTTGGGCCCCTTCAACGACCAAAAACAGGCGCGAGCGAGCTATGGTTTTGGGCATCCTGTCTTGGAATCTGGACAGACGCTCGACGCGATCGATCCAAGCTTACAGCATGCTACGCCTGCTAGGGGTTGGCTATTGGATACAGGCGGCTTACCCCTAGGCATCGGTTGGGCGCCGGTAACGGGATATCAGGAGCAGTATCTGGCAGTATGTACGGTTCCGCACTCAGACCAAGAGCTCAAGCTGTCGCGGTCATCAGAAGAAGACCCAGAAGAGAAGAAGAGGGGCAGTATCCAGATATGGTCGATCCCATGTCACAAAGATGACGGTGGCCACGCCCGCTTGGTGCATCATCTTTGGTTCGACTGGGGTCGACCAAAGCGACTACAGTGGTGTCCCGTCCCTCTGCCTGACAACTCAAAAGTCGGGCTGCTTGCCGTCTTGTGTAGTGATGGCCAAGTTCGCGTCGTGGAGGTGTCAAAACCGGTTTCGGAAGAAATAAATTATGGTGAGTACATATCTTGGTAGAACATTCCAAAAATGTGTCCTTTTTATTCGTTGCTGATGTTGTCTCCAAGAATGGGTCACAAATCCCGTCGCCACCCTTGGCTTCACGGATGAGTACATGGTTCTCGCAACCTCTCTCACCTGGGTCAACATCAACCGCCTCTGCTTGGGCCACACCGACGGTTCAATCAGCCTCTGGTCTATTTATCCTCGGCAGATGCTAATGCGGAAATCTGTCCACATCAGCTATATTCTCGACATCGCCAGCGGCTTTCCTTCATACCCCTACCACATTGCCTCCACACCCGTGGGCGGTTGCCCAACTGTGACCGACCTCAATCTACCCAGCGCCGAGACCACTTATATTCCAATGGTCGGCGCCGTCAATTTCCAGAACAACCTCGTGGACTGGAACGACCATCTACAAGGCTTCTTTGGCATGCACCCAGCCCCAATCCCGCACAACACCATCATCGGCTGGGGACACATCCGCTACTACATGCAGAGCCGCACGCTCATGACGACGCCCAGCCCGCCCATGTGCCTCGCGTCCGGAAAGACCCACCCCTTCACCCTGGTCGGCTGCGCGGACGGCAGCCTGTGGGCCATAAACCCCTTGCGCATCCTGCTCAAGGACCGAGGAGACCCCATCTACAAGCTCAAGGTCCTACAGCACGAGTTCCGTCCGGCGGCCAAGCTCGGCAGCATCCCGCTGCAGCCGGGCGAGGTCCTCCGTGGTGCGGCAAGGATCCTACAGGGTTTCTTACCGGAGATGAACAGCAACCCCCGCGCGGAATACGTGAGGGAGCAGAACAAGAAGAGAAATGAAGCGAACAGGAGGAAGTCCAAGGGTAAGGGGAAGAAGAAAGCCCTAGATGCTGGCGACATGGATACGGACGACGAGGACGATGGGTTAACGAAGGGGGAGGGCAAGGCTCTTTCGAAACTGTTGGACGAGACCAGGGCTGTTGTCCACGACGCAAGGACGAGGGTCGTGGTGGCGGCGTGGAATCCTAATGTTGAGTATGGTTGGTGGGCGGCAGCCGCACTGGGATCGGGGCTGGTGAAGATCATGGACCTTGGGGTCGGAGAATAGCCTACATCATTAGTGGACGTTGACATTGTGACAAAAGCCTTGCCAAAATCGATAGACAATAGTTCTTAGTAGAAATGAGATACCCCGAACGATACAAGGAATCTATTTATGCCTGTCTATACAATGTTCTAACACCTTGCTCCGAACGGTCCATGATGGTAATCAAATGCTTTAGTCATCCCATACAGATGCGTAGCAGCAGCAAGCACGATCAGGATGTGGAAAATCTGGTGTGAAGAGCCCCATATATCAAAGGTCTTTGGCCAACTCCGTTCAGGCCATCTCAGGGCGTAAAGGAAGGCTCCCAAAATGTACAAGACACCCTGCAAGGAAACCCAGGCAAGGCCCATACGCTCGTTCAGCTCTTCGTAACCGTATATCGTCAGGCCGTGGATGATAGGGACCACTCCGGATACACCCAAGGCGACGAACATGAGCGCACGATACGGTCGCCATTCCGGCGTGCGGAAGTGCTCGAACCAGGAGACGGTGAGACATCCCAGGCCCAAGACCCAGATCTGAAATATGTGTCAGTAGTTCCACAAGTGCAATTCTGTAGAACACATGGCGCCCCGAGCAGTAGACTTCAACTTGTGGGGGGCCATGGCAGCAGCGGTAGGAAGGGCACTCACCAGACTGAGATAAAGCTCCATCAGCTTGGGCATGCAGTAGAAGCCATAATACAACGCGGGCATGTAGCTGCCCATAATGAGACACACGATACCCGTGTAGTCGAGCTTGTTCCCCCACTTGGCCACCTCCGGCGAATGATTGCAGATCGCGTGGTAAGTCGCGCTCATCCCAAGGCATAAGAAAGCGCCCATGAAAAAGCAGCCAAAGACGAGCCAATCTTCCCAGGTGGCAGTAGCATACCGTGGCGCAATGATGGCCTCGTAGAATGAGTACGCAATGGCTCCTAGCGTGGAGAAAATGATGGCGCCGAGGAGATGCGTCCAGACATTGACAGTTTCATCTGCACCGTGTTAATAAATCCATAATGGGGCCTAAGTTGGGGTTTTATGATCATACGTACTATGAATAGAGAAAATACTCGCGAAGGATAAGCGGTAGCTGTTGCTTGTGGGTCGGTAGCCGGTATGAATGAAGGCGTTGTCTTTGCGCCAGTCGGGAAGTTCATCCCAAGCCCAAAGAAGAGCGTCTTCTATCTTGCCTTCCACATTCTTGACAGTATCCAGGAGGCCGTTGGAGTCTTGACCATCGTTGGAGCTCGAGGAACCACGACGGCGCCGGCGCACGCTTGCCTCGCCCGTGTTGACTGTCATCTTTGGGTTGGGGGGGGGGGGTGTTATGTTGTATGCTGTTCAACTTGATGCTGGCGAAAATGACTGTGCAATTGCTCTTTCTTTTCTCTTCCTTTTTTTGAGAATCCCAGAGCTTGTACTGCCTCGCCTTACATATTAAATCAGGAGTTTAAGTGGTGTCATGTGGCCTCACTTTTGCCTTTTTTGTTGATTGTTGGGATTTGGTATTTGCACATGCTGGGTTCATTCAATTCAATCCTGCCTCCCGAGGTCAACAAGCTTGGAGGACTGGATCAGGCTGCCGAGGTGGATAGCCCACTGCCGAGACAATTGACACTGTGCATGATCCGCTATAATCATGCCACCAGACCTTTTTCCAGGTGCTGTTGGTGTGCTAGGTACCACTAGCCGCTACAGTATATACACTGTACGGCCGTGTTGGACCCTGAAGATCGCATACCCAGCGGAGCCTCGATACACTTTTTTAATGCGGACCGTCGTGAGGCAGTCCCCTTCATGTGAAGTACTAGTGAGACTGTATTGTCATCATCATGGAGCTTGCCCATGGACATGAGCAGGAGTGGCCTTATTGGAGGTCCTAGCGAGGTCATTCTCAGCGGCGACGGGGTCAGAAAGGCCGGACAACGGGACCCGGCCACAACTCGACCACGGAAGGTTCGCGCAGGTGAGACCCGTTGTTTGTATTGATTGCCCCTCGAACGAGACATATTATAATTTCAAATCTATGGGCGGCGCTCTCGCTGTAGATCCACCACCCAAGGTTGTACTCCGCTATGCTTCTCACGGTCTTGCTTCCCTGTCGTGTGCTCGTTATGAACGTGTCTCGTTGCTGGGTCTCGGAGACCGTATTAACGCCGGGTTTGATGTTGGCTCATTTCTTGCCGCTCTTTTTTATTCCTTGACCTCCAGTGTTAAGAGGTCCCTTTCCACCAGCCTTCGCGGCCAATTCCTTGCGCGCCTTCTCGTCTACATCCACGGCGTCAGCAGTCATGATCCTTCATGGGAGCAGAGAGTCAGTGCTGGCGGGCAAGACGTACCAGCCTTCTTCTTCTCGAGAAAAGCCAAGTCGTCTTCGTCGAGGTCCTTGGCTGCCTTCTTAGCAGCCTTGAGGGGCTTGGCCTTTCCGCCTGTTTTCCGGGAGTCAGAAGACATTACAATTTATCTGGCTAGGATGCAAAGGGTGGTGATCCGAGTATGCGAACCTTGTCTGTCAGCGCCACCCATCTTGCTTGACTGGATGTGAAAGTTGTCGAAGAGGATTAGACTATGCTGGCAAACGGATGCGGGTAGCCCTTAAATGTGTTGTGGCGAAGGTGATCAACGGGTGTTGGTGAGGGAGAGAAAAGTAAGCGGCGAGGGCCCTCTTCTTTGAGTTATAGGCTACCCACGCGGGTGGCAGCGGTGCCCAAGTGGATTCTGGATTCTGGGCAACCCCGGTCGCACTAATTCGTCACTTATCGATAAGACCGCGGATCCGACTGACTCAGCCAGACAACGTCCTTGCCTGGCTTGGATTCGGTCGTCGATGGCCAAATTGAACGGATGATGATGTCTGCCATCCACAACCACCTCTTTTCCTGACTCAACATTGTTCGTCACCGACAACTGCGCAACAGCTACTCTTCCTGCTTCAACCAGCAGCGATCGCTCCGGACCATGTCCTGAGTCCACGAAGAGTTGACAGGATTGATCCGGTTGGCCTCTATTTCCTGTTTGCTGCTAAGAGATTACATCAAATTTGACTGACACGTGCGTTTGTCTCACGACAAAGCTAGAGGATCATCCTCGTCTCTTCAGCAACATCTCAGAGCATCTGACATCCGGTCGGACCCCATTCGTCACCATGTCTAGCTCCGACGAAGGCGAGATCAGGGAAAACGGAGTTGAGGTTTCCAAGGCAACTCCACTGCCTCAGACTAAGAGAAACGGTGTTGACCGTCAGGACAGAAGCCAAATCAGTAACACCCGCTCTCCCGATCAAGGCGACTATCGTTCTCGACAGCCCCGTTCGCCCCGTGGCTACAAGAGATCCCGCGACGATGACCGCGATACGTACCACAAAGGGGGCAGAGGCGGTTCCGATCCACGACATTTCAGGGTCCACTACGAGGACGGCCCGCCACCCCGTAGCCGACACGCGTACGAGGATTTAGACCGTCCGGCGTCTCGGGGACGTTATGAGACTATGGATCGTCCATCCGGTCACCGCCAATATGACTCAAGAGATCGTCCTTCCGGCGCCTCTCGATACGACAACCGCGATCGCGACTATGGGCGGGCTGACAAGCGACCCCGGACCCGGAGCCCATCCCCTTACAGGCACAATCGAGGCGATGGAAGGGACAGGCATCAGCGGGGCAAATGGGATGTTGACAGCCCTGGCCGGAATCGCCCAGGCGAGCAGATTGAAAATACCAGGAACGGTGCACAAACTGCTAAGCAAGTACGGGATGACACCGCATCTAAGCGGTCCCCTGAGGCTGGAGCCAAATCTCTTTCTAAAGAAGATGCTAAATTTGATCAAGGTGCTACGGATGAGCGCATGGCTGAGGGTACATCGCATCTGCACATAAAGTACGGCACCACTCTCCACCAATTTGTGGGGCAGCAGCTAACATTGAGCAGTGACTCTCAGGGTGCTGCCAAGGAGTCGAGGCCAGAGCCAGACCAAGATTGGGATGCACCAACCCCTCTCGACGAAGAAGCCGAAATTGAGCGGCGAAGACGTCGCCGGGAAGCGCTCCTTAGAAAGTCTCGCGCCTCGACCCCTTTGCTTGTCCAGGCTGTCCAGGCTAACAAACATGACCACACTGTCGAGACACCTTCCGAAGCGGCCACGCCGCAGAAGACGCCTAGGACCCCTGCTTCCGGTAAGCCAGACTTGACGACCACATTGTTGCAACTCGCTAACAGGGTAGGTGCGGCTTCGCCTGCCGGACGCACCCAGGGAAGCCTGTCCCCAGAGGCTCTTGCTGTCGCAAATGACCGGGAGCTCATCAACACCCATGGAGACGTCAAGGCTACCGATGAAGATGGGCCCTCGGCCGCAGACTACGATCCAACTATCGATATGTGGGAGGACGAGCGCCGGGATGAGATGCGCAATGGCACCATCGGTCTGCACGGCGAGGGTCACCGCGAGTCCGTGGATGCACCAGGCAAAGATGAGCCGATGCAGACAACTGAAGCTGAGAATGCAGATGACGAAGACTTTGACATGTTCGCAGAAGACTTCGACGAGGAGAAGCTCGCTGCGCCAAAGTCAGCGCCCAAGGCTAAGGCTCCTACTGAAGATCCGACCGCTTTGCAAGCGGGCAAGGGCGGAGGCATCTTAGAGGATGACGACAAAGATGGTTATTACAAGATACGGCCGAGCGAGATCTTGAACGGTCGCTATCAAATCCAGTCAAGCCTTGGGAAGGGTATGTTCTCGGGTGTCGCCAGGGCCGTTGACATTACAACCAAGAAGCTGGTTGCGATCAAGATTATGAGGAACAATGATGCATTGAAGAAGGGTGGCTTCACCGAAATCGCCATCCTTCAGAAACTCAACTCGGCTGATCCGGAGAACAAGAAGCACATCGTCAAGTTTGAGCGCTCATTCGAGCACAAGGGCCATCTCTGCATGGCGTTTGAGAATCTCAGCTTGAATTTGAGAGAGGTGCTGAAGAAGTTCGGCAACAACGTTGGCATCAATCTCCATGCGACGAAGGCATATGCCTATCAGATCTTCTTGGCACTGGCGCACATGCGAAAATGCAGCATCATCCACGCGGATTTGAAGCCTGACAATATTCTGGTAAGCCTGCTGTCTGTCTGCAAATGCCAGAATAATGTACTTACGAAGTCATAGGTCAACGAGCAGCGGAATGTCCTCAAAATCTGCGACCTGGGTACGGCCATCGATCGAACTGATGCGGCGACAGCACACAACGAGATCACGCCGTACCTCGTTAGTAGATTTTACCGGGCTCCCGAGATTATTCTTGGAATGCCAAATGACTACGCCATCGACATGTGGTCCATTGGCTGCACACTGTACGAACTCTACACTGGCAAGATTCTATTTACAGGTGACAGCAACAACCAGATGCTCCGGGCCATCATCGAGATCAGGGGCAAATTCAGCGCCAAGCTCTATCGCCGGGGTCAGCTCTGGCAAATGCACTTCGACGACATAGGTAACTTTGTCAGTCAGGAGAGGGATAAGGTCTTGGGAAAGGTATGCCTCAACTTCCCTTTCTTGTTGCGTCAAGTTTGGTTCACCCCCCCCCCCCCCCGGTCACTTTCATTGGCATAGCATGAAATGCGGTCATGCAGATTGCTTGGTCGTGGAGTCACTGTGTACTCGGGAGCAGCTGCCAGCCTGCTGTCGTTGTGGTATGAGTCGTGTTAAGCGCTGCTGCGGCGCGATTCCACGCACGCCAGCGACCCACCCATAGGCTGAGCAAACCTTCAAAGGTTATTCATGCAGGGTTGTCACGCTTTCCCTTCCTCATTCCGCAAGTGCGGGCGGCCAGAAGGCAGGCCAGCGTTGCGACCTGCGGTCCGACGTTGTCAGGGGGCACAGATACCCTCTTGGCCAGCAAAAGTTTGCGTAGCCGCTGAGCCACCAAATCGACGCACCCCCCGGCTGTCCCGGTGATGACTGCTTCCGCTTCCCGCCATAATGACTAGCCATCCTTCGCGGCAGCGACCCGCTCGAGGCCCTCCGAGCTTATGCATGTGACTTGCATCCTTCATGCCATCCACATTCATCCTTCAAGATCCTGTATCGCTTGGCAAGATGCAGTCTGAGTTGAGAGCTAACTAACCTATGTGTTCGACTACCAACAGACCAATATCAGAATCTTGCCTGTGGTGAAGCCCACACGGGACCTCCGCACGCGCCTCCTGGCCGCATCGAGCGGCATGGACGAGTCAGAGGCCAAACACCTCAATCAATTCCACGATCTGCTGGACCGTTGCCTCGCTCTCAACCCTGACAAAAGGATCACTCCCGCGGAGGCGCTGAAGCACCCCTTCTTCCATGAGAAAATTGCGGCAACGACATCGCGACGATGAATTGGTTTGGGTCCAGGCGTTGCTTAGACAAGGTTGAGAAAGGTCGTATGGGTGTATAGTAAATAGATAAACAGGGGTTGATAACATCACTCGCGTTGGGCCCCTTTCCTGCTAGATTTACGCATGTTGCTATCTGGTTTCCTCTGAAGTAGTGAGATAGAATCTTACATAGGTCAAGAACACGGAATAGGCCTGGAGTCACACATGGTCAGCAGTTCTTGCCTTCTGCAGAGCTCTGATATTGGCCCACCCCGCCTCGCGGCAACCTTGTAATTTAAACATATGGCAGTGACATTACGCCCGATGAGTCGTCTTGATCAGGGTTGGATTGTCATAGTCCCGTGCCACCTTGTGCCTGTGCCGGCCTGGGGCCTCGGGGTCCTTGCCACCACCTCGAACCCGGAGTCTCATGGTTTTCATCAGCGTCAACCTTGGCATCAATGTCTCCAAACCTTGACGGATGGAGTCGCCGAAGGTGAGTATGTCTGCTGCAATCATCCTCGGCGCTCAAATGTGGGATTTCACTCACACTTTTGGTACCTACACACCTACCTTGCTTTGTAACAAGGCGCCATGCGATGAATGAATTTTCCACTGCATTGGCACACTCGCTCGATATCAACGCCTGCCATCGGCTATGGTCTCGTTGCAAAATCTGGAGCGAGGCTAGGGAACTTAGCAGCTCGTCGCCAGTGGGGCGGTCCAAGACGTTCATGGTCCAAGTCAGAGATACGTATACGTGCCATCTACTGGGATTCAGTGGTGGCCAAGGAGGTTCAAGCGCATGCATGCGGTATTCTCGTCAGCGGCATGCTGGGCACGCACACATGCAAATGCTGTGAGACTTGATGCTGCCGTTCGTCAAGCAGGCGCCCGAGACACAACGAGGCTGACTGGGTTGTGTAACGCTCGGGCGGGAAACCCTCTGGGGAAAGGTATTCCATCCGGCTAAATATCATCGGCGACCGCGAGACCTCAGGAGCAGGGAGGAAAGTCCTCTGCATCCGTGGGTTGTTGGGATGCCCCCAAACCTATTACGGACGCTGTTGGCCTCCATTCACACTTTCCAGACCCCATCATGTAACCTGCTTCGATGTAGGGCAAATGCCTCGTCAGCTCCAAAAAGCGCCCACGCTGCAGGTCCAACCAGTCACGAGACAGGTCGATGCGGGTGTCTCGAAGGTCCATCCATATTAAGGCACAGCTGATAATCTGATGATCCCCGCGACCGAGCGGGCAACACAAAGACGCAAACTTGGTGAACACTCACTCCACCGCTGTCCGCCAGAGGCGCGTGCCCTGTAGACGAGAAGGGCAAAGACAAACAGGACAGGTGGGAGCACACCTCGGTGCAAGGCGACAGGTCAGCTTTTCGGGTGGCTGGATCGTCGTAGGCTCCGTGCTACAGGGTGTGCATCTTTCTCCATCGCAGTCTTTCTCATCAGATGAGGCGAAGATCCTACCTCGGGACTTCTCGTCCCACCTGACAGCAGAAGTCGATCCACCAACGTGAGATCTGCTCATCCTGTGTGCAGCATCTATCTCAAAATTCCATCTGTAAGTGGCCTTGGGAGGGTCGCACCAGTCATCCTGCAGCGCCCTATCGACAATATTCACCCCACCAGCATGAGTGAGTCGCAAAAGCACAGGTGACGAGCTGAACGAAAGCGGATGCATCCTGACCGGCACTTGTCCAACGGCGTGCTTGCCCGCGTCAATAGCCATCGTGCATGTGTAACCGGTGGCTGTCTTTCTGTTCTTTCTGTGTCCCCAGCCAGTTGAAAAGGAGGGTTCGTGCTCAGTGGCACTTTTCTCGGAAGGCCGCATGATGGGCCCCATGTAGCCACCCAGCGCGGCGCTCGTGGCCACCAACGATCTCAAGTGATCTCAGCAACGCGCCGGGCGTCTTTTGAGACTTGTCAGACGTGCGCCCGACAACTGCAGACGAGGCTGGCCATCGGTGTGAGCTGCTACGCTTGTGATTGGACAGGGAATATTGGAGGGATGTGGAAGGCTGGCCTTGATGTCTTGGCACTGAAGGATCCTGTTGGTGAATAACCGTCCCTACATCAGCACGAAATGCATTAGGTGAGTCTGCGCCGCACGCAGAGACTCATCCTTTGAAGGATGGAAGAAGCTTCTGATAGGCCTGTAGCCCAGCGACAGACCAGTTCGGTCACTTGATCTGAGCCAACTGCTGTTCCGCTTTTCCACTGGCGGATCCCTATTTCTGAGCAGCCAGGGACGGTTGCTTGCAGACCAATTATTAAGCTAAGATGTCATTCACGACGATGAATGACGGGATACCCCCACAGTGGCCGGAAGAACTCTGTGAGAAGACGCTAGGAATGCCTTCACCGTGGCCATCTCCATGACCCAGGGTCAGCTCATTCGGGTATCTCTTGGCGAGCGCATGGTAGGATCGTGACAAAATGTGGGTGCGCTTCGTAGGCCACATTTGGACGAGATAGCATTTGCCATCGAGATCCGAATTGGCAATTGATGCTGTCTTGCCGTGCAAACCTGGAGCTGTGCGGATCGTTTTTACACTACCCAGAGGCCGTTCATGCAAGCCGTGCGTCTGCTAGCTTCCCCGACAGCGTGGATGCTCAGTTGGCGCGGTGCTAAGCAGGTTGACTGCAACGGTGGTCTAACAAGGGCCAATTCTAGAAGAAGGGGGGACGTTGACTCCTTTGGTGGGCCAGAAACGAAACACTATTTTTGATGGGGTTCAAGCGGGTGGGTGTGGCCATCGAGATTGATGTAGATGAAGTGACGACAGTAGGGTGTGAGCGACCAATCTATCATCCTCTCGCTGGGATCACCACCACTATCACCACAGTGTCCGATTTGCTGACAATGAGTGAGACCTCCATGCCCCCAAATTGCAGGAGGGATGATCCTCTAGGGACGCCCACGATGATGATGATGGCGATGGTGATGGTGTTACCAGGTACTACAGGCAAGTAAGGAAACGAGCGGCCTTCACCTCGCCGACCGTATCGGCGGAGGGCAAATCCTACAGGCGTCGTCGAGTAAGGCCCCAGAGGCCCGACCTGCAGGACCCTGACATCACCCAAGGCATTGCCTCACGTATATGAGCCCCAACCCACGGCAGGGTGGGCCCGTCAAGAGGCTTGTCCAGGGGTCACGTCAACTGAAAGAGGACAAGTTGCGCACGGTGGCCTCCTGGATCCGTTCGCCAGATTCGACAAGATGAGACCCCGGCGAAGGGTAGATCTCTGGGATGAAGTCTACCATCGTCCCATGCCGTGATTGTCATGATTGTCAGACGTCGCTGTTGCTCCTGAGACGCCGACTCGCCGTGGGAGCCGATATTTGTGGGCATCCTACAGCACCAGGGTTTGCGGAGCCTTTTCCTCTGATGTTTATGCATTGCTGCTCACCGCTTTCGTCTGAAATGATTCGAGGAAAGGCTGGAGATCGCCAGCATACAAGACGTAAGCGGCGCGCATGAATTGAGGGGAGCCTGTCGTCACCAAGGGTTTGTTTCAAGGTCAGGTGTGTGGCCCTCAGTACGACGGAACGAAACGCCCGAAGGACACCACCTCCGAACTAGAATATGCCTTTCTAGAAACTCATCCCGAACATCTGGACATCCCGGATAGATTGCCTGTTGAGCGACCGATGTGAAGCCTTGAAACGGGCCAATAACGAGGACCATCGGCCGCAGCACGGCTCATTAGAGACTCGAAGAATTGGTGTTTCGGCGTTTGTTGCAAATGTGGATTTACTTCGACGATGTGGCGAGAGAGAGAAGCTCCCGGCGCCTTGGTAGTATGTGGTGTGCAGTGAGGTTGAACAGCGTGAGGCTGCGAATTCATTAGCTGCCAGCATAGGCCGAGCTGAGCCAACACGTCCACGGGTCTCCGATGCCACACCATGAGCTCCGACAGGACGGGTTGGCGTTTAGGAAACGGGTCGGCATGACGCAGCTGTCCTGAGCTCGGGCTCGCCAAGGCGGGCACCATTGTAAAAAGCGGCTCTCCAGACCGGTAGGCCGTACGAAGGGGAGGATGAAAGCACTTGCGGATGGCTAGTGTCCAGCCAGACAGCCAAAATAATCTGGGTTGCGAGACACCTTGTCGCAGTTTGACACGGCATGCACGGGTGGCCCTTCGGGTGAGCCTTAGCCCTCGACGGCAAGTTCAGATGAAGCACCAGACCACGATTACGAGCCTCATCCCATCGACCCTGGCCCGGTCGGTGGCTGATGATCGCTTGATGATCTGTGGGTTATGGAACCGGTCCAGCGTCGCGAAACCGTGATCCCCGGCTTCCTGACGGCCAAGGAATCGAAGTGAAGATCAGACTCTCCCCAGTCTACAATATGCTCCTCTATGTGCAGCCCAGGCCAGGCTGTCGTCTTGCAGTCTTGTTGGCTGTCCCGTGTCAAGGGTGGACTTGTCTGTGGAGAAGCGAGCCAGGACTGCCATGCCCGTCCGAACAGATCCATATTTCGAGCTTGGTATTGCCTATCCTCAAGTTGCGAGATCCGGGTCCGACAGGGCTCGCGTTGCTGGACAGGCGACAGGACTGGTCATGGCAAGGATTCGGATGAAGCTCAAAAGATCTTCGGTCTGCATGAGATGCCAATGCCGTGATTGTACACAGTAAGCCTTGGAGGGATCTGGGAGCACGTCTCACCATGAGGCACCGTGAGGCGTGCCGCAGTGGCGACGACGAGAGATACTCCGGCAGCGGTTGCAACCGCTGCTGAAAATAGCACAACAGCATCACCCTGCAGAGTCTGGTGGGATGTGTGCTGTTTGTTATTGGTGATAGTTCCGGGCAGTCCTGGCAGTCTGCATGCGGGGGCCGGGCATGGACGGGTTGGATGGTCGGATGGTTCATACGACGCCTACCGTATCACTCGCTTGCCACATGTTTTGCAAGTTGCACAGGCGTCAAGATATTGGACGACCGACCTCGAGAGAAGGCTTCTTTCTGCATTGCAGACACGGCCTTGTCACCTTGGCCTGCACAGCCGCTGAATGGAGATGATGCTTGGACCTAGACGAGACGTGGTGGTTGTCCACATGTAGACGTGCAGAAGCGCTCACCAACATTGGTGGTTGACGGAGCCGGAAGCTACGGGCTATTGGTCCATGTCCCATGTCGTGGTTTCAGGTTGGCAGTTGACTCAACGAAATACTTTACATAGTACAGCACATTGTGTGGTTGATTGTATACGCAAGCGCAGGATGGACCCAGTCAGCCAGCTCAAGTGGCCTAGCAGCTGGCAGCTGGGTGTAGTCTGCTGCAGAGCTGCAGGGGTTGCAAGATTGGATCTGTCCTCCACATTATGAACGAGTGGCACGTTGGGTTCTAGAACAGCTGTTAGCTACACTCCCTCGAGACTCCGTTGGCGCCTCGGTGGAGATGCAGATGGTAGTCAGCGGCACCTACACGAATATCTCAGGGCAGGTCTTTCATCATCACGGAAAATGACAAACAAGCTGGGCCCCGGTTTGCGCAGGGGATCGTCTGAATCGATGGCTTCTAATTGCAGATCGGGATATTACACTGTTACAGTACACACACTAGTTGGTATACATGGTATGGTAGACTGGTAGGGAGGGTATGTATACTCGAACGTGGGAGTGGGCCCAGGGACGAAAGATGGCATTTCCCAGGAGGGCATCGCGGCCGAAATTGCTGTGCTAATATTGTTCCTTTGCATTTGTTGCCCGTTCTTGGAGAACAGTACAGTACGTACAATAGAACGGGAAAATGTTGGAAAGAGGTGGCCTCCCGCTCTGCTGATGACTAAGAAGCCAGTGGCTAGCCATCAGGCTATTATGCACTAACATGCTTGCGTCTACTCTGAACTGCTGTCACGTTAGTGCAGCTGCTCGTGCTCGCACAATCTTGTGCCGTGGGTGTGGTGTGTGTGTGCATGTATGTGGGCAAGCTAGAAGGCTGGACGTCTGGATGTCTGGTGCCCCATCACCATCACCATCGCCATCACCCGTCGCCATCATCATTGATGAGCAGCATCGGAGCTACATCGCCCATCATCGCAGACTTCGTTCCTTCCCGCCTGCGCAAGACTGACTCAACATACTGTGGCCAGTAGCCTTGGACTCAAACTTGTCCAAACCTTCGTCAGGAAACATTCCGGGCCAAGCATGAAGCCGGTCCTGCGACGCCTGCCAATGCATGCGACCCTCCCACAGATTGCAGATGCAACGCTGACTGGGTCCACCACCCCGCCGCCGCCTCCGCCGCCGCCCTGTTCCTGCCAGTGACGACGAGTAGGTTTGAACAGGGGGGAGGGGGGGCCAGGAGGGGACGGGCCATACAGGCAGGACAGGGCGGACAGGGCGACAGGGAACGGCAGGAGTGATACTGGCACACAATCAGAAAGAGTCGAAATGCTGACAGACTGAGAAGCGACGCAGACTAGTAGGCGCACATCCAGTAGGGTCGGGGCCTGCTGGCCACGCAGTCGACCTGCAGCCTCTACTGCGGCGCCAACAAATCCGAACCATCCATCTCGTCCATCCTTCGTTCTATTGACTCACGGCCCTGCTGGTCCTGACCAAATCGATCGAATGGCACGCCGCCACCAGTCCCACTCACACCCTGTCCCATTCCGTGATCGACACGAGGCGGCCAAACCGCCCAGACAGCCAGACTGGAGACTGGAGGCTGGTACTGTCCCATGTACTGTCCTGGCTGCGGTGGATTGGCTGCCGCCCGTCTGCGTGGGTGTGGGCAGGACCCACTCAAAGTCAATAACCCGCCAGGCCTGTCAAATTAAGATGCGCATGATTGATTTGGCACGAGAGCCTGGTGCCACCCTCACTCGAAACTCTTTGCAAGGGGGGAGGGGTGGGGAAGAAGAGAGGCGACGCAGTCCTGCGCAGATGGCAAGGACGGGACCAGACAGGGAGGGGGGCCCTCCACACACAGCAGACACAGCGGGACAACCTGGGCAGCCTCATTTCTTCTTGTCGCCCCTCGGCAAGCTGCGGCCCTAGCAAATCCCTGGCAATCCTGTGCCATCACGAGGCTTCCCTCACGAACATGGCTGCATGACAATGCGCCATCAATAACTGACCCATCCTTTGATTCGCCTCGTTCCAGCCAATCGTGGCTCGGCTGCCCGGACGGCCTATCGTGTCTTTTTCATCTCCCAAGGACGCTAATGGTACCACACACCTCTGTGGCACACAGGCACACCGTTGAGAGCTAAGGCGCACAGGGCAGCTTTGCCACAGACAACATGCAGTCGCGCCTTCAACGTGCGCCCGCCAGCAGCATCCCAGCGGCCTCTGTGATAGTATGATCGCGATTGCGACTTGCTATTGCTATTCCGAGACGCTACGAGGACCGACTTGTTTGTCGAGCCGCGCCTTTGTTGTTGTTTTTCCGCATACTTACTGGTCTCAACTCAATGACCAGTCTGTGCTCCGTAGCGGCCAAGTTGCCGCGTTCTACATGCCTCACAATTGGGCACTCAGCTGCCACACAACTAACAACCTTACGTTTGTCGCATTGGCATGCCATTTTGATATGCGCATCGGCGTCTGACATTGCAGAAACATCGGCTTCCCGCTGGTTGTCTCAGTGGCTCTGGGAAACATCAGTCTCAGACCCTCTATCTCGCACATCACTTTTGCCCTACAGATACCGCGTCATCTTGTCTTCAAGCGCAGACTCCACAGGGGCATGGGCAGGAGAATGCCCACGGACAGCACTGAGCGGCCAATCAAAGTGACGGAGGACATCCTGGGCAATTCTCATCTGAACTCTAGCAAAACCAATAGCACGACAGCCACAGAGACTGGACCACACAGATAGTACGATGTCACTGCCAGCGAGCAGGCATTGCTTCTAGTCTCAAAGCACGAGATGACTTTTGCACCAGCCCAGCAGACGGCAAGTATCGCGTCGCCTCTCGTTTGCCGCGCGTATCCCAAAGAAACCAAGCGGCTGGAATTGGTTCAGTCCGATGAACAAACACTCGTCATCTTCACACGAGTGTTACTCACCGTCCGCTTTCTAAAAATGAAAGACCCAAACCATGCCGCACGGCCGCTGAAATGCCTCGTCACCTCCAGGCTGACGGGCGTAAATCGCATCAACGCATGCGACAATCTGTGGCCATAGTCTAGGCGATGGGTGATGAAGCCAGCCAAGAACCACCGCTAATTCTGACGGGCTCCCGTGCATCTAAGGTGCGTCTAAGGGGTAGCCCACCATGGGTGCGCATCGTGCTCCACCCCTGGGCGTGTGGCGTGCCAACATTTTACCTAGTGTAACGCTGTTCACCTCACCACCATTCCGTGCCCCACACCAGAATAGAAGCCAAGGCGGTCGATCCCCTGCCCGGTCTGGACCAGGTTGTGCCCTGCTACCGTCACTTGGGTTCTGGCATTGGTACTGTGCTCACAAGGGTGCACCAGGTTCATTTCGAGACGAGCTGGGGCATGAAAGTAGGCTCAGACTGATATCTACCGCCTCAGCCCTCTTCGTACAGCTGCATGCCACACCCTCTCTGCACCACCTCCAAGCTCTTCAACATTCTTCATCACGCCTCACCTTCGAACCACTCTCGCTCCTCCATCAACGACCCTAGGATTGGATATTCGCCGCTTTCCGTGCACTTTGGAAGAATCAAACCTTGCGACCTATTCATTCCGTACGGAGTGTTGCCGTTCTTGGGAGTCGTTCGTCTTCGTCTCGTTCCAGTAACCACCACAGGGACGGCCCAGGACCTCCATCAAGAACCGACATTAGGATCAGGACACAAGCGTCTTCCGCCGTCTAAATTTTGGATTTTTGGACCTCAGTTGGATTGATGCCGTCTGTGTCGACTTGATTTTCTTTCTTGCTCTCTAGGTCTTGCTGGACCGCCCCATTCGCAAGCCAGAAGGGAACATTTCCAGGACTTCGGACCCCACCCCACACTTTACCATGTGTCATGTCGCAGCGCCAGCTTACAACCACCTTCCTTCTCCTCCTTTGAGTCCACTTGGGTTTGGCCAGAACTACACGATCCCCACGTCCGGTATTCCAGGTCCCTTCCGTGTCCCCCCGTCCCCTCCTCCGTCGCCGCCTCCAGCCTTGCCTAGATATGTCCCAGTCTCCCCTGAGGATAGGTTAGGAAGTTGCCTGGCGGGCTCGCTAAGGCTGGACGGGATCCTGGGCACAGGTGCCTATGGAGTCGTCTACTCGGCCGTCGACATTTACACCAATGTCCGCTATGCCGTGAAGACACTCAGCAAGTTCAATGCCGATGGGACACCCTTGGATCAACGACAAATGGCTTTCCAGACCAGGGAAATCCGTTTGCACTGGGACGCTTCCGCCCATCGGAATGTCGTGTCCATGTTGAAGATCATCGACGGTCCCGACTGCATCTTTGTCATTTTGGAGTACTGCCCTGAAGGTGATCTCTTCTACAATATTACAGAATGCGGGCAGTATGTTGGTAAGGATGACTTGGCCAAGCGGATTTTCCTTCAGATCCTGGATGCTGTAGAGTTCTGCCACAGCCGTGGAATTTACCATCGGGACCTGAAGCCGGAGAACGTCCTCGTCAAAGACCAAGGAGAGACCGTGAAACTAGCAGACTTCGGCCTGGCCACTTCTTCTGAACGTTCCGACGACTATGGTTGTGGTTCGACTTTCTATATGTCACCAGGTAAGCTTGTCGCAGGACGAAATGATCCGCCGATGTCCCCGGTTCAGCAACTAACCATACCATTTTCCTATTTCTTAGAATGCTTGGACCATTCATCCAGGAGGCCCTTCTACTATTGCGCCCCAAATGATGTCTGGAGCCTAGGAGTCATACTGGTGAACCTCACCTGTGGACGGAACCCATGGAAGCAAGCCTCTGTTGAGGATTCCACGTACCGGGCCTTCACCCGGAGCGCCGGATTTCTCAAGACCATACTGCCGGTGTCAGATGAACTGAACGACATCCTTGGAAGTATTTTCACTCGCGACCCAGAGCAAAGGATCACGCTGCCCGCGTTGAAGCAAAGGATTCTGGCCTGTTCGAGGTTTACGCACACTGAGCAGCCAGCTCTGCCAACACCGCCATGCTCTCCACACGCTCACGAGGAATGCATCACCGAAGCTCTGGACTTCGACTACCCTCCCTCCCCCGCCATTTCTAGTGATGAATACTCCGATGGGGATTCATCTGATGATGACTCCATGGACGACGCAACTTCAGATGATGACTCCGTGGATGGACTCGACAATGAGGATCGACCTGACTGTTTAGTGGACCCAGATATCCCGGTGCCCACTCAATCGCTGGCCAGTTTCCCGCCTGCCGAACCAAGGATGATGAATTGTGGTCCACAGTACAACGTCTACTCCGGACTCATGCCCGAACCCTCCCAGCCAGCACAGCAGCCACTGCCACCAGCCTCTCAAGGAAGTTGCGCCCCCAAGTTTGGATTTCCACAGTTTTGGGACATTTTCAGGCAGTACGCCCCTCCGCCGCCTCAAATACATCATTCCCTGCACTTCTATCCCCAGGTTTCTTTTCCTGTACCAGGCTTTTAAATACCACTTTACTTGGCCCGATCAAGCCATGGCTCCTGAACCTGGATATCGCCACTTGAATGAGGCATTGCAACCAAAACGATATGCGCCGCTTCCATAGGATCCCACTTTCACCGGCTCCTAGCCCTACTTTTCCACAGCGTTCTTGGGATTTTCACAAATGGCAAAACCAATGGATTAAAGGCGCCTCTCCAATGTTGAAAAAAAGGGTTCGACCCCGAGGAACACAGTATCAGGGTCGTTACCAACGTTCGCAAAAGCCGGGCTTCTTTTTTCTTTTTCTACAGCTTACTCTGTACATGACGTTTAATTATGGACTGAGGGGGGCTTGTCCCCATTTCTTTTTATTCTTTCATATGTTTTCAGCAAGGAGTTTGGGGCAGGTTTTCGGGGGCGTCATTCCAAGTTTGCAACTTCGGTCTCGACCGTGGTCGAGGATGTTGAGCGCAATAGCTGAGAAACCCTGAGCACGCTTCTTCCGTGGAGTGGATTTACGGCGCCTTTTCGGATCTCTCCGGGTCTATTCAGCATGGTCATAGATTGGGCTCGGGACGGCTTGCAGTCCAGATTCCGCGTTCGCTTCTTTGTCACCAACAACTGGGAAGGCTGTTTGAGTATTGGCATCAGAGGAAAATGGGAAAGATGTTATGAGAAACGGGACATTATGAGTCTAGAAATTCCGGGGTCATGATCCCAGTTTTGTCAACCGCTCACGCGGTTCAGTGGATATACGTTTCACTTGCTCTCGAGGACTATCATCGCGTTGCAATGAGTTTCCTCTCGAGGCAAGAGGCACAAGCTAGAGCAGCTGTGCCCAATGTTCAATACAAATACAACGTTTTGGACCAATCCTCTCGGTATTCTTTGTTGATTGTTGCGCAATGTCTTGATTTGACAAAGCAGCTCCAACCGGGGGTATATGACAACATGGCCGCAGAACCACTTGGGCAGTCGTGGTTGAGCCTCACAGATGAGCTGAGAGTTCAGCAGCATTTGCTTCGCCCAAATCGTGCTCGGCTGGAAGCAACGAGATGTCCCAAAGACATGCTCCTTTGTTCTTGCGCACCAAAAGGCCCCGTCGTATTATCATACTTAGGACGAAGCGACGACGTCGTCTGTGACCCGACTTGTCGATCTGCCGGCCCTAGAATAATTAAGTACCAATGGGCTGGTCTATGTTATTTGTCGAGGCTGGATGCCTGTCACACCTGACGCCTGCTCCAACGAACCGGACGTCGAAGGGGCGTCGAGACTAGCGTCGAGTAGACTACCATGGCCATGTCGTGTGCCGGTGCGCGCGCACCGCCCGGATTCTCTGTATGTGGCATGTGTGTATGTACGTATGTATGTATGTGCTTCCACACCTGCAGTCCTCAAGCCACTCTGGTCGCAGGGCGAGACACCCCCTTCTTGCCTGTCTGCCCACGCTCTTCACCTTGCATAGGGCGGACTCGACGCTTTGTTCTTCCGGTTGGTGAATCGTGGGCCGCTGATTGGCTTCAGGCCCCCGGCTCGTCTTCGCCCTACTTTGGTGCTGGTGCATCATTAAAGCCTCAGACGTGCTGGGATGGACGTTGCATGACAGCTCCTACCACCCACACCACCCCAGGAAACGGCGCAGGGACCCTTCGGAACATTTCTTTCATTAGTGCCAATGTCTGTGTTGTTGTTTTCCGGCGTGGTGGTGGGAGGAATGGGGGCCCTGGTGATCGATTCTTTTTTTTCTTCTTCGCCTTCTGCTGCTTATACTTGCCGAGTTGGCACTTGTGCACTTGATACATGCCAGTGCTTCTGCTGACGATAGTGGTGTGCAGAAGTTGGGACGATTCCTGGGCGTCTTCCTGCAGCCTCCAGCCTCAGCCTGTCTTACTTTAAGTCTCTGAGTTGCCCGCTGCTGGCACTGTAATATCACGCTTGACGCGGGCCCTTCACCGGTTGGGTCATCGCGTAGCATCCTGAGTACTACCGAGGGCGACCAAATTTATCTCACGTTGCATCGACAATCTGCCCGAGAAAGCTTCTGATGGCCAGGGATCTTGAGAAACATTTTCGAGGTCGTTCATATATTCCTGTACCGTCGCAAGCGGCGCGCGACTGTCACTAAATAGTACAAGGCACGGCGCATTATAAGCACCAAGATTTGCCTCAAAGGGGTAATAGTTACCCTAGTATTTTCCCCTTGCGAGCAGGTGTGGCGCGCTGTATCTACCTCCCACGCGATGCTACTCGGCAATTTGGGTTCATTTAACCATCCCAGTGTTTTGGGAAACACAAACCCGCTCGGGCAATGCGATGAGGTGCCAGGTTGTCTTTCCTTCTCTCCCGATGGCAGGACTTATGGCGCTGGGAGCACTAGGCCAACGCAGCCAAGACCGACTGACACCATCGCGAAGGCCGTGCACAAGTCGTCATGCCTATCCGGGCCTTCTTCATTGTGAGTCCGTGACAGGCAGAGCTCGATCTCTTGCATGAAGCTTGCCCAGCCCATGACAATCCGATGGACCGGCCACAGCACTAGTGGCAGTGGATCTTTGTTCCTTTCCATGCTGGACCTAGCATATTCACCTTCTCTTCCGCAGGAGACAATGGCACAGGACGACCAGGGCGGGTGGCCAGCTGCATAAGCTCCAGCCCTCTTGGCCTCGCCGTCGCCTCTCGCTGGCAACAAAGACATGGCCATGCTCGAGAGCCTGCATTAGGGCCCCCGGCTTGGACGACGCGAGCAGCCCGCCTAGCTCACTGCAGCGGTGCTCCCTGCCACTGACTTTCGAGGGTCCAAGACTTATGGGTCGTGGTTCTGTTTCAACCGAATCGGGGCAATGCTTGGCCGTTTCCTCAAGAGACACTTGTGGGCTTGTCTGCCTTAGGCGAATCACCACGCGTGAGCGGCCCCAAGCGTCCTTCGGAATGCCATCTGGCATCTGCGCTCGGGAGTCAGCCACCTATCTCATTGTGGAGCGAAAATGGAGCCACAGCTGCACGTCGCTGGATCAGTGGCACATGGGCCAACTTGCGCTGTTTTCCGGGGCTGGAGCGTGAACAGCAAGCCGCACTTCGCTGGAGACAGTGGGCTGGAACAAACCCCTATTGGAAGATCCAACACTCTGGCGGTGAGTGACCTCAAGAATTCGCCGGGTCAAAAGCCCAGACTCTTCGATGCGACTTCGAGGGTCTGCAAGTGCAGCGTCATTGGCCTATCTAGGAGGTGGGACCCGCAGATCGTGATGGATGCCCGTGGGGCCAAAGCTGCTTGCTGGGTCCTGCTCGAGTCTCTGCTGCTACATCACGAATCGACCCTTACTGTCGAATGCCGGACTGTATGAGTGTGAGGACTGTGTGGGTGTTTGTGGGTTGGGGTTCACCTGTCCTCCAAAGCTTCTGCCGCCCCCTTTCTGGCCCATTCCGACGCTTTGCCGGACGTGAATTTAGTCCCCTTGATGTTCGATATGGGAACATCAGGGCGTGTGACGAGACTGGGCGTCACCGATAGCAGACCACAACGCTGTGGGCCTTCACGGCCTGATGGCCCGCCGGCGACCAGCACCGCACGCCGCCGTCGGGGGTCCGCCCGCGAGATGCATACCTAGCCAGGCTGTTGTGCCGTCGAACGCAGTAGATATGCCGTCCACAGCGAATGGTTTCAGGCTCGACTGCATCTCAAAGAACGGGCAGCTCCCCGTCGTCGAGCTATCTTAGGCATAGACACCTGGCAGTCATCCGGGGTGGAGCGACTGCCACGAAGTCCTTGCTCTCACACGATGTGGATAAGTCGTTCACAAACCATGGATTAATGCCGCGGCTGCTGGGGCCCTCTGCCTTCACGCCTTTGAAGCCAGGCACTTCGGCTCATGGGTCGAAATCATCCCTCACAGTACCTCTGTCGACGAAGGTTTTGTTGAGTATGGTGGCCCACTAGCTCACGGCCCGGAAAGTCTTGAAGCACCAGGTCATTTCTCAGTGTGTATACTGCCATGTTTGCCCCTTTCAGGTATGAGGTCGATATTTCGTAGCTCGCAAGCGGTCGGACTCTGGGATGCGGTGGCATTGCTCGACGCTGTTGGGTTTTTGATGCGAGCAAAGTCGTAGTGCTCCTCCAGCCCTAGCGCTGAAAGGGAAAACCTTCACTACAGTCAAGTTGGCTTGATGCTCCATCTGTTCTGCACACGATCGACACTTGGGAGATGACCGTCATCTACAAGTATGTTAATCAAAGTTCGATAGACTTGCTCATGGAGCTCGCCGCTGGGGATCAAGACTCACCTGATCCCGCTGCCATGCACGGCATTGACAATGGAGGGACGATGCCACCGTCGTCCCTGTCATGCACTTGCATGGTGACATTGGGAAGCGGGGATTTTGGGCTCTCGATTTGTACACATAACGTCAGTGCTTTCCTGAAGGCCAAATAGCCGCCAACAAGTCGCGGTGCATCACCATGTCGTAGTTGCAATGTAACGGTGTTGTGTAAACAGGCTCTTTTAATGAGGCATCGTATTAACTTCCGAGATATTTGCCTGACTGGTGGTGCTACGGATATTTCTAGGGACAGTAAGGCGGCTCAGAGTGTTGAGTCACGAACATCGGTTTCTACCTGGTAAGTGGGTGAAGCGCCTAGCATCGTACATGGATAATTTGCGCGTACTCCTCATCGACTCCTTATGGCTGGAAGTTAGCCTTATTAACACTTCCGATGTGTACGTCAATACTGTAAATACTTACATGCCGAGCACAGGTTCAGCTCTGACCTCATATTATGAGTCATTTCGTGTGGAGATTTTAGTTACGCTCAGGTACTCAATGAGTCTGAAGTAGAGCTCGAGGACGAGAGAAACCTGTGTGGGTATGGACATCACTCTCTAATAGTATCACAGGAAAATGGTGGTCTGGCATAGTGTCTTCGCGACTGGTAACTAAAAGTAAGCGCACTTCCGTTGTAGGTCAATTCGGCCTCGCGTGGTCTGGGCAATGATATCCGGCTTGTCAAGGCGATTCAGAATTGTTCTTCCTGGTACCTACTTAGCATGCCATCAAGGTTCTCAAATACAAGGGGCCAATCATGATTTAGACTTGCGATTATGCTTCTGTGCTCGAAGCAATGGTCGTCCCCCGTCAAAAATCTCATAGGCACGGCTCAGGCACTATGTTCGTAGCTCATGTCGGCCGGCCGTTGTGTTTAAGACTCGACACAGCCCAGTTGTTCGTATCAATTGATATCTCTTGAAGCAAATCTTCCCTAATCCCTTGGGCCGAACCCATGCGATATTTTCCTACTAAGTTCGTGGAATATTCTAGAATGGCGGTCGCTCATAGCTCTGGACATGGATCTGGACATCGGATTGTGCTGGTTTATGTGCACAAGTCACAGATTCATAATACTTCAATCCCGGATAATTCATTCTTACACTACGGTAAGTAAATTCGAGGAATAAGGTCTACAGGCATTTATGCATCGGTCATCCACAAATAATAAAATGTATTCAGCTTTACATGTTGGTGGAACTGACACTGAATATAGCTTTCTAAGATTCCAGTATAGCCATTTATGGTGTGGAGCGAAGAAGAAACGACTATGTCATTTCACTTCACAGCTTTCTTCATTTCCAAACATAACAATAACCCTAGTCAAGCCAACATGCCCAAGTGAGATCAAATCCTGAGTAATTGGTCTCCGAATACTTTCAGGCTAGCAAGTCTACCACAATTCTATCCAACACTGTATCAGCCAAAGTATACTTTGAAACTAGTCACTGCATCCTTGTAAAATAAACATCGAACACAGATCAGTCTTCACCGACGAGACTTGGTATCTTTTACGGAGTATGTTTGTCGAGGGGCTCAGGTCCGTGTCAACTTGGTTGCCAGGGCACTGATAGATGAGCTTATGTATTCTGAACTCTGACTCAAGTAGACTGGACTTAACAGATACATTAAAGGGATGTTTGAAGACACTTACCACTGACAAACCATTTCATCAAGTGTTGTCTGCATTCACTTTGACTGAAATGTTCAGCACTTCCCCATACCTGACTCATATTCCGGACGCGTATATCACGTCACATAAATAGCTTTGAATCGCGGTGAGGATGTCAAACAAGCTCCTCAAACAGTGGAACGCACGATGGGGTTTTTTAGTCCGACGTATGGTATGCTTCTCAAAGCAAAGAATACGCCCACTCCTTGCATACAATATATTGCTGCCCCGTCAAGTAAACGAAGATTTTGAAGAAAATTGTTCCTATCCTCTTGATTTTCCCAAGTGGCCAGATTTCATATATTTTCTAACCTAAACAATTGATACCTAGTTACATGGAAACACATAGTGATGGCTTACAAGACAACAAGAAAAGACCTTTAGCAATCTCACAAGCAGTATATAGGCTTGCTACCTTATCCATCATCACTTCTTCACCATGTGACGCCGATGCGCCTTGCGACTCAATAATCTCCAAAAAAGCACAGATCATGTTGATTTTCCCGTCATCCCATCTTACACGTCTACAAGCTGTTTTTGAAGCAGGTTCGTGTTCTTTTCACTTGATGAAAGTTGCGACTGATGACAGCGATCAGGAAACCTCTAACGATACAAGTGCGGTGTTTGCATCGGAAAAGGCCGGGGATTCAAAGTATGACTTATGCAAAGATAACCCTTGGAAGTTTGGGTGCAGATTGATGATTAGCATGTCTAATGTAGGTACTTCAGACACGCGGACTCTACACCATGGCCAACCCCGTAAGGACTGCCACACCATGGTTGCTAGATGTACCCTCAGACCATAGTAGTTCTTCAGTATCGCCCCAAGTTAATGAGATACTCCTTCTTGATGAGAAATTCCTTGCTTGCGAATCATTGATTTTCACATTGGTTTCTCTTTTGTTCTTTTTCTTCTCCTCTACTCTCTTGGCTAAGAAGGTAAGAACGCGAACGATAGCCAAAATGGCTCTGTACCCATCACACAAGCTCGTCTCACACGATTGGGTTAATGTTGAAGTTTTGCAATAGACAAAACTGCGTCGTGTCATCACGAGGTTGTTCTTCGGTGCTCTACCTTCTTGGCCAGCACCGAACCCCCCATCGCATCCATCAGTTCACATGTCATTTTGTAGTGCACCAAGAGGAGGACACGAAAGTCGTGGCTGGTATGTTTGAAAAGGAGAAATCGAAGGGAAGGGCATGAATCTGGGAGAAATTCACCCAAACAAACATTTTAAAGCTAGCAACAGTCCTAGTTTCTCATGGTGGCAAGAATAGCATCTATCAGCTGGCCCGTCAAGGGTTGGCGCCACACCACACGTATGGTATCATCACGTGGAAAACCAGGTGATTGAAGCCACGTAAAACCGGTCTTCTTTTTAGTCGTTACATAATTGATTATAGGGTCTTACATTGGCGACAACAGAGCCGAGTCATGATAATGCTTTGTATCGTATAATGCATATCTGTGCAAGTCCGTGTAACAAGCCTATAATATACAGGATAGTATCGTTCTCGAACAAAGGAGTAAGGCTGAGAAACTATATTCTTAGTATGCTATGAATCAGTTCGTTTTTTTTTTCTTTTCTTTTTTATAAAAAAAAAGCCGTGCAAACACGAAGTACCTCAAAGATACTTATTCTGGAGCATTCGCCCCGGCGCCCTTTTTTGGTGTTTCTCGTCGTTGGGCAAACCTTAGTCCAAAGAAAATCGTTTCTTTACTCGTTTATTTACTCTAAAATTGACGAAGAGAAGGCCGCTCGAAATCACGGGCATGACAGCAGCTGAAACTCACGCTTCCATACGCGAATTATGTGACGTGGCAGGTCCAGGCAGCAGACCTTGACGAGTAGACCCAAGTAGCTGGGTACCCAAGTGGGAGAAAGGGTCTCGCTACTATCAGCAATTACAGGTTTTGCTTTACAACAGTCAAGCTTTTCACCATATGGAATACATTATTTAAATATTTCCTCACATCAATGTAGGCTCTATCATATTCTGGATGCAATACAGGCAGTGAGGCAAGTACTCTCCGTGCAAGCCCACACATGATCGCCATGAAAGAGACATGTAGCAGGACGATCACATCGATCAACTCCTTCGAAGCTATCCGCGCCCACGTGTCATCAATTGCAAATATTGACATGACCCTCAAGTGCTCCTTACTTGCTTCGCTCGTCCACTGGTAGCTCGACTCTATGGGCTGTCCTGTCAACCACGTCCCCGCCGTCTTGACGCGAAATTCTAGTACTGACAAGCGGCGTCCTAACAAGCACGATGATCTTGTCTTCATATTTGTTGAAATTGCCAGAACACGACGGCCTCCTGTTCCTCGATACCCTCGTCAAGCGCGCGGTGCGAGCCACGTCGCGCTCGCCATCGTCTTGTGCTCGGCGTGGCTCAACACGACACGTGAGGCCGCCGTCGTGGCTTAGACATCTAGGCATTGACGACGTCTTTTTATGCAGACGCCGCAAAATAATATAACCAGACTCCTCCTGTGATCTTGATACGAATACAGGCCTATGTTTGGCAGTGCAATGGAGTTGTCATCGCGTCTGGTCACATGAAGGCACTGCCATACGCATAGCATACAATGTCGATGTTGAACATTGGTCACTTTAAGAAGAAACACAGATATGTGTCAATCAAGCCTTGTTGATAAGAGAAAAGCAGAGAAGACAACTAAAGGAGTAATAGACACCAAGACCAATATCAAGACAATCAAAACATCAAAGACATTCCCCCTTCGGGGCAGTTGACATGATATCATCACTCTTTCTCATGGCCACTTTTTTCCGACTCCATACCATCAATGAGCTGAATCAGGCCAAGAAACTCCATCAGCCTTCATTGTGGACACTGCGACAGACACTTGCCAACCGCATCCGATCTCGACATTCCTCGAGCATCTAGGTGGACGGCGTGACCTCTCCCCCGGGCACATAAGGATCCGGTGTAATCTCTCCCCCAGGAATAGTTGGATCCGGGGTAATCGGTTGTCCAGGTACATATGGGCCTGGAATGAGTGGTCCACCGGGGACGGACGGGTCTGCACCAATGGTAGTCTGTGGAGGCGCCCAGCAGATTATAACTCCATTCCAGATGGCGCAAGTCTGACTCTCCGTAGGTGTTGGGCTAGGGGTATCTCTTTCAGCCAAAACCTCAGGCTCAGTGCGCTTGGTTGAGGGGCCAATAGTCGTTGTTGGTGGAGCAATACAGATGGAAACTCCGTTCCAGACTATCGGGATGCAGTCGCCATTTGTTGGAGTGCCCTTGATTTCCAGCACTGGCGTAGCGTTGTCGGCAGCTCTCGCCTCTAGAGCTTCATGTGTTGTATCGCGGATCTTGGTTGATGGACCGATGGTGGTAGTAGGAGGAGCAATGATGCAGAAGTGTGCCTGCTCCCAGACTTCGGGAATACAGCCTTGAGGGACTGATTGTGGGCTGGTGTCGTCCCTTGGCAGGACCGGAACTGCCCACGTTGGCGCTCCGAGTCCCGCAAGGACGTAGGCTAGGCGGCGACCAAGCATGGTCAGGAATATCGCCAACTGGCTGAGATGTCGCACGAAACTGCGCAGCTGGAACTGGCATCGCGGAATGACTGGGTTGTCTGCGGTCCTTATATAGTCGTGAGTGGTCGCACCTGGGTTCGACTTCCTCTGGGTTCGTCGTCTTTGGAAGCACGAGTCCTTGAAGGTCTCGACCTTCCTTCAGCCGGCGCCAAATTGGTACGTACGATTTCTGTAGACGGTGAACGAAGAGAAGCAATATAAATAAATGAATCTTGCAGTAGGCAGCCATCAACTAAACATATATCCGGACTAGATTTACCCGTCACGGGCTCACTCGAGCCAGCGACGCTCTTGCTTGACCACAAGCTTCCAACTCCAGACTGGCAGGTGGTAGCGACTCACGAGCTATCGCTCAAGCCATGAGGTCGAACAAAATCTAGCCTTTGTTCGAACACAAGCGATGATACTCTGCGGACTGTCGCGTCTTTCTGGTGAATGTCGGATCGTGTTCACGATGGCGGCTATTGTGATAAGCACTTGCAGCGTTCGGCCGGCCAGAACACGATAGTACTGGCTTTGAGTACTTGCCAAGCATATCCAATAAGGGACAAGGAGCCGGTTCCTCCCAGCCCTGGTCCAGACCTCCTCACAAACAGTTCATTTCTTGCTCTGCTAAACGTGCAAGGTTGCAGGGTGTCAGTGGACGGAGACTAGCTCGTGTTCTCCAGATTTCGGGGAACTTAGTCTCAACTTTATCCGTACCTTAATGGCCAGTGGCCAATAACATGACTTCGTCCCGGGCCTCTGGGCCTGTGGGTACTTCCGAGCTGCTAGAAAGAGGGTAGCACTTGCTGCAACACTCGATAGGGCCATCTCGCGGCGGACACAACAACGAGCCCACCAAGACACCACCAAGGCTCGCGATTTTGTGAGCAAGGATCTATCCGGTCCGGTGTGCGCATGTGATCAAGATGGCGCATTGTTGCGGACAATTGTTCTTTGGAGTGGACCCTGCGTGCGTCCGTCATGGCGCATTCCTTCCGCTGCGGAAATCGTTTTTTCCGTCTCAAGTGTGGTTTCCTTTCAGCCTTGAGACCATTGGAATTTGATATTGGCGCAACCAGTAATCTTCATACCGGGTTCAGATGCTTTCCCAAGGACTGACTGGGTGATGGCCAGCTCCGATGAAGCGTTTCATTTTGCCCGGAGAAGGCCGTGAGTTGGGAAGGGCCGTGACTGTGCGACAGGTTGGTGATGGTGTGCAGCTGACAGCATCTCACCTGGGCAAGCACCAGGTCGGCGGGAGACGGATCTCTCCACGCTCAGCTCATTTGACACCTGACGAACTGTCTCAAGGTAGGATTAAAAGGCCCCATCTTGCGCCCTTTTCCGAGTGGCCACAAGTGACGGGTTGCAAGCTCTTGGGGATGGCAAGGGCTCGCACAACGTCGGAATTAGCCAGAATGCGGGAAAATGAGGCATCTAAAGGGGTCTGTCAGGCAGTGACATGGGAGACAACTTCCTGTCAGTGGAGAGAGAGGACAGAGCCAACAGGCTCAAGTCTTCCGCTCGAACACGTTAGACTTCACGTTGCATTAGCATGTATGCACATATCTACAGAACAGGTCCCATACGTCCAGTCCCAGCGGTCCAATATAAGAATGAACTCACCATTGCGGCCCCATGGTCGCGATCAGTCCATAATCGTGCCAAGCTCCCGTCAGGAACGTCCCTTGATGCTGCGGATGACGACTTTGGAGCCGTCTGAATGCCAGCCAACGCCGTCCCTTTCGACCAGCTCCAGGAATGTCGCACCAGTGGCCTTTTCGAGATAAGGGACGTCGACCGAGAGGTATGCCCGTCCAAAGCATTTCAGTGTGTGACGCCTCAAGCCATCCTCACAGAACTCGAGGAATTTGGCCTGATGACCATCGACTGTCCTCTTGACCCTTCCAAAAGCGATAAAGTCGTCGCGAGCTAATGCCTGCAGAATGGTATCAACCTTGGCATCACGTAGCTTATAGCAGTTGCGCAAGGCAAAGGCGTCGGCTAAGTCGCCGCGGCGGCATGCGGCGTCGAGAACGAGGTAGCCAGTGACCTCGCGCAGCTCGAAGCTGGTAAGCGGGTGCTTTGGATGGATGGTTCGCAAGAGGTACAGAATGGCAGGATGGTAACTCTCAGAGTGCTTGACTAAGATGGCAGTGCGGACGTTGAACAAGTAGGCCTGGGTTGCGAAATCGTCAATGCGCTTGGAAGCCACGATGCCCTCACGGAGCTTCCGCAGAGCCATCAAGACGGCAGACAGGTCCTTGGTGCCGGTCTGCGACAGTGTTGGGACAGGGAAAGGGGGTGCCACAGGTGCCGTAGATGCCGCAGATGCCGCAGATGCCGTAGAGGCTGTAGAGGCGGTAGTGGCGGAGGCTATTGAAGTGTCGGTACCAGATGATCGATCCCTCTCTTTGCCGATGGAAAGCGAGCCGAACTTGTGCAGGAGCGCATCACGGTCAGTGGCATCAGAGCAGAAGCTGAGATATCGCTCGACTATTTTGGTGTAGTAGCGCTCCTGATTCTTGTGATCGAGCAGTCTAGCCAAGTCAGCGATGTGACACGGCAGGACTGCACAAGGTGAATGAGCATTCTCTGTACCTTGTTTCCCCTTTCGATGGCAAGCCCATGCTCTCCAGGGGATCTAGATCAACAGGTTTGAGGCGTTGCCATGGCCCTGATGGGCCCCTTGCAGGCATGGTGGGTGGTCACCTAGCTTGCAAAGTGATGTGGCTGTGGATGCATAGAAGCAGACAGGTTTGTGGAGTCGTTGGTGAGGAAGTTGGCAAGTTAGGAGAGGAGGTCCTGTGTCGTTGGTGATTCGAACGTTGGAGGGACCCTGAGGTCATGGCGTCGCTAGGCATTTCAGCCAATCAATTCCCACAGTACCACCTAGAACCGGGCTACCTGGGCAGCTGCTTTTAGGTAAAAACCAGCGCAGCAGAAGCTACCGTTGTGATGCGCTTACTCCAGACCTCATTCAATATGTTGAGGAGGCGTATCAACCTCAAGACAACAGTATATCGTGGTTTTCCCAACAGCTCCGTCCACCCATTTTTTTGATACATATTTTGAATAAAATTATCAATTGAGCAGGAGACAAGGTGTGAAAGCAGTAGGACCGAGCTGTAGTAGGCCAGGACGTCGGCCGTCTCGTGTCGTGCCGTGTGTTGGCCTCAGAGTCTCAATGTCCCAAGTAGATCAGGATGTTCACGCACAGGAGTTGGGACTTGAGACGTGAACTTCAACTCGGGCACTCTTAAGCCTCATGGGATGTGTGCCTCGGACCCTTGGAGCTGCTCACTTACACGTAGAGTCTACCAGGATCCTAGGCTCACTCTGAAGTCCCTTAGAACTCCCTCGATGCGGGGAACATACCTCGGCATGTTGGAAAGGATATTTGCCAGACAGACCTCATGGTCTCCTTCGCGATATTCTTCCCGCCTCGTTCCAACTTTGAAATCGTAATTCAATTCAAGGGCAAATACAGGCTCCTCTATTCGTCTAATTGTTTCTCTACTTATCAATTCCACAATTCACTCATCTCATATAAAAATGGCCGCCTCCCGCGTCGCCCAGATCGCGGCCCATCTCAATTTCCCCAAGGGAATGTTGGCGGGTCAAGTTGCCATTATCACAGGCAGTGGCCAGGGCATCGGCGCCGAAGCAGCTCGCCTGTTTGCTAATGAGGGCGCATTAGTCGTCGTCTCAGATATTGACGCCGAGAAGTCAGCATCAGTTGCTGAGAGCATCAACTCCGCCGGTGGAAAGGCGCTCGCCGTGCCTGGCGACATGTTGGATTCCAAGTATATCGAGACGCTTGTTAAAAAGGCCGCTGAGTTCGGCTCCGGTAAAATCCACATTATAGTCAACAATGCAGGTACGTATCTCAAACGCCTTCGTCCACTACACTTTTACATCAGCACTTTAAACGATTCAGACCTACTATTCTCTGCCGCAGACTTCTAACGGATTATAGGATACACATACGACGGCGTCATCCACAAGATGACAGACAAGCAGTGGGATACCATCATGGACTTGCATACAAAGGCTCCCTTCCAGCTGGTCCGCGCTGCAGCGCCCTACTTTCGGGTCAAGGACGGGGAGCCCAGATGTGTGGTCAATATTTCCAGCACCTCGGGCATCCACGGCAACGCGGGGCAAGCGAACTACGCTGTGGCCAAGGCTGGCGTCACAGGTCTGACCAAGACGATCGCAAAGGAATGGGGCCCTGCCTTTGGTGTGCGGGCCAACACCGTGGCTTTCGGTCACATTTTGACACGCTTGACGCAGGCAAAGGAGCAGGGTGCCTTTGTGACGGGCCCCAATGGCGAGAAGATCGCGCTGGGTATCCCCCAGGCACAGCAGGCCACTAAAGATCAGCACCTTGACATCCCATTGAGGAGGCCCGGCACAGCGTCTGAGGCAGCTTCGGCTGTTCTTGCTGTTTGCAGTCCCTTGTTCAGCTATGTGTCTGGGCAGACTATTATGGTAACTGGAGGGCGCAATATGTAGACTGCAACACGTCCCAACTTGCACATTAGCCAACACTTGGGTTCTGTCAGTCGATATGACTATCCAGTGCAGATTGAAACCCCAAATTTGTCTTTGTATGCTTTCATTATGATCCTGTCGGATATGATCACCGAACTCCAGACGTAGAAACCCAACCACCAACCAACGAAGCAAGACATCCGCGCATGGCAAAGCAGATCCGTCCCAGATCCTCGACTAATTTCTCTACACCCTCGCCCACAGAGAGATCACACCCTTGGCATACTCCACTATTTCTTCTCCTCCGAGCTTACTATCTCCATAAACTCGGTCGACGAAGGTTATTGGGACTTCGCCAATCGTCATGCCCATCGCTTTGGCCGTCACTGCCAACGCCATCTGCATGCTAAACCCGCGCACGTCCGTGGTCTCGAACAGCTTCTCTAAAGCCGCTCTCTTGTACAGGCGGAAGCTGCCCGTGAGGTCGCTCACGCCCGGCCGCAGCACCGTGTCAGCGAAGATGTTGGCCCCCTTGCTGGTCAGCTTCCGCTTCAGGTCCCAGCCGAACACGCCGCCGCCGCTGGCGTATCGCGTTCCTGTGACGATGTCGTAGTCGTGCGCCTTTTGCAGCGCGATCATTTGCGGGATGAACTTGGGGTGGTGGCTGAAGTCGGCGTCCATGATGATGATGAAGTTGCCCTTGGCGAACTGCAGACCGTGAACGTATGCCGTGCCCAGGCCGAGCTTGCCTGTTCGGGGCTTGAGTTGGACATGGGGGGAGTAGGCTTTGACGAGCTGGTTCGCGACGTCTTGGGTGCCGTCGGGAGAGCCGTCGTCGACGATGATGAGTTCCCAGTCGAGGTTGCTGGAGGGGCGCGATGTTAGCTGTCGTTTGCTTGCGATTCACATGCCCGTCTCACTCGATCCGGGCGAGTGCTACTCACTTCTCCGAAAAGGTTCGCTGCAGCAGCCAGGTGATGATAGGGAGGTTCTGGCGCTCGTTGAAGGTGGGCAGAATCACCGAGTAGACGTCCTTGGTCGCGCCCTTTTTCGCCATTGTGAGGTAATTAGAAGGAGATAGTAAGAAAGATACGGCAGTTTAGGGAATGTCAAGAATCAGGAAGAAATAAGTCAATGCGCTCTCTCTCAATGGGCAAAAGAAAGGAGCGTCGTGAAGTTGCAAGGGTGAAGATGAAATGTGACGGCTGAGGTCGTGGCCTTTCTGGAAGCTTGCCCAGCTGCACGTCTTAGCGCCTGCTTAAACGACCCCCTGGCAGGCTGGACCCGGAATCTGAATGACTAAGCACCCATCGTCCTTCGAACCCCAGTCCAGCAAGAAATAATACCGAGAGCGTTGTACAGTACGTGGACTAAGTACGGCTTGCAGGGTCATAAGTTCGCCGAGAAATCAAGTGTACTGTAGGAAGAACTGAGGGAAGCCCCCCTTAGTGATGTTTCACGGTGTGTCTGTCATGTAATGAGCTATCCTGAAGCGGGTTGTTTCATGGGGGATTATCTCATAGGACGTTATCCCATGGCAGATTATCCTATAGGAGATCACTTACTGGTCAAGTTACATCTAAATGTAAGTACCGCAAACTGTGGGCAAGACCGTATAGTGTAGGCGACGGATCCTGGGCAAACGTGACAACTGACGGCCAGCAGCGACCTCGAAGTCAAATACCTGGACCTATGAGAGAGTCTCCCTCAGATTCACCGATTGAAATTCGATGTTCTCAATTTATTGTCATTCCAATCTGTCTACATGCCGCTTGTACAAGCTTCCAGCGGCCCTATATTCGAGCTTGGGCTCGTCTTGGATGAGGTATCTGAGCAGTCCCACAACAGAACGGGTATGAATCACACTCTCCTGCGTTTTGATCGCCACCCAGCGGCCAAAAATGAAAAAGGAAAATACATGACATCAACCCAGAAAAGCAGATTTAATATTCACACGCGGACGCCATATGCAAAATCATGAAAAGTGAAATGCACACACATGCACACCTCTAAACATTCGTCGAAACCTTCTCCGCAGACTTGGTCCGCCCGTTGAATGAGGTCTCTCCCGTGTTGTGCTTCTTCCCGAAGCTCGCCCAGCCCTTCAGACTCGAGAAGCTGAGCGCAGTGCTCAGCCTCCTGCCCTCGACGCTGCCCTGCGAGAACGCGCCGTGCACGACCGCGTGGTCGTCCAGGAGGTGGAACGCCCTCTTGATCGCCTTCCAGGTCTCCATGCCTGCGATAAACACCGCCGTGAACCCGACCACGAGGCCCCACTCCCAAGTGATGCCCGTGTGCTTGAAAAAGTCGGTACTCACGACGGGGATGTAGACCGTTAGGAACACGGACACCATGCCGATTGACACGGCCCAGAAGAGGAATCGGTTCTCATAGACGTCCTTGAAGAACTGGAACGGGCCGTGGTGCTCTGGGTTCAGAGCGAACATGGACCTCCTTAGGTGTTTGAACTCCCATGCCGACAGCAGGATTAGCCATGTCAACTCCGCAAAGACGGCGGCTCGAGCCCGGAAGACGGGCAGGCACGCCTCTGAGTAGGTCCTGTTGCAGTCCATACCGAGATTGCCGCCATTGGCCCCGTAAATGACAATCACAAAGGTCGCGAGGGTACAGACGCCCATGAGAAATCCATACACGGCCATGTCTACCATGATCTGCTTTGTGAAGATTCCTTTGGCATGGGGAGGCTTCTTCATCACGTCTGCAGCGGCTCTCTCACGGCCCAGTCCGAAGGCGGGGAAGGAGGACGTGATCATGTTGATCCAGATGATTTCGAGTGGAGAGATTGGGAAAACAGAGAAACCACTAGCATCTTGAAAGGCGAGACCGCAGATGAGGAGGATGACCTCGCCCACGTTGGAGGTGAGCAGGTGCAGGATAAACTTCTGGATGTTGTCGAACATGCGCCTTCCCTCGCGGATGGCCGCGACAATTGAGTTGAACTTGTCATCCGTCAGCACGATCTTTGCCGCCGACTTGGCGACGTCGGAGCCGCTGCCCATCGCGATGCCGACGTCCGCATTGGCCAGAGAGGGTGCGTCATTGACACCGTCACCCGTCATGGCCATGAAAGCCTTGCGTCTTCGAAGTGCCTCAATCATGCGTGTCTTGGTGTCTGGGGCGCAGCGAGCTATGACCAGTGGGAGCTCCTCCAAGGCGTCAATCTCGGCATCGGTCAGTTTGTCAAAATCCGTCGCTTTAAGCACTATCGAGTCCGCAGTACCGGCGGGCAGGATTGACAGGTTGCGCGGAATAATGCCAACTTCTTTGGCGATGGCCCTGGCTGTAGACGGATGGTCGCCAGTGAGCATGTGCACCTTGATACCTGCGCTGGCACATTCCCCGATGGCGGGTGTAGTCTCGCGCCGAGGGGGATCATATATGCCAGCAAGACCGAGGAGTGTTAACTTGCTCTCAACTTGAGCCCGTAGTGCTTCATCATTTTCAGCTTCTTCAGGGTTAGAAACCGAGGCAAAACGACCATTCCATTCTTTGGTAGCAACGGCTAGAACACGCAGTCCTTGCGAGGCGAGGTTGTCCATCTGGGTCAACACTTTGTCCTTGATCTCATCTGTGAGTGGCTCTTGGATATCGCCCGTACCAATGGTCGAGCAAAGATCAAGGACACGCTCGACGGCACCCTTGGTGTAAATGATACTACCCGTGGATGGCACGTTATAAGGATTGCCCTTGGGTGCGTTGTACACCACCGACATTCGCTTGATGCTACTGTCAAAGGGAAACTCAGCAATTTGCTTCCAGCCTTTGGATTCGAGCTCCTTCTTCCGTACTTCAAAGCGATGAGAAAACACCTGGAGGGCAATCTCAGTCGGCTCCCCGGTCGTCTGCCATTTAGATTCCTGCTCGTCAAATCGCACTGTTGCGAGATTGCAGAGAGAGGATGCAATCAGAAAGGCGTGCAGATCTGGGCCGGCTTCAGCCTCTTTCTCGTTCGTCTCGTCCTTATTGTTCTGCTCAAGCTTCTCCTGTGGCACGTCGAATTTCAGCGCCGGCGCACTTCGTTCCTGGTCGAAGTCACGTTCCTTTTTCGGCTCCTCAGGCGCATCGAGCGAGACGGTTCGATGAGTAACCCTTCCAATACTTGGGTCATTGGGATCTTCAGAATCGTGAACGGTGTAGACGTTGGAGAAAGGCAGCCAAGCCTTCCGAACTATCATGGCGCCTTGAGTCAAAGTTCCAGTCTTGTCGGAGCAAATGTTGGTAACACCTCCAAGCGCTTCTAAAGCAGACAGGTCTCTGTAAATCGGGAATTAGTACATGAAATGAAGTGAGTGCGGTTACGGTACATACCGGACGACGACATTAGCCTTGCGCATGACAGTCGTTGCGACGACCATGGTGATCGTTAACACAGCAACTAGACTTTCCGGGATAATGGCAATTCCAGTGGAGATAGCGTAGATGATGACCTCGTTGGTCATTCGGAAGCGGTTGACGGCGAAGACAATAACGGCCAAAAGCAATGCGCAGAAGAACAGTACATAGGCCAGCTTGCTCAAACGGATCTGGAGCGGTGTGCCCTCTGTAAGTCCCAAGAACTTGCCGAAGAAATCGTACACTCGCTTGAACCCTCCCTTGAGAGGAGCAGCTTTGCCGTACTTCTTCCAATTCATAGACCTTCCTGGCTTTCTTGTCCTTTTCGTGGTTGAGGCAGCAATCTTGCCGACCTCAGTTTGCATTCCTGTCGCAATCACGATACCCCGGCCACGGCCCTTCCGGACAACAGTGGTGGCGTACGCAATGTTTACACGATCGCCGATGCCAACTTCACCCTCTTCTGAAGCCAGCTTCTCGGTACCAGGAACCGTTATATCGTTTTCGATTGACTTCTCTACAGGGAGGGCCTCGCCTGTCAAGCTCTGTTCATCACAAGAGAGATTCATGGCTTCGAACATCCGCAAGTCGGCAGGTACTGTATCGCCCATTTTGAGAATGACAATGTCACCAGGAACTACCTCAGGACTGAGAACGATTAGCAATGGACAGTGAGCAAGGGTATGAGGTTGTATAGGGTAAAAGTATGATAGGGGCAAGGCAGATGTAATAAAATAGTAGAAGATGTTCCGTTGGCGAGCAGGATCTAGAGTCGAAACTTACTTGGCGATGACTTGGACTTTTCCATCGCGAATAACGCTTGCCGAAGGAGAAGACAAAGCTCGAAGAGCATCCATCTTCTTCTCGGCCTTGTATTCTTGTAAAAAGCCGATTGACACATTGAGTACGATGACCACAGCAAGCACACCGCCCTCAATCCAATCCTTGATCGCAAGGCTGACAATCGTTGCAAAGAAGAGGACCTATATTTTTTAATGGTAAGCCATTGACCCAAGAGTGATGCAACTTGATTGAACCGAAGTATTTAGGGATGGAAACCTACTAAGATCATAGCATTGAAGAGTTGCTTGATGAAGATCGTGTACCAGGGGATTGCTCCCCCGACGTCGAGCTCATTTCGAGGGTGTTCTTGCTGCAGCTGCGCAATCTGCGCAGAGTTCAAACCTTTGTCAACATCTGTCTTGAGGGCAGCTGCCACGTCGTTTGGAGTGAGTAGGAACGGGTGTCGGTCGAATTGGCCGGACATTATGAGTTCACTTGATAACCATGGACGTTGAGAGGTCGAGTGAGGAGGATAATCCAATCATAAGCGAGTGGACTCTGGATTAAGTTGTTAACCAGAGGAATTTGATACTGTGGAAGACAGAAGTGTTGTTCACAATATTGGCCTGTCAAGTGCTTTGTCAAACCAAGAAGGTTTGACATGTGATCCAAAGGGGGAACGTAGCTACTTAAGTACTTGTCAACGCTCGTTGAAAAGCTTCGATGAGTCTAGAAGGAGACGTAATGTCCAGGGCAGACCAGGCAATGAACCGACAATGACGGCAAGTACTTAGCCATGGCGCCGAGCAAAGCCAAGAGCAGAAACTACGGCTTTGACGAACCACGAGGCAGCAAAAGAGGAACCACCAGGTATCTAGCTTCGCGACGAGGCTCGCGTGAGTATGTGTGTGTCCCAACAACCCGTTATCAAGACGGTTGGAGTTCTTTATTGGGTCCAATGGCATCATACCAAGACTCCTGGCAGTCCACACAGCTGGGCGGTGCTCGGCGGCGCTGTGCTCGGCCGGGGCGGGAGTCTGGGCGGAAGGCTTGGCCGTTCCTGTTTTCCGAGGAAAGACGCCGATGGAAGCCATTCTGGGTACAGGAATTGCATCGAGGATCCTCGCTTCTGGAGCAAAGATGCCGTTTGCGTTGCCCCCATCGAACCAGAGGCGCAGAGAGGTTGCAGGCGGAGGCCGAGCCAAGAAATGACTAGTCTCTTGTCAACATCGCTCAACGCCGAGAGCGGATGACGAACCTGGGGAGGCCAATGAAAGCGGCCTGATGACTTAGATAATCACCCCAGACAATAGCTGCCCGGTGACCTTGTTAGCCGGTGCCGAGACTTAGTGGGCGAACAAGGCTGGGAAGGTAGAAGAAGATGTTCGCACTCGTTAGAGGAAAGATTGCCACCCAAGCAATTGGAACCATATATCAAGACCCTACAAGTGCTTGATCAAGGGACGAAACACCATGCCCAGCCTGCCCGCGCCTTGGTCAAGCTTTGGAGGCTGGGCCCTCGGGCAGACTAGCATGGCATCGCATCGCATCGGGGCATGGAGTTTCTTCGCGTGGAATATGTTGGTAGTAGCGACTGCTCGGAATCAGGCATGGCCGGCTTCGTCCGGATCAGTCACCGCGCAAGCTTCGGCTCGGAGTGGCGACTGGCCGGAGTGCTGGTGAGCACGACCTCGGGTCGTCAATTCAACGATGCACGCTGCTGGAGTGAAATCTCCCAGCTTCTATTCTGCTCTTGCGTTACCTCGCCTGCACACCTGGCCAGCCTCTCTAAACCTACCATCATTGGCCAATGCCTCCCTCATACGTGGGCAGGACTGGGCACAGACAGATTTACTGCGTGCGCAGTGCTGTTCCAAGACTAGGGCTGTCCCTACTAACAGCCGTGTCCGATGCCCCATCACTTTCTCCTCAGCTCCTGAAACGCCGACAAGACATGCACTCGGCGAGGTCATGGGGGTGGCTACTGCATGTATGTATGTATCATACGTCTGGATGCTTCGCCCAGGGGAAACCAGGGCTGATTCTGGGCAGAATGCCGTGGCTCAGACTGTGCAACGTGAGGCGAGGTGGAGACATGGGTACAGTGCAGAGACACGGGAAGGACGGTTTGACAGACGGGGTAAAAAGCTCTCTGACAACAGAGAAAGGCCGAAGTAAAAAGTCAGTGCCCATACTTTGCAGTAGTCAGTCAACGTAGAAACCCTGAGCCGGGTTTAAGGTTCACCACGGCCCTGACCCGCACCTCTTTACGTTTTGGTTCCCGCTCTCCGTTTCGATGGGCCGTGGGTGAGGAGAATGGTGAGGTGGAATGCAGGCCGCTGATTCGTTCAGCCACCGGATGCGGTCGGTACTACGCACCATACTCAGCACCGTACTGTGTGGACAGGTGCTACGGAGTACGTACAAGACCATACTGTACTATATTCCATGGAAGCAAGTGAGGGCGGAGGGCGGAGGGCAGAGCAATGATGCTTGCCGTTTGTCATGCCATGCCCATCCCATGCCACACTCTCACATTCACACACACACACACACACACACACAGTCACCCAGTCACCCTCACACTCTAGCAGACCAGACCAGACCCAGACCCAGACCCAGACCCCAGGTCCCAGACGATTAGGTGAGCATGCAAGCAGCAGCCGCCCTCAAGCCTTCAACCTCGCTCTTTCCCAACCTCTCCCCCCAAACCGACGCACAGCACTCCTCACAACTCCTACCCAGCCATCCAGCTGCTCCATCCAAAGCATCATCAACCTCATCAGCTACAACCTCAATTCATCAGTCTCATTGATCCCGTGCATCGCCCGTCGCGCATCGATTTGCGACCCCACGACACCCTTCCCGCCCTCTCAACTACCCGTTGCATCATTACGTCATATCGCAATGGCCGACAGCTCAGCTCCCGTTAGCAGCGCAGGTGCGTGTAGCCCAGCCCAGCTTGTTGCGAAGCCATCGTGGAACTGCCCCTCAATTGCGCCCTCTGCGGTCGTCACTGGCTCACTCCAGCTCTAGCGAGCTTTCAAACGCCCTACTTTTGCATTTTCCGGTCTGCTTTCACCGTTTGCGCAGTTCCTTCCTGCTCATCTTCCGTGTTGCGCCGTCGCTAACATCTCCTCTACACGCGCGCAGCTCAGCCCAATGCTGTCCCAGTCGCCGCGCCCGCTGCCGACAATGCGCTGCCCAAGAATCCTGTCGCCGAGGCTTCAGCTGAAAAGCCAGCCGAAGCGACCTCTACCTCTGCAGCAGGCGCGGAGCCTCTCACATTAGCCCCGGAGACCAACAAACCCACAGAAGCTCCTGCTCCTGCTGCCAGTGGCACAACTGAGGCCCCCGTGAGCAACAGCAATGGTGTCAATGGCACTACAGCCGGGGACAAGTTTGAGCCTGTTGTCCCAGAGGAGAAGAAGGCCGATACCGCAGCTCCTACCCCTGCAGTGGAGAATTCGGCCTCTTCTGCGGCAGCCCCAGGGGCAAGCGCTTCTGAATCGGCCGCTCCTGGTCAAGCGCCCGTCATGACCGGCGCACTTGGTGCCTCTGAGCCAAAGCCGTCGGAGTCGACCAACGATGACGGCGTCAAGGATGCCACTCCCGTTGCCAAGCCCGCAGAGCTCAATGGGGGCCAGGACGAGGATGTCGAGATGAAGGATAGCGCTGCCGCGGCTCCATCTCTTGCGACTTCTGCAGCTCCGCCAGCGGCGCCAGCCGCCCCAGAGAACCCGGCGACGGGCCTCGCAGCTACGACTGAGCCTGCTTCCAACAATGAGGCCAGCGACACCACCGCAGAAACCGGTGAGAAACGCAAGGCCGAGGCGGTCGGCACCAATGGAGCCACCGCGGACGAGGAACCTGCCGAGAAGAAGCAGAAGCAAGGTGTAGTTGGCAAGGTCGTTGAGAAGGCCAAGGAAGTTGTCGAGGAAGTCAAGGAGAAGACTGAAGGCTCTTCCAACAAGGGCGCCGGTCCGACTCGGAAGGCTAGTAAGAAGGGCAAGAAGGAGGCTGCGCCTGCGCCTGTGGGCCGCACGGCGCGCAAGACAAGGAGTCAGGGCAACGCTGATCTCTAATGGCCTGGAAAGTGTGACTGGAATTTACGTGATTAGACAGCGCTGTGTATCACAGCGGCAGTTGAGATGGGTTATATCCTGTCGGGCGGTCATCACGAACAAGGAGTGCCAGCAGGTGAGGTTTCTTCATTCCTTCTGTGGTCGGAGTGGGTGGTTCTGCGGGCCCGACAATGGGAAATGGGCGGAAAAGGGGTGCCTCGGGTTTTGGAGTTTTATGCTTCTACTGCCTTTCATTGATATTTTTGACGGTCTGAGTGCTGCTTCTGGGTTGCTTCGAGTACCGCTGGCGCGCTCATCATGATTGTATATACGCTGCTATGAGCGCAGAAAAGGCAGAATCGACGTTGACTTGCACTACTAGCGGTATCGAACCCGAAGTGAGCTGTAAGCATCTAGTAATGTGCATCCTGAAAGACTTCGGGCCGTGTACCAGCAGGTGTTGTCAGATTCGCTTCACAAAGGTAATGCCATGAAAGGCTGCACTGAAACAGTCTGTAAGGCTGGTTGTTGTAAGGCGAGATGCTTAGGAGATACAGCCGTCCAAAATAGGTGGTGTTTTTTTTTTTGCTTTCCATTAGACCAATGATTCTTCTCTTGGCTTTCCGTCCCTCCCCTGTTCTGCAGGGACATTAGATGCCTCATTCTTCCACAAGGACCCAAAGACACCTCCCAGAACTAAGGCGATACCACAATATAGCTGCGAACTAATTAACACACAATTTGCAGCTTCCGGCCTGCAATCAGATCACCACTTACCTCAGTATTTAGTTTGTGACGTGACAAGACTAGAGGGATTGTCAAAGCTGCTAGGAAACCTAAGCTTTGGGCATAGCTTTTGGCGATGGTGCTTGCTATGCGAACTGCCCACGATACCAGGAACCCTCCCATGGCCTGCAACAGAACTAAGGCCCAGACCAAGATAGTGTAGCCGCGAAAGCAGCCCCTGAGCCCCAAGTCTGATTGCCACATCAGACCACCGAGTGCACACAAGCAAGTATATGCCGCCAGTTGCGCGTTGCGAACCATGAAACTATGTTCCGAGTTTTTCAGGACGGCCTCCATATAAACACCGGCAAATGCGCTGCACAGCCCAGCCACTACCATCGCGACGATTCCAAAGAGCATGTCTTTTCCTGCGTCATCGACGCGTGGCCCTATGGAAGGGTGTGCTGCAGAGCCAAGCTGAAACAATACCATACCTATTGCCATGATGACCAGACACAACCATTGCTGTGGCTGCAGAGTCTGCTTTAGAAGGACTCTGCTAAATACTGGCGTAAGTATGAGCTTGACCTGCGAAAGCATCAGGTACGGCAAAATGTCGAGGTTGTATGCCCCAAGGCTCTGGCTCGTCGCCGAGAGTGTGTATAAGAAGGCCGGGACGGCAGAGCTGTCGTGGCCATTGCAGATATGGCTCAGGAAGCCGGAAGGAGGTGTCGAGTTGCTCGCCGTGTTCTGGAAAAAGCTGTATGCGGCACTAGCTACGGAAACGGCTATTTTCAGGCCCTCAGAAAAGACCACAGCACTCAGAGGCTCGTATTGCACGGCATCATTGATTGAGCGGGTTTGCAACTTATGCTGCAACTGATCGTTGATCATCACCAGTCAGTGGGATACTTGAGGAGCAAGTGGTCCGCGTAGGAGTGTGGACTTACTAATACACTTGTAGCATTTTGACACACGAGCTTCAAGCTTTCTGTCAGATTCAATTGTCCGTGATATTAGTTGAAACGTGGAACTTACCAGCGCGAGAACAACTGCAGCTGTTGCTTGGGTGCATCCGCGACGACCCACACCACTACTTTCCGCCATGGGTTCGGTTAGTTGCTTAGCTTTGGGTCAGGGTACATATGCTATCAATCCGGCCATCAAACGAGATCAAGCTACAGGAAAATTTCAAATTGATTCCCGGTCAGTCAACGTTAAGAAAAATAAAGTATGACACGCATTGTAGCCTTTAGGGGAATCTGAATTTATCTGCGCATTAGGAGTAGACTTGAAGACATAAACGTTTTTCGGTCCCTTCCCGGAAAGCACGCTGAGGTGCTTGTCCCCACATGTCTAAATATTAGACAGTTGGATACGAGGTTATTTGCGTCGACTTACCCCTGCTCGATCAACGGCCGAGGGACGAAAATGGATATGTCACGAACCTCGTGCGACTATTCAGCTGCTTAGTGTCGAGGAAAGTCCCACTGCCAAGGGATGTACGGGCCACAAGCGTGTCCGACGCACCACTGTACGCGCAGGACTCTTGATATTTTGGATACTTCTTAGCGAAACATGGCTTCTCCGAGGACCTTGCTGCGCTGACACACGACGACAGTGGGAACTTCTTGTTGACACGATCGCTACCTCCGGAAGCCAATTTCTACATTGTCTCTCCCTCTCACCTCACAATCAACATCTCCGTGATTTTGCATCTTGCATTCCAGATTGCCATGGCTGAGAGCAAGCACTGACAAGAGTTCTCAAGTATCTAAATACCTCGTGGGGGCAAGTCAAGTTTTCGGCAAGCTGCCGGAGTAGACCTTCTCTACGCGCCGTCATGCTCCTCTCACCAAACCGCACGATCGCGCTGACGTGCGTGGTCTTTGTCTTTGTGCTTCTGACAGGCTATCAACCACTCATGCGCAACTACGTCCCGAATCCTCTCCAGCATGTCTTGAAGAATGGTACAATCGAGGTTCCTTCGTTTCTCACGGAATTGAATCCATTCTGGACCACCGAGCAGCTTGAACCCCGATTTGCCTACGCGCAATATGCCACGGACATGGATTATTTGTGCAATGCGGTGAGTATCCCATAGAAAGGCTCACCTACCACTCCTCATTGAAAGGCGAAATGCGCTGACGCGCCAGCACCAGGTGATCAACTTCAACCGCCTGGACAGATTCGGTAGCAAGCACGACCAGGTCCTAATCTTCCCAGACAAATGGGCGGAAGGGGATTCGAAGGAAGCAAAGGCCATCAAGGCTATCCAAACCACCCTTCCCAAGGTCGTCCTACGACCCTTCGATCTGCTCACCACGCACAAAGGTGACTCAACGTGGGCCAACAGCCTCACCAAGTTCCACGCGTTCGATCTGACCGACTACACTCGCGTCCTCGCCTTCGATTCGGACTCGCAAGTTCTGAACAACATGGATCACTACTTCCTCGCCCCGATGGCCGCGCTCGCGGTCCCGCGCGCGTACTGGCTGAATGAGAAGGACGCGGCCATCGTCGACCAGGTCTTAGGCTCACATGTCATGCTCCTCGAGCCGAACGAGGCGCGCTACAAGAAGATTATCGACGAAGCACAGAAGTCAGGTGACTTTGACATGGAAGTCATAAACCACTTGTTCAAGGACTCGGTCATGATTTTGCCACATCGGCGGCTGGCACTTCTGACAGGGGAGTTCCGCGGGAAGGACCACCGGAACTACCTTGCGCCGGACGAGGATGACGAGTGGAACGCCATGGGCGAAGTCTCGAGGGCCTACCTCGTCCACTTTAGCGACTGGCCGCTGCCGAAGCCTTGGAAGCAGCATTCAAGTGCTGTGTGGGAGGCCACCCGGCCCGAGTGTCCCGCGGACGAAGAGGAGAAGCCTGATCGACCAAGGTGTGCGGATCGCGTGATGTGGGAAGGGTTCTATGAGGAGTATAATGCCGACAAGGAGCGGTACTGCGCACCTGTGTTGTAAAAATGACCAAAGCCGACTAAATATACAAATCACTCCATAGAGGCCTGCTATAGCCATATGAAGTGACACCTGCGCTTTCGAAATTGTTTCAAGCGGTGATATCTCTCAATTCATGCGAGGCACATTGTCGATGGTGCACAAGCATGATGTTTATAAGTTTCCCAAATAAAATACTTTACTATATGACCGCCTCCGCAGGTGACCATGGGTTGCGTCAGAGCTAATTTCTTTTGTGCATGGCTAAGTGGTGAAAGTGGGCGGCGAGCTTTTTTTCTTCTTCTTAGAGGAATTATGTAGCTATCTGCGTCGCCTTGGAAACGATCACTCTACCAAGTTTCCAATCTTCCTGGGTTACTGCCCTTCGTAGCCCGATTCTCGATGATTCCGCAATTTCTCTTTACACCCGCTCAAGTCCCGGCTTGAGAAACAGCTCCACGGGTACTGAGTCTTTCAAATCTTTGTTGTGCTAGAGATGCGACACGAGGATATTATTGACCGGGCAAGCTCGACGGTGGTAATTGTCATAGTCGGCATGCAACTTTGATCTTGGCTTCCAGATGACTCAGACCTCCAGAGCTGCCCATACTAAATAAAACTCTACGGCAAGTGGCTCTTCGACGTCTTCTTATGTGAGTGAAGACAAAGCTGGCGCAGTGGTCGCTGGTTCAGCTGAAGCGGTAGAGGTTGTGACAAGTGCCACCTGGGCACGCCATGCTGATCATCTTGTAAGGCAGTGACGTTTGTGTATGAGGATGCGGACATTTGTCCTCGTATCTGGTTCAATGGATCACTGCTGTAAAACTGCCCCGAGCTTACTATTACGTCTGTATTGAGAATTGTACCAAGGCGGAGACTTCTTCGCATGGCATGGATTCAAGTGTTCGAATATAGAGTGGAAGTGCGGCGTATCCCAAGCCATTTGTTCTGACTTTTGCCTATCTCCAATATTTCCGAAGTTGAATGTTGTGCACTGAAGCAAGGAAAAGAAACTATACTGTCCTTTCTTGTTTTATTCCCCTGGTGTTTAGATTAATAAGTCCGAGATTGATAGAAAGTCGAGCTTGAGATCTTGTTGATCATGATTTACTCGAGTGGCTTGTATTGAGGTCTATGAAAGACATACTTGTCGAAGCCCACGCAACCTCGAAAATACCCATAACTTGACTACAGTATGAGAATGGTCAAGTAGACCAGATGGCTTTCACCCCATGGCTTGGAGCTCAACGCAGTTTCTTGCCGCTGGGCTGGATGCGAAGAAGATAACGAGCTTGGAAAATAGCATTTTTGAACGGGCGGTTATTGGCATGGGAATCTCAAGATTCAAGCGAGGTTCTGCGTCATGGAAATCCGTGCCGGACAAAAAGTAAAAGTTTTCTCAAAAGAATCACCTCGCTTCTCGCAGCCCCATAGCCGGGTCACCAAAGTGAATGCAACTGCTGGCTTCGTGCTTGATGACAACGAATCGTCATATTTGTTGTAATTGAGGAAACGGGTCACGATTTAAGCAGATCTACTCGCAGGACATCGCGGAAATGATGCAGACCTGAGCTCCCTCATGACCTCGTATGATAAAGACTACGATAATGCTCCATTTCGAAGCTGCATTAGGGCCATTTGGCAGTGACATCACATTTACGAGGACCTTTTAGGCTCTAATCAGCTCCTGCGCCTAGAGCAGTAGGCGCTGCATGCCGATGTCAAGATAGTGTGGCCTGGTCGCAGTAAAGCCAACAGAAACGAGACCAGCGAGCACACCTACTGACATTTGCGCGGTGGTGGCCGACTTCTCTCAACAGTTTCGAGGGCAAGCAATGAGCGAAGCCTGTGCCGGTGATTATCGATACAGTTCGCCTTGCTGGCACTCGTGGTTGAAGGGGGGGGGGGCGGTTGTTTGTCCGCAAGAATAGTTGAATATGGAACAAGACACAGGACGTGGCATGACGCATCCAATTGTCACACTCCGTCACTTACACGTAAGTGGGAAAGAAATTTATTCGCGGCAGCGCACATTCGCTCGCACATTAACTCCAACTCCTACATAAGAATAATCACAGATGTAGGCCGTTCACCGTGGGCTAGTGAACCTCGTTATACAGCGAGTGGGAGGCCGGCCTTGACGAGTACATGCGTATAGTCTAGTCATTTGCTATGGCGAAGACAACTGGCTTTTGCCGCTTCGGCAAGCTCTATCCAGGACTTTCGAAGGCGGTTCCTCGATGTGATCGGCCAAGCCGCTTGAGCAAGCGCTAAAAGGGAGGTGGTTTTTTTCTCATCGGTAAGGCTGAAGTCGTTAGCCCTCGGAACGGTGCTAGTGGCGTCGCAGAAGTGCCGTTGGCCGCCCAGGTGCACGTACGCAGACCCGCGTCGTTGGCTCGCATCGCTGTTCTGGACGCGGCCGACCTGTCGGTCCGACCATAGTAAGATCAAATACGAGGGCTACAAGAGACGGGGCTAATTCTTCAGATAGCTTGAAGCGTGCGCCTTGATAGCGATGATCTCACAAGACGGTAAGCTTCAAATGTTGGCACTGTCATCAGGGAGTGACCAGCCCCTTGTTGACGCAAGGCGAAGCATATAGCTATGCTTATTATCCGGACTATCTGGATTATCGGATTGTCTACTGGGGGTGCCGGGGGGAAGCTGCCTCCAAGGATGCCGAGTAGTCTCTTGCAGGTCACCGAACATCACTATTTCCCAGGCATGAAGGGTCTCGCAGTGGCCCCACTCATTCGCGGGACGAGTGGACACAGCCTCCTTCGAAAATCGAGCGGGATGGCGGGAATGCCGTGTTCGTCATTAGAGTGGATAGTTAGATGGGTAATGAGCTGGTGAGCTAGGTGAGGTGAACAGCAAACAATCAAGATGGGCAACAAGATCAGTTTGAGAAGCATCTAGTCTTATCTAAGACATGCAGCGAAGCATAGATGTGGGCTTGTTGCGTGAAATGGTTGCAATGTCGACCTCTTCCTTTGTTCAAATACGAGATTGACAAGTAGTCAGGTGGCTTAAAATAGCAGCATCACACTCCAGTACTGAACGTGTATTGTGTGCCTCAGGTAGGGTAGGTACCCTGGTAACTGGAGCAGGTCCCCAAATCCCAGCAATCTGGAAGTCAATCAGTCAGACAGCCCCAAGCCCCCTGTGGGAGTGCTCTTTTCAGGGGACTACACAGTAGAGTCGCGGCCAATGGTGTCTGCTAAATACTCGGTACCTCTTTAAGGTCAGGGCCAAGGAGGATGGCGGCCCTTGCTTGCGCATGCCAGGGGACTGCTGGACTCTGAGGTCATCGGACCCACTGTCAGAACTCAAGCAAGGCTTATCACCAGTGTTCTGTCGGGTCTGTCTGGTCTCTGCATGCAGGCTAAGAACAGAATAGCCCACGCCCGTCTGGCCGCCTGTCGATGGCGCGGCCTGCGTTGCGTTGCCCTGCGTTGCGTTGCGTTGCATTGCGTTGCAGCCGGCCCAGTACATAGACTTTTCTCGATGGCAGGGAAATCCTGCTTTCATTCGTCAGGACTGGCCCAGAAGAGACCCAGAACAGAGAGGTCTTCTGGCGTGTCTGCCAGTTGGACTGCTGATTTTGGTGCTAGCCCGGGCCCCTCCTCCACATTTTGCATCTCCAGAATTCCAGATCGAGGCCATCCCTTGCATCGCTTTGACGCCGGGCTACAACCACCGCTGGGACTGGGACTGCTCAAGAGTACCGGGGGCCCGGAATTCTCCCACCAACCGCCCTCGTCCTCAACAAGCCGCTATTGTCGTCATTGTTTATTCTTCCCTTTTCCCCCAATACAACTGCCGGCCCTCTTCCCTCCCTCAACGTCTCCCATGTGGACTTGCTTCGGCTCCGTCCTGCTCTTTTAATCGACGAATCTGCGTCATCCACTCGTTTGATATCGATCAACCGACGGTTCAGCTGGCAGATTGACCACGCCGTCCGGAGCGAAGCGAAGCGACTCGAACCAACGCAAACCAGCCACGACCATATCCGCCGACCCTTCTCCCGGCTGTGACCTGGTCCAGTGAACAGGGAGCCTCCTTTATCCTGGCTCTCCCGTTCTAAGCGTCTGCGAGTCGAGGAAGAGGGGCATAAGGGAGAAAATTCCATCTCGTCTGAAGAAACCCCCGACGATCCCCTTGACGCCTGCCGCGAGTACCGACCGCTTCTCGACCATTTGCCTCGCCTTCACCCGCATTTGCTCGCGATACGGCGATTCGCACTTCAATCACGCCTCGGTGGAACGAAACAAGTTGATTGCCCACCTTGGGCATACAACTGTCCACGATGGAGCCCTTATCGAGAACTATGCGCTTCGTCGCTAGGCAAGACGACGATGATCCGGGCAAGAAGCTGATTGATTTGATATCAGATCCCTTCTCTAGCGAGGCAAGTCACTTGTCCACCTGTCTTGCCATGCCACAGAGTCTTGGGACTAATTAGAGAACAACCGCAGCTTGCTACTTCTTCCGTGTGGGCTTCCTTGGCCTCGTCGCTAGGCGTCACCGCTGCCGTCGTCCTGTTATTCTCCTTCTTCCGCCCATACCATACTGTCGTGTACGCGCCGAAACTCAAACATGCCGATGAATCTCGAGCACCACCGCCATTGGGCAAGGGACCATTCTCTTGGATCCCGCCACTATGGCAGACCACCGAGAAAGACATGATCAGGCTAGCTGGGCTGGACGCTGTAATATTCTTGCGCTTTATCAATATGCTGCGCAACATGTTCGTCATCATGGCTGTCATCGGCTGCGCCGTCCTGGTACCCGTCAACTACACCCAGTCCATCCGATTTGACAGCGACACCTGGCTTATGCGATTGACTCCTTCAAACGTATGGGGCACCGCGCAGTGGGCCACCGTTCTCTGCGCTTGGCTATTCAACATCGTGGTACTTGGTCTGTTGTGGTGGAACTATAGAAAGGTTCTACACCTGCGCCGGGAATACTTCGAGACCCCAGAGTATCAGCAGAGCTTGCACTCCAGGACTCTCATGGTGCGTTCAGTATACGCAGAGGCATCCCCTTGCATCTAAGATGCTGACAAGTTGATACAGCTGTACGACATACCAAAGAAACTTTCATCGGATGAAGGAATCGCAAGACTTATCGACATCGTCGCACCAAATTCCTCATTTTCAAGAACCGCTATTGCGCGTGATGTCAAGGTCTTGCCTAAGCTGGTGGAAGAGCACGAGAAGACCGTGCGGAAGCTGGAGAAGGTTCTCTCCAAGTATCTCAAGGATCCCCATAACCTCCCCGCTGCTAGGCCAGTTTGTTCGCCCTCCAAGAAAGACCCATCTTACTCTACCTATCCTAAGGGGCAAAAAGTCGACGCGATCGAGTACCTCACCCAAAGGATCAAGACGCTGGAGTATGAGATCAAGGAGGTTAGATCGAGTGTGGACAAGCGGAACACCAAGCCCTTTGGATTCGCTTCATATACCGAGATCAGCGAGGCCCATGCGATTGGATACGCTGCCCGGAAGAAGAAGCCCCAGGGCGCCATTATCAAACTTGCCCCTCGACCCAGCGACGTAATCTGGGACAACATGCCCCTCACTGCCGCTACACGTACCAGGAAGAAGTTGTTCATCAATCTGTGGATCGCTTTCCTGACTCTCCTATGGATCGTTCCCAACGCAATGATAGCCATCTTCTTGGTCAACCTCAGCAATCTTGGATCAGTCTGGCAAGACTTCCAGATCTCGCTGGAGGCCAGTCCTGTCTTCTGGTCCATCGTACAGGGTATTGCATCACCAGCAATCACGTCCTTGGTATACCTGCTGCTCCCCATCATTTTCCGCCGGTTGTCAATGAGGGGTGGTGACCAGACCAAATCTGGCCGGGAACGCCACGTTATTGGGAAGCTGTTCAGCTTCTTCATTTTTAACAATCTGATCGTCTTCTCCCTATTCAGCGGAATGTGGACCTTTGTGGCAAACGTGCTGAGCGATGCCAACAACGGCACGGACGCGTGGAAAGCAATCGTGGAGCAGGATTTCGGAACCTCTGTTTTGGTCGCCCTCTGCAATATCTCGCCTTATTGGGTGACTTACCTCTTGCAGCGCCAGCTGAGTACGGCCGTCGACCTGGCACAACTGTGGAGCCTCATTGTCAGCTTCGTCATGCGCAAGATAGGATCTCCAACGCCGCGGGAGATGATCGAGCTCACCGCCCCACAGACATTTGAGTACGCCAGTTATTACAACTATTGCCTCTACTACGCCACCGTAGCTCTGTGCTATGGTGTTATTCAACCTCTGGTTCTGCCATCTGCGGCTTTGTTCTTCGTTATCGACTGCATTTTGAAGAAATATCTTCTCATGTACGTGTTCATCACCAAGAACGAGAGCGGTGGCATGTCTTGGCGGGTACTCTTCAACCGCATGATGTTTGCACTTGTCCTCTCCAATCTTGTGGCATTTCTGGTTGCCTTTATGCGAAGCACCTACACTCAGGCTTATGCCGTGGTACCGCTGCCCTTCATCGTCATCGGCTTCAAGATCTACTGCGCCAAGGCCTTCGACGACAAAATACACTTCTACTCGACCCGATTTGTTCCTCGCGGAGCCGAGCCAGAAGTCGGCATCTTGAGCAAGGAGAACCTGAAAAAGCATGATCGGCTGGCACGGAAATTTGGTCACCCTGTGCTTTATAAATCTCTCATTACGCCTATGGTCCATGCCAAGGCGCAGACCATCCTCGCAAGCGTGTATCAGGGTCGGTTGAGTGACGGGCGTGAAGCCGGGGAGGCCGACGGGACTATGTCCGAGTATAGCGATACATACGCCCTCGACCCTATGCGTGCAGGAAGGCCGGGCAAGGCAGCTGGAAATGGTCTTTCTGGCTTTGAAATTGTCCCAGAAGGGAAGCTGGATTTTGAATACTACAAAAACCGGAGCGAATTTGCCGAGGACCATGGGCAAGGCGACCTGTTCGGCCGCCCCAGCGATATGATGCGACCCGGCACGCCAACCAGCACTTTTGGCGGGTCAGACACAGATTCCAGACCAGGCACACCTGTGGGGGGTATGTTCAGTGGCAACAAAGGTGGATTTGCGCCAACATCCGTCAGTGGTGTCGGAGGCGACAATATGGCTTACGGAGCTGGATACGCCAGTCCTTCGGCTCAGTATTCCCCGAGAATACCGCCATTTGGCTCGCCAGGCATGGAGTACCCATCACGGACACGCTCACCATACGGCCTAGTCGCAGCTAGCGACTCCACGTCGAATCTGGTCCAGTCAGCAGCACCGATAGCATCGCCACCAGTTGGCTATGCCCACGATGCTGGTTCAAGGAGCGCCAGCATCGATCGGGGAACTACAAGTTTCGATCGGCCAATGGCCGGAGGACGGCCAGCACCTGGGTCGTTAGGCGGCGGACCCCAGGGCTACGGGAACCTACCGCAGGCCGAGGCTGACTACGAAGACCCGATGAATTATAATTATTTTAGAGGAGGAACCGGGAGGTCGAGACATAATGGTTAGAAAACACGCGATCAATGGAGACAGTCGGGGGAACATCCCCGTGAGAGGGAAACTCAAATGAGAGAAGTCTGTTTCATCTACACAGACACAATTGCATAGGCTTGGCGTAGGCTGGGTGACGAATAATGATTGGGAAATCCCAGGATGGGCGGGACTGGGCTATAGAATAGAAAAGCTTTGAGGAGAGCTTTAAGATTTAGCGATAGATATAGCCTGGTGGACACAATTCCCGTCATGCTGTAATAGATACGCAGGCCATGACTGCTGTTGACCTTCGCAAAGAAGATTCCATGTTTGTGTGGGCGAGGTGGTCTCGTAACTGTATCACTCTTTTCCTGGGCTAAGCAAGCTATATCCAGACGTCTTCAGCAGGACCACCACTTAGGAGTCCTTTAATCTGGATCTGATGTAGGATTTCAACTAGAGATGATTTTCCAGGTTCAAAATCCTCTCAAGTGACGCATAGATTCGGAGATTTCCCAATGCACTTTTACCGGATGACTTACTACCTATCTAGGTCCGTACGTCTCGTTCTGGTCAACCATGGATCTCAAATGAATGGCCCTAACAATCCCGAAGCCTTTCCTTTCTGCTAAGGTACTTGCCCTAAATATTCCAAGATGGTCTGGCTTTGTTATCAAGACCTCTTACTCCTTTCACTTAATTTACAGCGTTTCATCTGGCTACGTGGTGTTGGCGATATTTAAAGCGTGGCGAAGATCGAGAACGCCAGACGCCTTCGGTCGTCAGTTGGTACTCGTCTTGGTCGACAGTGGTCAGCCTGAGTGGTCGCAGCACGGGTTCTTGCGTCACAAACGCAAAGATGAGAACGCCTTTGATCCATTCCAATTTGGCGTGGGCAACCAACCGAGAGATGAAAACCCTCCGTTGAATTTTATTCGAATGTTCCGCGGTAACTCCCCCCCCCCCCACCACCTCCAACCGTCATCTAGGTACTCAATGCTTCGCACACTGTGGTGGCCCCGTCCAAAATGCTTGCTCGCCTGAGAAAGTGGCTGATCCCAGAAATAGTACTTTTTTATATAAAGGTGCAGAAAATGGTGCGCTTCAGCATTCCCATCTCAAGTTCCCCTTGCAAGCAGTCCTGAGAAGATGACCTCGGAATCAAAAAAGCCTCTCACAAATACGCTATCCCGTCTCTGTCTCCTCCGCCATTTGCCATTTGCTCAGAGTCCCATACGGTAGACCAGGCAGGGTGTGCCCGAAGAGCATGGCCTCTGGTATATCTCCGTAAGAGAAGCCCTGGATGTCGCCTCCACCAAGACCTTCTAGAGCTTCAGCGATCCGCATGGACTCATTCTCGCTAAGAATGTCGAGCAATCGAGCCTCTGGAATCACGTCCGGGTCGTGAGTCCCAGACAGAGAGTGAGGAGGAGGCGGTGGCGAAAGTGGGCCTGCCTGGGGCACAGGCCCAGCCCTCGTATAATCCGAGCCTGAGAGACCATCAATTTTCGGTGACGATCCCAAGGCGAGCACTTCATGACGTCCCCCGGCGGTTGTGTTATTAATCGCGGTAAACATGGACGGGATGGAGCGCGGGGTCTTTCCCGCGAGGTGGGTGTCGGGTCCCGTCGGAGACCCGCGTTCCGTTGGGCTTGCCCTTGACTGATCTGAGCAATCGTATGGCCCGTGTCGATCATCCTCGGCCATGATCATGCCGTTGTTGATGATCTTCGAGTTCTGGATTTTCCATTCCTCCAGTCCTCCGCCGTGAATCGGGTGCTTGCCATCATCTTGGGGAGCGGTCTCGGCTTTGTTGTTCCCGTGGACGAGTCCGTGGTATTCGATTTTGATCTTGGCCATGTAATTGTCCAGATCCTTGCTGCTCGGGCAATATGATTAGCATCGTCCGCAGGCAACCAGAACACATCATGACTCAGCACGACTCGACTTGAAATGGCAGGAATCCGGTCAACTTACAAATAGCCCAGATAAGTTGAAGCCATCTTCAGCCATCCGGAGAAGCGCACGAGAGTTTGGTGACAGATCCCGGTCGGGCCGACTTTTGTCATATCCATCTCAGACTCAGAAACATTGCCATCCTCGTCATCGTCAACTAGCATGTGCCTTTTCTGATCCATGTGTGGAAAGTGCCACGCATATTGCCCAACGAAGGCCGCTGTCCAGATTGTGAAAAGAACCAGTGCAGACATGGGTAGCTTTTCGCGGCATATTTCGATCACATCGACGATGTCCTTGGCAGCCTTAAAGACCTGCTCTGCACTGTGTTCCCAGAAGCCTTTCGGAATGTCGTATTCGCCGGCCGGAAAAGTTGGCTCGTCCAGAGGACCAACAGGCCTGTCGCAGCGAATCGGTAGGAAAGGGATGTATTCGCTGCGCTTATGTTAGCCGAACTTGAAAACTCCAGTTGAGTATACCACAGAACCAATTGAGCAACAATCATGTAGGCTTACCGATGTAGCATGATTTGACAGACGCTACCGAGCATATGTAGAGATACATATACACTCGACGCTTGATGATTTTCATGCCTATGATAGTTTGATGTCGACAGGGTGAAAGTCGATGGTAGGTCAGCATAGAATGCTTCGAGCTTCTTCCGAAGTTGGAAGAATTTAGTTCGCGTATCCCATGGAGGGTAGACCTCAACCAGGCGACCACCAGCGAAGCTGAACTTGGAAATCTCACCCCAAAGGTCCACTAGCCGTACGAATCTGCTAAGCACGCTGTCGTCCTCCACATCTCTGGGACCTTGATCGTCGGGTGACCCGTTCAGGAATCCAGTCCTCACGTCCTTCGATAGGTCAAACGCCCACTCGTTGCACGGTAGCTGGATTTGGAGGTCCTCGGATCTGATGGTTGGCACGCGCTCCTTCCCACAGGCAAGTAGGCGGTCAAGGATGAGGCAACTAAACATTGTCCTCCTCTTTATCTCCTTTGCTATCATCAACTCCGGGTGTGAGGCAGCTATCCTCGGTGATGAACTCTTGCTGGATCGATTTGCTCTGGCTCGAGACTTGGCGTCGGGTTTGTCACCGAATCCAAGGCCTAGCGCCTGAGCCATCCGAATGGCGACGCCCACGTACATCCACGCACCCAAACCACCCGTCTTCGGCTGCACTTGACTCCACTCATACAAGCCCAACATCAGGAAAGCTTGAACCCTCTCTACCGAGGCCGTGGTCATGGTTGTGCCCAATGGGCCCAAAGCTTTCCTCAAAGCCTCAGCAAAGTATTCGGATGCAGCAGATGAGTCTGGTTTGTTCTGTAGAGGCCGACTCTTGATAGCCCCGGCTTGCGAGCTGGCTGTGTGGGTAGCATATTTGACTAAGTCTGGGTGAAATCGGGCTGTAAGGGTGAGAACTCCGAGCAGCACAAGGTTAGTGTCCGGGGAGGCGTCCTTTTGGTTTGCCCTGAACTTGTTGCCCATGTTCTCCTTGAGTGTTGGTATGTGAAGAAACGGCAGCTCAGTGGCGAAGTGAAGCCTATAGATATCGAATACCTCTGACCACAGTTTCGGTGTAAGATAGTGTGCGGACAGAACGTCATCAGCGTGAGCTGCGGCCGAATACTGGCCTTCTGTTCGCGACACATCTTCGATCTTCTTGAGACGCTTCCGGTCTGACCCTGCATCGCGCTCAGTCTTGATGCCAGTGGGAGGATCGCTTCGCTTGGGCGGTATGGGCGTGGCTTCTGGATACTTGCAATCCTTCCCTTGTTTGATGCATGTCTCGCAAGGTGAGGAGCCTCCGTCATTGTCACACTTAATCTTCGACTTTCGACATCGGAGACAAGCAATGCTCGACCGCATGGGCTGCCGTTTGATGACAGCCTTTTTGTCATCAACGCCACTCATGACGGCAAATCCTGCACTGCTTCTGCTTTCATCGTAAGCCTGCCCATGCCCAGCTCCCGGCCCGCCGACCGGCACGAAGCCCTTGATGGAGTGGTTGTGGTAGGTCGGCGGGGGAGGTGGCAATGTTGGGGTCGGGGGTACCGACGGAGGCTCTCCGGACCCGGCAACAAAGGCTTCCTCGAACTTTCGCTTCGGTGTGGAGTGAACAGACGGGGCGGGAGGTGTGCTGGCCGTTTCATCGGCAGACGGGTCGGGTGGGGAGAGAATAGACTGTAGAGAGGTAATTGTGTCGGTTGTTTGGGTCCTTGGCAGACCCTACCACGAGCTCTAACAGCTGGGAGTGACCCGGGTTCGCGACGAGAGAGGGGCACGGCAACAAGTTCCCTCCTGTTCCAATAGCCGTTTGCGCAACTCGCAAGCGTTGTGAGGCGAGAGCAGCGGAAGAGCCAAGCGTGGTGTGTTCGCGGTGGCTCAGAGAGCTAGATACGTGATAGTCGAGTTCCGCAACGGCAGGTCTGAGCACGCTGGTTACAACACGGCCTCTAGCTCGACGTTGGATTCCCGGATGGATGCCGCTTGCTTGCGCGATGTGTGACGGCATCCAAGGTATGCAAGCAGCCGCGTCTGTCCACTCTAACGAAACTGGCTTGTACAGGACGAGACACTGAGGCGTCTTGAGCGACGGGACGTCCAACACACGAAAGAGAATCGTTTCTAGAGCGCCTTGCTAGAGCAGCGCTAAGGTCAAGAGTTGGTGTCGGGAAGATGCGTTGCCTAAGAGCGGTGGAGAAAGCCGCAACTTGTCTGACCACATGAAGCTGGGTATTGAAGCACTCTTGTCTGCTATGGGAGCCGGCGTAGGAACACGGTGGTTGGAGGATGGCGGTCCGAAATGATGCCTAGGGATATATGACAGGTGAGGTGGAAGAAGCAGTTTGGCGCCGGCCGGTGGCGCTGCCTATGGTAGACTATATGGGCAACCTGGCTCAAGGTGTCTAGGGGGGGCTTCAATCTGCGAGCTGGGCGATGGCAGGGGAGGGTAGGGCAGGCAAGGCAAATAGACGGGCTGTGATGAGCAGCATCTGGTGAGAGCCAACACGCAGGGCAGAATAGAGGATATGAGAAGAGATCAGAGATCATCCGAGCTCCCTCCCTGGCGACTAGCTAGCTGGCCAGGGCTGTCAGGCTGGTTATCCCCAGCGCGTCCCGTCCCCCGGACACGGGCAACACGGTTCGGCTAGAGGCACCCACTGAGGGACTAATCAGATCAAGGGGACCCCACGCTACTGTAGCAGGGAGGGGTTTGTTGAAACGAGTTGGCGATTGTGGGCGGCGGACCGGTCAACGACAGGCCCACCCAGGCGCATCTCGCATCTCGACCAGGTGCAACACCACACAAGTACTGTACTTGAAATAACCAGGCACAGGGATCCTGCAGGCCGCCCAAGAAACTCGATCAGAAGCTTGCGAGACAGTACAGTCTGCATGAGTATGCCACCAATATTTGCGATAGCATATTGCCTCTTCTCCTAGTGGCAGGTACAGCTCCAGCACAACGGCAAAGAGGCAGGCCAGCAGCAGGGCGGCCCGCAGACACCCGGCAGACACACGGACAGACGAACCTGTCAGGCAACATTTTGGGACACATGCAGGGCCGAGGCATGGGCGTTTCTGCACGGCGGGAAGTCGGTGACTCTCCGGCCGAAGATGAGGAGGACCAGGGGGTATGTCGTTCCGATTCCTGGCAGATGCAGAAGCAGGCCGACGGTAGTGGAACGCACACCAGCCCCCGAAGAGCCCCCGAGCAGCCTTTTTTTTTGTGCTGCGTACTGCGTGCTGCGCGCTGCGTGTAAGGAAGCCCATGAGAAGGGTCCTCGACGATTGTCACACGCACGAGTAGTAGTGGTCGGTCGCGTCTGGGGAAGGCGATGCCTCGGCAGGAGAACCGATATCAAGACAGTTTCGACTCGGGCTGAGCCAGAAACTGTATTTTGGCCGACTGACTCGTGGGGTGTCGTTGGACCCTGGGAGAGGAAACAGCAGCGGGCGCAACATGCGAGGTGCTCGATGCGCAAACCCCATGTTGACTGGGCATGCCGATGCCGAAAAGCGCGGGTAGTAAGGAAACGATTGCTTTTTTAAGCTACGTGCATGAGAAGCGCCATCCGGAACAGAAACATGACGGCAACCCTGTGCCAACCCTGTGCGCTAGACGGGGATGCCGTTCGCGTGTGAGTGGGGACTCTGGAAGTCTATTATTACAGTATTGCAACCGTACAGCATGTATGGTACCGTAACTGTAGGCTTCTGATTCAGAACGGAAGGGGTCTGGCCGTCCTCGAACGACCAGGCCAGCAGCGGCCAGCAGCGGCAGCAGGAACCAGGTGCGGGTGCAATGCCGGGCTGGTCACGTCGTGGGCTGACCCATGGACCCAGACAGCCCAGGGGGAGGGAAGCTTGAATGGATCTGGGGACGAGGAGCTGGAGATGGGCCGTGATGTGATGTGACTGTCTGGCCGGGGTCCGTGTCCCTCACCGACCCAAGTCTCCAGTGCGGGATGGATTGGGATGCCTGAGACGCCTGAGAACATGCTCGTAGCGGGCCGTACCATGAACTCTATATCCCGATGGTGTAGCGTTGGGTCTAGGTCCCACGGGCCTCGCTTGAATCTTTACCAGACACGCTCGGCCCTACAGCTACAGTGAGACTGCACTGCACACACGGCAGGACACGATGATAGAGCCAGAGAGTCACTTCTCGTGAGACCTCGTGGTCGCCGATTGGCTGCCGGCTGTTTGAAGGCATACCCAGCAGCCATTAGCCGTCCGGAGAGGCGAAGGATGCAGCATGTGCCTGATTGACAGCCCACTCCAATCTGCCTCTTCCGACAAGGTGGTGTTTTGAAGGAACCACGGATGTCCTGTCGTCAAAGTCGGCAGGACTGGCTGGCTGGCAGGCTGCACTGCACTGCACGCATTGTTGCTATTAGTAGGCAGACAGGAGGTGGGGGTCAGAGTAAGATGGAAAAGAGAGGGCCAGTGAGGGAGAGAAATACAGATTAGAGTTGACGTCCACATGTCACGTGACAACCCAATTGCGTGTTTCTGAGACCATCACCAGACTACAAGAAAGTAAACACTAAGAAGCAGCATGTGGGTGCGAGGACGAAGGCTGCTTGCGATGAATGGCGAAATGCGTCGGCCGTAGTGTTGTCTTGTCGCCTTGGCAGTTGTTGGACATTGGCGGGGGCGTCCAGGTTGCTCGTCTCAAAAGCCCAACCAACACCCAATGACGTCGCTCAAGCTGGCAAGCTTGCGACGGCCTCGACGTCTCTAAGCTCCCTCTCCCGCAAGAGGCCTCTCAAGTCGATCCCCTTCAACCACGAGGCGCCCGCCCCACACAACGCATCTCATTAAGCGCGCAGGTGCGCCTCCCTCCCTCACCCTGTTTTCCCCTTTTGACCAACTCGAATACCTAGGTCATCTTTCTTCCTGGTCACTTCCTTTTTCCCTACTGCTAACCCCGCCCAAGGTCTCGGGACACATACTCACAGCTCTCATTGTGCGCCCCGCCGTGCTGTTTGCGACAAACGACGCTGTTCTGTCTCTCCACTCTCCTGGCGAGTCTTGGCTGCGATCAAGCCGCTGAAACGCTCTCAGATAAGCTGTGGCCGGGAAGGCATCCTTCGAGAACACAATGCCTTCCGGACAGAATGTGTGTACAACGAAGTGCAGATGAACAATTACGTCTCCGGACACTAACTCTACGAGTAGGATCCCAAGTTGTTGTACGCCGTAAATGGCGTGTCGGCTTATCATCTTGCTAATGGCAAAGAAGAGTCACTCACGCAGGCCGGGCCTCAGACCCTATCTTTGCTGATGGTCCCTACCTCCTCACCCTTTGCCGACGCCTCTGCTCTAGGTCCCTCGTCCGCACCACCTGAAGAGGACTTCTACCTCCACCTTCACCTGCCGCCTGAGCTCGACTTGCCTCTCCCGGCAACGACCCAGATCTACCACCAACCGCCCAGGAGCTATCTGATCCCGCGATGGGATCTTGGCCCCGACAGCGGCGCTTTCACGAGGATTGAATTTCCCGAGCTGGGGAGTCGGCCGGGCGTCCAGGACGATATTGACACCTGGGAGACATGCATAGCTCAGTGCACGGCTTTTTTGGAGCGTTCGCCGCCCCCGCTCCCCAAGGACACGAAGTCAAGCACATTTCCCATCAGGGGAAGCTCTTCCAAGTCAAAGGCTGCCCTTGCGGCAGAGGAGCAGCTTCCTGCCTACAACCCAGGCAACTACAAACCCGGAGAGGCGTACGCGCAGGGTAGCCACAGCTCTATTCACGGCGGTCAAATAGTTTTGGTGGACGAAGAAGATGGCAGTGTTATCGGTGAGCTCGGCGAGGGCTTCGATATGGTGGAGAGTAGTTCTTTAAAGCCAGGCTCGAAAGGTGAGCTAACATACCCGCGTATATCTTGGGGGCAAGGGACTAAAACATGCTTCTTAGATCCCGTGCAGATCACGCTACCAGCGGAGGGCTCGAATAAGATTGCTATCGCGCCGGCGAATCCCGAAGACGTGGACCTTGCGATGCATCCAGCATACAAGAAGTCCACCCTGGTCTCGAATGCTGCAGCCGCATCGCGACTGATAGTGACCACCTCAGATTACGTCTCTAAAGCGCTGCAGGGCAGTGCGGACACTTTCACACAGAAAACGAAGCCAGTTGCCAAGCCCGTAACTTTTAAACCGACGACGAAGGAACACGTCCGCAGGGTACACACTTTTACGACCGGCGCGGCCGGTGTCTCAGCGAAGACGGTTGGCTCAATAGGCAAGGTTGCACAGAACCTGGGTGCGACCCTCGGCCGGCATGGTAAGAACAACGGCCAGGGCAAAGGGTTCGACAAGGACGGTAAACCTCTTGACACCTACAAGCCTGGTATCCTCAACAAGAGCATGATGGCCTTCTCAACAGTAGCAGACGGCATCGAGCAGGCTGGGCGAACGCTTCTCGAATCCAGCTCAAACGCCGCTACGACTGTCGTGGGCCACCGATGGGGTCCCGAGGCTGGCGAGTTGTCACGAAGTCTAGGAGGAGGCGTGAAGAACGTGGGTTTGGTCTATATCGACGTGACTGGTGTCTCCCGACGTGCGATCCTTAAGTCGGTAGCTAAGGGTATGGTCGTCGGCAGAGTCAAAGGCGGCGGCGAGGTGGTGGTCGGCGGCGGTGACGGCGGCGAGGGCGGCGAGGCGGCCATGGCTGGTGCATTACCTGGCCCACAGCAGCAATACCTGGAGGGCAAAGGCGCAGGTACCGCCTCAGAAACCAGCTCGATAAGCGGAGTGGAGGGTAAGAAGCCTGCGATGAAGTATTGAATGTCTGGGCGGTCACCTTGGTTTGAGTAGTTCTCTTCTCGCACGAGCGCAGCTTCTCCTAGATCTCTTTTGGCCGCCCAGTACCGGAGCGCGACGGTGAACAGTATCGACTGCGCAACGTATATAAGTACACGGTGGCTCTAGATAATGAACAATAGCAATGAATTGTATGCTTTGAGATGACAGAAGTCTGCCGTTGGATAAGAGTGTTGATAGTTTGCAGTAAGCGAGCGCGGTTCCCTCAGCCGAAGGGATGTGCGCTATTGGTACACACATACTGACACATTCTCTACTTGCGGGCACCTTGGCAGTCAAATACTTATAAGCGAGTCGCGTCCATGCAGGGAGATCGCGCCCAGAGCCGGCCACTCGGCCGATCAATAACGCCCTAACCAGACAGCATTGGAGTCTGAGCCCTTTGGGGTAACAAAGTCCAGGCCCGTATAGCTGTCCCAAAATCCACCTGCTCGAGCTCGACAACGTGGCATAGAATCCACCATGACCGCGCTGCTCAATTCGGATGCGAAATAAGCACTGCAGAGCGCTCGCTGTATGCACGCACATTGCTACGACGCGTCTCGCTTGAGAAATCCCCGCCAACTCCCCAGCCCCACGTCACTCGGCACTTACCCTCAAGAACAGGCATCTTCGCCGCAGATCCATCCCCCATGTGTTGTCGATGGGAATTGTGCGGGTCCTCCATCTTGCTCTATCACCAGCTTGTCGACCGTCGCAAACAGGTACAGGAGAAAGCACGCGCTGCTGATGGGGCAAGGTCAGACCAAACCCCCCCACCCCTCCCAAAGCAGCCGCCGCAGATGTCATCTTCTGCTCCATGCGACGCCCCCCACGCGCCCTACGCTGACACAAAACCTTCTCGCTCCAGGCGCAAGGGTCAAACCTCCCCAAGATGCTCCACGAAATCCTCCTCTCCCTCTCAGGACACCCTTCCCCCTTGCTCCGAACCGCCCAAGCCTCAGACCCCAATGCGCCCGCTAGTGCCCTGATCTCGCCGCCGGAGCGTGAGCTCCTGCGCTCGGTCGCGCACTTGAGCGAGCTGCACGTCAAGCTGCTCAGCTTCAGCGCCCAGACTGCTGCTTCGCACCGTTCCATGATATGCCGTGCCGTCGCCACCGCGGTCAACAGCCTGCACCTGGCTGCTTTCCAGCGCAAGGTGCTGGAGGTGGAGGAGACTATCCTGCGCAAGGACGCGGGCCTGGTGGGCGCTTATAATATCGTGCCTTTGACGGCCGTTGTCGGCGAGTTCAGCGGCTGGACGAGGAGGTTGGAGTGGCTGTGGGACACGGTGCAGTTCATGCTCGTCAAGGAGAGAAGTTCAGATGGCACTGAGACGTTCTGCACCGGGGCAGCCATCATCAACAGACTGCGCGGAGAGTTGCAGACGGGGTATGCGGATATTGAGGAGACGGCCAGGAGTCTGGTCAGGGTAGCCGAGACCGCCTGGGTGAAGCAGGTGTCCGCCTGGATCTTGTACGGCCGACTTCCCGGTTTTGGCGCCGAGGACTTCTTCATCCAGCAGCCGTCAGACGGAGAGGATGACTTCATTTCACTCCCAAGTCTTCTCCCGTCCTTTGTCACCTCGCCGACAGCAGCGTCCATGCTCTTCATCGGGCGATCCCTGAACCACATTAGGGCCAAGAGCAGCCTGGAAGGCGGCATGCAAGGGATGGACCATCTGTCGTCCCAGCTGCGAGAGCTCTCTCAGCTAACGTATCCACTGGATAGTGCTACCTTCTCACGAACAGTCACAAGCATCAGACTCTTTCTCTCTCGGAATACTCTACAAAAGCTTCTGCCTTTATCAAGGGTCCTGGAGATGCTCCACCTCCTCAGAGACTTCTTTCTCCTCGGTCGTGGCGAGTTCGCGATGGCACTATCACAACAAGCGGACGAGAAGATACGCAGCAGATGGCGGAGGGCTGACAACCTGGCTCATGAGAAGCGTGATGGCCTGAGCAGCGTCGTCGTGAAAGAGGGTGAGGTCATCGCTGTCCTGACCAGGACATGGGCCGCGATGAGCTCAATGCAGGCGCATCAGGTCGAAGAAGACGAGGGTCTTGAATTGGCCAGAGATCTCCTCAAGCTGGCTCTGGCAAAGTCAAAATCGAACACTCCTGCGAGATTGGGACCAGCAAGCCAGATAGTGCCAACCCCATTTCGAAACCTCATGTTCTCTGTTCCCGTCATTCTTACCGTCCGCGTCCCTTCGCCCCTGGATCTCTTCCTCAGCCCGTCTGACGTGCAGGCTTATACAGCCATCAACTCTTACCTTCACTCCATTCGCCGCGCGCACCTTCGGCTCACAGACCTATGGAAGATCACACCGCTCAGGAGACACCACCCGCCACCACCCAAACCGGCGCAAGGGAGTACCAAAGGAGGCCGGGCCCGTGTGATCCTGCTGCGGGAGCGACAAGCCCGCCGGATGCTCGCCATGCGCAGCACATGGACCACGTGCAGCGCGGCGATCTTCTTTCTCGCCGAGGTCGAGGGGTACCTGCAGGTCGAGGTCGTGGCGGAGCTGTGGGAGGGCCTCCAGCGATGGCTCACAACGGGCAGCGACGAGCACCGGCCGCCAGAGTCCACGAGGCCATCACGAGTGCCCACGCCCGCCCCTGTAGAGGACTTGGACGCAATGGAAGAGGATGACGACGAGGACATGTGGCTAGCTGAAGGGGTCAAGACCCCGCGCCCGCGGGATCTCGGCATAAAAGACAAACACCCTCACGACCCCCAGACCTTGGCTGCTGCGCACCGGCTGTACTTGGCCACGCTTGTCCGCAGACTACTGTTGTCACACCAAGACTTTACTGATCCGCTGTATTACCTCCTTGTAGAGGTGGACCAGCTTGTAGCTCTGGTCCATCGGCTGCAAGAGATATGGAATGCGGTAGACCTCGAGGAAGACGTGGGCGTGGTGGATGCCTTTGTTGATCTGGAGCGCGAGGAGCGTGATGTCAAGGGACAGATCAAATCCGTGGAAGACAAGATCAAGGCTGGCATCGAGGGCGTCATCACGGTGTTACGGAGTCTTGAGGCAGATCACGAGGGCCTGGCTTGGGGGAGTGATGATGTCGCCGATGATGGCGAGGGTGGTGCTGGCCTAAGAGAAGAGGGACAATACGTGCCACGCCGTGTGGGCGGTCTAGATCGATTGTTGATGAAGCTGGATTTTGGGAGCTGGTTCAACCGCGGAGACGTTGCCGCAGATCAAGACATGTGACGCCTTTTGTGGTTTAATGAGGGTTCTTGCGTGGCGTTGGGAAGGTTGAAACATACGGGATTCGTCAATGAGTGCAGAACGTGTGATACCAAGAGTCAATGGAATACATTATATCAATTTCTCTCCTTTTGAAAAAGCATCTGGGGCATGCACAAGAAGTCGCGTGCTTCTCTGTTTGCACAGAGAGCAAAGCCCATCTGGAGTCTTCAAGGCGAAATTGAATTCTCGTCTCCTTCGAGGCGTCTTTCTGTCTCATCACCACTCCATTCTGCCTCGGGCAAAGCGCCCACGAACTGCATTATGGAGCCCGGGAACAGCTCGCGGTCGGGATAAGTCCTACGCGGCGGCCACGCACTCTCGTCGGCCTCTGACCCCTGATCACAGGTGAGCAAAGTGGCTTGGTGGCCGTCGACGCGCCAAGTATCTACAGTGATCTTGCCCGGTCTGAAGATATTCGGGTTGGACATCTGGAAGCAGATGATTTTCTTTCCTCAGTCAGCAAAATGTGAGCCCGTGTTATAAACCAGAGAGATAAAGAAGTACAGACATACCTTCCTGATTTGGAGGTCCTCCCTTATTTCAGTAGTCCAGATCATGGGGCTGTCATCCTGGTTACATCTCCGGATCAGCAAGCGGAAGTGGACGAACGCGTTCCGCTCACTGAGGATGACGAGAAGCTCGTCAAGCACCCGGCTCCAAACCCAACCGCTGCCCATGGGCCCCTCGCCCAGTCCGATGCGGAGGTCGATGAAGTGAAGCCGCTGCAGGGTCTCCCGGCCGATGAAGTTTGACATCCTCAGGAAACCCCCGCTGCCGTCTGCCAGGGGAGGCATGCACGGCGGCAGCCGGTCAATGATGAACCACCGGGATTTCAGGACGGGCATGCTCTCGTCGGTGATGCGCCTGCAGAGAAGCAGTATGGTCGGCGTCCTCAAGTGTGCCCGGTGGCACCTCATGTTCCTGGGCTGAGTGGCGGCCTGCCTATAGTAACTCCGGTAAAGGTCCGCACAGTCTGGCCAGTACAACGAGCAGTGGTAGATCATGTTCCGTATCTCGGGCGGGAAGTCGAAGAATGAGAATTGCTTCTTTGCTCCCCCGGCAGTACTGAGTTGGTAGTCGAGTAGTGCGAGGCCATTTCCGCCTTTATTTCCATTCGGTGACTGGGCTTCAGGTGTCAAAGGAGGAAGCACTGCGCGTGAGGAGGGAGAACCACCCGGGAAACCACATGCATTTGGCTGATCAAATTGTTGTCCAGTATAAGTGGGGGTATTATTACTGCGAGCATGTTCGGGACGGGACGAAGCGCAAGCTCGGAAAGCTCCATGCTCTTGCACAGAAGAGGAGGCTTTCGACTCCCGTCTGCAATCCCTTTCTTGTCTCTGGCAAGGTGCCAGTCTGGTTTGAGATACCATCTCTGCACTCATTGAATTGTGTTTTGAAACATTAATTGACGGGTTCAATCTCATGAAAAAGGAGACTCTAGTGCAAGATGTGGCAGATCGTGGGGCTGTCTTTCACGGTCAAGATATGGGGAGACAGTCCCAAGAATCTCAGATATTCACACAGCCGCAACAAAAAAAAATTGTATCCTTCCGGGGACGTCAACACATGCGGACTCCTGGCCCATAGATCTTCGAATGGTTACGCAAGCAGATTATTGTGACTTCCAGCGGGTTTGATCTCGGGACAGCCAGATTCCAATGCAAGCAGGTGTTCAATGAGGGTTGCACACTGACCAGGGCAGCTAGGGTCACACCACAGGTCGAGTATGGCATGCTTGGCAATGCTTCCCTAGGCCGGAAGCCGGTACATGCATGTAACAAACAACGAGAAGAGCCAGCAGCCAATCTGGCATGGGACATGCCACCTCCTCGTGCTGCTTCACCAGGGTACGAGCAGGCCGTGATTCGAAATTTTTGATTAAGCCAGCAAAATGAAATAGGCCGCTGTTGGCCTCCTCCTAGATTTGGGACAAACTGTACCCACCTTTGAACCATTGCTCTGCCCGCATATACGGTCGTTAGTACTGTGTCCATGGGGCAAAGCAATAGATCGGATGAGACCGGATTGTGTGCCGCTCTGACTTAAATCTCATCGGACGGGAAAGCCTGCTGATACCTCAAACTATCATGTTAGGATGTCTTGGGCGGCGTGGCCCAGTGTTGAACATGGGCACAGCTTGCGGCGGCAACACAGGTGAGCGAACGTGTAACTTGCTATGGCCTGGCCAAGATGCCGTTCCACAACACTTGGCCAGCTGACAGATGCTGATCAAGGGAGGCCATCTTGTCGAATTGCTCATCTCGTAGTCGGCTGTAGTCACTAGCTGTACGACCTGCAGGGCTCAAGATGAGTGTGTGTGGATACATCATGAACATGAATTAAGCCAGCTTGATTTGAGAGCATAAACAATTCTGCTTATCAGTCCGAGGTCAAGAGTGGGCTTGACCGGTTCTGACAGGACTTCGTACCCGAAATATCACTTCTCAAAAGGCATCTGGAAGACGATGCATCCTTGGCAAATGCCAGCCCAACTTCGGAAGCAGGTGTCGTGTTACGCACCTAGACTCGGGGGGCATTTCCGACGGAGAAGAGCAGCCTCCATGCAAATGGCTTGCAGGTGATGCGGGATAATGCCGTCATGGGACATTGCTTGTGAAGTTAAGAAGGGTGCCTTATCACGAGGAAGCAAGGGAGTGTCGGCGACTCTTGACCTTGAGTCCTCTCAAGAGTCTCAAGAGAGGACCAAATCACATCAGGCAGTCAATCCCCAAGCAGGCTGGGCTATCGTAGGTGGGATGGGGTCTGAGACTGGGGAAAGTATTGGTGGCCATAGAATGCGCAGCGAGCTGTTATGAGGCACCAATAGTGGCCGGCTTTCCTGTTGTTTATTGAAATGATTGTTTATTTCCAAGGCCACTGAGACTGCCTGGACGGCGGGCATTGCAAGGATTGGCACTATGGGTAAGGCCATAGACGCTGGTAGGAGATATTGGGATTGGGTGATGGTCTGGATAGTCATGAAGTCTAGTCCACTGTGTAAATGTGACAACTCAGTGATGTGCAGATGTTTGGTTTCACAGCCAGGGGTCTGGAAGCGGCGCGGTGGTCCTTGCTTGGGCCGCTAAACTTGGAACAGCTCCCCTGTGCGTGCGATGTACCCAGGTACAGTAGTCAGTACAGTAAGTACCCTGGGGGGAGGTTCAGGGAATCGCTCACACCCAGCAGCCCAGTTGCTGGTTGATCCAAGCATACACCGGCTAGGTAGGTAGCTCTAGCCCCCTCCCCCCACATCATTGCAGAGAGACGCCCCCCCATCTGTTTCAGTGCCCACCCCTACCCTTCTACCTTTTCAGTCCTTGCCCTTTTCGCCTTCCCCTTCCACAATCTCTTTCACTGGACTCACCCTCACAATTCCACTCTAGATTGACGCCCCTCACCTTGTAGACGGCGAGCCTCGAAGTCCATCCACATCCATCCACATCCAGGTCATCGACGAGGGCCGTCCTGGATTGGGTCGGATCGCATTGCATCGCATCGCATTGGGTTGGACTGGATCGATTCGGCCTGCACTGGCACTGGCACTGCGCTGGATTGGACTGGACTGGACTGCACCGGACAGCCGCGATTCCTTGTAGTCCAACCTAGTTGTTTGGGCTGGCGACGGATTATCCCCTCGGTTTCCCTTCTGGTTGAAACAACATGTCAACCACAAATGGACATACGGGTATATCCATCATGAACAATGGGCTCCGACGCGGCCAGGGCTATCCGAACACGCCCAACAAGCTCCCGCAACATGCTGCCCCGTACCAGCAGCAGGCCTTCAACTCGCAGCAGCCTCCACAGGCCCAGTATCCTCACCACCTCTTCACGACTCCTAATCCGTCGCCTGTCCACAACATCCCCAGCGTGCAAAATGGCCCCAGGGCCCAGCAGTCCCACCCTCAGCTGCCTGTCCCTAGCTCGCGTCAGCAGCGTGCGACGACACATCAGATGCCGTCCAGTAACACTCAGCTGAACTATCTAGTGAACCAGCAGCCTCTGCCACAGCAGTCCATCAGCCAGCAACAGCCCGTGGGCCAGCAGATGTCCATGAACCAGCATGTCTCCCCGAACGAGAACCCCATCATCTCCCAGCCTCCGCCTCAACACGCTCATACCGCCCAGCAGCCCGTCTTGACGCCTCAGCCGCCTCAACCTCAGCTGCAACCACCCCCACAGCCCCAGCCCCAGCCTCAGCCGCAGGCACAGCAACCCCCACAACTTCAGGCCGAAGCTTCGGTGCAGAGTCAAGAGGGCCAACACGATGACACTATGGAGGTCGAAAGCCAGGGTGAGGACGATGGAGACGACAGCGCTCTCGACAAGACGGCCGACAACGGGACCCCGTTCGTGCCGCGCACTCCGATGGGCTCTATGATGTCAGCTCCGCCCGAAGGCGGGAGCTTTCCGACCCTTGACGCCGTACACAAGGCAGTCCTGGAGTATTGCACGTCGGTTGGCTATGCTATCGTCATAGGCAGGTCAAAGAAGACGGTGCCAGGGTTGAAGAAAGTGCTGTTTGTCTGTGACCGGGCGGGCAAGCCCCCGAAGCGCGTCAGCCCTGAGATGCGAAAACGAAAGACATCCTCCCGCAAGTGTGACTGCCAATTCGGTTTCTTCGCTATTGAGCAGAGGACGCAATGGACTGTCCGTTACCGTCCGGATTCCGCTCACCTTCAGCACAATCATGGCCCGAGTGAGAGCCCACTCCTGCACCCCGCTGCACGCAAACTCGACAGCAAGATGGTTGCTGCAGTCAAGACACTAAAGGAAAATGGTACGTTTTTGTATATTGCCAGGTCATATGTTATGGAGACTTACTAAGTAGCCGCAGGCGTGGGCGTCAGTGCAACATTGGAGATACTGCAGTCAGAGAACCCACATGTGCCACTTCTTCCGCGGGATATCTACAATGCCAGAGCAGCCATAAATCGCAACCCTCAGAAGATTACGGCTGCACTGGCTGAGGACCGGCCTGCCATCTACAGCAAGCCGCACCCAAGCGCTGAGGAACGCATCAGGGCTGACCTGCGTCGTGAGCTCGCCAAGGCCCGCGAGGAGTTCGACAAGATCAAAGGGGAAAGCGACAAGAAGATCAACGAGCTGGAGGAGAAACTCCGCGAGAAAGACAAGATCATCAAGAAGTACGAGATGTTCGTTGATCTGTGCAATGAGCGTGTAATGATCCAACGGGAGAAGCTCAAGGACATCGACGACAATGGTAATGCCAGCAGGCCTTGAAGCGGGAAAGAAGACGGAGCAAGAAAGAAAAGCCATGGAACGGGCACAGGCTACGAGTATCACGGTTTCACGCATGGTAATGGGATTAACCAGGCATAAGATGGGAAGCACAAGGGTTCGGGGTCTGGGTGTGAACTTGGAGTTGACTTTACTTATTATGTGAGAGAATCTCATGGAGGGCAAAAAGGCGAGGTGTCATTGGCAGGCGGGCTTTGGGAATGGAGGGCAACTCGCAGTCTCATTTGCAAACAGTCCATCTCTTGGCTGGTGAGCGTGATCTGAGGCGAGGCTTTGACGAACCTCAGGCCTCTGCCGGTTTGTCAAAGAAGACCCAAACTGGTTGGCCCTATCCTAGCAAAGCAGTGGAAAGACAAGTAGCTTATCTTGCTCCGGCACGAGCGGCTTGTATGAGGCTATGTCTGCCTCCAAAGCCAGAGGGACTTAGAATAAATCAGAATCTGGCCACATCAGGGAGACTGCACGATGCGTTGGAAAAGTCCTCGCAGCAGAAAAAAACTTGACAAGGTGCTGTAGGGTACGTATGCTTCGCCATGTGAATGTGACAAAAACGTGAATGTGAGTAAATGCTGGCACGGTCTAGTAGGTGGTAGTCGGCCCACATGTCACTCCCCAACGGGAGGAACACATACATCAATCACTGACTGCCTAGGCCCAGGTAGGTACTGTGCATGAATGCCGGTAGGCGTCGGGACCAATCAAATCCAGGTACCCGCTCCCACGCATGCTCTCAGTCGCGACAGGGGTCCTCCAACGGCCAGCGCGTGGCTCAAAGCTGCCCGAGTTTGGGAAGTCAACACGGGGTGTGGTTCAGTCATCCTGGAATTTAATACTCCAGGGCTCTAATGACCGTCTGCCATCATACCGCCTCCCTGCCTGTACATCACGCATTTTCCCTCATCGCCCATTTCTGTCCATGAGGTCAGGGCACTTGTAACAGCAACGAGATACCCCATCAAGCTGCCTTCGTTTATTGCTTCTTTTGTCCTCGCGATTCCCTCGCTGTACTTATCGGCTTTGCGACCCCCTAATCCGCCCACCCTGACCACCCAGGCTTGTAGATCGCCTGCGAATCTCGGAGAGACATGACCACGATACTCTGAGCGACCAAACCTCCCACTACGACAACGCCCATCATGGACGCGGCCGTATCACCCCAGCCCCCGGGCACGCCTCTCAACGGCAACGGTGCGAACGGCATCAACGGCGTCAGCGCTGCCGCCCCTCTCGTTGCCATGGATCCCGCCCGCGTCGTTGAGCATCTGGCTCATCTGCTTGAGGCTGCCCTTGGCGCTTCTCGCGACGAGCTCGAAGCTCCTGGCAGTCTGCTGTCCAAGGCACGATACAACGACACATTACAACGATGCACCCGCTTCGCCAACGACGCACTGGTGTCTTTGTACATACAAAAGGACATCCCCGCGACGCCTCAACTAGAAAACGGCGATGTGGATTCCAGTACGGCGACCTCCTCCTCCACTCTGACCAAGTGGGATATGTGCTGACTATATCTCTGCAGAACCAACACAGCACACGTACACTATTGCATCCGATTTGTTCTCAGCAGTCACCACCGTTGCCTTCCTGGTCCTCCTGAAGCGCCCTCAACCCCTCGATCCGTCCGCGCCTCTCGCCTCTCAGCTTCAAGTGCTGAATCTTCCCGGCCCGGCCTACCTTGCAGCCACCGCTGGCGAGCAGGGTCCGGCGGCCTCGCCCTTTGAATACTTGCAGCTCTTCCTGCACAATGGTCTGGCGCCATATTTCGATGCAAGCACCAAGAGCCAGCAGATGATCGGCGGCGTCCGTGGCAGAGCCGATGTCGACGCGAAAACTGGTATACCTGTGACGAAGAAGAGATGGACTGAGCTTGAGCTGAGCTTATCACATCTGCAGCAGAACGTTGAGATCCCCGAAGTGCTTCTGCCGTTCCACCCGACGGTACAGAATGCTCTCGATGATGCTGCATCCCGCCAGGTCAAGCCGTCGCTCGATATGATTCCGGCGGCCCTCCTCCAAGACAGCACCTTCCTTAACCAACTGCAAACGAACGTGAATAACTGGATCAAGTCTATTCAGGCCATTACCAAGATGAATCGTGATCCGACCACCGGCACGGCCAACCAGGAAATTAACTTTTGGCTTTCCATGGAGGCGGCACTTGGCGGCATCGAGACACAGCTAGGAAGCGACGGCGTTCGTTTGACCCTGGAGATATTGAAGCACGCGAAGCGTTTTCAGGCGACCGTCAGTTTTGGAGCGGATACAGGGCTGAAAGAAGCCATGGATACGGTCCAGAAGTACAACCAGCTGATGCGTGACTTTCCCCTGGATGAGCTCCTCTCGGCAACCTCATTGCCCAAGGTTCGAGATGCTATTGACCAGATCTTCACGCACCTGAACAAGAAATTGAGGATTTGCCCGTACCCCATTCGACGAGCCTTGCCTTTGGTCGAGGCCTTCTCGGCGGATTTAGATGAAGTCCTGCACCGTCTTCTCCCCGGAACAGAGTTGGTTGATCTCGACTACCAGGAGTTTAGCAATGTCATGCGCCTAACGGACAGCGTCTTCAAGGCCTGGGACGATAATAAGAAAGCTTTCACAGATGTTGCCCGTGATGTCACCAGGCGGAGAAACGAAAAGTTCATTCCTATCAAGATCAATCCCAAACACAGCGAGCTGCAGTCTCGACTAAAGTATGTCAGCAACTTTCGCGACAACCACGAGCAACTGCAAAAGACGATTGTCAACGTTCTTGGACCAAAAGCGACCGTGGCTGAGTTAGTCGACGGCGCAAACGCAGAAGGCGTTGTTGTCGAAGAGATGGGTGATGTTGATGCGGTTGAAGAAGTCAAGCAAGCGTGGGAAGCTCTGAGAAACGTGGACCTACTCGATGTCTCACCGGAAGGGACGCAACGATGGGTCAAGGCGGAGGAGACCTACAATGAACGGACGTCCCGCGTTGAGAACTCCATCATTGCCCGCCTGCGAGACCGTCTTGCTACAGCCAAGAATGCGAACGAAATGTTCCGTGTTTTTTCCAAATTCAATGCCCTTTTCGTGCGGCCGAAAATTCGAGGCGCTATCGCCGAGTACCAAACTCAGCTTATTGACAATGTCAAGTTGGCCATCAACTCTCTCCATGAGCGCTTCAAGCAGCAATATGGACACTCTGAGGCACACGCCATGGCACAGCTACATGATCTGCCGCCGGTTTCTGGAGCTATCATCTGGGCTCGTCAGATCGAGCGTCAACTCGACGGCTACATGAAGAAGGTTGAGGATGTTCTCGGCTCTGAATGGGCGCTTCACACCGAAGGTCAGAAGCTCAAGAATGACAGCGAATTGTTCCGCAAGAAGCTGAACACCCGACCGATATATGAGGCTTGGCTCCACGACGTGCAGAGGAAAAATATCACCATCTCGGGACTTATCTTCACGATCAACAAGATACGGTCTGCCGGAAACGTTCTGGAGCTACATATCAACTTTGACGGGCAAGTCATCGCCCTGTTCAAAGAGGTCCGAAACCTCATGTGGCTGAATTATAGCGTGCCTCACGCCATAAACAGCGTCTCGAAAGAGGCCAAGAGAGTCTATCCCTTTGCTGTGAGCCTCATGGAGAGTGTCAGAACTTACGCGCAGACTGATCGCCAGATCGCGGACATGCCGGACGTCTCCGTGCTGCTTGGCGGTCTTCGCAACGAGGTCCAAGAGCTTGTCCGCAAGGGCATGCCTCTTAGATGGGAATCTTTCAACAACATGTACGAACTGCATTTCAGAGCAGACTCATCTAAAGGGGAAAGCAAGCACGTCACTTTCGTCAAAGAGTTCTCCGTGGCGGTATCACAGCTCCAGTTCAAGACGATGACATTGGCTTCGATCAACGCTACAATCCAAAAGGCGCTTGCGGAGCTTAGCTCTTGCCCTTATGAAGCCTCGGAATTTGATTCAAGGCTCAAGATCATTCAAGATGCAGTGGACCAGCTGAATCTTGAGCAATATGTGAACCTAGGGTACTGGGTCGAGGGCATGAACTCCCACATCAAGGATGTCTTGCTAATCCGCCTTCAACGTGCAATGTCAGCTTGGATCGAGGCCTTCGAGGACGATCATTTCGAAGGTGAAGGTTCGCGTCGGAGGGCACAGGGGGAGGGTGGTCTTAACTCCAAATCTGACAAACCAGTCATGAGGCAGCTGATCCATGAAATCACAATGCGTAACCAAGTCATCTACCTCGACCCTCCGATGGAATACGCACGCGCTAGCTGGTTCTTGCAACTTCAAGAGTGGCTCGGCGTTGTCTGCAACTTGAAGAAAGTCAAGGCAACTCGTTACCAGATGAGCCTCAGTCTGAATACGACGGCTCAAGACGAGCCTCGCTTCAATGACCTGCCTGCTGAGTGCACTGAGATGCTCATTCGTGTCCATGGCTCCGTCGACAAGAAGCTCCAGGAGATTGGGTCGTATGTCGACAAGTGGCTGCAGTTCCAGTCGCTATGGGACTTGCAATCAGACCAGGTCTACGAAATACTTGGTGATCAGCTTTCACGGTGGTTGCAGCTTTTGCAGGAACTCCGCAAGACAAGATCGACCTTTGACACATCGGAGGTCAGCCGCTCTTTTGGCCACGTCACCATCGATTATGATCAAGTACAGACTAAGGTCAATGCCAAGTATGATCAATGGCAGCATGACATCCTACTCAAGTTTGCCAGTCGTCTCGGAAACCGCATGCGGGAAGTCCACGCTGAGATCGAAAAAGCCCGACGAGACTTGGAAGGTCACAGTCTCGAAGCATCGTCCACGGCGCAAGCTGTGCAATTCATCACCATTGTGCAGAGTTGCAAACGGCAGGTCAAGCTTTGGGCGCCTGAGGTCGAGATATTCCGCCAAGGCGAATCAACTCTTGTGAGGCAGCGGTACCAGTTTCCCAATGATTGGCTTCATGCGGAACAGGTAGACGGCATGTGGGATGCACTGAATGAGCTTCTTGCGCGCAAGTCAAAGATTGTCCAGGATCAGACAGACGCTTTACGAGCGAAGATTGTCGCAGAAGACAAGGTTGTCGCTGACAAAATCACGGAAGTGGCACAGCAGTGGAATGAGGAGAAACCAGTATCTGGCACCATACCCCCTGACGAGGCCAATGCTACCTTGAGCTCTTTCGAGATCAGAATCACTCAGCTCCAAGAAGAGTTTGCCATGGTCTCAAAAGCTAAGGAAGCTCTCGACCTTCCTGCGTCAGCGGACTCGTCTCTCGGTGTGATATTGGAAGAGGTTCAGGACTTCAAATCTGTGTGGGCTTCACTTTCCTTGATCTGGAAGAGTCTGAATGAGCTCCGCGAGATGCTGTGGACCAGCGTTCAGCCAAGAAAGATCAGGTCATCCATTGACAACCTCATCAAAATGACCAAGGAGATGCCCAGCAGAATGCGGCAATACGCTGCGTTTGAACACATCCAAAACATCCTTCGGCAATACTTGAAAGTCAATACTCTTCTGGGAGACCTCAAGTCTGAGGCCGTACGGGACCGACACTGGACCAAAATCTGGAAGCAGATCAAGCCTGGGAAGCGGTATTCTCCCGTTTCTATGACATTAGGGGATGTTTGGGACCTGAATCTTGTGGCAACCGAAGTCATCATCAAGGACGTGATTGCTCAAGCCCAGGGTGAGATGGCCCTTGAAGAATTCCTCAGGCAGGTGAAGGAGGACTGGACGAATTACCACCTGGAACTCGTCAACTACCAGAACAAGTGTCGTCTCATTCGAGGGTGGGATGAGCTTTTCGCAAAATGCAGCGAGAACCTCAACTCTCTGCAAGCAATGAAGCACTCTCCGTATTACAAAGAATTTGAGGAGGAAGCTTCTACCTGGGAAGACAGGCTCAACCGTGTACACGTCCTCTTCGACGTCTGGATTGATGTTCAACGCCAATGGGTTTACCTCGAAGGTGTCTTCACTGGCAATGCAGACATCAAGCACCTGCTTCCCATTGAATCTTCGAGGTTCCAGAACATCAACAGCGAGTTCTCGGCGGTTATGAAGAAGGTCTACAAGCAGCCCACCGTCCTCGATGTCCTCAACATACCAAATGTACAGAAGTCTTTGGAGCGTTTAGCGGAGCTGCTCAACAAGATTCAGAAAGCGCTTGGCGAATATCTTGAGAAGGAGCGTGTCTCATTCCCTCGATTTTACTTCGTCGGTGACGAGGATCTCCTGGAAATGATTGGCAACAGCAACGACACTTTGCGTATCGCTAAGCACTTCAAAAAGATGTTCGCTGGTCTCTCCGGCTTGGTCATGGATGAAGAGGGTGTCATCTCTGGCTTTACATCCAAGGAGGGCGAGACCGTGCGGCTCAAGAAGGAAATCTCGGTCATCAAGACCCCGAAGATCAACGACTGGCTCGCGCTCCTCGAAAGTGGAATGAAAGCAACACTTGCAGAGCTACTAGCTGAGGCTGTCGAGCAATACACGCCCATTTTCTCCAATGAGAACATTGAGCAATCAGCCCTGAGCGAATTCATGTCAGCTTTTCCAAGTCAAATTGTGGTCTTAGCAACCCAGGTTGTCTGGACTACTACTGTTGATCAGGCCCTCAATGATGGCGGCAAGGGTCTCCAAGCTTTGTTCGAGCGCGAGGTGCAGGTGCTACGCCTTCTTGCGGACACAGTACTCGGTGACCTGGAGGTATTGATGAGGAAGAAGTGCGAGCAGATGATCACCGAATGTGTCCATCAACGAGATGTCATCGAAAAACTCGTGAAGCTCAATGCCACGGCTCCAACACATTACATGTGGCTCCTCCAGATGCGTTACGTCTACAGCCCCCAGGGTGATTTCCTAGACCGCCTCCATATCAAGATGGCAAACGCTAAGCTCAACTACGGCTTCGAGTATCTGGGTGTCCCTGACAGGCTTGTTCGGACGCCTCTCACTGACAGATGTTTCCTCACCCTCACACAAGGATTGTGCCAGCGGCTTGGAGGGTCACCTTATGGCCCTGCTGGCACAGGCAAGACAGAATCTGTCAAGGCGCTAGGCGTCGAGCTCGGCAGATTCACTTTGGTCTTCTGCTGTGACGACACTTTCGATTTCCAGGCTATGGGCCGCATTTTCCTGGGTATCTGTCAGGTCGGAGCCTGGGGCTGTTTCGACGAATTCAACCGTCTCGAGGAGCGCATCCTGTCTGCCGTCTCGCAGCAGATCCAGAACATCCAACTCGGTCTGAAACAGGGTGCTGAGGACAGCAAAGCTCAGATTGAGCTTGTAGGACGCCAACTCCACGTCAATGAAGATACAGGCATCTTCATCACAATGAACCCTGGCTATGCTGGTCGTTCCAATCTTCCAGACAATCTCAAGAAGCTCTTCCGAAGTGTGGCCATGTCGAAACCTGACAAGGAGCTCATTGCCGAGGTCATGCTCTACTCCCAGGGCTTCAATCAAGCCAAGCAACTGTCGAAGCAGACGGTGCCGTTCTTCGATCAATGCTCTGCTAAATTGTCGAAACAAGCGCATTATGACTTTGGTCTGCGTGCACTGAAGAGCGTTCTAGTCAGCTCTGGTGGCTTGAAGCGTGCTCGACTCATCGAGACCGAAGGGAATTTGGGCGCGGAGGAAGTAGTGGAACCAGAGATCATTGTCCAAAGTATCCGCGAAACTATTGCGCCGAAGCTGATCAAGACCGATGTTGACATTATGATGGACATCGAAGGAGTCTGCTTCCCTGGCGTCAAGTACGTCCCTGCCAACTTACACAGCCTGGAGGAGGCGATCCGCCGCCTGGCAGACGAAAGACAGCTTGTTGTTACCGATACATGGATGACGAAGGTCCTTCAGCTGTATCAAATCCAGAAGATCCACCACGGTGTCATGATGGTTGGAAACTCTGGATCAGGAAAGTCGGCCGCCTGGAGGTTGCTTCTTGATGCGCTGCAACAGGTTGAAGGTGTCGAGGGCGTGTCCCACGTTATCGACTCGAAAGTCATGTCCAAGGAGGCACTGTATGGAAACCTCGACTCCACCACTCGAGAATGGACGGACGGTTTGTTTACAAGCATTCTCCGGAAAATTGTGGACAACCTTCGTGGTGAGGATGCTAAGCGACACTGGATTGTATTCGACGGCGATGTCGACCCTGAGTGGGTCGAAAACTTGAACAGCGTGCTCGACGACAACAAGCTGCTCACGCTTCCCAACGGCGAGCGACTCAATTTGCCACCCAATGTTCGCATCATGTTCGAAGTTGAGACATTGAAGTACGCCACGCTCGCGACAGTCAGTAGATGCGGTATGGTCTGGTTCAGCGAAGACACTGTCACACCAAGCATGATGGTGACCAATTACCTTGAAACGCTACGCACTGTTGCATTTGAGGATCTGGACGAAGACGCGGTGGCCACTGGCCAAAGCTCTGCGAAAGCACTGGCCGTGCAGACCCACGCCGCCGATCTCCTCCGCGCGCATCTCGAATCTGAGGGCTTCATCTTGTCCGCTTTGCAACAAGCAGAGAACTACAACCACATCATGGAATTCACAGTGGCGAGAGTCCTCAACACTATGTTCTCGCTGCTGAACAAGGCTGTCCGTGACATCATCGAGTACAATTCTCAGCATGTTGACTTCCCTCTGGATCCCGAGCAGGTGGAAGGCTTCATTTCCAAGAAGCTTTTACTTGCTTTGGTCTGGGCTTTAACTGGCGACTGTCCATTGAACGATCGCAAGGCATTTGGTGATAGCTTGTGCGGTCTCGCAGACTTCGGGTCACCGCCTTTGGATGGCTCCAGCGCCCTTATTGACTTCGATGTTTCCCTCCCACAAGCCGAATGGACCCCTTGGCAGAATCAAGTACCGACGATCGAAGTCAATACACACTCCATCACTCAAACCGATGTGGTCATCCCAACTTTGGACACTGTCCGGCACGAAGACGTCCTGTACTCGTGGTTGGCTGAACACAAGCCTCTCCTTCTATGCGGACCGCCAGGCTCTGGTAAGACGATGACGCTCTTCAGTGCTTTGCGAAAGCTCCCAAATATGGAGGTCGTTGGCCTCAATTTCTCGAGTGCCACTACACCCGACCTCCTGATCAAGACATTCGAGCAGTACTGCGAGTACAAGAAGACACTGAATGGAGTGACGCTGTCTCCAACTCAAATTGGGCGTTGGCTTGTCATATTCTGTGATGAGATCAACTTGCCAGCTCCGGACAAATATGGCACGCAGAGAGCCATTTCTTTCATCCGTCAGCTAGTCGAACACAACGGCTTCTGGCGAACTTCTGATAAGTCGTGGGTGACTCTTGATAGAATCCAGTTCGTGGGCGCTTGCAACCCCCCAACAGATGCCGGACGTACGCCCATGGCTGCTCGTTTCCTCCGACATGCTCCTCTCATCATGGTCGACTACCCAGGCGAACAATCTCTACACCAAATTTACGGAACATTCAACTCTGCTGTGCTCAAGATCATTCCCTCACTCCGCGGTTACGCAGAGCCGCTCACTCAAGCTATGGTCCGATTCTTCCTCGAGTCTCAGCAGCGATTTACGGCCAAGATCCAACCCCACTATGTCTACAGTCCTCGTGAGTTGACTCGTTGGGTTCGGGGTGTGTATGAGGCGATCCGGCCTCTCGAGACTTTGTCTATTGAAGGTCTCATACGCATATGGGCGCACGAGGCTTTGCGTCTCTTCCAAGATCGACTTGTTGCTGAGGATGAACGTAAGTGGACCGACGATGCTGTGCGAAGAATCGCGATGGACTTCTTCCCAACCATCGACGAGCAACAGGCACTTGGCGGCCCCATCCTCTACTCCAACTGGCTGTCAAAGAACTATGTCCCGGTCGATCGAGAACAACTTCGTGACTTTGTCAAGGCTCGCCTCAAGACCTTCTGCGAGGAGGAGGTTGATGTGCCACTTATCTTGTTCAACGATGTCCTGGAGCACGTCCTTCGCATTGATCGTGTCTTCCGGCAGCCGCAAGGTCATCTCATTCTCATTGGCGTCAGCGGTTCGGGAAAAACAACCCTGTCTCGTTTCGTGGCGTGGATGAATGGTCTGAAGGTCTACCAGATCAAGGTGCACGGCAAGTACTCAGCCGAGGACTTCGATGAGGACTTGAGGGAAGTCTTGCGGCGCTGCGGCTGCAAGGGTGAGAAGATGTGCTTCATCATGGACGAGTCTAACGTTCTTGACTCTGGTTTCCTCGAGAGAATGAATACGTTGCTTGCCAATGCTGAAGTGCCCGGCCTATTCGAAGGCGATGACTTCGCAGCCTTGATGACGGCCTGCAAGGAAGGCGCACAACGTCAAGGGCTGCTCCTCGACTCCCAAGAGGAGCTTTACAAGTGGTTCACTTCGCAAATCGTCAAGAATTTGCACGTCGTCTTTACGATGAACCCACCAGAGGATGGCCTCTCTTCCAAGGCAGCCACCAGTCCAGCCTTGTTCAACCGTTGTGTTCTCAACTGGTTCGGCGACTGGTCGGATCAGGCCCTATTCCAGGTTGCGCACGAGTTGACGCACTCGGTGGATCTCGACCGCTCTAACTTCCAAGCACCCGACACGATTCCTATCGCCTACCGAGGCCTCAGCCTGCCCCCTTCGCACAGAGAATCAGTTGTCAACTCGATGGTTTACATTCACTACTCCCTTCAGCGCTTCAATGTCAAGTTATTGAAGCAGCAGGGCAAGGTCACCTTTTTGACACCGCGTCACTTCTTGGATTTCGTGGCACAGTATGTGAAGTTGTACAATGAGAAGCGCGAGGACCTTGAAGAACAACAGCGCCATCTCAACGTGGGTCTTGAGAAGCTTAGGGACACCGTGGACAAAGTCAGAGACCTTCGCGAGAGTCTTGCGGAGAAGAAGGCTCAGCTGGAGCAGAAAGACATCGAGGCGAATGAGAAACTGCAGCGCATGGTTGCCGACCAGCGGGAGGCTGAGCAGCGCAAGAACACATCTCTCGAAGTCCAGGCTGCGCTTGAAAAGCAAGAAGCTGAGGTTGCAACAAGGAAGAAGGTCGTTTTGGAGGACCTGGCGAAGGCAGAGCCTGCAGTGGAGGCAGCCAAAGCCAGCGTCAGCAACATCAAGCGTCAGCATCTGACTGAAGTCCGTTCCATGAACACGCCGCCACAGGGCGTCAAACTTGCACTGGATTCCGTCTGCACGCTGATCGGGCACAAGGTCAATGATTGGAAAGCCGTTCAAGCCGTTGTGCGACGAGATGACTTTATTGCAAGCATCATCAACTTCAACAATGAGAAGCAGATGACCAAGAACCTGCGAGTGAAGATGAGAAATGAATTCTTATCCAACCCAGAGTTCACATTTGAGAGGGTCAACCGCGCCAGTAAGGCCTGTGGTCCTCTAGTTCAATGGGTGGAAGCTCAAGTCAATTTCGCCGAAATCCTCGACCGAGTTGGCCCCCTGAGGGCGGAGGTCGAGCAGCTGGAGGAGCAAGCTCTGCAAACCAAGGCCGAGGCCAAGGCCATCGAGAACAACATTGCCCACCTGGAGCAGAGCATCGCCACTTACAAGACCGAGTATGCAGCGCTGATTAGCGAGACACAGGCAATCAAATCCGAGATGTCAAGGGTGCAATTCAAGGTCGACCGAAGTGTCAAGCTACTCGACAGCCTGTCTTCCGAGCGTGTGCGTTGGGAAGAGGGCAGTAAGTCCTTCGAGACACAGATCAGCACGTTGGTGGGAGACGTGCTTGTCGCCGCCGCTTTCCTTGCCTACAGCGGTCTATATGACCAGACATTCCGCAAAGGCATGATGGAAGATTGGCTGCACCAGCTGCACTTGTCCGGTATTCAGTTCAAGCCGCATAACCCCATGACTGAGTATTTGTCCACCGCCGACGAGCGTCTCGGATGGCATGAAAACAGCTTGCCTGTGGATGATTTGTGCACTGAGAACGCCATCGTCCTGAAGCGCTTCAACAGGTACCCGTTGATCATCGATCCTTCGGGTAGAGTCAATGAGTTCTTGCAGAAGGAGTGTAAAGACCGTCGCTTGACCGTCACCAGTTTCTTGGACGATTCCTTCACCAAGCAGCTTGAGAGCTCGCTCCGATTCGGCAACCCAATTCTCATCCAGGACGCGGAGCATCTCGACCCCATTCTCAACCACGTGCTCAACAAAGAATATCAGAAGACTGGAGGTCGTGTACTCATTCAACTTGGAAAGCAGCAAATCGACTTTTCACCGGCCTTTAAGATCTATCTGTCCACCAGAGACCCATCTGCGACATTCGCACCTGATATCTGCAGTCGAACTACCTTCGTCAACTTTACCGTCACGCAGAGCAGTCTCCAGACCCAGTCGCTTAACGATGCATTGAAGTCTGAGCGGCCAGATGTTGATGAGAGGCGGTCAAACTTGATCAAGCTTCAGGGCGAGTTCAAGGTGCACTTGCGACAGCTTGAGAAGCGCCTGCTTCAAGCACTCAACGAATCACGTGGCAACATCTTGGATGATGATAACGTTATTGAAACCTTGGAGACTCTCAAGACCGAGGCCGCCGAGATTTCAGCCAAGATGAGCAACACTGAAGGTGTCATGGCCGAGGTCGAACAGATCACACTTGAGTACGATGTCATCGCCAAGTCCTGCAGTGCCGTGTACGCTGTCCTTGAACAGCTACACTATCTCAACCACTTCTATCAGTTCTCGTTGCAGTACTTCCTTGACATTTTCCACGGCGTGCTCCATGGTAATCCTAATCTGGCCAATGAGACAAATCACAAAGTCCGCCGTGATATCATTGTCAGGGACCTGTTCATCGCCGCCTTCCAGAGGACTGCACTTGGACTGCTCCAGAAAGATCGCATTACTCTTGCTATGCTCCTCGCGCAAGCATCTCCGTACAAAATGGACAGCACTCTCATTGACAACATCCTGGACGAAAAGATCGAGGGCAAGGACGTCTCAACAGTTGTTGAGGGCAAGGACGAGGCATTTGCACGAGCCAGAAAGCTGCCGAGTCTGAAGGAGAGACTCGACCAGGTCTCCGCTAGTGACTGGGATCAATTCTTCTCCCAGGAGCTTGCAGAGAATTTCGTTCCCAAGATCTGGGATGACAGCACAGATGACAACGATAAGGCTCTTTTATCCCTGCTTTTAGTAAAGCTCTTCCGTCTTGATCGATTCGTACCTGCCGCAGAGCGCTTCGTGGCCTTGGTATTCGGGCCTGGTCTGTTCGACATTGTGGAAGATCTCAAGGCTACCGTGACCCAAGTGCCCGCAACACGACCGATTGCTTTGGTGTCCAGCCCTGGATTCGATGCCAGCTACAAAGTCGACAGTCTGGTGGAGAGGATGCGTGTTAGATGCACGAATATTGCGATGGGTTCCAATGAGGGTGTTGCAAGCGCCGACAAAGCAATCAGTAACGCGGCACAGATCGGATCATGGGTATTGGTCAAGAACGTCCATCTTGCACCAACTTGGCTGCAGAGCCTCGAGAAACGCATGGAATCACTCAACCCCAATCCGGAGTTCAGACTCTTCCTGTCCATGGAGGCGAGCCCCAAGATCCCCGTCAACCTGCTCCGCGCCTCTCGGGTGCTCATGTACGAGCAACCTGCTGGTGTCAGGGCCAACATGAAAGACTCGATGTCTTCGCTTTCTACGAGGCCCTCTAAGAGCCCTGTTGAGCGGCAGAGGCTGTACCTACTACTATCTTTCCTGCATGCTGTTGTTCAAGAGCGCTTGCGTTATGCGCCTAGCCTTGGCTGGAAGGGTTTCTGGGAGTTCAATGACAGTGATGTGAGTATCGTCTCCTCGAATTGGGCCATGACAGTCACTTACAAATGATAGTATGAATGCTCGGCCTTTGTGATCGACACATGGGTCGAAACAGTTGCCCAAAACCGGACTAACATCGCCCCGCAAAACATCCCCTGGGAAATGATCCGATATCTCGTCACGGAGACCTACGGCGGCAAGATCGATGATGAAGGCGACTACAAGCTCCTCACGCAGCTCGTTCACTCTTTCCTGACGCCGGCCGCCTATGACATTGGTCACAAGCTGGTTGAGGGCGGCGACAAGGAAGGCAGCCTGGAGGTGCCATCAGGAACTTCTATGCAGGATTTCATGGGATGGATTCACAAGCTCCCTGAGCGCGAGCCGCCTACGTATCTTGGACTGCCTGCCAATGCGGAGAAGTTGCTGCTCGTTGGGCTTGGGCAGAGCATGATCCAGAACTTGAGGAAGGTCACGGACTTACTGGATGAGGGGGAGCAGTTGGTAACTGAAGCAGCACAGGCTGCGTAATTGACTCGTAGCGAGTGAGACGTCCGAGTGGGTGTGTGCGGAGGAGGGACATGTTAGTAAAGGTCGTACACTGTTGTTTGGAGATTATTTGTGGCTCTTTTTCCTAGGCTCTGCTCATCTATCTGGGCGTCTGGCGGAAGAGAAGTTGGGGACTTGGTTGCCTTCGTCACAGACAGATACCCCTTTACCGAGAGATGGCTTCTTTTATGTCATATTTGTGTTTAGACTTGTAGAGAAATTAAGTGGAATATCTTTCATGGCTTGGGTCTCAGCAGGATCGATGTTATCTTTTGCAGTAGGATCATCGTTCGGTCATTCTTTCAGTGGCCGTCTCTCTGCTTCTTGTTGATACGCACAAGCCCAAGAAAGCTGCTGCCTTACGCATGTGGAGACGGGCGCATCGAGCGGCCGCAAAGAGCCTCATGCCTTCCAGATTAAGGAACAGGCTGCAATCAGGCACATTTCTTCCGAGGGACCTTTGCCAGTGACACGTGCCACTGAAGCATATTTCGATATTTCAGAACAATAGTGACATGTCTGATTATAATGAATAGTCTATCTTCAAAGGTGAATTACCTTGGCGTTCCATGAAACGACTTTGGTCCTGGGTTGTACAACCTCTCTTCTGCCCTTCTCATGCACTCATCCTACTCCGGGACAACCAGGCTCGTCCGGATCTACACCACCAGACACATCAGCATCAGAAATAATATCAGCAGCCCTCTCGGCTATCGCATAGACAGCAGCCTGCAGGTGCGCACCGAGCACCATAGGCATCACGCCAGCATCAACAACTCGCAGGCCCTCTGTGCCATACACTCGGAGTCGAGTGTCCACAACCCCGCCCAGATCCAAAGGCAGCATCGCCGTGGAGCCTGACGGGTGGAATTCCGTGGCCAGGTACTGCTTTGCTAGGTCTAGCATCCTGCTATCCGTCACGTTCCGGTCGAAGTTGGAAGAGTCGGACAGGTTCGGGCAGAAGTATGGCTCTTGCACCACGGGCTGCAGCTCCGCCATCGCATTTGTATTGATCAGCGCACAATTGAACAGCAGTGCCCTCGCCAGGACAAGGCAGTCGAAGGGCTCGGAGCAGTAGCGCGGGTCGACGAGTGGGAGGTCGAAGATGTCCTGCGATTTCGGCCGGACGGTTCCTCTGGACAATGGCCGCTGCATCGCCACGGACAGAGTCCCGATGGAGTCACCCAGGATCTCGACGGCGCCCTCGGTGGGGTTGCGGAGCAAGGGGATCTGGTACTTGCGCTGAGCGATATAGCCTTCCCTCACGGATGCAGGCGTGTCTGGTGGCAATGTCTGGTTGATGTCGCGCTGGTCGGCGGCGTCGATGAGCTCGACCCAGTCATCTGCAAAGTGTCTCATGGCTGGGAATGCGATTGTGCTGATCATAGGCGCAGTCAGAGGCCCTGTGCGGTTTGTTTCGTATTCATTCTGAGCGGCAGCATAGGAGGCACTGCTAGCCTCGACAGTTCTGGCGGTGATTAAAGAGACATTGGTATCTGTACTGCTACGTTAGCTGGTCTCAAGAAGCGGTGACAATCTGTGCGAAACGACATTGATCGGAAATCAAGAGGCAGGAAAGGTCGGCTTTGGGGTGTACTACATACAAGAGTACACAGGGTGAAGCATTCCTACAGCATTACAGTTAGCTATCAAAGTACCAGACAAATGCTCGGGGTAAACAGTAATATAGAGCATGTATATGGCAGATGATTTTCCCTTAGAGGGTTGAGTTTGTGTTCGCAAATCACTTACCATGATCTTGAAAATTGGCACCGACACCAGGAACGTTTGCTCTCACGGGTATGTTCAGAGATCGAAGCACGTCTTCAGGGCCGATGCCAGATATTTGCAACAGAGTGGGTGAGAAGATGGCACCAGCTGCTAGGATGATTTCCCTCGAGCAGGTCACATTTGTCTTGAGGCTAGATTGGGAGCGCGCGAACTAAAGAAAAACAGTGTAAGTGTACGTCTTGTGGGTGAAACTCTGTCATACGCACCTCAACTCCCACTGCCTTCTGTAGCTGGCTAAAAGAAGGCTCACCAATGCCAGGGTTCGGGTTATCAACCTCCTCCAGAAGAACTCTTGTAACCATCTGTTCCGTCGCAACATGGAGGTTAGGACGATCTATCACAGGGTCGAGATACGCTGTGCGACTGTCACACCGCGACTGGTTGTGTGCGTTTAGACTTGAGGGGTTTGCCATAGCCCCGACACACGTCCCATCGTTGGGCTCAGACACGATGGGCAATCCCATCTCTGTCATGCCGGCTAAGAAATTGGCTATAACGAGTCAATTTTGTTCAAAGACACCCGCAGGGTAGTATCAATGAGTACAAGGAGCTTACAAGACTGGTTGTAAAAGAATCGAGGGAAGGCAACAGACACAGGTCCATCTTCTCCATGATATTCCGTGTTGGGATGTATATGGAGTTCTGATGAGACCGCAACATCAACGTCCGCAGTGAAGTTCTCGCTCTGCCATCGCCACACGCGTCAGCGAAGCCCCACGAGAAGCCCATTATACCCAGTCGTACCTTCTGGAAGTAAGGAAGAAGGTCTTTCCACCGCCAGTTGTACGCATTTGTCTGGCCTTTGACAGCGTTGAGATCTCCCCAGGCATCGTAATCTCTGGCTGATCCTCGGGTCCACACCATCCCATTAAGAATTGTGCCTCCCCCAACGACTCTACCTTGGTTGAAAACGACATTTCTGTTTTCGAGGTACTCTTGTTGAACGGTCTGAAGCTTCCAGTCGTAGTCCGTCCAGAGGGTGTCTCCTATCTCCGCTGGAATTGTCACCTTCGCCCCTCCCGTATCTCTGCCGTCATGGTCAGTTGACAGCAAGATGGAGCGTCAACGAATCGTTCGACTCACAGAGTCCCAACCTCGAGCACCAAAACCGTTACTGCCATAAAGAAAGGTCAGTCAGGACGTACCAACAGATATGGAGTCGGATCAAAGCATACCATCAGGGTCTTCGCTGAGTCGGTTTGCCACGACTAAACCCGAAGCACCACCGCCAACAACAATGTAATCATATTGACATCGAAGGGATCCATTGATTGCGCTGGGCGGAATATGCAAACAACTGGACAGGTAGAAAGATGAGGCTAGTGTGATGGCCGAAGCCCACAGTCGAGGTACCATCGTCGCAGCAAAGGTGCGACTTGTGATTTTGGTCGACTACTGGAAGCGAATGGCTGGACTGGGCTCAATCAAAGTAACGGTCAAAGCCTCTTCCAGTCGTTCTTAGCATGCAGCGCTGCGACAATGGGCCCTTGAAATTTTGAAGGAGAGGAGAAACAGAGGAAGGAGGCACAATTTATGCGGTCTTCATCGTTCGAGGTTTAGAGCTGGAGGGGAGTCACTTTCATCTCAAATTGTTTGGAACAGGTGAATTCGTAGAATGATTATCTATCAAGTCTGACATGCCATTGTCAGCTTTCATTCATCTAAATGGCGTCGCTTTGCCAGCTTTGCCCACTCAGCCCGCGAAATCTCGCGCCTTGTTTTTCCTGCAATCTGCCGAGAAGACTTCTTACGCTTTTTTCTCATCTTGTCTCAGCTCAAGATGACTAGAATCCTCAGGCTCGTTGGGCAGACAGGTCCATCCATGGAGTCCCTTGTGGCTTCCATCGTGTTCGGCAGTCCACATTGTTGCACAGGGCTGCGGCTTGGTGTTATTTCTGCTTTTGCACAGGCGCGATGCTCGCCTTGCAGCGTGATAACACATGGGATTGACCTTGTACTACCGAAAATGAGCAAGGCCTGCTGTTTCGATGTTGTGCAACGTGAGAGGCAATTTGCAAGGGCTGTTCCTCCGCGTCTCGCGCGTTGCTGCATGGGATTGCCGAGTTGAAACGACATCAGCCGTTCTTTTTGGCGTTACGGGGATCGGAGATTTGATCACACCCAGCCGTCCAGTTGGGACAAGTGACTACCTCACGCCTCATCACTCATCCACTTGGCTGGTTGGCTTTGCACCGAGACATACGGCGGTAGCGTACTCTCCATCATGGCTGATGCTGATGAGGGCCTCGTAGTCCTCATTGGTACCCTGGATAATAGCTACCGGGGCGCCGTTCCTGTCGACATGGGTCGAGGCCTGGTGTGATATGGTAATACCATGCCAGGTGAGATTCCTTTGCGGATGAGCTTTGATGACTGCCTCCTTTGCGGCGAACCTGTTGATCTCAATCTCAGTCAATTGGGCATCTTGAATAGGGAATACGGGATTCCTTGGAAATCGATGATTATTTGAGCTAGGATGATCCTACCTTCCAGCCATGAATGTGGCCGCGAGTTGGAGTTCCTCTAGACTTGGCCCAGCCCTCGACAAACCGAGTGTCTCTTTATTGGCCGCCATAAAGCTGTTCTGATGGTCTGTCGTCTGGTCATGACTGCTAGCCGCCTGCGCCTTGCCGTGATAGGGACCGTTGTTGAGGAGACATCGTATCTTCGGATGCGCTCTCTCCTTTTCGTTGAGAATTCTCTGGACGAAGCGAGCTCCTCTGGAAGACTCCAAGATTCTGCGAATTCGAGTCACATGACAAATATCAGTGCCGAGGCTCAGGGCAAAAGGGAACCTTCTCAGGATCCTCTGTCCCGACATTGGTGTTGGGTTCCAAGCGTTTTGCTGAGGCTGCATGCGGCGTAGTAAATGAGACGAGCTTAACGCACCTGATGGGCAAGGTGAGATCGTGGACACCGCAGTGCTTACATAAGCACCCACATGCAGGCACACGTCCAAATGCACGACCTGAGCGAGCAGGAAGCACTCGAGCAGCATCAATTTCACGAGTCTTAAATCAAGCAATAAAAGATTCCATCATGCAATATATATCGTACTTGGATCGGAATCATCTCGCCAGGCATCTGCAAGCATAAATTGATATAATTACAGCTGGACATGCTTTTTCCCTTCCAACCGGACGAGCTTGAGGTCGGATGTCCGCTTGGCGGCCATAGCATCTCTAGAATACTTCAAAGAAAACAGGGAGGGAAAATATACGATAAGCTTCTATAAGATAACCTCCTATAGGATAACATCCTGTGAAATAAACTCCTGTGGGATAAAGTCTTTTGGAATTACCTATGGGATAATCTCCTATAGGATAAACCCCTGTGGAATAATCTCCTATAGAATAACCTCCTGTAGGATAACCTCCTATTAGATAGCCCCCTGTAGGATACTCTCCTATGGGACAGCCTCCTGTAGGATAACCTCCTGTAGGAGACCCTCCTGTGGGATACTCTCCTATGGGACAGCCTCCTGTAGGATAACCTCCTGTAGAGACCCTCCTGTGGGATACCCTCTTGTGGGATACCCTCCTATTGGATACCCTCCTGTGGGATAACCGTTTTTTAGGATAACCTGTAAGATAACCTCCTGTGGGATACCCTCCTGTGGGATGAACCTGCATGGGGATGTAAGTCACAGCGGGCTCCGCAATGACATATTCTTTTTGAGAGTGTGGCGATGTTGTTCCAATAGTGTATGTGAAGTTCAGCTATCTTCTCCCACACACTTAATCCTTCCAAAATACTGTGCAATTACATCCTCGAACGCCAACATATCTGTCACTTTTCAAGAAAACGCCCCAGATGTGCCATTGGTTGATCCAAAAGGCACTATCTAGGGACTTCATTTTCGCAGCGTCCTTCTGCCGAGCCGTTCTCTCGACCAAACTGTCGTCTCATTTGCAAGTAAACGAGGCTCTCACCGACTCGAAACCAATATGGCCTTCGTAATCCTCACCGTTGCCCAAGCGATTGGATTTAAGCCGCTTGGTTATCATCCGCCAGAAGAGGGGCACGCTCTGCATCAGCAGTGACCTTCTTGTCTCGCCCGAAATGTAGCTCACGGCCGGTCCATGCAGCAGCAGCCACAATTGCAGACAGGCTAAACAGTACAGCCATGATTACAAAGGCGAATATCCATTGGAATGCAATGAACTGGCGCTGGAATTGAGCGACGCCCAAGGACGCGGCCAAGACGCTGAGCCAGAAGCCCATTGTGTAGTCCTAGGCAAAGATCAGTCTGTGAACTATGTAGTCGAGCAGAACCCCACGCCAATACTGACCTTGTAAATTGCAATGAAGAACAGGCCATAGACAAGGATGGACCAGACAAAGATATTGGCGAAAATCCTGGCAACCAAGCTACCCTCATGCGGGACCATGATCGCGCCGTTCCAGTAAATGGCAACGAATGTCCAAGCTAGGGGCCCAGAGACGACGGGCGTGTGGATGAAACGAGCGTACGCATGGTGGCGGAAGGCCATCGAGCTCAGGTTGAAGAAGTTGATGATCAAAATGAGCTCAGCCCAGACGAAGTGGCTGCGGACGAAGAGCATAATGAAAGCGAAATGCAACAAGTTGTTGACGATGAAGTGGGATCCGGTAGCACATGCGGCGTTGACTTTGTCGATGTCGCTCGAGAAAAGGTGCACAACGTAGCCGATCTGCAAGATGAACAAGACAATGCTGGTGTCGTCATTAGCGACCTCGGACTTTTTGAGATTCTCAAACGGATCTGGGTCCTCACAAGTAGACGTATACGAGCACAAAGTTGAGCGTGAACCCGGACCAGTGCAGGTAGTTCTGGCCCTCAATCGTTCGGCCATGCTTGATATCATCGGCGGGTGATCTAACAGAGTAGTATACCGAGACGACAACCGAAAGAAGCCATGTTAGGATTGTCAGAACCTTGTATGTTATAACGGCCGCAGGGCTGTGAGACTCCCTTTTCGAGAACGGGTTTACTGTACGGGAGTAGGTTAGAGTTTATTATTTTACTACATATGTTCTGGAAGGGTGGAGATGAGCATACTCTGTTTGACTCGGTCCATGATGCCTAGTGTACGGAATGCTTTCTGTATGGCGTGAGGCCGAATTGATTATAACCGGAGTCACCTGACGAAGCTCAGGGTAGTAAGAGCAACTTTTCTTTCCCTAGAAGAGAGTAAAGACGAGCGGGCAGATCTCTTATAAGATCTGGAAGCTGGCTGTGGCGCAGGAGTGAAAGGATCAGGTGTGGGTTGCACAGCTGTTACAGACGTTAAATACAGGGAGAGCCTGTGATACGAGGAGCCGGTTGGGATCGACACAGAGAAAGAAAGAAAGAGGTAAGAGCCAAGTCTTGCAAAGTGAGAAGTTCGTCAGAAGAGGACCGAGATGTGGGCGGACGCGTTGACCGGCACTGAGCGGGTGCCACAGCTACTGAGCATGTACTTGCGTATCACCTGTGTTGCAAACCTGGGCCTCGTACCCTCTGATCGACTGTTCACAACTGCAGCCCTTGTCCCATGCAGCACAGATCCCTGTATATGCCAGGGAAGAAAACCGGGGAAGAGAGGCTTGGAATAGAGGTAAAGGCAGCTATGGTGGCGCGAAACACGCCAGTAGCTTCATTGTTGCGTCACTCGCCCGGAATGCCGTTAGACTGACTGCTCTGCATGGTGGCTCAACAAATGTACTGTGTACGAACGACTTTCTTACCGCCCGGCTTCTTCATTTTAATTACCTTCCGCGATGCTTCGACTTTAACCGACAGGGTCAGACACGGGGCAAGAGAAGAGGGTTTTTTTGTGCTGGCATTGCCCTGTGTTGGGCTTTGCTCACTGCCAAAACTTTCACAGTCCCTCAGTTATGATGAGAACAGGAATTGTTCTTCCCAGAGTAGCACCTCTAAGTGTACCTGTACCTCCCCCGCAATTTGATGTCGTGGCAGCAGGGCTGGACCCACTAGAGCTCTTGACGTACGCGCCACAACCGCGACGATCCCTCAACGTGATCACCCAAGCTTCACCAGGAACGACCTCGGCCAACCAACCATATGGGCCTGCACGGCGGTGCTACTGGCAAGTGGACGCCGAAACAGCTCATGGTAGAAGCTTCCATAGCCTCAAAATTTTCAGCCCGTTTCCAGCCTTCACTATGCGAGCTCAGAGTGAGACCCCGCATGGCTGCTTCCACTGGTCCCGAGTGGAGGAGAGAGTCCGAAAACAGTTGGCGCGCCAAAACAAGCATGCTCGCAGGGCCCAGCATGCGCAAGTATATATGTCCAGTGGGCTGGCGGCTTGGTTTTCCCGAGTATTTGCACCTGCGCCTGCCCCACAGGGACTCTCGGAACTGTCGGTCTGTTGACTAAAAGACCTGTCTGCCCGATATGTCTTTTCAGTAGCGGCTTGGAGGAGAGCACACCAAGGACGCCACGGCGGCTGATCTCCGGAAGATGTTGTTTCCTCACGATGCCCTGTGACCACAAAGGTTGTGTATTGCTTGTAGCAGTGCTCTTGCACCAGACTCAACATAGCAGTATCACTGCCGATCTTACCACCGGACTGAACCAGCAATGCTGTCACGCGTTGACTATTGCCCTCCACGATGAACCCATCAGATCGTCTCTGCACGCTGTCAGACCCATCGACATTGAAAGTGTCCTCTCGTCCGTGAGCCCATTAATATCATGGGAAAATGACGAAACAGTCAAAGGTATCACACAGTCCCAGACTTATCCATATCCAGATTACGCCCTTATGTATTGTTCTGGCATCTAAGCGATGTCAAATTGTGTGAGCTCTCCAACCTCCCTAGTTTTCTAGTCTACGATGTGCTTTTTATCCGCCCATGAAGGCAGAATCTTCCGGCACACATCCTCGTAGTCCTTCATCATCTCATCTTTCAGCGTCACCTGAGGCGTTGTCCAGAACATCGACCAGTCCGACTCCGACAGCTTCATGGTCCCTCGTGACCGCTCGAAATACCACTTGTTGACAGGGTTGTTCTTCCTGCTCCTCCAACACACGCCCTCGGGGAAACAATCTCTCACCATGGCATTGAAAACAATGTCCGCAACGCCTCCTGCCCCCTGGCTCTTTTTGAGAACAGCAAATTTGTCCAAGTACGGAACTAGCCGTCCACTCTCATACGCTGTCTTCTCGTCCATGCCGAATGGTCTTTCCCAAGTCAAAATTGCACCTCCTTCGTATTCTCCGGCAATGATGATGCCTGCAAGGCTCTTTTCGACACGGTTCAGGTAGTGCTGGACGTCCAATTTTCTGTCGAAGGAATCCTCGATCAGATGAACCAGGCGGGGCATGTCGATGCAGGAATCGGTCAATTTGAGTCTAGGTGCCCCAGGCCTTGGAGGCGCCCATCCTGCTGACCCTGGATCTGGGTAGATCGTCACCGGCATGCCTCTTTTAGCCAATGTCGTAGATGACATAACAGGGCTGCTGCTAGGGTCCGCAGTTCGCGAGATGGGTTTGATCCGGCCAAGAGGGAGTGATGATGAGTGTGTTGGACGATCCGTGAGGAGGTTATGTATCAAGGGATTGTGACTTCTCCTCGTCCCGACTGTGCCCACGAACCCCATCACGCCACCTTCGTAAGCATCTTCGCTTCGGGAATGCAGGTTTGCCGCTTCTCTGGGCGTTGTGATCAACACTGAAGATGTTGAAGGTAAGATCGAAAGTGTGTCTTTAGTCAGGTCAAGGTTTCTCATGTGAGCCTGCACAGAGGAGTCGCTCGTGTTCGCTTCTCGCGAAATTGAGTTCAAAGACCGTAGATGTGTCTTTGCAGTTTCAACCTCGTCCTCGAGGTTCAGGAATACATGAGCGTTATTCCAACGATTCTTGGCGGGAATGCCGCCGACAGGATCTAGGATAATCACCCGATCGACAAACGCCTTTCTTGCTGGTAATGTAAAACCCTCTTCGTACTCTCCTCCGGGTCCAGACGGCCTAGCCAACTGCAAGCCCGAGAGGTACCGTGTGAGAGATAACACTACTTCATCGGGGTCGATAGGCTGGGAGTTCCCGCCATATTGTTGAACAATGGGTGGGATGATGATGGCCGAGCCCTTGTTGAGAGCCGCCAGGATGGAACTACCCTCCGCAACAACGGTAGTGTTGGAAATCAATGGCGAGCTTCGACTCTCAGATGGGGGAGGTTGAGTTGATAGCGGGGAATCCATCATGACTGTTGTCCAAGGCTCCCCATACTCATCAATGGCTCCGGCTAGTCTGTAAGCCTGCTGGATCAGGCTGCGAGACCAGTACTTGTCGTCAGGCCTCAGCTCACAGTCGAGGACGATCACGCTCACCAGGCCGAGCACACGAAGCTGCGCGAGTGTCTTGGCCACTCCTTTCAATGTGGCCTCGTCGGCCTCCTGCGGGAGTCTGAACTTGATGAGGGCGGCATGGGGTACGGCGTCAACAGGTGCTCGCTTTGTCGTGACTGAGCCCTGCACGAACCTGGGGGTCTCGCTAATAGCACGAGCTCCATTCCTCAAGGGGTCGACATTGATGGCTCCAACAGCCTCGGCAGACGAAGCTTCAGCCGGACTTTTAGCTACTGTGGGAGCGAACGTCTGCAGATACTGTTTTGCGTCCCTTTTTGTGGCCGATGAAGACTCCAGCACTGAAACGTACAGATCCTTGGCAGACATGGTCAACTTTGAGTTCAATAGCACAGGCTATAAGACACCATGCTCACCCTATCCTGAGACCTTTTCTCCTGCGCCTTTCTGGGAATTGAGGCATAATGATCCTTAAGTATGTCTTTGGAGAAGTGATCCTTCGGAGATGCCACACGAAAACTCTGGGTCGCAGCTACCGTTGAATTCTTGGAGCTAGTGCTTTTGGTCCTTGTAGAAACCTGCAGACTTGTTCAGCAAAATGACTGTTGGACGTTGGTTTCCAGTGGCATGTGACTCCATCAGGGGCAGCATTCTGAGTCGTTGATCTGGGCCAGGATCCCATCTCTTACCTCCACAAGGACTATCGCCTTCTTCCAGGCTGACTTGCGCAAGATCATGATTCGGAGCGCATGTCTGGAAAACAGGCAGGCTGAAAGGAGCACAGGGGACTGAGAGAAAATGAGTGACAATTGGGCTACAGTTGAAGCTCCGGCGATCGGTGTAAGTGCCTCAGTGCTAAATGAGCTCAATTGAGTCAACATGCGAGATAAGCATGCCGATAAGAACCCTCAGCAGATTCTCTGGGCCCTTCTATAGTTCACACAGGGTTTCGACCTATGGGGGTCCAGCCCTTGGCACCTCCTGTCAGAGTACTATTGAAATTCCTAGACTACATACTTCATTGCATCTCCAATGCGGCACTTGGAGGCCCGTGGCTTGTTTATATCCTGCCTTGGTACAACTACCAAATTGAGCAAGCCAAAATAGCGCAATTCGGTGCCGGTCTAGCAAAGAACAATGTGTTGTCGCGGCTGACCCCGCGGAGCTTCCGGGTTACCCGGGTCGGCCTGGGTAGCTGCCCTCGGAATATGATGCGGATATACGTCGAATGAGTAGTCTACTCTGTGCGAGATCCTTGAAGTGTTTTTACTGTTTCACACGCTTTTGTCCTTACTCCGAGACATCAGGATAATTCCGTAGAGGGTCATTACCGGGAAAGTCGCAGGCGATTTTAGATCCCACCCTTCCCCGCAACAACCGAACCGATCGGCCTTAAATCATACAGCTCAACGAGAAATACCGCTGTCATCACTCTTACAATTCCATATAGATTGACAGCTCTGTGCTCAACAGTGGTTTGACATTCTCACCAACCGTATTTGAAAATATCTTGAGTGCGTAGCCACATATCCTCATCACTGCAATGTATGTGAGCATTCCCTCACATCCCAATTAGTCACTTCCACGGCTTCCCCGTGGAAAGTAGTGTTCTCTCGAGAGGCTGTCGATGCAATTCCGGCTGAACTTTGTGGCAGATCCAATTAAGTCTCCTCTGACTACGAATTCCAGACCTACAGTCTTGAGCTTCAATTAATAGAACAACGCAACCATGGCGCCAAACGTTTTCTGGATCGGTCTTGGCAACATGGGACGTGTAAGTGAATCCATCATATCGACTTGCATACCCCAGCATTTCTGACCTCACTTCAGGGCATGGCCAAGAACATCGCCGAGAAAGGTCAACTTGGCGGTCCTTTGGCTATCTTTAACCGGTCCAAACAGCGAGCAGTTGATCTAAGCGCGAACCTGCCCTCAGGGAAGTCGGAGGTGGCAGACTCCATCGAGGCCGGCGTGGCAAAGGCCGAGATCATCTTCATCTGCCTTGCGAATGATGCAGCTGTCACAGAGACAGTCAATGCTATCGTGAAGGCTGATGTCAAAGGCAAGGTGGTCGTGGACTGCTCGACTATCCACCCTGATACTACCGAGGCAATTGCGAAGACAATAACGTCCAAGGGGGCGGAATTCGTTGCGTGTCCGGTGTTCGGGGCGCCACCCATGGCGGATGCTGGTCAACTTGTGCCCGTACCTGCAGGTCCCAAGTCTGCTGTTGACAGAGTCAAGCCTTACCTTGAGGGTGTCACCTCACGTGCAATTATTGATATGAGCGACGAGCCATATAGCAAAGCATCAACCCTCAAGCTGCTGGGCAACACTTTCATCCTGAACATGGTCGAGCAAGTCGCCGAGGGCCACGTCCTCGCTGAGAAGAGCGGGCTAGGAACACAGTACTCGCACAAGTTCATTGAGCTTATGATGCCCGGCGTGTACCCTCCCTACTCGAACAGGATGCTGAGCGGTGATTACTGGAAGAGGCAAGAGCCTCTTTTCCATGTAGACCTCGCCAGGAAAGACGCCGGGCACGCCTTGAAGATCGCCAAGGACTCTGGGGTAAAGCTGGGGAATCTCGAGGTAGCGGATGCACATCTGGCTAAAATCCAGCAGCACACGGACAATGGTGATATCGCGGGCATCTACGGGGCCGTAAGACAGGAAAATGGCCTCAAGTTCGAGAATGATGCTTAGACTCTTAGATGGTTGAAGATTTGGGTCAGTCTAGAAAAGTCCTTCTCTTATTTAAACAAATAGTACAACCTCTGGACAAGTCTGTGTGTGATCATTCCCAGCTTGAGTAGCGTATTACCTGGCTCACTCACATTGTATGTATGCTTTAGCGAGTGGTTTGAACTGTGGGTCATTAGTGGTTGTCAGTCGATGTGTCGTGTGTCCAAGATGTAATGTTTCGGGGGATCTTTCGACTGGCGGATCGCAGTAGCACATGCTTCCTTGCTCACCAGGCCAAATTTGGAGGTCTGTCCTGGAGGGATTCTGGTTACGTAAGCGGAGCTCCAACGGCTAGGCCAAGCGAGAAGCAAGCAAGCGAGCATCATCATCGTCCCAACCGTCACAATCGAGCGAGCTCCCATCATCCCACGCGCCAAACCGCCAGACCCTTCAAAATGGCTAACGGGTAAGCTTGAATCCATCTCCAGGCCTAGGCTCGAAGCAAGGCATCAGGGCCTGCATGCGCTGACACTGCGCCTCCAGGTGGAGCATCTTCATCGGCCTGTTCATCATCGCCGCCATGTGCGTGGCAGCCTGGTTCCTGTCACCCAAGGGCGAAAACCAAGTGTAAGTGTCGCTGGCGTCCCTGAAGATTCGATCACCGCCCGCCAAGGCATGATCTTGTTAGGTCTCGTGCTGACTGGCGCCGGCCTCCAGGCTCTGGCGATCATCCCTCATCCTTGCGTTCGTTTGCTGCTACCTCATGTGGGCAATCACGTTCCTGGCCCAACTACACCCTTTGATCGAGCCGAAGCGATCCGATCTGAGAGAGAAGTTTGTTCACGAGTAAAGCGAGTCCGGTCGAGGAACTGGCGGTCGAATCGAGAGCGGTCGGAGGGACACGGAGCTGTACAAATATCTGTTCATCATTCTTCACATTGCCGGCGTTGGGGGAATAATAGGAACCATATGATCAAGCTTCCGGGTTCGCAGTAGACTGTGATATTCGACCCAGTGATGGAGAGAGGTGAACATGTGCAACTGGTCAGGGCCAGCGAGAGAAGGCCTGTGAATGGAGAGTACAGTTCGGCCTGCCGACGGGCGTGCTTTCGGTGCATAGAGCCCGAGGACGGATTTAAAGCCTTGGGCCTTGGAGAAATAGTGATGATTCTCTATTGCGGATCCTAACGAAATAGATTGCTACATGCGCTATATGGCCAGCTGGCCGACCCAATCCCTCACGTAAACAATCAAAGCCCAAAGCGCCTTGCCTTCCTCTGCAACACTCCCTTCACCCTGCGAGTCAACGCCATCTAAGCCTGCTGCCCACAATATAGTCCTGCCAACCAGCCAGCGGCTCAGAGCCCCTGTCGTAGCCAGCAAAGCAGCGACCCCGTAGCCGCAGTCCAAGAGGATCTTGAGAGCCTCCACGTTGTTCGCTACCACAGCCCAGCCAAGAGACCTTGCCGCCGCGGGAACATCATACTCCCATATGACCATCAATATAGGAAACAGTTTCGTGCTGCTGGAGACGAGGAGCGCGGTCGACACGGAGTTTGGGCGGGAGTACCGCGGGAGGATGGCGAGGAGGCCCAAAGGCGAGAACGGCGACGAGGTCAGGAAGCGGATGGACACGTGAAAGGCGAGGGTCGAGACGGTGCATAGTATTACTAGGCGAATGTTAGTCGTGCCATGCGACACAGCATCTGCACGGGGTGGTGTGCGCGCGAAACACGCGACTTACAGAAGAACAGGTACTGGAACACGATGGGCTGCTGCGCCAGGCGGCCAAAGCTGCTGTCCGCGATGGAGGCGGAGCCATCCGGCACGGACTGCTTCTCGATGCGCGCCCAGGTAAGATAGACGTCGAAGAGCAGCAGGAGGATACCGAGGCGGATGATGGACGGGTCGAACTGGTCGTGGTCCCGCATCAGCGTGTTGTGCAGCAGGTGGCGGTACACCTGGGGCTTGATGAGGACCAGATCGATGAACAGGACGATGTAGTCATGCTCGACGTATTTGTCACAGAACCGGCCGCAGTTCCTGCACACCGTGAGGCGGATGTTGTGGCCGCTCGACTTGTCGCCCGCGCCTGAGTACTTGGTCCATAGCGTCTTGACGGGGTGACGGCATTCTATGCAGATCGGCATCGAGGGCAGTCGCAGCTTGCGTCTTCGCGGTCAGTCATATCAGTGCAGGGACAATCGACATATCGAAGAGGCTGACGACCAGAGAATAATGTTGTCGCAAAGCATGGCGGGTTCAAGTTCGAGGTTCAGGTAAAGCCCGGCCCAGGATTGGGGCCAATCAGTCCGGGGCAAGCTCATCTCACGTCGATGGCAGCAGCTGCACGCGAGGCACGCCCAATACGCGGGCGACCACATCCAGATAGAAATCATCATTTCAAGAGGGCATCACCCATCGTCATTCACGCGGGACTTGAGCCATGTGTAATCTTCACTCAACGCAGCCTCAACGCACGCCAACGCTCAGCAGCGTCGAGCCCCTGCTCGCCGCTGAGGTCCCTGAGCACCCGGCCTGCACAGAAGCTCTTGCCTTCGCCCACTCATCCCTGCCAGAATCCATATTCAACCACAGCTTCCGCGTATTCCTCTATGCCCGCCGCACCCTCTTGCTCCCGGGCCCTACTACGCTTACCGCACCCTCAACCGCGCCTCACGTCCTCTTCGTGGCATGCATCCTCCACGATATCGGCACAATAGACGCCCATGCAGCTGACCCGGAGCGCTTCGAGGTCACGGGCGCCAACATGGCAGCCTCGTTGCTGAAGAAGCACGGCGTCGACGAAGAGGCTGTGCGGGAGGCCTGGCTTGCCATTGCCATGCACACCAGCCTGCACGTCGCCGAGGGCGCGGGCGGGCTTGTCACGGCCCTGAGGCTGGCTGTGAGGGCCGACTTTGGCCTCTACGCCGGGGTCGGGGCGAGCGCTTTGGAAGAGGCTGAGAGCCGCCTACCACGGCTCGGCGTTGAGAAGGAGCTTAGTGACGCGGTCGTGAAGCAGGCCATGGCGGTGCCTTCGAAAGCACCGGGGGGATCTTGGCCACGAGATTTGGTGAGGGGCAAGGAAGCAGAACCGGAGTGGGAGGGAGTCAACAAGGCCTTCTAGCTGTCACTGACTACCGAGACTACTTGCCTCCGCTCCCTCCCTCTTCAGACCTCGACGTCACTCTGTCCATCCAATTGGTGTGCTTTACTAACGAGATGACTTCCTAACCTGACTCCTCTCTGTCCCCTTACCACGTGAGAGAGCTCCTGCACATGTACACGGTTCTAGGTCAAGAGAAGTACTGCAACTGTTGGCTCACTCGGGACAGGAAATCCTATAGGGCGAGACAGGAGCCCGCGTCAGGATCGGATAGCACCAGACCGCGAAGATCCTTAGTCGGCTCAAGTAAAAATATAAAATACTATTCCTTCAAATAAAAAACTCTATTTCGTTTAATTCCCAACTGTTGACTGCTCAGCGCTTCACCCCCAGAACCATACACACAGTATATACAGAAAAAGGACCCGAAAGTAACGCCTTGGATGCATGGGTTGTAGGGACCTCCTGTATCAGGGGCCCTAATCTATTGCGATCTAATCAGCCTTCTTGTCCCTGGCAAATCCAGAGTTGCTTTGTTGGAGCGTGCGGCCCCTGAGAGCACTTCCGTTCCCGTCACTTCGGCTTGACGAGCCACTGCCTAGGTTCGGCAGGCCCGGAACGACCTGCTCGAGTAGACCGCTTCCAATCCGCCCATCTTCACTATTCGTGTCTTCCAGTTCGATTAGATCCGGTTCCCCTTCCGCATGCTGTCGAGCACGGCTTGGGCCTAGGATTGGTGTGTTCGGTCTCTTCGCCCACGCACCGCGTAGCCACGTCTCAATAGTCATTGCGGCTTTGTCGAGTCCGGTGCCCTGCTTGTTTGTAGCCGTGGCATCGCGGCCGTCTTCGAATGGACTCTCGACAATGGCAGCTGCTTCGTCGTTGGTAAAGCCGAATTTGGCGGTTTCAGATCCCATGACTGCCATAGAGGGGAGCGACTCAATGTTAAGTCCTGGCAGGTGCTTCTTGGTCCACGTGTTGAAGTAGTCCTTTTCTGGTCCTGGGGCACGCACATTCCTGCTCAATGTTCCTACGCCGCCTGGTCTTCGCATCCATGCTGGACGAAGGTCATCGTTGCCGCTACCAACCCTGCTGCGGGACGGTGTTGGTGCCGATGATGCATACGTGGTACCGATATGAGGACGGCTTGCGAGTAAGCTGTGCCGCCGGGAAGAGATACTCCCCGGAGACTCGACAATATCGGAGCTGAGCGTGATGCTGGGCACATCGAGTGAGCCCCTTGGAGTGCTCAAAGTGGAGGCTGTGCGCAAGCTCTTCTTCCTCCTCGGTGGAAAGTAGCCCATGGCCTTCCTCGAAACTCTAGCGATCTCCACCGGTTCATTGCAGTTGTCAAGCTTGACCCATCTGACATGCGTCCAAGGCTTTTCCTCCTCCTCCCTCAGCTGCTCCACTGCATGCTCATTCCGTGAGGCGAAAAAGTCATCGTGGAGAGGCTGGGCTGATTCAGACTTCATAGCATCCGATGATACTCCTGGTGTGGCAGTAGAGGGTGTCGTAGCAAGAAGATCTACTTCTTTGGCATAATACGAGGGACCATCGCAGGGCCTCCCTTTCACTTCACATGCGTCTACCGGCAGGGCCAGCCATTTCCGTACCTGTATGTTATCTCGAGACCACAGCCCATTTGCTTTCCTAAATGCGTCCTCCTGACACCGATACCTCAGGATGATACCCGCGTATGTATCAGTAGATGTTGTGTGGTGTATATAGGCCAGCTGGTCCTCCACCTCGGGGTTGATGGTGTTGGTTCTCGAGTCTTCATCAGAATTCCGTCTTTTGAACTTGCCTGCCACATCGAGCCCACCATTAACACCATCGTGGCTTTCCAGAACGCTGGCGGTCTTTCTGGCCCTGAAGGCTGCCTCACGCTCCGCCAATGATCCGGCTGCGACATCCTCAATCCGCGGACGAGAGCCTTCAGGCGGCTCTGGTCCCCACGCACTGGGCTGTTTTCGTAGTGTTCCACTTGAGGCTCTGTGCATTGGCTTCCTAGGGCTGGCTCCTCTTCTGCGTGCTTCATTCCCATCTCCTGACCCATCACCTCCAGTTAGCAGGGTTGTAGCGAAATCTTGAACGGATGCCCAAGTAGGTGCCCATTGTCCGTCGAGCCAGCTCTTTCCAAACGGAGAGTCCGCAGTGCTAGACCGGGTGGGGGCGACTCTGCTTGATGATCTCGAGGCCGGTCCTATTCGCGCTGTTGGAATCGGGCTCGCTCCCCTGCTCGACGATGGACTTGGGGAAGTCCTTAGTAGGGATGTGGATCTTGAGGAGCCATCGGCTCCTGTTCCTAGCCGACGGTTCCGGGGGCGCGCATCGGCATCGTGAGCAGGAGCAGAGAGTCGGGCAGAGGACGACATCGCGACGAGGCCTACGACCTCGGCGCGGTGCAGTCGCCGGAATGAATGGCAACCATCAGTTCAAAGACGGCAAGGACAGCGACAAGGACGAGTATGGCTTTCGGTTATGCTTGTTGTCGAGAAGGTGATGAATTCGGGGGCGTTGGTTAAAGCCACAGGAGCTCTGTCTGGGGCCGACAGCAGGATGGTCTTGGGTGTGTCGAGCCAAGGGATCGAAGAGGCCCCTTATGGTGTCGTGGGTGCCCTGCAGCCGGACGGCGTTAGGGTGGGAAGGACTAGGCAGGCTAGTGTCGCGATAGCGGGATCAGTAGCGAATGTCGGTCGAGTGTTAGAGTACCGTCAAGGTCCCAGGACGGCCAGGGAGAGCCGTCGTCGCTCGTTTCGATTGCGTGGTTGTCAGGAGGGAGATTTGGTTACAAGGGAGTTGGGAATTGAGGGATACGTACTCCATACCTGAACTGCCTACCTATACTCCAAAAATACAGCCCCTAGGCCGGACCTTTGTCAGGCTTGTCTGGGAATGCAGGTGGGTAAGCGTAACATAGGCGTACTCGGGGCCGACCTCCTTACGCTCGCCGACCCGCTCCAACGGCCCATTTGCAACTGCATGTGCATACCAGAGGAATCAGACCCGACGTCACACTCTTCAGTATTAGATTTCTCTATATTGCAGCTGTCACAAGACTGCGGCCACGGCCATGACCACGGGTGACTTGGTGACCCCTCCCCACAGTCCTGTCCGTCAAACTGGCCACGACTCGGTGGGCAACATTCTCGTATGCAGCCAAGTAATATGTACAAGCAGTCGCCCCTCCGAACTCGACAGCATCTATCTCCCTTGGCCACGATGCGTAGTGTCACCTGTCGGGCTCGTCATCATCGTGTTTGTAGGACATGGCAAAGCATCGGATTACCCCTTCGCTCCTATGCTCATATGAGAGGCACCCTCACCGGAGGTGCCTAGGTACCGGGAGTACTACATACAGTGCCTCCATCTGAGCACTTGGGTAAAACGGGGGCTCGGCGGGGTCTACAGGGTGGCCCCTAACCCTTCTGTCTTTATCACAGGCCATAGGTGCTAAGAGGATGCTGGGGATCGTATCTGGGGACTTTAACATGGTCAGGGAATATGCTCAAAGAATCGGTCAGGAGAAGATACAAAACCCATATTGCCAAAGTGCTCTGAATCTTCAGCCGTCTCGCGTAAGTGGCTGCTGTACCACCTGGTTCACTTAGGTACCGAAGTAGGTAGTCCAGGATCAGGCTTAAGGACGTAGAGGGGAACAGGGCCGCACGGGCCAAGTCAGGACACAGCAAAGCAGCCACGCTCTAGCAGGGATTCGTTGCCATGCCGCGAAGTGGACGATTTGTTTACCAATACGCGCCTGCCTCCCGCCAGAATCCAACTTCCCCTCAATGCCTACATCGACAACGACGACTAAGTCAACTCTGTCACCATGAGGGTAACAGAGATCATAATAGACGTGCGTCGACATTTTTATCGCACCTCGGGGAGTCATGGCTAACAAACCCACAGGGCTTCAAGTCGTACGCCGTGCGCACCGTGATATCAGGATGGTAAACAACACCACGACGTGCGCAGCTGGATCACGACCGCTGACGAGCTCACAGGGACGAGACGTTCAATTCCATCACTGGCCTCAATGGCAGTGGAAAGTCCAACATTCTGGACTCCATCTGCTTCGTCCTGGGCATAACAAACATGACCACAGTTCGAGCGCAAAATTTACAGGTGCGGCCCAGACTGCCCTTCTCGTCCCGGCCCTTCGTGTATACCCGCAGTCTGACCCTTTTTCTTCATCCTAGGATCTGATTTACAAGCGCGGCCAAGCCGGAGTCACGAAAGCTAGCGTCACAATCGTCTTCGACAACAGGGACAAGAACAAGTCACCGATCGGTTTCGAGGAGTACGGCTCCATCAGTGTCACCCGGCAGATCGTCCTCGGCGGAACGTCCAAATACCTAATCAACGGCCACCGGGCTCAACAACAGACGGTACAGAACCTTTTCCAGTCTGTAGGGCTCAACATCAATAACCCCAACTTCCTCATCATGCAAGGAAAGATCACAAAGGTTTTAAACATGAAGTCGGTGGAAATTCTGGCCATGATTGAAGAGGCGGCCGGTACAAGAATGTTCGAGGACCGCCGGGACAAGGCACTGAAGACCATGTCGAAAAAGGAAATGAAATTGCAGGAGATACAAGCGCTCCTTCATGAAGAAATCGAGCCCAAGCTGGAGAAACTTCGTCAAGAGAAAAGGGCTTTCCTCGACTTCCAACAGACTCAAAATGATCTCGAACGTCTCACAAGACTAGTCGTTGCGCACGACTATGTCAAGTATCAGGAGCGGCTCGAACAATCCGGTTCCGATCTCGATAGCAAGAAACAACGGCAGCAGGACCTTGAGGAGTCGGCTGTCAGGCTGAAGAGCGAGATATCCCATTTGGAGGAAGACGTGCAAAGGGTCAAATCTCAGCGTGACAAGGAGCTCCGAAAAGGCGCGAAAGCTCAGGCTCTGGAAGAATCTGTAAAGAAGCTTTCTAACGATATTGTCCGTCTAGCGACAGTCATGGATCTGAAGAGGTCCAGCTTGACAGAGGAGCAAGACCGGAGGATAGCAGGGGAGAAGAATGTCGCAGAGCTTGAGGCTGCTTTGCAAGAAAAGACCAATATCTTCGACAAAATGAAGGCAAAGCATGACTCCGCCAAGGAAGAACTTGAAAGGCAGAGCCAGGAGGCCGAATCCAAGGAGGAACTTTTGCAGACTCTACAAACCGGCGTTGCATCCAAGGAAGGTCAGGAAAACGGCTACCAAGCCCAGTTGCAAGACGCGAGGAGTCGAGCCTCTGCTGCGGGTACGGAACAAGAACAAGCCAAGATCAAGATTGCTCACCTTGAGAAGCGCATCAAGGAGGAAGAGCCGCGGGCCAAAAAGGCTAAGGAGCAGAATGCCGGCTTGCTTAAAGAGCTCGAAGGTCTCAAATCCCAGGCACAAAAACTCGAGAAAGAACTCGGCAAGCTCGGTTTCAGCCCCGGGGCCGAGGAAGACTTGTACAAAGAGGAGAGCAGCCTTCAGCAGAAGATTCGCAGCTTGCGACAAGAATCTGATGCACTGAAGCGCAGGGTGGCCAACATCGATTTCAATTACGCCGACCCAGTACCCAATTTCGACAGATCAAAGGTAAAGGGGCTCGTAGCTCAATTGTTCACACTCGACAAGGACCACACCAGAGCTGGAACCGCCCTCGAAATCTGTGCCGGTGGCCGCCTCTACAACGTTGTGGTCGACAACGAAGTGACTGGTACGCAACTGCTCAAAGGCGGTAAGCTGCGAAAACGCGTCACCATCATTCCTCTCAACAAGATAGCTGCGTTCAAGGCGTCCGCGCAGACGATTGCGACCGCTCAAAGGATTGCACCGGGGAAAGTTGATTTAGCTCTGTCACTTGTCGGCTACGACGATGAGGTCTCGGCAGCCATGTCATACGTCTTTGGCAACACTCTTGTATGCGAAGACGCCGACACTGCCAAGAGGGTCACGTTCGATCCCAACGTCCGGATGAGGAGCATCACTCTCCAAGGAGACTCATACGATCCGTCCGGCACATTGTCCGGTGGCAGCGCACCGAACTCCAGTGGAGTGTTGGTCACCATGCAGAAAATCAATGATCTGAACCGACAACTGAGGGAGGCTGAGGGATCGCTCCGAGACCTGCAGGCCAAAATCGCCCGCGAGAGGTCGAAGCTGGATCAGGCTCGTCGAATCAAGCAGGAGCTTGATCTCAAGTCCCATGAGATCAAGCTGGCTGAAGAGCAGATTGGAAGCAATTCGTCCTCTTCCATCATCCAAGAGGTGCAGAACATGAAGGAAACGATCCTGCAACTCAAAACGGATATCCAAGAAGCCAAGAAGCGCCATGTCGAGGCTACAGCAGATGCCAAACGGATTGAAAAGGACATGAAGGATTTCGATAATAACAAGGATGGGAAATTGGTTGAGTTGCAAGCTTCCTTAGACAAGCTACGGTCCTCCCTGGAGAAGAACAGAACGTCAGTCAAGACTCTCCAGAAGGAGCTACAAAATGCCCAACTGGATTCAGAACAGGTGTCTGGCGACCTCGCCGCCGCACGGGAGCAGCTCCAGGAGGTCGACATGGCCATCAAGGCTCAGCAAGATGAGATCGCTCAGACGTCTAAGCAACGCGATGAACTCAAGGAGACCCTTGAAAAGGCCCAGGCCGACCTCGATGGGGAGCGGGCAAAGCTCAGCATCTTCGATGACGAACTCCGCGCTCTGGAGGACGCGATGCGGTCGAAAAATTCTCGAATCACAGAGGAAGGCTTGGAGATGCAGAAGTTAGGCCACCAGGTCGAGAAATTCCACAAGGAACAGCAAAATGCCCAACAAGCTGTTGCTCACATGGAGAAAGAGCACGAATGGATTGCCGACGAGAAGGACAACTTTGGCCGTTCTGGCACCCCATATGACTTCAAGAGCCACAACATTGGAGAATGCAAGTCAACCCTAAAGAACTTGACCGAGCGGTTCCAAGGCATGAAGAAGAAGATCAACCCGAAGGTCATGAACATGATTGACAGCGTCGAAAAGAAGGAAGCCTCCCTGAAACACATGATGAAGACGGTTATCCGTGATAAGAAGAAGATTGAGGAGACCATCATCAGCCTAGACGATTACAAGAAGAAGGCACTGCATGAGACGTGGGAGAAGGTGAACGCCGACTTTGGTGGGATATTCTCGGAGCTGCTGCCCGGAGGCAGTTTCGCCAAGCTGGACCCGCCAGAGGGCAAAACCATTAGCGACGGTCTCGAGGTCAAGGTCTGTCTGGGCAAGGTTTGGAAGCAGAGTCTGACGGAGTTGAGTGGTGGCCAGAGGTATGTTACTCACGCAGCAACCTTTCTGGGACAGATGCTAATGCCTTTCGTAGATCTCTTATTGCCCTGTCGCTCATCATGGCGCTGTTGCAATTCAAGCCCGCGCCGATGTACATCCTGGACGAGGTCGACGCCGCGCTGGACCTGTCGCACACCCAGAACATCGGCCGTCTGATCAAGACACGGTTCAAGGGTTCCCAGTTTATTGTTGTCAGTTTGAAGGACGGCATGTTCCAGAATGCAAATCGCATCTTCAAGACACGGTTCAGCGAGGGTACGAGTATGGTGCAGGCGTTGACCCCTGCGGATATAAAGTAGGCTCGAGTTTGTCTTTTCCAAGTTGTCCGGAGTTCAGGATTTGGGGGGGGGGGGCGCACTCTGCGTTGGGTACCTGCGCCGTAACGGGTTGATATCACAAGTGACGGACGATCGGATACGGGTTGGCACTGGTTGTTCACGAGTCGATGATGTGTATGTCTTTTGTCTAATTAGTCTTGAGCCTTGGGTTCCGCCCCGCTGAATGCATCCCATGTTGCGCCTTGCTTTTGCTACACCCTCTTGAAGAAATGCTTGCCCGTCTCTAGGACCTCTATAGACATGCCCACAGCCAGATAGCTCTCTGACGCCTCCGGCCTGTCGAAAAGTGGTGTCACCTGCATACCCATGCAGCCCGTCTTCGGCGCACCCTCGTCGATCTCTCTATTGGCTCGGAGCGTCCTGTCCGGCTCGACAGCGTGGCGTATTCCTGTCTCCGGGTTCACATTGGGCAACTTGCACCTATGATACGATACGTCAGTGCCTTGCCGTTGTAAACCTTGGTTGTGCAAATCTCCCGCGCCCTTACCTCGTAGTCCGGCACGAAACGTGGAACTCTGACTGGTCCTCCTTGTGAGATGGATCCGTGAGCCGTATCTTTGTCCACGAGTCCTCAGCGTATGCGGCAGTGCCGCTGACTACGGTCAAACCCTTAGTTAGTATTTAATGGGTTCCATAAAAACGCGTCAGGAAAAAGAAACGAAGGCTTGCACGAACCGAAAATGTTTGCGCGGAACCTTCGAGGATCGAGTTGGCGCAGATCCGCGTCCTTTGGGACTTGATTTTCAAAGTCTCGCACGCTCGATAGACCGAGAATGTGAAGGGGATACTGAGCACGTCTTCTGGTCAGCAACACGGCTCCCGACTCGCAAATTGATTGTCGTAGCTTGTAGAAGAGATCTCACGGAGTCTTGAAAGCTCACAACGGGCTGATATCCGGCCTCCTCCTTCGCCGGGGCACACTTGAACACAGGCCGCAGGCCCTCAGGGTCCATGCGGAACAGACCCAGCCGGTTGCTCACGCCCAAGTAGAGCCTCAGCTCCTCGGGCAGCTCGCTCTCCATGTTGAGCGCAGTGGTCGTGTCCTTCCAGACCTTCACCTGCTCGCGCCTGTAGCCCTTGGCCTTGATCTCCTCAGCCGAGGGGAACGACACCGACAGCAGGACCTCCTTCTCGGGCACCGCCCGCCAGCCCCGGGTGCACTTGGCCACGAAGGACTGCAGCACGCCGGCGACGCCGGGGCTCCTGTAGGGGAAGCGCAGGACGAGGAACGTCTCGTCCGACTTGGTCTCCCTCACGCCCCCCTTCATCTTGTCCAGGTCGGGCTGCCACAGCTCCACCTCGACCGTCGCGAGCAGGGGGAACTGCCGCTGCGTGATGAAGTCCCAGGCATGGCCCTTGGCCTCCTCCAGGCTGCCCTGGCCGCCGTCGGCGCCGACGGGGAAGGGGCTCTTGAGCTGGGCGAAGGTGAAGAGCCTGTCGAACTCCAGGCCCGTGGGGACGACCTTGGCCCTGGTGACCTCGATGCCCTTGCACGACTTGATGGGGTAGACGAAGAGCGACTTGACCTCCGCCTTGCCCGAGGAGGCGTGGTCGGCAGCCCAGTGGTCACGGAGGTTTGACTTTGACGGCTGCAGGCCCAGCTTGTTGTGGGTTATGGGGAGTGCGTCGCTCTTCCGCGGCGGGAACGGCGGGAAGAGCACAAACACAGGGGCGCAGAAGGCACAGAGAGTCACAATCAGCACGAGGATCGAGGCCGAGTCGAAGGTGGCGGCGGCGGCGGCGGCGTCGGGGATGGTGATGTTACCTGCCGTGGCGTTGGGCGCCGGCAGGTACTTGTCCATGTACCCCATCCTGTGCTTACAGTCTGGCGGTCGTGAATGAGCTCCTCAGGCTCTGCTATGGTGAATGCAGTATAGAAACACACATATGTGGAAGCAATCAGGTGTGTTGCCGTGGTCTCGTGTGTCTCTGAGGCAGTGTGGGCGATGAGGGTGAGCTGGCGAGAGGAAGGGAGTCCGTGTTGGGGCCCCTCGGATCCCCCAGGAGTCATCTTGCGACACTTCAGAGTTTGGGAGAAGCACTGGTCATGGCCTGATTCTTCCCGGCTTACGCTACACTACCAGGGGGCAAAAATGCTCTATATCTCAGTAGAATCATTTACAGTCTACAGTGAATCAATGCACCATGGTTAATCTGGTATCTCGTGATACTGGTGTTGGTGTTGCAGAGATTTGGGCCTATAAAAGTACATCGTTGCTCGTCTCTGGAGGCTATCCCAAGGCCAGGGGCAGCGTTTGACGTTTGACAGTGCTGGAAAAGCTCAGACCACCACCATCTGGGAGCCCCAGAGCCCCAGAGCCCCCCTCTAGGCCCGAATGCAAGCGGCAGCTGCCCGAGAAAAGCCACGTGGAAGATTGCCGGGTGGGGGGAAACTCTGGCCGAGACAGGCTGCTGCCGCCTGGCACCTGGCACCCGCAGTAACGTAACCCCACAGGGTCGAGACGAGACCCTGAGCAGGAAATCACGCAAGGACTAGCTATGACTTGCTGCTGCGTATTGCCCACTGCCCACTGCCCACTGCTGATGACCAGTCCTCGGTGAATCCACCGCAGACACCCCTTGATATTCTCGCTTGCAGCACATCACGAAACCGAATGGATAGTTGGAGTTTTTCCTCATCTTCTTCAGTCTATCTTGTTTTTTTTTGCCCTCCTCTCTTGATGGACCGCTCGGCTCGGCTGCGACCAACCCGACTGTCGTGCTAGTAAGTGGCCAAGTCCCGTCGGCTGCCGGTCAGTTATTGTGTAGATGAAACCCTATCGAGATACTAGGGGCTCTCTTCTGATGCTACTACTGCCAGAATGCGACGCTGTGAGGCTTCATCTTGGCGGATCGGTCCAACGGCTTCATCCTGCTTATCAAGATTAGATCACTGCAGGTACCGTACTTCACTGTACCTCTGTCAACCAGTACTGTGGATTCCACTTCCCACGTGTACTTTTACACGGACCCAACGGCCGATGAGGTGAGATGAGACTATCAGTCATGGTCTCATTCCCCAGAGGCTGCGACTGCTCTTTCTCTTGGGCTTGTGATGAATCATGTTTCAAGATAGTCTACTGTGGCCCACCGACTGACGTCCTGACGTACTGCCGTCCAGCGGGCCGCTGCAAGCCCAGGCTAGGAAATCTAACCATAGTTACTGCAGGAACGGCTTCTTCCATGCTGTGGTCGATCGAGCTGATCATCCTCCCGGTCAATCTCCAATACTCACGGCCCACCGGGTGCTGCAGTGAGATGAGATCCAAGGATCAAGTGGCTTGCGCTAGTTCCAGTCCTTGGTTGCCACACGAGCGGCTTTGGAGAGAGTTCTGGTTTGTCTGCTTGCTCAACATTGCCTTCAACAAAAAAAAACCTGGATGAGTAGATGGCCTTCCCAATCGAGCGGTCCCCATACGAAGGAGACTAAACTGGGTTGTGTTTGTGGGGCGATCTTGCCAAAACAGCCTGACACATAGTGGGAACTTCTTCAGACAAAATCGAGCGTGTACTGTGCATACCGTGTCGTGGTGATGCGATTACTGTAGACACAACCACCAGGCGTCCCTCGGCATCCCCGGGGTTCAGAGAGTTGAGGGATGTGCGCGAGAAGGCGCCGACAATAGAGGTCAACCCCCCCACGGCCTAGGCTTGTGGCTGGTGACTGATGGAATAGACCGAGCCCAGGCTGTTCACCTTGAGGGAATATGCAGCCACCTGCATACTCTCAGCCTGGTGCACAGCCCGATCGGAGCCCAACTATCAAGCTAACAGGAAACGACCACATCTCCAGCAGAGCAACAGCGAGCGGCAGTATGCATGGTGAGGAAGACCGTAAGAGATTGTGTGCGCCATTGAACCCGTCGGAGATCAGACCGGAGAAATGCATCGTACATACATACGTTGGATCCCCTGCGGGTCCGAATGCTCCCTGGCGGAACCGCGAATTTGGGTGCATGGTAGAATTGAGACCGCCTTGATTGTACTACATACTGTATCATGGAAGGCGCAATTTATCGAGATGCATTCAATCCAAGGATCCTGACCGACCAGCCGTTTGGGCTTGGATAAAAAGAGTTATGTCATGAAATCATTAATAGAAACAAAGCGATGAAGCTGATTAGCAGGAAGACGTAGCATTATGCACGGCATGGATGGACTTGAAGGGTTTCGGTGGGTAGTATAAGAGGGTCGACGCGATTCCGAATTCGCGGTCCTTGCCTGGGGTGGGCAAGACCATCCGTGACCAATCTGGCTCTTTTGGGATGACGGCACGGCGTGGACCCTGGGCAGGGATTCAATTCCTGGCATCGATACTGCGCAGCCTGGGCAACATATCGTTACGAGAGCTGTGCAATTCCCCGTCTGAGTGGCTGAAGTGGTAGCGGGTGTCGCTTTCCAGAGGACTGGGACACGGCCTGGGCCAGACCGAGGCCCGACAGTCTGGGACAGCAAAGATCGCTGTGTGCCCAACTTGCCTCCTTGGGCAGCACGGGTCCCTTATGCCGTGGGAGCTGTAGCGGCGTCGGACGACATTGTCCATGAAGGCCCCCAAAGGACAGTGCCGCGTTAGTTCGCTCCTCTGGCATCAGCCAATGCCGAAGGCGCATATAATAATGCGACATGACAACCGCCAGGGCCGGGGCTGGGGCCGGGGTATAGAAGGAGGTCTATCTGCCTGTCCTGCATGACGACGGGAAGACACATGACCCAGCAGGTCGTCTGATTGGGACGGGTTTTAGGATTGTGTTGAGCATTGGAGTGCATCACAGCCCAGGATCGGGTTGGGCCTGGTGAATCTCGGAAGGAGGGCGTTGGTCATGAGGGTAAATTGAAGGGAGGACTGTCAGGTGGGTGTCGGCTTGAATCAAGTTGGCGCTGGACGTGTTGAATAGGGAAATGACCAACATAGGATCAGGACTGGGGCCGGGACTGAGACCGGGACCAGGAGGGCACCGTTGCTAGGCAGTGTATCATTGCATGGCCTGCCTTGGTTGTTGGAGTTTTGGAGTCTGAGGGCCCAGAGGGCCAGAGGGCCTGGTCCCCACGTGAGGTTCGTCTGATCTTGGGACGGTCGGCCCCAGCCGCGCAGGCACGGTCGCACTCGGCTGATCGGGCTGACGGGGCTGACCCAGGCGCAGCAGAACCATGGATGGCAGGCTTTGCCAGGCTTGCCAGCTGCAGCGGCAGAAGAAGCAGCAGCAGCGGATGCAGCAGCTTCTTCAGTGCCCATCACTGGCTCGGCAGGAGGAGGGGAGCACGGGGAGATGGGCTTGCCAGGCGTGATGGATGGCACACAGCTGGGCAGCCGTGCAGGCCTGGCAGGGAGGTGGAGTGGAGCCCGCTCGGATAGTGGATTGTACATGTACTGTGGACTGGGGAGATGGAAACCACAAAATCCAAGTACCGGTACCGGGACGCCGGCAAAGGGCACTGACCATAGGCCTGACTAATCACCCGAAAGGCAAATGTTGCATTTGTCGCATGTCGCACGTCGCATGTCGTCTTGTTGAAGCACCCTGGGCACCCCACACCCTGGCCCAAAGTAGGCAAGCCGGGATCTGGCCGTCAGATGGGCGTTCCAGGGGACAGAGAGGCAGAGCCGACGGACGAGAGGAGACCAGAACCAGATTGAGTCTGTCTGACTGGCTGTCCGGCTGTCTGGTCGGCCATACTGGCCACACTGGCTGGTTCGCAGTGCTGCCTCTCCTCGCAGTCCTGGCTCGTATGCTGCCTGGTTGGCCACGGCACAACTCCCATGTCCTGAGGAGCGGATCGTCCTGCATCTTGGGGGGCGGCCAGGGGGCCTGGATCTGGCAGTCTGGATCTCGTTGGGCTGGGCCAAGGTCGGTCGGCCAAGGTCGACCAAAGTCACTCGACAAAGATTCCAGGCCGGTCCACGACCGCTGTTGCACCTTCCTGGACTGGACGGGTGACGATGTTTTGCAGTTTTGCCGTATTGCAGCACACGAAGACATCGTCGATGCCCTGCGACGGCTGTGGTGGCAGCCAGGAGAGCGAGGAATAAGGCCGAGGACCGGAAGACGGCATCCTCGCTGGACTGTGGTAGTCGTGGGCAGCAGCAGGCGTCGCTCGTTCCAGACGAGCCAGCAATTGCCCATGTCATGTCGTCTCTCCATTCAAAACCTCCACAAGCTCACTGGTCGTCGTCAACGCAAGCAGCTCCCGCCCGGACTGCCAGAATCCATCCCAATCATCCCTCGCCAAAACCATCCAAACCACTCTTATGGGATCCACCACATGCTCCTCTCATGTCCCTATCGCTACGGCCCGACATTTCCAGGAATATTGAGGTTTGACCCCTGACCGGTGGTGTGGGTTTGCTGGTCCTTGGCCGGTGGATTGCACGCGACCAGGATCAAGCTTTGTCCAGACTCTGGGTTTCGAATTCTATCATACCTACACAGTACCTCCTTGACTCCTTGACTTGCTCACCTTGCAATCCTTCCTGGAACATGTGGAGCAAATTCTCCAACTATGGCAGCGGGGCGCTTATCACCTCTGTACACCACTCCGCGGGATGCCATCGTACAGGCAAGGCCGCCCTGCTTGCTCCCTCCACAATGGCGCTGAGGGTGTGCCGCCAGGGAGTCTCGACTACATGGGGGCTGCTTGATGGTTCTTCATTCGCACCCCGGTATCACCGGGAGATCCACACAGTACCATCCTGGCTACCTTGACACCTCGCCCATTGTCGACAAGAGCTGCCTCTGCCCCAAGAGGCGCTTTTGCAGACTCACGCGCCTAGCCATACCAATGCTGCTACAGTAATCTGCCTCAGGTTCGCCCAGTCAGGTCACTGCTGTGACAAGGTGTGGGCTTGGGATGAGCAAGGCTGGGGATGGCTATGCCCCGCCTGGCCATGTCCATCATCCGAGTTGTGTGTGAAGCCTGGAGCCGCTCACGGATCAGTAGTATCAGGAAGTAATCCCAAAAAAAAACCTGCAGGGTATTGCCTGACACAGTTTGTCAAGGGTCCGCCAGACCCCAGTTCATACACCATGTGAGATGAGGTCTGAGGTCTAGCCCATGCAGGCTTTACCGTAGGTATGAATCCTCCACATCGGTGGTATCCCCAAGCTTCATACTTTGGATAGGACCACGGCACCAGTAAACTTACAATATACTTGTGCAGTTCCCATCACGGGGTGTTGACTGAGAGTTTCGACTGGGGCTCTGACAGATGCACCCAAATCCTCATCCGAGCCATACCCAAATCGCAGGAACAGCAAGGCTAGGACCACTTGTTGTGTTGTGGGCGCGCCCCAGCAAGCGGAAACAGAACGGGTCGTTCCCTAGCTTTGTCGATACCCACTGGACGGCACGTGCAAAGGTAGTCCTTGCTCAAGTATAGGACCAGCATACCTTAGTACAAAGCTCATCACGGCCAGCGTTGTCGACTATACTCCGTCTACACTCACCACTCTGAAGGTCGACTTCGTTCACAAACCGAGAACCACTTGGCCCCTCAACGGAGCCAGCGGTCCAGTCAGCGCAGCAGGTAAGGTCACCCGAGACTTCTGTATCTTTGACATCTAACAGGCAGTCTCATCGCATCTGCAACTTCTTTGACAGCAAATCAAGTGCAACTGACTCTTATGTAGCAAGATATTTTCTTCACTCCCTTCCATCAACTTCAGGCAGGGCGTTTTAGGAGACCCAACCCAGCTCAGCACGCAATATCATTTGCAACAAGCCCGTCCCGTCAGTGAATTCACCTACTTCAACAATTCAGGCTTGCCTGTCTTCACCTCAGCCTCAGCTCGTATTTATCAAGGCCATCTGGGAGTATCAAAGTGTCTCGTCCCGTCTTGCTCGGGCGGTCGAACACCTGCGCCTTCTCCCTCTCACTCACGATCGGGTAAGTACAGTTTGTCGTCTTTTTCATCTCCCCTGGATGTCCATACTCCCAATTCGTCACTATTAGTCCTATCCTGGGCTGTACAGCTTCTGATAAGGCAGACAGTACTGGGGCATCACTCATAAGCCGCATAGCAGCTGACGAAAATAGCCCTAAGGTGTAGACAAACTGCTTCCCGCAAGGGAACGTATTTGCTACCCGGAGCCTCTGGGCTCCTTGACCTGGCAAGCAGGCGCGCAGCACTGTGGGGGGGCTATCCTCGGCTGGCGAATACATCTTCGCTGCATACATACCCTTGTAGGTTGCCACCTCCATAGTCACACCGGTAAGGTTGTTGCAAAAGCCGTACCAGTACTTCAAAATACCACTGTCATCCCCCCAGAAAGAAAGGCCCTGGACAGATTTCTGGGGTTTCCGCTATCACCCGGAACACTCCTCTTTCCCATACAGAAACACAGCCCCTCCCTGTGCCTATTCTATCCGAGCGCAGTCTTCACCACATAATTCTCTGCCTTTTCTCTGCCTGGCAGTTGGGAGGCCAGTGAATGAAAGCTGATCTGGTTTTCGACCACCTTCAGGGTCAGGCTCTCAGTCGGTACACGGGCCCCACAGACAACCTAAGCTCAGTCAGTATTTCGGCCCTGGCACGCTATCCCAGCTGCCCCCCTCGCCGTGGGTAATCCCGGAGCAGGTCACACATTCCTGTAGTGACAGATTCCCTGGTAAAAGACGACTACCTTGTGAGCAGACAGACACTTCGCCTCTTGAGTCTCAACTAACGACAATAATGCACCACAAGGCCTCTCGGATCGTCAGACAGTGCTATATACACTGAAGTATTTTTGTGCTGGACTTGACTAAACTCATTTGTCTTGGCGAAACGTCACATCTACAGTATACAACAACCACTGGGCGCATCATCTCCGAATCTCCTCTGAGGAGTGCTTGTGTCTGTTGATCTAGTGCCGCAAAGCGCTCAAAGTCGAAAAGACTTTGTCTACGACAAACTATCCATTGCAGAACGGAGGGACGAAATTTGATACATTAATGGCCTAGGCGCCTCGGTCGGATTCGTTCCATTTCGGGGATGTCAAAGCATGTTGACAATTTTCATCACGACGACGATAAAGGTAGATCGAGCACGTCGCACAAATCTCAGCTCAGGGATTAGTGGCCGATATAGGTGCAAAGTCGAAGAGCCATGAGCGATTACTACCACAACTTTCTGTCCTCGGTGTCAGGACTGGGGACTAACTCTAGCCTGAGTTCCCAAGATGCATCTCCTGTGCCTACTACTGCCTTCAGCTCTGGAGGCAATATGGAAACAAACACGTTCCAGAACATGGCGTACTACCCTGGTTTCCAAGAACATAGCTTGTTCCAAGCACCGAGGTCCCAGCGAAATAGAAGAAAATCTGCCCCTGGACCGGATCACATCAAACACAGAAGAACTCGGAGCGGTTGTTTTACCTGCCGTAGCAGACGGGTCAAGGTGAGCCATGGACTCGGAATTCTCGTTAAGATACCCATTCCTAACCTTTACATAGTGTGACGAGACGCACCCTGTTTGTGAACGTGGGCAACTTTCCGCCCCATTATAACTTTTCGAGATACTGACGGCTGGACAGGATGCCGCAAAGGCACACGAGATTGCGTGTACCCAGACACGCCAGCTTCAAAATACTCTTCCTCTCATGGGGTCAAAGATGCGGACAGCAGTCGGCAAGCAAGCCCGACGTCTTCAAATGAGGAGGACGACGATGATGTAGATCAGGACACGAAATTGAGCCCGATCCCGGATGAAGACGAAGAGGACTTAGCGAGCGTCTCTGAGCAATCAATGCGGTCCACAAAGAGCCTCCGGCACATGAGTACGGCGTCGTCACTCAACTTGAAGCGACTGCTAACCCGAACTCGTCAGCCTTCTGAGACACCCTCTCAAGAAGGCAATAAAGGCTCATCGCCGACTCGGTCGATCGGCACCGCCAGCAGCCTGACTCCGATGATGACACACTCACCAGACCTATTGTTTAATACCGTTCCAGATTTGTCACAGCTCCCAGCTGATTTGAGATTTTACCTGGAATACTTCCTCGAAAACATAACGCATTACCACTATGGTGTGCACAGAGACTTTGGGAGTGTCTTTCGGACGACACTTGTCAGCTTGGCGCTCCGCAGCGAGCCCCTGCTTTATGCTATGATTTCATTTGCGGCATACCATCAGACGCTCAGAGATCCGAATGGGCAGCTGCCACAGTTTCTGAAATATTACAACAAAAGTGTCATCCTGCTCCTTGACCTTCTCAAGAACGAGGACAGGCATGAACTCGCGACACTTCTGACAATTCTGCAGCTAGCTACAATAGAGGTGCGTGGCCCGCAGTGTTTTTTGCTCGCTGTATGAGTTCTAATCTGTAGGAATAGGAATACCTTGGCGACTGGGTGAACCTGATGGGGCATCAGAAGGCAGCCCTCGAGATCTTGAGCCAGCTTTTCACGCCTCAATCTATTGTGGAAACATCATTGAATCGCACTATTTTGTCATGGTACATACGTTTCGACATCCTTGTTGGGTTAATGGGAGGCTTCGTGACAAGTCTCCCACGAGACTGGTTCGTCACGTTCGACGAGTTCTGTCGAGCAAAATTGGCGAGCGAACCCGACAACCTGGACTGGCTTTATGAGAGGGCCGAGAATCGTTTGCGTCTGATATGCCACGATATTTGCCTGCTTGTTGTCAGGCGCGCAAGGGACAACCTAACAGGGGCCTCTGCCACTGTGGAGCACGAGAATGTCGCTCGACAATTACGAGAGTGGAGGGAAACCCTCGAGCCCGCTCTCACTGACCCTACACGGCTGATAGTATCGTCCGCATATTCCTCCGACGAGTCCTTGAGTGCACGTCCCGCACTCTTGTACGACTCCCCTTTGACTTCCACGACACTGCTACTCTGCGAATGGCATGCCATGGTGATGATGCATCTTTACCAGGCCAGCCAGGACAGTCAAGGTCAAATATCGACAGGGCTGGGCAGTTTATCACAGCATGCCGAGGCAATTAGCCAGATATTCAATGCTGGCGAACAATGGGCTTCAGGTCCAAAAGGCTTGCTCATTATGCTGCATCCCTGCCTTACGATTGCGTCCATGTTTCTTCCGCCGAGCCCCGGCAGCAATGTGTGGCTGAGGAAGAAGTTTGCATTGCTGGAGAGCTCTGGGTAAGTGCTGCATCGTCCCGCTGCAAGTCGCAGGGTCATTCCCCAACCAGGTTCGACGCTGACCGGTGTTCTTTCTTCCCTTTCACTAGCTATATATTCCCCATCACGGTGCGGACAAGAATGGCAGAGCTCTTTCAAGACGAGACCGTCGTTCGATGGTGGCTTCCAGATGACCATGGGTTCACACCGATGTTGCAAAGCGTGCGGGCTTTCGCAGACGAGCGGAATGCGGCGGCCACCTCCGCACAATCCGAGAGCCTACAGGACATGAAGAACGTGTTTGCCGCCCTGCATTTGGGAGGCGACGCGACTCCTGTTGCGGGGACCGGGAGTGGCATGCTTGGCTCTGGAAGGGTGGGAAAGGACAAAGGGATCAAAACTCACATGTCGTGAACCGGGGGGAAGTTATTTCTGTCAAGAAGATATCGGTACACGGAGGGAGAAGCTGGCTTCCCGCCCTGATGGAAAGAAAAGACGTGGCTAGGCTTGGCAATGTCGTCGTCGAGCAAGCGCGGCAGAGGCGCAGGCAGGGCATGAGGCTGAAAACGGGGCGCGGCTCTAGCCCTGGCCCTGGCCCTGGGCTAAAGTTTGTTCCTCGCCCTCAGTCGGCTCCTTCCGCTTATTCCTTTAACAATGATCATTCCAATCCAGACCCGCACGGGGACGACAGATAAGCGGGCGTCATGTCCAGAAGCTAGTGCGGAGTTTGTCGTCCAACGGCTCGGTTTCTTCCACGTTTCCTACTTACTACCCCAACCCACCCGAGGCCTCAGATAACCCTGTCGTCCGTGGGCAGCCGTCAACTAGTCCACTTTATAAACTATTTGGGCCGGATACGGATCGACATGCGGCGATGTCATGCTACACGTCACTTTCCACTCCTGTTGACTAGCTGCATGAGGTTGGGGGCTAGGGGCTGGAAGAGCATAAGTTATGCACAGGAACAAAGTGCTATGTGTGGTGGACTTATGCACGGGATGGGAATGATCATCACATTCCCCCCGGGTGCGGTAGATAGCGAGGGACAACGACGAAGATAGCACAGTTCCCCAAGAAACAGGGCCTCCCAGGGAGGAGAATTCGGCAGAGCATAGACCAAGGGAGACGGCAGACTCCGAGAAGAATCGAAACTTGTCCCCGGCGTTGGTACCCCAGGCGCCAGGCAGGAAACAGCGTGGGCCCCAATGGAAGAGCCGATTGACTGTCCTGAATCGTAACACTTGCTGTCGATGTTGTTTCTAGTGACCAGGCAAAGACTTGGGCCGTGGGTCACTCTGGTCGTTGCTAGTGTCTCCTTTGGATACGAACAGCACTAATGCTCCCACTTCCCTTGGCCTCCTGGTCAGGGGGTTTTAAAGTTATGTGGAGGTGATTTCTCGCTGCCCATCAATGAAGACATTGCCACTAGAGACAGCCAGTGGCACAGGCAGAGGAGGGGGAACAGCCCAGAGATATCGGGGCCTTGGCGGCTGAGACGAGATCTGCAAACCTATCGCATGGCACATAGATATGGCTTGTCTCAACCCTGGTGTGTTCGACCGAACAAGTAAGCACATGCGTGCTGCTCGCGTGTACACGAACGAGTCTCATCTTGCCTCGTGGCACCGTCTGTTCTCCCAAGGCCGTCACGACGGTCACTACATGTGCATATAGCAAATCGTTTACTGTGGTCCTGGGCAGCGAGGTTTGCGGCAATGCATATGCAGGACCGTTGGAGCCAGGGACGCTGACCAGCCCAGTTGATTTGTTCGATCGGGAGACGTCAAAGGCAGGCTCGGGATGGGACTGCGGGGGGGTTGATATTGTACATCCGCCAGGCAATCGATTCGCTCGCCGAGCCATTGTCGTCGGCTTCTGATGTTGTATTTGGGACTTCCAGACGTTGCAATCTGTGGTCACCGAGTCGTAGTGGTGCCCCTGGACTGGGCCAGGAGCATCCTTGGAGGGGAGGGAGCCTGACAGGTTTGTTCACCACCCTGCCCTGCCTGCCCACCCCATCCCCGGGTACAGCAGGCTGACTACATACATGTGTGATGTAGTCTTGCACGGGATGTTTCCGAAGCGACACACATGTGCTGTGGGTCTGGCCTACTCGTAATGTAGGATTGCAAATTGCCCATGCAGAAACATACTGCGATAGATACTACGTTGATGGCTCCAGTTTGGCAGACGGGCTTGAAGAAATTGCGATGGCTCGGGGATGGTGGGCACGAGAAGCAAGGAGTCGGCGCCGATGTTGCTTCTTCCCAATCTATGCAGATTGCAGTTCGGAAGCACGGTGCCTGGTGTAGCATAACAGTAGGGCTAGAGGGTGTGTTGCTGCTGCTGCTGCTGCTGCTGCTGCTGCTGTCAGGGCACTCGAGGCACTCAGGCAGTCAGCAGTCGGCCTGGCCGTCGCACAGCAGTAGTGGCTCAACATCAATATCCTCCACCTTACATAGGTAGACTACAGGTTGGTTGGGGGGGGGGGTTGCAGCCCACCTTGCTGTTAAGGCACGCTGGGCAGAGACTGAAACAGGCAGTCCCTAACAGAATCTGAGCCAGGCACCCTGGGCAGCCTGTGCACCTGGACGTGCCTGGGTTATGCGATAGGAAGGAGGGGCGGCACCTTGGGGCGTCGCATCTGACTGTCAGCTGCTCGCCTCAATGCAAAATCCGTGCAAGCCAGGCCAGGCCAGCCAAGATCTGATTTGATTTGGGATCAGATTGGGGCTTCACAGCGCAGCTTCGAGGCCATGTGAACAAGAGAGAGAGAGAGAGAAAGAGAGAGATGCAATAATGTTTCCGCCAGCCAGCCCGTCTATCAGTCCTTTATTCCTAGCCTAGCCCACCTGTCTGGTCTCTCTGCTTCTGTCTCTTGTCTCTGCCTCAGCCTCAGCCTCAGCCTCTGCATCTGCATCTGCCTCTGCCTCCTCACACCTCATCGACGTCGTGTCATCTCATCTCATCTCGTCTCGTCTCGTCTCGCCCAAATCCCAGCACGGCTCACGGCTGGGCCTCGCCAATGAGCCTCCCGCCCCTACAGCTTGCATCAGGTCGCCTTCATTTCCTGCCAGCTCATCATACACGACCATCAACCCGTGCATTGCATGCACATGCACATGCCCAGACGCATACACATCCACATACACAGTCCCAGACCCAGACCCAGACCCAGACGTGTGCCTGAGTACACCCGCCCGCACCTCTCCAATCAGCCTGCCCGTCATGGCGGCCGAGTCGTCCTCTGATGAGCTTGCTGCCAGGCCTGATGGTGAGCTGCCTCCAGCGGCCAATGGCGACGCCCCTGCCCAGGATGTCGATTTCGTCACCTTGGGCATGTTTATCATTGGTATGTATGTGTTTGTCTCTCCCTGCTTACCCCGTCGCACATCCTCCGCCTGTGTTTCGACCTGATTGCTTGCTTGCTGCTGTCCAACCCGTCCAACCCGCCCAACCTCTCTGCTCGCCCTCTCGCCCATTCGCCTGCTTTGCTTTGCTTTTCTGCTCTCTTGCTCGCGAGATGCCTCTTATGCCGGCCCTGGCCCAGCAAAAGAAGGCCCTGCCTCCTTCTCAGTCATCCTGCCCATCCATTCTCATGCCAGCAGAATGGCAACTTCCGTCGTGACCGACTCCACGATGCTGCAAGCCTTGCTGAGCCTCTTCGCCTTTCTCTCTTATCTCTGCCACTACTACCTCAGAAAGCCCTATCCTTCTTGGCTGCAACGTCTGCTCGGCCCTTTCCGAGACCCAGAACGCGCCTCTGGGCTACCAGAAGCTGACATCCGTCACCAAGATGAAATTGAGTACCGGCCGCCCAAGCCTCCCCAACAGGATGTATTAGGCGGTGCGGGCTCCTACGCCGCACTTGGTGCCCGTCTCTTCTCCCCGGGGCCCATCCAGTCCAAGACAGTCGGCTGGATTATCGACCAGGGATCAGACTTCCCCCCGGCGATAACGACCCTTATCGACAGCTGGGAGACTGCAGCATACGTCCGTCACGATCCGGAACGGCTCACCACCCGCGGCTGGAACGGCTATGTCGACGAGAACGAGACCAGAGCCTTCAAGTACACCACGCCCAAGAAGCGCCTGACGGCGTCCGACCTCAGCGGCTCGCCGTTGCTGCAGGCTCGCACCTTCCACATCATCTGCAGCCCGTCCAGGTGCCGGGAGCTGGTCACGGAGCTGCTGACCCTGCGCAAGGAGGAGGCGCCGCCCGAGGACGACGAAGGCCGCGGTGGGTACTCGCGGCCCATCATCATCTGGGAGCCGGTGCCGGACCTGTGCACTCCTGACGAGCTCCTCAACCTGACCAACTGTCTTCCCCTTGTCGACGTCTGCAGCCCCAATCATTCGGAGCTTGCTGGTTTCATGGGCGATTCCGGCGTCGACCCGGAGACGGGCGAGATCAGCACCGCCGCCGTAGAGCAGGCTTGCGAGCAGCTCCTTGGCTCCATGCCCCTATCGAGCTTCACTCTTGTAGTGAGGGCCGGCGAGAAGGGCTGCTATAGTAAGTAGCCGGGGAATGAAGTCTAACTCTCTCCATGTGGTTTCGAAGATGGTGTCGGAACAAGATACTAACAAAAATAACCCCCAGTCGCGAAGAATGGCGGGCGCAAGAACTCCAAGAAGAACGGCTCAAAACGGCGGAAGAAGGTGCACGCCGCGCACGGCGGCCTGCAGCCTGACACCGACATGATGAGCCTCTTTGCCGGCCTCTTGCAGCAGTCCGACGAGGCTGACGGCGACGACGACGGGGCCGCGACGTTCAGCTTCATACAGGACGAGGACGACGAGATCGAGATAGACCCCGGGCTGGACAAGTGGATACCCGCCTTCTTCACCAAGGACGACGCCGCCGAGAAGGTCGTCGACCCTACCGGCGGCGGCAACACCTTCCTCGGAGGGATGGCCGTCGCGCTCGCGAGGAGCAAGTCCATGGAGGAGGCGGCGTGCTGGGGCAGCATCGCCGCCAGCTTTGCCATCGAGCAGGTTGGCGTCCCCGAGCTGGGCAGGGACGATGATGGCGAGGAGACGTGGAACGGAGCCCGAGTGTGGGACAGGCTAGAAGCGTTGCAGGCTCGTCTTGTGACGCCGGCAGAATAAATCACGGTGGTGAGGTATGGAGTGAGCCCCTTAGAAGGATTGGGGAAGGTATTCAAAAACGCACATACATGGTGCAGGAGGCGAATGTCAGCACCAAAAATACGAACGATACCACGGTTTGATATTGAGCGGACAAACAATATAGACTTGGACTGGCGTTCTTGGAGATCGTTACTGCCCGACATTGGGTGGCGACAAAAACAGAATCAATTCTTTACTGCCACGATGCATACCAAGACTGACATTTAACCGGGACTCAAGTTGCTTCCAATATTCATAAACGGACATTGTCATTTCCATCCGGACCCAGACGCCAGGAACCAACCGTCCAAACATAAGACTACCATGCTGCACAAGCCACCCTAGAGACAGACCGTATCATGCACAACCACCTCATCCCCCATTCTCATTAGATCTTATACACAAGCTGTCCGTCGGTATACCTGTGGTTCACCATTAGCAAAAGACCGAAAACGATGTTGGAATCTTGAAGATAACTCACATGATGCTCATGGCATATTCATCCATCCTCTTCAGCGCCTTGATGCCTTCCTCCTTGCTGAACTCACCGCCGTTGCGAGAGCCTATTCGTGCGTTGACGCTCTTGATGAGCTCATCTACATCGGCAGCATCCTCTTCGAACAAATCCGTGTTCATAAGCGGGCCCAAGGCAGATCTGAACGCAGAGAACCGCTCGTCGCTGATTGGGGCGGCTTCGGCATCCAGGCTCAGGCCGGCAGCGCCACTGGCCAGCTGCGCGTCGTCCTGGCTCTCGCCCGCGCTTTGCGACTCCAGTTGCGAGGCTGGTAGTGACGAGGCGAAGGAGAGGTTGGACTGTGATTGGGATTGACCGTTGCTGGCGGCCGTGCGGTTGGAGCGTCGGGGCGTGGCGTCCTCGACCTCATCTTCATCATCTGGCTGTTCTGAGGACTCATGCGTGCCATTGGTATGCCCGTTGGTCCCGTTGGTGCCATTTTGCCTCCCGCGGCCGTTGGCCCGGCTTGCTCTTGCAGATGCGCGTGCCGAACGGCTGTTCCGTGCTGATGCACGCTGGTCACCGTCTTCGTCGTCATCACTCGAGGAGTCATCATCTGAGTCAGAGCTCAAGGGCTGCGCCGTTGTCCGCCTGCGCTTCTTGCGGGATTCGTCCTCGACGACCTCCTTGAACAGCGCGAATCGCAGGATGCTTTCCGCAGCCAAAGCGTCGCGCTCCTCAACGCGGTTCGACAGACGTGACTTGGCGTGCGCGGTTGCCAAACGGATGAGCGTCTCGAGAGTACGAACCGTCATGGGACTCGTACGACGCTGGTTGCCCTCGAGGTCGTCATTACGCAGGCCAACATAAATATCGGCGATGCGGTCCGCGGCATCTTGGGATAGCACGGGCTTTATGCGGTTCTTCGCGTACTGGATATACTTCTTCATAAAGGGGATACTGAGGACCTTGGGCTTCTTGGAGCCGCGGCCAACGACGCCGGCGTGAAGCATCGCGTCGTACTTTTCGTAGACATCGGTGGGCTTTTGAGAGTCCGTTTGCGCCTGACCACCAACGCTGAGGGACTGTTGGACATTTTCGCGCACAGGTGCGCCCTCTTCTGTTCCGGCCTGGCGGTATCGATGCATGCGAAGGACATGCTCCGATACTTGCCGGTCGCGGGTGTCCTCGATATCGTCCGTGACGACAAACAGAAGATCGAAACGCGAGAGAAGCGAGTCGGGCAGCGCAATGTTTTTGTGAGGATCCTTGTGGGGATCGTACTGGCCGAAGATGGGATTGGCAGCTGCAACGACACTGCATCGTGCGTTGAGCGACGTGTGGATGCCAGCCTTCGCAATCGTGACAGTCTGCTGCTCCATGACTTCGTGGATGGCGACACGATCAATGTCGGACATCTTGTCGAACTCATCGATACAGACTACGCCGCGGTCGGCCATCACCATGGCACCTGCTTCCAGACGCCGCTCGCCTGTCTCCTTGTCGGAGGTGACCGCAGCTGTCAGACCTACACCTGAAGATCCACGGCCAGTCGTCGCAATAGCCAGAGGAGCAGTGTTGAGGACGAATCGTAAGAGCTGTGACTTGGCGGTAGAGGGGTCACCAACCATGAGGATGTTGATATCACCACGCAAGTGGGTGCCGTTCTCCAAGTTCTTCTCCATGCCACCCAGGAGCATGAGAAGGATCGCTTTCTTGATGTGGTCATGGCCGAAGATGCTAGGCGCAAGCGATTGGGAGAGCATCTCGAACAGATTCTTGCTCTTTGCCACCTTGTTAATATTTCGCAGGTCGGTATCGGTGATTGGGGCTGTGGCTATGCCGCCGCCAGACTTGGACGCAAGAAGGACGATGTTGTTGGCCAGTATGATTGTTTTGAACAGAGCGCTGCTGTGGTTCGCGTTCCTGTTACCCAGCGTCCTGTAAATACCCACAAGCTGAATCCGGTCACCAGGCTTGACCCGGTCGACTAGGTCATCATCGAGAATGACATCGACACCACGAGGCAGCTGCCCAGCCGGGGCTCGTTCTGGCATCTCCTGTATGGAAATGCTCTGGTGGTCCCTGTAGGTGCACCAGCCGTACTCTGTCATCAGCGGGTTGCCCTTGTCGTCTTCTTGTGGGTAGACGCTGTTTGTGGTGACGCCGTTGGTCATGGTCTGGTCGCGATATTCCCGGAAGTGAAACTTGTTCTCGGCCTCGTTGTAGTGCACACTCTTGACAATCTTGGGTCGGATGAGGGAACACCTTGTCACGATACCCTCAATGGAAACCATATGATTCAGGTGGTGGGCGGAAAGGGTGCGCGGGTTGCAGGCGTGCAGTCCGAAGCTGCCAGCCCAGGCACAGTAGTACATGACTTCATCATCGGTCTGGTCTGGGCGCGCCTGTGGGATTGTCTTGACAATTTGTTTGAGGGCATGGTTGAAGGCGAGAGTGTAGTCGAAGGGCTCCACGAGGAGCCCCTCTGCAATTTGTGGGTTGTGGTCGCGGACATGGTCTATGTTGACTACCAATCTCCTCTGGTTCTTCTGCAGCATCAGGATGATGTCGGACCTGTAGCTTCGCACATTTTGGTCATCTGTCAATGTCAGTCAGCAATCGAATCGGCGAGTGTAGGTAAGGGGCTCTCCATCTGGTGGGGGCAGCACGAACGTGGATCGAGGAACTCTTCGGCCTGGCGCACTCGATCGCGCGCGGCCTCATCGCGCAGCATAAAACTGTCCATGATGTCGTGCTCAATCCAAATTCACACAATTAAGACGGCAAGCTGAGGCGGGTGGAAAGCTGGTGCCGGGAAGTGTGCAGGAGTGGAGGGGGTGGAAGGTTTGTAGAGGCTGTTCATTGAGAAGAGAAAGAGACAGGCGCTTGCGACTTTTTGGAACGCGTCGACGCGAAGTCGATTGGGTCGACCGCGTCCAGGCGCGTAAAGTGGCTTCACTAACAGTCGCGACCTTTATCTGACGCTATCTTTGGTGGGGATTGGCGTTTTTAGAGATAGCTCTCGCCAGATTCCATTAACATCCCTGCAAATTTGCAACCCCTGACAGATCAGGTCTGCATGGAGGGGTTCCATGGCTGGCAGAAAGTTGTACAAGTCTGTCTCTCTGCAGCCCTGTGAGCTATTAGGTATGTGAAATTTACTTTTACGAGGAAATCGGCCAGACACAGTCGACTCGAGGTCGGAGTTTCGGACTCAGACGAGAGCAATGAGCTCGAGGCGAACACACTGATTTCAGAAGACCAAGCCGTCGGTGGATGGTACGCATGGCCAAAGGTTGTGCATAAAAGCATCTCATTCAAATTTTAATCCTGCCTTCGTCTCACATTCACCCTGCAACGTTCCTGTATAATCGCTGTCCCCGAACACACTATTATTGTCATCCTGTGTCCATCCGCTCCGTGAAGTCCGAGCAAGTTCGTGATTCGAGTCCCTTGCTTATTATTGCTCAAGTGGGGGAGAAGAACTCGCCAGGTCAGCAGCAGCAGCTTCCTCGCATTCAGGGGTGTTGGGAACAATCGTTCCCTTCGACCATTCCTACCACAAAGGCTCATTTCCATGCATTCAAGCCAGCCCATGGGTCTGCTTGACTCTGCGGTTGCTGTTGAGGAGGCGGCTGTTGTGCCGGATATCCATAATTGCTTGCTCCGTAATGAACCGTCTGCTGGGGGCCCAGTGGCGGTGGGCCAGGCGGAGGAGGAGGCGGTACAAATCCCGGGGGAACATAACTCTGCGATGGCGTCGCCGTCGGGGCGAGAGGATTTCCATAGGTGCTGTATGGCCTTGAAGACTGTCCAAAACTTGTCTGCGTAGGCGGCGGTGATGTAGGCCCAGGTCGCATGCCGGCGGCTGACCCGAAACTCGTTTGCGTCGGCGGAGGGGATGTAGGTCCTGGCGTGCGCCCGTATGTGCTCGGGTTGTAGGGGCTTTGATATTGAGGCATTTGGGTCTGAGAAGGTGGCGGTGAGGTTGGTACTTGATACTGGCCGGCAAAGTTGGTTTGTGGGTATCTGGGAACATTGTTGTTGAAATTTAAGGGGGATGGCGTAGGTCGTTTTGAATCCGCTGGGTTCGGTGGCGATGAGGGAGGTGGTTCCATCGACATTCTCTCCATCAAGCCGCGGAGACGTTCCTGCTCAAGTGAGGCTTGCGCACTCTTGTTCGCAGCGCGCTCCTGCTCAATCTGGTTTAGGAGCTGAGCCCCTTCAGAACGGCGGTTGTTGACAAAAGACTCCACGTTCTTCTCGAGGCTCTCGACTGTCTCCTTCATCTCCGCATACCATCTCTTTGCACTCTGCAGGCCTGCCTCGAGATCTAAAAACTCCTGATACGCTCGCTTGTACTTCCCAACAACTGAGGCCCGTTGCCTTTGAATGGCCTCGTATTTGCTTTGCTCTGACCTGACGCGTTTGTCCTGCAAAAGATTGTTGAATGTCATGGAAAGCTCTTTCATCAGAGCTGACTGTTTGTGGTTTGCTTGAAGCAGACGAGTCTGGTGGGGCCGGAACTTTTCTAGTTCCTGTTGGAAAAGCTGATTCTCGTAGTTTGCTATCGACTTCTTGTTCAAAATCAGAATCTGGGAGATGTCGTCGTTGTGGACCTATTTCCCGTTAGTGAGAGCCAATGAACCAAAAGTACGAGGCAGACTTGCCTTCTCCTTGAGATCCTTAAGAACCTGATTACGCTCCCTTTTAATCAAGTTCAACTTCTTCAAAGTTTCCTCGACCTTCTTAATTTGGTCCATGACACTCGGTCCACTGTCATCGAAATCTGCATCCAGGAGATTCGGCTCTGTTGCAGGGCTTCCCACACCACTTGATTTCCCGCGTACCTTGCTGACGACCTTTTGAAATAGCGCGTCGACTTCTCCATGCTGAGCCGCAGAACGCATCTCGTCAAAAACATCTTGGTTTTGTCCCAGCTTTGAGGCAAGCTGCGAATCGCTCTTCGAGGCTTCATTCAGAGCCTCGCGGTAGTTCCGAACGTCGCTCCTCAGTGTTGTAGTAAGTCGCCCGCTGGGTTGCTGTGTCCATTCGCTGTCGTATTTCGAACGCATCTTCTCGCAGACGCCTTCTTCCATGTCCAACTGCTGGGAGCACTTGTCCAATATGGAAATGGTGGAATCTCTCTCGGATCTCAGGGTTTCGAAAATCAGGCGTGGGTTCTCGTGTCCTGCGACATCGTCGCACCAGGTACGGAAATCCTCGTCCGGAAGTATGTCATGGTCAAATCCGCCTTTCAGCACCTGCAATGCTCCTGGGAGCCTCAGGTAATCCAAACTCGCAGCCATCTCGCTGTTTGCCAAGTCAACACGTTCCGTCTCTGCCCTGATAAGTTTCGCCTTCTCTTCATCATACAGACTCGCGGATTCTGTCACCGCAATGGGTACGATTTTTGAGAACAGGTCAGGACCGGTGATGCGCTGAATATCCTGGCCGGCATATAGCTCTGAGACTGGTATGGGTTTTGCGGCTGGTAGTTTGGCCACTGGAGCAAGACTAGCCTCTGGAGGAACATTCTGGTGATAAATGTAGTCATTATCCTTGGCTAGCTCCTTCAATTTCTCCTGGACAGCCGAAAGATGCCGCTTCGTGTGCTCAACGAGGAGACTGCCGCAGTCCGCTTGGAGATTCGAGCTTGGGGGGACAAATCCGGGAAAGCTCGAGGCCCCCTTGGTTGCTTCCTTCGCCAGGGTCTCAGCAGCTTGAAGTCTACCGACCGCAACACCATGGGCATTAGCATCGTCATCTGCCAATGCCTGGAAGTAATGGGCCATGGAGTTCAACAGATTTGCTTTTATCTGCCGTGCGTGATTAGCAAGACCAGCTTGCAGGGTGACGTGCCAACCAAGGGACAAGTGGCTCCTACCTGGACCATCAGAAGCCAAACCTTCTCGAAAATTGCCTTGGTCACGTTCTCCTGGACGCCCTCAATAGACTGGCTATATAGAGTGCCTGCTTGACTGGCAAGCTTGGCCAAAAGCCCAACCTTCTTCTGGTCAGCTATCTGCTTCTCCAGGAACACCTCCTGGGCCTGGGCAAGCGTGATAGCGATGAGTGTCTTGACGGTATCACGGCTCAGATCCACGGACGGTGCATGGAGGAAGTTCTCGTTGATGTAACTGAACATGCCGGCGGACGCCTGGAACGAATGGTAGGCGGTCTTCAAGCCCGACTCCTCCGACCTGGGCTGATTCGCGGCATGACAGGATAGGACGGCGGAAATGTTGAATATGATGGAGGCTTTCTCGAAGGCTAAGGAGTACTGGGAGGTGGGCTTGTGTGTAAAAGCATCGAACCTGGCAGAGACGTTAGCCGCATGTCAGCCGGGGCCCGGCCACGCATGGATAAACCACACACCATGTGAAAGAGATCTTGATGTGCTGTTCATCGACGGGGAAGCGCAAGTCGAGCAGCTCGAGCTGGCCATAATATCTGTAGAGCAGGTCCCTCCCAGCGGTGCTGTCTTTGCCGGCGCCTCTCATATCCTGCCGGAGGCGGTTCAAGGTGGCGCATTCCTCAGCATATCTCTCGGGATCGTCACCATAGGTGTGCTGTATGTAGTGTTTCAGGGGGTGTATCCAGTCAATCTCGTTGGTGGCCTTGAGAGGCACCGATATCATGGGGATCTGGGCCATGTTGGTCGATGGCGACTGGTGACCGGAGGAGGAGGATTAGAGGGGCGGGGTCGTCGAAGCCGAAGACCAGAGCTTGCAGCCAAAGAGGACGGGGCAGGTCGCCCTTCCGAGGTTGTCGAGAGAGCTTTCAGCCCAAAGTTTGAACGGGAAGAGGCTCTTTCGTCAATCTCATAACGACGGGACGCTTGTTTTGTTGGGCGCAGCGCAGGGCGTGGAGGGTAGTGCAGGGTGTTGCTGGCTAGCTGCTCGTGGGCTGGATGGACGGTCGTATCGTGCTGTATTGCAGTGTACATCAGTGGGCTGCTGGGTCCAAACGCCAAACGCAAACACAGGAGACTGCGTAGCTGGCGCGGTACGTACCCGCTTCCTGTGCGACTTGCAGCGGTGGTGTGGGGTCACACTCCAGAGTCGCGGAGCTGTCCAAATGCAAGTGGCGAGAACTGGGCTTATGGTTTCGCTGTGGCTTTGGGTTGTTTTCTTGACGATTAATGGGCAGGCATTGATTTGACGATGATGCACCGAAACAGATAGAGGACTGGAGTCCCCAAGTCATAGCCGCCCGACGGCACAAATGCTCGACTGTCTTAGGCAGTGACGGAGGCGTCGTTGGACACGACCACCGCTCGGGAGCTCCCTTTCTTGCTGGGATCAACCCGTCTCACTGGCTTCCAGCTGGTTCCTTAGCCGCCATTGCAACCCTGCGCCGCATTTTCACAAGACAGTCCCACGCAACCAGCAGCCCATCGAACATTCACCTTCAGACTTGTGTGTCTGGGGCTCTACTTTCGTTCTTTTGTCGCGTACGCTAGACGCTAGACAGCTGGGCTGTAGAGGCGACACCACCGGTGGCTGGCAGGTACAATGTAAATCATAGCCATGAGCTCCGACTCGGACTACCGTGGAGCCATAGTTCGAAAACACATGAACCAGTGGCTGACGGGTTTGCAGATTGGCGGGACCGTTCCTGCGACCGCCGCACAGATTTAGTCTAGTACCTACTGTTCTTGAGAACCTGTCTGCTGGGTCTTTACTAACCTTGCCGTGCTTGCGTCAACCGTGCGGCGCATGCTGTAGCCTATTCTGCGACCCGCGTCACCTGGGGTCTTGGGCATCGTCAAGGTGTCTAGCGACTAGACGTATCATATATACACTGCTCTTCCTGCCAGAGTCATGATCTCCAAATTATCACGTGTGCGGCATATGCTACTATAGCATTTGTTGTCAGAAACCACCAACACAAGATGGTGCACACACACAAATCCAAACGATTGGTTACCATTCATGCTGGCAGACTATCAACCAAAGACAACATGTCATGGCATACAGCTCGAATCGTCTACATCAAACTGTGCTCCCTGCCATGTGACTGTGGGACTGAGTAAAGCCAAGCCAAAGAGATCACCGCATTGGCTGAATGGATGCATGCTTGATGTGGAGGGAAAGCCATATGTGATACATCCTGCTGGAGATACTTCCAATTGGCTGCGCTGGCCACTTGTCTTCGAAACGCGCCTCATTTACTGTCAGGGCAGAGCACTGTCAAAAGATGAATGAACTCGCTGGGACGGCTCTGTCGCACCCCAACCGACACGTCTCCCGCTTGCCAAGCTGCCCTTGATGATACCTATAGACATCGCAGGGCCTGCAAATAGCATATGGTAGACATCCCGCACTTTGACCAATAATTTGGTGGTTAGGATGAGGGACACTGTGCGGCGTTCCGGGTGGCTTTTAAAGAAGACAGTCAGATCATCCGCTCCCTATGAAACTGAAATCAAGCCAGATCAAAAGCGCCCGCTGAACAAAAGGGCGAGAAATCTGGCAGTGGCTCAAACATCGATCCCGCCCCCGAAGATCTTCTCATTTTCACTCTCGCCGATGCCGTTTCGGTTTTGGTTGGTTTTTTTTTGTTGCTTCAAAGCATGGACAGAGCGAGAATACTGGCGATCTACTGTTCACAGTACAGGACCGACAACAGCATCTTCGGACACTCTAGGCCTGGTTTGGACATATTCTTTCGTGCTTCTCGTGACATTGGCTGGCCCGGTATACATTGTGAAATCACAAACAGACGTGCAGGCTTGGCACGGAATCGACGTAATGGGCTGTAAGGCATGTAATATACATGTTAATCAGTCAGCCTGTGTATTGACCAGAAAGATCCCGCAGCGACATCGCGCCGGCCCGCTGCTGCAGGTTCCGTCTCGGAGCTCCGGCTTCTCGGAAGTGTGGGGTATTTTACTGCCTGTGCAGGTATGGCGAGCGTCTCGTCTCGGGCACATTTCTGGCACCCCTCTCTTTGCGGATTAAACAGGCCCCCAAATCCCGGTACAGCCTTCTCCCAATGCGTTAATAAGAAGACGCCATTGCATACGAGATCCTCCCCCCCTTCAAGTGCACCATATCCACGGATGCGCATACACGCCCTCTTAAGAAATCGTCTTACTCACTGGCCCACACATTCTTACAGACAGACAATGTCTTTCGATCGCCGTAAGCTCACGTTCATCTGCCATCTCTCCCTCATCGCCGAGGCCGGCGTAGCTTTCACTAACTTCTGCTAGTTGTCCGATTCGTGCCTAAGGGCAGCAGCAGTGCCGCTCTCATCGGCGAGCCAGTTGACTCCTCCGTCGACGTGGGGCTTGCAGTCCGAAAGGGCCAGGACGTCAAAGTCAAGGTGTTCAGCGGCTCATCGGTCCTAGATCCTGGGTCGGCGACGGAGAAGGTCGAGGTCATTGACCGCGTATTGTCGCCCCTCGATACTCATGAGGTCGGAACAGTCCGATGTATCGGCTTGAACGTATGTCTGCTGTATAACTCAGTGTCATCGTAATTTTTTTAATGCATCACTGACATCGCCCCAGTATAGAGGACACGCCAAAGAAGTGGGCATGCAAATCCCCGATGTTCCGGTCGTCTTCATGTACGTGAGATATGAGGCACATATTACATCCTATGAGCTCTCTGACAAGTCTTTAGGAAGCCGGCCACTTCCCTGGCAGACCCCTGGCCAGCGCCAACGGTTATCCCTAAGCACACACTCAAGGACGACTGTGCCGACTATGAGAGCGAGCTCGCGGTGATCATCGGCAAGACGGCCAAGAACGTGAGCAAGGAGCAAGCTCTTGATTACGTGCTGGGCTACACGGCATGCAACGACATCTCGAGCCGTGTGAGCCAGTTGAACCAGAGTCAATGGAGCTTCTCCAAGGGCTTCGATGGTGCTTGCCCCATTGGTCCCACCCTGGTCTCAACCAAGGCGATCCCGGACGCCTCCAAGTTGAAGCTTAGAGGCCTGTTGAATGGCAAGGTTGTGCAGGAGAGCGGACTTGAGTAAGTCTCTGAATTAATCTCACAGCTTTGTCGTGAGGGCCCATGCTGACTTTCCCGCGTTAAGCGACCTCATCTTCGATGTGGCAGAGCTGGTTGCCTGGTGCTCCCAGGGCACGACGCTCCTGCCCGGTACCCTCATGTAAGTCCCGCAGCATCAATTCCTCTCCGCCCTTCATTTTCTAGAAGGGTTGCGTTCCTTGATATCATTCTGACTTGATGTTCTGCAGTATCACCGGTACGCCCGCGGGTATTGGTTGGGGCCGCAACCCCAAGCTGACCTTGCACGGGGGTGATGAGTTCGTTGTTGAGATACTGCCCCACATCGGCAGCTTAGTCAATGTTTTGGAGGACGAGAAATGATTAGAATTCAGTACTGGATCAGCATAGATGAGATTGGAGATGGGAAAGAGAGTCATGCTACAGCTTGGATTCAACACATTCGGTTTCCAACTCACTATGTTAGAACGAGCTTTGGTTCATGCCCAATTTAAAATCTACATTAGCACATTTGACTCGTTAAAGATGCGAGGTCTTTTAAGACATTTAAACGCTGTTGACTCTGAGCGCAGACCTCATGGATCAGCTCAGTAATTGCTCACAAATTTGGCTTACAGGACAGCGAGATGATCATAAATAAATTCCCCAATATCTGTTTAACATGCACTTCTATATTTTCCAGCACACATCTTGTACCTAATCCACAAGCACCCTGTTTTTAACACGTGTATCTATTCCTCTATGCTTCGGTGAGATCTGTCAAACTGCAAAATCATCCTCGACCCAGTCTCGCTTGATTAAATTGCTAGGCCGTCAAACTCAAGACCACTCCATCAAGAGTCAAGAATCCCCGGTAAATGGGCCAATCCATATTCTATCACACCTTCTGGGCCCTTCTCGACCTGTAAGCCTTTTGGCAAGGTCATAACTTTGATATCTGGCATTATCTCTCTTGCAATAGAAACAGCTTGTGCTGCCTCCTCAGGAGTCCACATTGAAGCCGTAAACTGGGATGGACAGTTTCCTTTAGCGACTGGGCCCCATGGAAAGTGGTTTGACCGATGTGTGTGCCATTGGGTCAAGAACCTCGTTGTGAGCATGAAGTCACGAAGAACGTACCATCAGATTTGGCTTATGTTCCTCCACCAAAGCTCTCACGCCTTCGATACCTGGTTATAATTGGTCAGCTTAAACGCACTGCTGCGTTCGCTTTTAAATATCCCGAATTCTTACTGGTTGTATTGGCGACATAATCAATGTGATGTGTGCGTCTCATCTCTTCGCACAGCCTTCCGCATAGTTTCTTTGCTCGTTCAGGAGCGGTGTTAACAGTCACCAGCTTGTATGGGCCCGCCGGCTTTACGTTTTCTGTCGTTGCCATTCTGTCCAATGTCTATACGTAAGAATAGTAGTTCAACGATAACTTCGGAGTATATGTAATCAATATCATCTGCTTTTAAAGATGTTTTAGCATCAAGAGCCAAGTCGGGAGATATATTCGCGGTGTCGGGACGCCCGGTCCTTCTTTTACCTCCGCAAGTCCGACGTCCTCGGTCCGTGTCAGGCTTTGCTGGTAGTGGCGGACGAGTATAGTTTATCTCGGAGATACTTGAGCTCGGAGACATCGGCAATAGGGGGAAGAGCTTCAATTCCGTGGGCGATGCGAGGAGATATTTATCGAGCCTCGGATTACCATAACTGAAGAATAGGAAGGCATGAACACTGTGTTTGAACTTCTGTCTATTGCTAAAGCTGCGAGAAATCAATGGCGCATACCCACGGTCCGAGCCAAAGCACAAACTTATTATTGATTACCTAAAGATCTGCGCGACAATTTGGGGTTTTCAGTTAGTATAAATACAGGAAACAACTTTGACTTTTACAGTGAAGAGTGTGCTGGGCGACTGTATAAGTCTCGGGACACTTTGGCGCAAATATGCAGTCACTTTCTAGACTATATAGGTGCCTTGCATACCCTGTCCTGTCGACATTCTATAGCGACAGTTTTTGTCGCCGATGGCCGAGAAATCATTGTTTAGAAGTTGAAGACGGGATGGGATGAACATCATGACTTATTAATATCCTTGGAATAGGGAACGTTACCTAAGATAGCTCTCGGCCAGACATGACTCAATGTCTCGACGGCCGACATTTGAAGCACGCCGGCTCTCTGGCGAATTGCTTCCCCGTCCAGTAATTGATGCGATGCTTCAATGACAAAGTATCACTCATGCAAGCCCTTGATTCCTGTAGCTGTCTGGATCACAATTTCAGGCGCAGTCCCAAGGTTCACTTCTACTGAGTGAAAGCCTCATTAAAGCGCAAACGCTTTGAACTCGCAAACTCGCGCCTGGTCGAGCCCTACAAGACAGCAATAACGAGACCCATTTTGCAAAAGCCATAGTGCCGATTTTTGAATCGAACCACGGGATTCTGGACGCGTCCATAGGCTTTGTCACAAAATTCGCGTCTGCCGATGCAGCATGACAAGCCAATTTACCGAACCCCCCTGAGATCCCACTTGCCGTTCGCCAAGCTTGGAAGAAAACGGCATAGTTCCGACCCTTTGGGAGGCGAGAGCGCTAGGCTCCAGCTAGTGTCCCAAGTTGATGAAGCTGCGAACTCCGGCCCTAGGAGGCGTTCAGTCGTTCCAGATGATGCCTGGACCAGGATGGCCTAGAAAGGCTGAGAGCGCAGTCGACGTCGCCGTGGAGCCCTTAGACCCCTGGACGGTACCCGATTGGGTTGTGAGAGTGAACACAAACGATGCTGGATCATAGCTTGCAAGGCATATATGGAAGCCAAGAAAGCAGGAAAGTGAGTAGGTGACGATCAAGGTGACACGTATCGCGGAAATGAGTAGTCACGACGCTGCTCCATGCTGGAGTAGCTTATCCCACAGCGGCCTTTTCACTCTATAGAAAATCGACCTTCGATCTCTGAGTCACAAGTCGTGATTAATGGTATCTTCGACCAGATGGTGGTTCCAGCCGGAATAGATGTCACCACACAATAAATGCTTGACGACCGAGAAATATTGTACAGTCCAAGTGATTAGCAAGGAAAATACTTCACGTCTTCCACTCTATTTCAGGTGTCCATGAAAGCCCCTGAACAGTGTACTCATTAAAAGCTGGGCCACAATTCCTCGACTTTGCCCGCTTCTCTCAGACCAAGCGCGGAAAATTGCAGGAGGACGAATAGTAGTCTGTCAAAAGCTTGGATAGGAGCGGAATGAAGTCAAATAATCACGCCACTCGGAGGGCGCTTTGAGGATGTTAGGACGTTTCGACGTCAACAATGCCGGCTCGCGACCACGAACAATCCGGGTCTCCATCGTCAATCTTGAACGGGGATGTGGTCTGTTAACGCCCCGAAAATACCAGGCTGGCACCGCAGCTAATTTCTATTCCGGTTCCGCTTGGCTGCCGAATTCCCCGTTCTCAGGGAGCTACCCTGGCAATGGCGCAATAATCTTTGAGACGCGTCCGCAGAGAATCTAGGCCTGGTTTGACAGGAGCCCGCGCTTGCATTACCGCTTTCGAGTCGTCTTTGACAGTTTCATCGAGTGGGATGTGAGGAAAAATTGTTTACGGTAAGTAATTCACATGAATTGCGTATCAGCTTTCGTGGCGGGTTTGAGGAACTCTTCCAGGTTTCTTTCCGACAGCTTGACAAGGTGCCACGAGGTAGCCTTGAGGTGCATGTAACGTGGTTCAGGGTCTAGAAGATAGAAGGCCCTTCCATACGAATTCGATTGATCGACCTTCCCTGTCCATATCCGTCGTTCGGAGTCATCTTCACAATGCCTTAGAGAGTGGCGCCAAGATGGAAATAAGGTGGCTGCAAGATCTCTCACAGGGGAGGGTGGTATCATTATGCAGCAAACGACCAGGAATCCCACGTGCTGGTCACACGGTCCAAGGACCTGCACGTCTCATTCGACGACGTTGAGCATGCTGTCATATTGCGCGGGAGGAGAAGCTGCAGCACACGTTGGCACGTTGGAGAAGTGAGTTGCCGAGGCGTGGAAGAAGCCCGGCATTCTCGGATGAACTGGAAACGACGACCAGTTGCCGCGATCGATGAGTGATGGATTGTTGATGGGTCATGGATGAATGAGAGGAGGTGGTTGTCCGTCCGGGCTTGATGAACAAGGACTGTTCTAGAACGGACAGGACCGAGCACCCCGGATCCCGGAGAAAAGGGAGATCCACAGCCACCAGGGCAAGAGAGACGAAAACATCCTTTCGAAGAGTTGCTTCTGGCGGGGTCTCCCCACGCAATGTCAATCTGACACTGATCGGTGCCGTTTCAATGCCACAAATCGAACGAGTCGTGAGACAAAGCAAGACAGGGCAAGACAGAGCGGGACGGGGCAACGCCATACCTGCAGTTGTATCAAGATCGCCGCCCTCGCAGAGTACGTAAGCTGATCCGAGACCGGGGGGTGGGATATGTTGACGCACCTGAAGCTGGAGGACGACGACGACTACGACGACAACGGGTGTCATCCGGGTAGACTCGCCCAGTGACTACCGAACCAGCCAAGCGTCTCGTCCAGTCAGACGATGGATGAAACGCGATCGCAGTCTGCCCTAGGACTTTGCCCTTCAAGGTCCTCGGGATGATGGGCACAGCCTGCTGTTGGCCCGAAGGAGCATGCGATACGGATACGATACGCATATTACGCGCCCGACGTCCAAAGTCCTGCCACCGCCTCGCAGTGTAGGTAGTCTAGGTTAGCAGGCAGATACTTCAGCAAGGCTATCCAGGCATCCATGTAGCTCGCACCAGACCCGTCACCGATCCGCCGAGTCTGCCAGTTTGTGAGTCTCACCGCCGCTGTCCTGCATGCAGACATTGCAGAGGCTGTGGCTGTTTCTTCTCAGCTGGACGTCGCACAACAGATCCGTCAGGATTTGCTTTCTTTGAGCAGCTGAGGCCACGAATTTCACATATTGTAGTATGCATGTATGCAGTAGAGGGAGAGTACATGTGTAGGTTACTGTATGTACACAGACTTACATGCATGCATGCAATAAAAAAACCACAAACTCAGTGTGCGTCTACGGAGTACATATCCCTCCAACAGCACACACATGGATGACGCTTGTTCTTTTTTTGTCCATGGAGGTGCAATCTCCCCTCGATGTCCCGGCACGTCTCCCAACATCGCAAAACGCAAACGCAATCCCGATGGACGAGAGAACCAAGGGTGACATGACAGGGCCCTAGCCCCGGCCCCGTCCGCGTTGGCGTTTGGCGCTGGAAGGCGAGGGCATGGGCGAGGGCGAGGGTGAGGGCTGGGGTGGGCTTTGTACCCCTTGGTCGTTGTTGTTGAGGGTGCTTCGAGAGAATTTTCCCCCTTTCGACTAATTCAAGGGCATTTTTGCAAGACCTAATAAACCTTACTTCGCCTATATGTACGTATCTATAGTCAGCCCACGCCTTGGTCATGTCCTGTCCCGTCCCGTCTTGCCCACCCAACTCGAGTGTTGATCGGTACCCCCCTCCCACTTTGCACGTTGCACGGACTGCACACACCGATCGGCCGCCTGCGGCCCAGTCTCTTCTGCTCGGTGATCGTTGCATCGCCTCATTTCACATCTCACACATGGAAGGGGAGGGAAGAAAAAATTCTTGTATAAGTCTCAGCCGGCCCTCGCCCTCGGCCTCACCCTCACTCCGTGTTTGGCTTTTGTAGTGCTGCTTTCTTCTCCATCGCCAGTCACCACAATCTTCTACCCTATTGCGCGACTGCTCAAAAGCTGAGAGACCCACCACCACCTCAAAGAGTCATTCGAAGTTCCTTCAAGCACTTGTACACAGATATATATACACACAAATATATATATTTGCTGTCACCTCGCACCACAACAACCGCGTCTACTGCACACACAGCGGCCCTAGCTATCTGGCAAACGCACCTCAATTGACTTCACACCACACAAACCCGTGGCCAACATGTCCGTCAAGGAACATACCGAGCTTGTCGTCCACTGCTGCTCGACCTGCTGTAAGGCAGCCGACTTCGGTACGCATCTAGTCCCCTCAGTAAACACCACAATATTCCTTTTTGCTGACTACGGATAAGGTACCCACGACTACTGCTCCGGCAGCTCATACTACTGCCCTCGGTGTCCCCATTAAGGCCCTGCATTCACGGTCCTTTTTTTCTTCCTTTTCTTTTTCCCTCCTTCGTCCCGCGCACCCCTGGTCGCCATCCCGCCGTTCTGGGCGAGCCGCATCGCCTCGACCAGGGCAAGCCTGCGCCTGCCTTAGTCCTGCAGCCGGCCCCTGAGCTGCCACTGGCCGGCCAGAGATCTTTCCGCCTCCTGGTCGAGCATCTGCGGTCGGTGTAACCATGCGACCAACCTTCGACGTTGCTCGACAGGAAGCAAAAAACCACCTCCCCCTCGTTCGCAGGGGGCCCTGATGCGCCATTGCCAGTCCTCGCTGCTCCACCGCAGGGCCTCTCTCTGCCCTCTCCGGTCGTTGAACCCCGTATCACGCGTACGGCGTTTTTCCTCCTCACCTTCAAATCTCGCTTCGACACGCGCCTCACCGCCCCCTAACCCCGTCTTTCCCGAGATTGAGGGCTACGCGTGGCTCTGCCTGTTTATCTGCCTGTCCGTCGAGCGAGCATGGCTGTACCAGTGCCGCCCCTGGGAGGCATCGCCGTGGCCTAGCTTCGCCCGACTTCTACGTACGCGGACGGACACCAATGCAGGCCAGGGCGGCGCAAGGCAGTCTACTGTTGCATGTAGTTCTATGCATGCAGGCATGGCCGGGGCAGATTCTCACCACACACTCTCTCACCCTGGCACAGACCCCGTCTCGGCAGGAGTTGCTCGCTCGACCTCGTTCCATTCTCACGCTATCCCGCTGCTAGCCAGCGAGGCATCTTTTTTTATACCCCTATCACCATCGCTTTGCGCGGGAGTTCTTTATTTCTCTTTCTTTTCGGGAACCGACTGACTCATGATTGGTCACGTCGAATGGTTTGGGAGGCTTCGGGAGGGGTTATCGTTCATGGATAAATCGGCGTCTTGGGAGTATTAGGAAGTTGGGATGCATACATGTATGCGTATTAAGCAGCATCAGTTGTTATAACCATCATATTGGAGGGTGGATCATTTCGGTTCCTGTGAAGCTTTGCCTGCGAGCGGGTTACCTCCTCCCCCCCTCTTTGTAGCTTTTACGGGCAATGATCAGCGTATCGTACCGTCGATTATGAGACGCCGCTGCGGAAATCATCGCGGGAGGCTGGCAAGAAAAAGCAAAAATGATACTGTGAAATGGCTGATGTGCGATGTCATGTCAGGCCATGACCACCACGATGATGACACGGCTGCGGAATCTGATACGTCTCTCCTCTCACATAAGTGCTGATTTTTCTAATGCTGTGTCACGATCACTGTTCTCCCAATGAGCTTGAGCCTCCTCGGCCACGGCAAGTGCCCTCACTGGCTGCAGAGAAGCCATGAGATGCACCGCTACGCCCACCACCTCTGCCTAGCCTGCCTGCCTGCCTTCTGCCTGTCCGACGAGCCCTTCGCCCTCCCTCTCATCGTCCGCCTGCGCCCTGCCCAACAGCGGCTTGACCCCCACCCTGCGAATGCAAGGCTGGGCCGAGCAGGCGGCCAGCGCACCGCACCCAGGCCTTTCCTCATGAAGACACACCGGCAGCTCGGCCATGCATTATGCATACGCTCGGTCGAATGGCGGAAACGGCAACGGCACTGTGAGCTCCCACCCCTCTCTCTCACCTTACTGTGGGACCTGTTGCCTGGGACAGCTTACCCAGCGAGCCGGGCGACAGACCGGGCACGATAGGTGGAAGAGGACTAGGTGAAGGGAAAAGCCGGCCGCAGGCTTGGTATTCCTAAACCGCCGCACAGGCTGACAGGGTAGCAGATATCACAAATGACGAGGAAACTAGAGCCAGCCAACACATTGGTGAAGATGTCAGCACTAGGCAGGCTGCAGAGGACGAGGCATTGCAAGCTACTGATGGCCTTGATCCTGTGACACGGGCATCACGGCATCATGGACGCCCATAGTCTGTTGAGCGATTTTCTCAATCATGGGTACGGTGTCCGTGGGTGTCCGTCATGGTAACCCCCCGTTCAAAGCCGGAACCTACCTCGGTTGCTTCTTCACGCGTGCATACAGTCACTTTATCCCGCGCGCTTTGCTTCTGCAAGGCAAGATACAGTGGGAGAAATGCTGGAGAAAAGATGGGGTATTATTCGATTAAACGTGATACACCGAGTGCCCAGGCAGATCCAAGGCCAGCTAGTAGAGGGTGTGAAAAACTGCCGCAATGCTCGACTTGTCAAACTTGACATATTTGCCTTTGCCCTTGTCGACCTCGTGGTACCGGTCCCAGAACCGGTTGTATAGCGGCTCAACAGTCTGCTGCACTGCTTTGGCAAACATTCGCCGTACCTCAGGCTCCATGCTGTACTGCTTGTGCTTCGCGACCATGTCTTCAAAGCTAGCATTGAACGCCTGGAATTTGTCCTTGATCTTCTCCCGATCTTTGGATGATAGCCCCTTCATGATAGACGCTGAGTCCACAATACCCTGTCCAGACGTGGGCCGGTTCGCGCGAGAGGTATGAATAACGTCCAGAAGATGAACCGACACGTCCTTGCACACGTCCGTGTAGGTGGCGTTCGCCTTTTTCCGCCAATTATCAATAACGCCTGGGAGCTTCTGTTGTAACATAGGCGCCAGTTCAGAGTCCCGAATCATGCGCTCCGCGATGACGATATTGTTGGCCATAAAGACCCCCACCACTGGTTTCCTCCCGAATAGAGCTCTGGCACGCGAATCTAGCGACGAGAAAAGGGTCTCAATGGTGTCCGCGCAATAATTGGCGAAGATCTCCGTTCCATCAGCGCTCACGTCAAAAGACGCCAGGTTAGGTACGCTATCCCCAGCATTCCTTGCTGCCGCCGCGGACGACTTCCAACCCCCGTCGCCAATAGATACCATGATAATCGACATGGGCCGCAGGAAGTTCGCCATCGTTTGTAATCTTTGCATGGTATCTGACACAACGGGCACGGGAGCCCCATCCGCGGGCAGCATTTGCAGGCTGTTGATTTTCATTTGCAACGCTTCCAAGAGTTCAGCCAAGGATGACTTGGCTGTCTCCTTAACGGGCTTAAGCGCTGCTGCGAGCGACGCCTTCAGTTCTCCCGTTGTTGACTCCAGGTTGTTGGAAAGACTTGACATGACTTCCACTATTTCGTATGCCAAAAAGCAATCGGTGTTGAGATGGCTTCTGATGTGAATGTTCAGCTCTCGCAAGGTGCGGGCGAGTTCAGCGAGAGGCGCCTGGCAGGTTGCTTGGAACACTGGGCCCCAGTCCTCTCTTGTGAAGATGCGACATATTATCTCATACTCGGCCAAGAACAAGCCTTCCATTGCTTGCGCATAAGTACTGATGCCGCTTGTTCCGGCACGATAATTTGATGATGAGTCTTTCCTCTTCGCAGTATTCACACTTGCCGACGCCAGATTCACCAACGTTGCTGTCAGGTACGGCCCGCGGACCTCGGCATAAATCTTAGCTGATGGAGACTCCTGCATGACGCCGCTCTCCCGGTGAGCACCTGCGATGTACGAATTCAACAAGCCCAATCTCGTATTCTTGTCCTGGGACAGCACAGGGAAAGGTTGCTGCTTGGTGATGTAATGGAGCGGCTCGATGGACCGTGGAGTTTCGCTTCGCAGCATCTTGTCGAAGTAAGCCTCGAGTTGCGTATTCCCGGACTTAATCAACCGCTGGAGGTCTGAGGTCGTCTGCTGTGTAGATCGTAGATTCGAGGCTTTCATGTCGGCCAGTGCCTTGTTCAAACGTTTGAGCGAGCTGAGGTAGTTGGAAAGGCCGGCCTTCTCTGGCCCCATGCGAATGATCTGCTCTTCGTCATTTTTGCTGTCGGACTGTTGGCGCAATCGGCCAATGGCAGCGAGTACACCGTCGATGTCTGTAAATGGACTGGTTGTCAGAGTGCAATGCGCCGACTGTGCGGTATTGTGGGCCTCTCGCAACACATCACGTACTATTGCAGAAGACCTGCAGCTGCTTCGTCTCCCCGTTGAGAGGGCCAACCGCTTCGTTGAGGCGCTTGCCCGTGCCTTGCACCCGAGACAGCTGGGCCTCGATCTTCTTGGTCAGCTGGGCTCTTTTGTCGAGATGCGACTTGAGGACGTCGACTTCGGCGCGCGCCTCCTCCTCGGCAGCATGCCGACTGGAGGGGGCGGAAACCATGGCACCGCTGTAGAGAAATCCGCGCCCTTCGCAATGCGAATGAGGATGAGTGAAGATCTCCCGAGAAGTGTTGTGATGAGAAAGGTGGGAAAGGGATGGCCAGAGACTCTATTCGCCAATTTCACGATGACATGGGGAGGAGGTCCACGGGTGGGCTGGTGGGTTGGGATGGAGAGTGCTGAAGGGATACGGGGCCTGAAACGACCCAACTCCGGCTGGCAGGCGCGCTACTGTAGCAGTGAGCGGATGACGCACGTCAGGCAACGGGGCAGTGAGCACAGACAGACGTTGAATGCGCAGGGATGCACGGCAGATTCAGGGGCACGAGGCTAGGCACTGGGGAAATCACCCATGCACACGCCCCTGCTTTTGTTCAGCTCGCATGCAATTTTGACATCTTCAACGGGCCTTCAAATGTCCAGCAGAAGAGCTCATATACGCTGCAAATGAGTGAGGAATTTGAAGACGACACCTATTGATTCTACTTCCTGAAATGCCAGCTCAGTGCCAGGATTGATCTTGTTTTATAGATCTGTCTGTGCAGATTGGCTTCCAGCATTTGGATGATGGAAGGAGGGAAACTCGACTCGCCCCAGTGTCGGCTTGAACATGTCAGAGCTGAGGATCTGTGCTATTTTTCTTTTGACTCCTAACATCTTGAGCTTGATCAATCTCTGTGCTCATATTGCTGCTAGACGATGGTACCACTCTATCTGGAAAAATAATCCTCGACAAGCCTTGTGACAGTCAAGACGATAAATTCGATATCCTCGCCTGTGGCCGTGTACGGTGGCGCAATGATTCTGTCATGAGTCAGCACATTGTCTTGTGGTTGTTCAAGGGGCTGCGAAGTGTTATAGGAGCAATATTGTACGCACATATGGTCCCCGTTAATACCGTCAACGGTTCCGGCGCCTGGGTACACCATCATCGAGTACGGTTCTGTCAGTCCCAATTCACTGATCTCCATCGATACGTTGTTTTTGGATGGAAAGGGCGCCTTGGTTGCTTTGTCTTGCACAAACTCGACTGCCCAGAAGAGCCCTCGACCCCTGATATCGCCTACATGGCTGTGGGAACCTAGGCGTGCCTGCAGTGACTTCCCAAGGAGCTCACCCATTTCTCGGACGTTGGCAATGAGATTGCCTTCTCGGATAATCTGTTGCACCGCAACAACCGCTGCGCAACTTACGGCGTGCGCCTGGTAAGTGTGTCCATGCATGAAGACTCTGTGATGGCATTAACAAGATTAGTCACTTTGTACGGGGAAGCACTCACGCGCTGCCATTCTCAAGGGCGTCGACGACATTCTTGTGGATGAGAACTCCAGCGACGGGCTGATAACCACCCCCGAGGCCCTTGCCGACTGTTTGAATGTCGGGCACAACGCCCTCTTGTTGCCATGCGTGATGAGTTCCAGTGCGTCCCATTCCCGACATGACTTCATCTAAGATGAGTAGAGCGCCGTATTTACGACATACTTCCTGCATGGCCTTGAAGTAGCCTTGCACCGCTGGCACGCATCCTAGAGCCTGTGATCAGTGGTTCAGCAAATGAAGCTGTTCGCGGGTACATCCTGTGAGATATAGATATCACTTACAGCACCAACAACTGGTTCTGCGACAAATGCGCAGACCGTCTCGGGACCAACCCTCTGAAATTCTTGATCAAGCTCGAGGGCCAGTCTCTGGACATAGGCCTCGTCCGTTTCGCCATTCTTCTTACCGCGATACGCGTAGCAAGGCGAGACTTTCGAGATTGTTTCTATAAGCAGGGGCTCAAATTTGGCCCGGCGCGCAACATGACCACCCATGCTTAAAGAACCGAGGGTTGTTCCATGGTAAGATTGATATCGAGAGATGAAACGGACCCTCGTTGGCTCGGGGTTCTCCTTCTCCAAGAAGTACTGTCGCGCTAGTTTCTATTGAGGAAGAGTCAGTCATTTGTATGAATACGATTACAGAAAAGTAGTCGATCTTTCACATATTCCGTCGCTCAATATATGAAGTCTCTTGTCAGGTAACGTCAAAGCAAATCTCACCATTGCTGCCTCCATGGCTTCAGAACCTGCTGCTTGTCAGCCCAATTCTACGTCACGGATATTGGTAGCACTAGCCGGAGCCCACAATGTACGCCCTCGTCATTTGCCCATCTGTTGTGTCAATCATGGCCTGCCCCGCCTGCTCAACAACGGGTGCTTTGAAGAACGTTGAGGCACAATAGCTCAGCTTCTGAATCTGGTCCACCATGGCCTGATTCACTGTAGTATTCCCATGCTGAGGCAGGTCAGCAAGGATGCATGAGTTGAGGAGAAAACGAGGAGGGCTAGCCCGTCGTCATAGAACAGTATTCCACTTAAGATATTGAAGACATCATGAACATACACCGAGACAAGCTACAGCCGCGCCTCCCGAGGCATCAAATATTTTCCGGCCATCTTCTAGAATGAGGTAATTGCCCTCGCCTCGCTCGACGCTAAGAAAATCACGACGAAGGTGTCGATGAAGCACGGCGGACTTTTGGGTACCAATTGACTTGTGAACACTGGTGGGGTTTGAGACTCCATTGGAGTCGTCGAGCTGCAGTTGAGTCATCGTGTTGTATGGAGGGAAAGGAAAATGAGACTGTGGAGTATATAGAGAACTTTGGTGGATGTAAACGATTGGCCGCTTCTGTCGAGTTCGCAGGCTTGACAACACCCGCCCTTTCACGACCTAGGCGTCCAATTATATATACCTACTCAGGGCTCAACCGGCAGGCAAACAGGCATGCATGCTTCAGCAGGAGAGCCCCTCGCCCTCGAAGTGGTCTCTGAACATGTCGTATTCCATGAAAGCAAGGCGTCCCTTGATGTGACCCGACCTCCGCAGGCCGGAGCCGGATGCTCTGATCGACCTACATCCAGTCCTTGGTACCTACATAGAAGGTACCGCTACCCAGGTACCTAGATAAAAGGGTAGATATGCTTGGTCCTTCTGGCACGCCGCGAGTCGGAGCGAGGGGGAGTGGGCAAGTCTAGACAAGCTGCCGGCTCTGTCTGGCCCCTGGTGGTGCTGTTTTGTGGAACAGGGTTCGGGACTTCTGTAGGCTAGAAAGTAGTCTGCATGTAAAGCCTGTGATTTGTCTTGTGCCCCTGACTCGGGACGCTAGTACTGTACACACTGTCCATGTCGGCAGTGATCCTTCGGAGCAAGGAGACTTCGGCACGAGGTCGGCTGACATTACCAACGGGACTCGGCCCGGATTCAACGTCTCGTTTATATCACCCGGGAAGCCTTCACACAAAGGGCAGAGTGAGTCCATCTTCAACATGCTGTACCGACAAATTCTGCGCCACATCTAGAACGGAGATCATGCCGGTTGCTGCAGCCAGCCGATGTCAAAATGCCTGTGCCTCCGGCTGGCTGCCTGTGTGGATCGTAGATGGTGCTGTCGCTGTGCTTGCAGGTGCAAGTCGCCCGTTGTGGCAACCGCACCCGTTCGGCTTCCCGGTCTCGGGCCTTGTCCCAAAGATGCGACGCTCTTTGCCGAGAGACAACTCCCACTGGCATGATCCTGGCCTGCCTTACATCTGCAGTAGCCGCATGTAAATCAGATGGCGGTCTGCACGTCTGCCTCACCTGCCCGTTTAAGAATTGGCCTTGCACAGCAGCCACCATCAAGATCCCGTTTCGTGTCTAATAGAGAGAATCGTGGACGTCTTGGGGAGCCCTCATATGCACAAGACAACGGCCAAAGGGCAATGCGTGCCGGTACTCGTGGGTTCCAGCTGGGTACCATGCAGCTCTTGGCCAGTCGTGTTGACTGTGCAGTGATCTCCTGTGTACTTGGCCCCAACCTGGCGACACGTGCGTCGCTTTCCAGCAGCCGTGACATTGAGGGGAAGGTTTCACAATGGTGCCCACCATCAATCGCCAGGACCATATTACCAGAAATCAACACAGCCCCGTATGCCCGCAGGACAAGCCGCCTTCTTTGATATGGTCATACGTCCTCTGAATTGGTCAAGAAGGTGCCTCTGTTCTGGAATCGCGATGAAGGCTATCTCGAGACTACTTGGGAGCTTCCGTACTTTCACCGGCAGGACCCCAAGTACTCCGGGCTTTGCAGTTTGCCCATATGCAAGCCCCGTTCCTACCCACACGCCACGCCTCGCATGGATGTTCAAACCTCCAGTGAGAGCGCGTGAAGGCTCCGACGGTGCGGAGCTCTCCGACAACAAACAAGTCGCAGTGGTTGCCAGCATTCGGCGGGGGGAAACAACAAGATGACCTCCATGCCACACGTAGCTGGTAAGATGATCCAGTGGCACTGCGGTCCTGATGCAGAAGCATATGCTGGAGTAGACTGGCCTCTTGAAGGGAAGAGCAATTTTCGAGGGGCGGAGGAATGTGGCAGAGGCGACGCCAATCAGTCGGATGATGCTGCAGCTTTGCCTCACGCCCTGCAGATCAAGGATTCACCACAGCGAGTCGATGAGGCTGTTTTAGGTAGAACTATCAAGTCCGACTTTGCCGAGTCCGTGTGATAATGTCTGCTACATCTTGGGGCACGTCGGCGGTTGCCGACGGGAGAATATGTGCCAGGTGAAAGAACATCGTCAGTCCAACGCTGCTAGACGCACTTCCGAAAGGGTACACAAAGTCTGACTGTGTGGTGCAGTACCATCCTGAGGAGATGTCGTGGCTTCTATACCTCGATGGACACCTGAGCACGCCCGGCCAAAATTCGCAGACGGCCTGAAGCTTATAGTGAATTTCGATGTCGCCCTTATTTTTTGAACAGTTTTTTATTCGCGCCCCAATGCGTCTCTTGTTCCTCTCGTACCACATGTGCAACCAGCAGATACTGGGTCATTGAGACTCACCTGGGCCAATAGGTCATGGATTAATCCCGCTGTCGAGGAATGACCGTGCGGACGAGCAATTTGAGTATATTGGTAGCTGGGCCCCTCTCTTGGACATGGCTGACAGTCTTATGACGAAGGACAGAGGTCGCCGTCATTGATCGATATCTCGTTAGTACATGGCATCGCGAATCTTTCGAGCTCACTTGTATCTTTCACCAATTAGTCGAATCATGGAAAAGACATTGTGTATGCTCAATGCAATCGAGTCGAGGCCCATAGACCGTCAGAGCTTAAGGCGGCATGTCAATGGTGGGGACTGGGGATAGGCTGGTTGTGATTGGACAAGCCAGCGGGAGGGATCCACCCAAGTAAACAATGGACAAACAAGCTCTGGCACACTCGGAACCCCCTTCCACAGGATTGATTCCATGTCGCGTATACCGTCATCCCTCACATACCCTTTCGACCGCAATTCGTACTTTGCTGCAACGTCCTAGCCTGCGTATTCCCATCGCGCTCAAACATGCTTGACTTATCCTGACAGCCTCGCCACGTTATCCCCATTTTGCTTTGCGACACACATTACACGTCCTCCGAGCTTCGCGACATCATGGCAATGCGTCCTGGTCCACCGCGTCAGCCCGTGGGGTCCACGGCGTGGTGCACCGAGGAGAGATCGTCGGCCCTCCAGATCTCGCGATCCGAGGTTGAAGAGTTCGGCTACTCTGCAAGGAACGAACTGGAATGGCTCAACGAGCACATGGCAGACATCTTCTCTGAGAACCAAATGTACGTGTCAGACGCGTCAAATATCGCAATCCGCCACTGACAATGGCACAGAAACGTCGCCGAGGTCTTTAAAACACCAGGAAAGCTACGCGGGAAGACCCCAAGGACCGCACGCAAACCTGTTCAAAATGAAAACAGAGTGGTAAGAGCTTCGCCATGTCCACGGTGCCTTCAGCTTCCAAACTAACATGCTTCAAAGCCCTTGTCAAATATATTCTCTGCGACGCCCCAGGGCGAACCCAATCCCTTCACAACATCCGCGTTGCACAATGACAGAACCCCCAAGTTCCGAATCGCCGAGGACCACCCGGCCAGTCCGGCCATGCGTCCTTCTGTAAACCGGAAACCCGTGCCTACAAAATCCGCAGCTCATAACACCATCCCAGTCGCTGACTCCGGGTATTACGGGAGTCAGAGCCAAGAGGTGTTTAGTGAAGTCGACGAGATGATTAAAAATGCAGAGCCAGGACTACAGCAAGGTCCTCAAGGAACGCCACGACGACCAACACAGGTGGTGACGGCTCTGGCAGATTCTGATGCCATTGGCGATCTGGGCTCGGCCACAGAAGTTTTTGAGGACCCCGTCGAGCCTGAAAAGGTTGCAGAGACGGACCATGCCGGATTCGCGTCCCCGGAGGCAACATTTGATCGAGAAGTGGAGGCAGAAACGGTGCCGGCATCGTCGCCAGTCAATTTGTTGGGCCCTGAGTCGCCCGAGAAGCCACCAGCCGAAGTGTCGCCCTCGAGAAGCTCGCCAGCCCAGCCAGAGCCGCCTGCTGATGTTGAAAACGACGGGAAATATATGGAGGCGACTGCGCCAGAGCCCGCATTAGAACTCCCCGCTGAGGACTATGAGAACGCGGACGTTACCCGATCGCCATCAGACGGCTCAAGCCCAATACGTCCACTTGTGCGCAAGAGCAGTTTGAATTTTGCCTCTCTTCCTGCACGCGAACCTATGGCCTCTAACAAGAGCCTGGGTGCGCGAATGTCGAGAACAAGCCACGTCGACCTGGCCCGCACCAGCTATTACCCCCGACAAACCGGAGGTAAGAGCTTAGGAATTCGACAAGAAACGCGCGGAGATGATCATGAAGCCATGGATATCGATGAGGACGACGTTGCGGGAGCAATCAACAAAGGAAGTACTGTTGTGGCTCATAGCAAGACGTACACCCAGAGACTGCAGGATCAGATCAGTATGCTCGGAAAATCGCAGGCAGGTGGGCCAAGGCTCTCGAAATCAATTCCTAGTCTCGCTGGCACTCAAAAACCTCTGCTCAGCAATCAATCTCAAGTCTCGCAGGCAGCTCGCGCGGACACAGAGGAGATGGACCTTTCGCCTCAGAAGCAGCATTTGGCCAAAACTCCCGGGGCTTTCCCTGAGGACGACGGAGACGACTGGATTGCTCCGCCTACCACAATCCAGGCGACCGCACAAAGCCCTCGTCCCGCGATGGAGAAGAGCTACACTACGGACGTTATGGAGGGGCTACATAGCAAGAACACTGTTGGTGGTACCGAATTCGTCCTGCCACGACACCCTTCACAGTCCGGCGCGTCAGAGTCACCGCCTGATCTACCTGCCAATAAACCAGACCAAGCTGCTTCCGTCTTTGGCCATATAAAATCGGCATCCATTGACTTGCCAAGTTCTAATTATTCGCCTGGAGTTTCTAGTACTGGCCACAGGAAAATCGTTTCGGCTTCTAATCCCGTGTCGGTAGCCACCCAAGAACATAATACATTCGAGCCTCCCAAGTCGCCATCAAGAACATTCCGCGAGAGCCCGTTGAAGAACAGCGCTTTGAAACAGGTTAAGAACAAATTTTCCTCTATACTCAAGAACTCCAGGGGGTTGTTGGCAAGCAGCGCTGCAATCAGTGCAGAGGGCAAGGCATCGTTGGTAAACTCGCCCTCAAACGTGAGACTGGGAAAGCAGCCAACTAGCTCGAACGGATCCCTGCGATCTGGCCACGAGACCGAGCCTCTATATCCCGATTTGACACGCCACGCATCTTGGGAGTCACAGCCTGTGCCCACACCATCAAGCCCATCGCGACCCAATGGCCGTAAGACGCGTGCGTCTACGGAGCGAGATAAGAGGGAGCAAAAGCAGAAGGACAGGGAGGGCAAGGAGGCAAATCACATCGCCAGCCAAATGGATAAGCTCGAGAAAGAGCGGGAAAAGGAGCGGGAAAAGGCCCGCGTTTTCAGCCAAGAGCAGGAGAGAATCGCAGCTGAGAAGCAGCTTGCTGCGCAAAAAGAGCATGAAAGGTCTATGCGGACGCCGGCACCAAAGGAAGTCATTAGGCCGACCCGAAGTAGCCCACGCAAGGCGAAGACGCAACAGGAATCTGCAGCTAAAGCCGCAGCAGAAATTGTTGAACTTGACTCTGCGGATCAGGACATAGAGATGACCGATGCTGCTACGACTAAGATGGCTCCGGCTTCCATTCCGCGACCAACCCCTGGCCAGTCCTTGAAGAAAAGCGAGATAAAGAGACCGCAAAGGCCGACCAAGGAACCGGCCACGAAAGCGAGGCAAGCGCCCACTCTGATACGTGTGAATACGTCTTCTCAGAACACCGGATTTCATCCTTCGAATAGCGTCTTGGCTGCAACTTTGGAGAATACTCTCGGACCGTCCCAACAGCAAATGAAGAGTAAGACCAGCCAGCCCACTTTGCAGAGCAAGATGTCACAGCAGAGCTTCAATAGTTCTGTCAACTCGTCGACGGGACGCCCCAAAGCTCTTGATCTTGCTGCGAAGCGAAAACAGCAGGAAGAAAAGGAAGCCCAGCGGAGGCGTGATGCCAAAGCAGAGATTGATCGGAAACGAGCAGCAATGCGGGAGGAAGATCGGCGCCAGGAGCAGGAGCGACGGGAGAAAGACCGGCAACAAGCGGCGAAAGAGGAGGAGGCCAAGAAGAAAGCGCAACGACAGGCCGCAATCGAGAAGGCAAAGCAAACCAGAGCCCCTCCGCCAGCTGTCCGGTCTCAGCCCAATGCCCCGCCTGAACACAACGGTGTGCGGGACAAAGCTGGTCTCCCTAGGCCAGCATCTCGCTTGCAGCAATCTACAGCCCACCGATCACAGGAGGATGTCAGTCGCCCGGTCAACGCAGTCTTGTCTAGCACGGCGAGCATGTCTTTGAAGAGGCCGCTCCAACAGGATGGCTCAGAAGATGGGGTCCAGCGACCTACAGCACCCCGGAATGGCCCGTCCCAGCCAAAGGAGGTCAAGCGCATGCGCATGTCAGATGAGTTCGATTTCGAGGACGAAGCGGAAATGCAATCGTATGGGACCAGCTTGAAGGGACCGCCTGTCCGACCTTCAGCTGGCTTTAAGAAAGTGAGTCGTTGATGATCTGAACATGTTGTGGAAGCATGCTGACCGAAATACCAGGATCTGCCAAACAAGTCACTATACAGCGGCTACGCCCCTGCCCCCCAAGGCGCCACACGCGACATCTTTAAGGCACCAGTGGCACCTCAGCATAGCAAGTCTGGCCATCCTCTTGACATGGCACAAGTCTCGAAGGGGCCTATCCCATTCGCGGCCAACCACCATGCTGCCGGGCCATCTCACAAGACCCCAGCCAGGCCAAAAAGCGTTGTGGCGACTAAATCGGCTGCAAAACCCGCTAATCGATCATCACCGCGCTTCCAGAACGGCGACAACATCGAGCTGCCGGAGATTCAGACGGATGATGATGACGATGAGGAGGAGGAAGAGGAAGGGGCCAAAGCGCTGGGGGTTGCCTCGTGGGCTGACACGCCTGCACTTCGACGTGAGCTTATGCGGCAAGAGACGGTCGACCCCTTGCAGGTGTTCGGCCCCCCGGCGCCGCTCAACATGGAAGAGGTGTTCAGCAAGAGCAAAGACAGGTGGCACAAGTTCCGCGCGAGGACGAGCAGCGCGAACTGGAGCGGTGCTGACCGGCTGACAGAGGACGAGATCCGGAAGGACCTGGCTGCGCGGGACCGGATGAGACGCGAAGGAGGGTGGACATATGAACTGAGCAAGGACATGTGAGCGCCGTCTGGGGCACTGGCCTCGACACGGGCTACGAGTGTTGTTGCACAAGCGATGGAGAAGACGACTTCTGGTTATGGCATTGCTTCGGAGTTGGGGGCTGTGATACTGGCATCGATATGTTCTGGGCTTTGAGGACAGCAGCTAGCCAATGGTTATGTCACGGTCGGTGTACTGGGTATATTTAGATTTGCGTGCGGGGAGTTTATGACAATGTCAGCATCTTCTTTCTTCCCTGCAGATGAGGCTAAAGGTGCCGTTTTGCTGGGGGAGCAGTGTCCACTACTCAGGTACGATGAAGAGGCTGTGGCAGATGGGAGACATTTGATCCCCTCGACCCCCTTGGCTGCCTTGGGGCCCCAGCCGAGAGTGGCGATGGGGCCAGAGAAGTGACAGCGGGCAAATGACGCGTGGTGGTGTGTGGCTATGGCGGGCGCATTTTGCACTTCCTGATGATACGACAACAAACCAGCCGGGGTCAGCCACGTGGAGACCCGAGCTCTGCCGCCCGGGAAAAGACCCGAATCAGCACTGTTTTCTGCACGTGCGTACAATAAGTTCTCACTGAGGCCATACTGGGTTGTCTGTCAGCCTTGTTGCTAGAAGTGGGCAGGAGGAGTCGGCTGGGTCCCACCACCATGCACGCGCAGAGATGGATACTATGTACTGTAGATACCCAGATACGTGCATACCCTAGGCACATACCTAGGTACAATTAGCCCTGTAGGGATGTGCCTGCTGTGCCTTGCTACGTCATCTCTCCCGTTCACCTGGACAGCCAGTCAACAGTCCCACTTTGCAAGCTCTCAGCGTGGGTGGAGCAGCGGGGATGCTTTCTGGACCCTTGCCCGCCCACAGCCAAAAAGCCCCTCTGTCGCGACGTTGTGTTTGCGTGCCAACCACCAGCCTTTCTCAGTACCCACCCAGGTGCCTACTGTAGGCCTGATCCACGACTACAGTACGACTGCGACTACACCCGTATTTTGTAGGCACAGCAACACAAGAGAAGCCGACCAAGACAGCCTTTCTGGGCGGACCACAGCGCACCTGGGCGCTTGTTTTCCTTTCTTTCTTGAAGACGAGGCACTGAGGGACCTGACGCTGCTGATCGACTCGTGCAGAATTACTTGTGCTGGTTTGCTGCTCGGCTCATCCTGCCTGAACCCCGACCACAAAGCACATTGCCGTTGCAGACGACTGTGAGGCTGCAGATTGTACCTTGCACACTTACATATTGGCACAGTCATCCTTGGTGGACGCGCGACAGCCAGACCAGACCGCCTTGCACATCCCTTCACTTTCGCTCCGAACCGCAGAAGCAACTCGTACTTTCCGCACGACGCCTTTTGGACCCCCAACTTTGATTCTCACTCTCAACTCTGGCCAACTCTGGTTCAATCTCTTACCAGACAAGTCGTTATTTGTTTATTTGCCCGACTTCTGCATCTAACCAGCGCTGATCATCCCCACGATATCCGACATCGTCCCAGACAGTGCAGATCCCAAACCCAGCCCAAGGCTGGAGCGACTTTCACAAGCCTGGTCATTTCTTCCCAAACAGAGTACGCTGACGAGCTCCATGACACCCGCGTGGTAGAACGTGCCCAATGAAGCTGGATCCGAAGCTCGACAACATCTCGATCCACAACTCACAGCCCTTCTGCTACCTTCACTAGCTGGCCTGGACTGTTGTGGACGTCTGCCACCATGGTCAAGATAGACGTCAACCAGGACTACTACGCAGACCTGGAGCTGCCTCCGTCAGTCGACGCCGAGGCTGTCAAGAAGCAGTACAGAAAACTTGGTATGTTTGCCAGCGTGGCAGCTTAATCTCATCTCCTACCACATCTCCGAGCTAACCGCGATCTACGTGCCCTCCAGCCCTCAAATACCACCCCGATCGCAACCCGGGCGGCGAGGCCGAAGCTGGCAAGAGATTTCAAAAAATCCAGGCCGCCTACGAAGTCCTCACCAACCCCGAGCAAAAACAGAGATACGACACCTCTCGGCGCTCTCGCTTCACAGGCGCGTCCGGCGTCAAGGGCAACCCCTGGCAAGATGTCACCAAGAACTACCCTCCTCCTCCACGCCCCCCAGGCTTCCCCCAGCGTCCACCTCCCCCGAAACGCCCCGGCAGTACAACCTCCGCCGACAGATACGCGCAGTTCGCGAAGGATGTGCCACCTACTTCCCCTCGGTCCAGCCGAAAGCCCGCCGACGCGACTTGGAAAGCCTGGGAGGAGATGAGACCGGGTGCTAAGGCTAAGGCTACAAGTGGTCAGGCATCCGGGTCCGGAACATCAGCGAGGTCCTCGAGTGCACCCAAGCCTCCGGGCGCACCGCCTCCAGTCCCTCCTCGGTCTCCTCAGAAGCAAGCCAAGGGGTCCTTCGGACATCGCGTCAATCGCGGCTACACACCTCAGTCGCCTAGCGGAGATGAGCCTTCCGTCGCCAACAACAACTACTTCACAACTAGGACCCATACCAACTTATTCAGTGAGACGTCTTCAGCCGCGCGAGCTCGGCGGCGAGAGCCCTCGAATCCCACGCCAACCTCAGACTTCCGCGATAGTACGTTCATGGACACCAGGCAGAGGACGCCTTACATGTCTCACGGAGGCGAAAAGCTCGACCCATTCCAAGGTGCCAGCATCAACAGATCTCGCAGCACGCGTGAGACGAATACTGGGTCTTATCAAGACGGCGACGGCGAGGATTTACCGACGTCGAGCGCCCGTCAGCGTCGTGCGAGTGTCCCTGACAATCTGGACAATGATCCGAATGGAAAGCGGAGGGAAAATAGCAACGTCAACGGCGCTGCCGAACCGAACACAAGCCCAGACGACTTCAAATCTACTTCCGAGAACCAGTCCCGTACCCAGCAGGAGGATGCGAACGGCGAAGAGGGATCCAAATTGTATGCCAACCAGCCATATCTCCATTCTCAGTTTTCAAACCATGAAGTTCCTCCAAAGACTCAGCAAGCGGCAAGTCGTGCGGGTAATGAGAGGAACTTCGAGAATTCGCTTCACCTTACTCCAGAGTTACACGACCTGCTCTCCCGACAGTCTTCGAGTGAAGACCCAGCCCTACCTAATGATGGCTTGAACGCATTTGAGCTCAAAGTCCGCCACATTTTGAGTCAGCTTTCGGCACGAAAGTACTCGCCGCACGGCCTAGGGATGCAGTCGGGTGGGGGTCAAGACGCGCAAAATTCCCATACGACGGCCTTTCAACAGCAGAGCAGGGCTGACAATAGAAACCCCTACAGTTTTGGTGTGAAATTCAACCACGAATCCTTCACTGACCGTCACCGATTTTCCAGGAATAGCACTGATAACATCAACACTAGATTTGTTGCTGACGAGAGTGATGCTAGTAACTGGCAATTCAATGCAGGGTCTCCGGTCGATGAGACCGGGCGACCAGCCATACCGCGATCGAAATCCGGAAGCCGAGTCGGCCGGACATCTTCCTTCCGCACTCCGTCCTTTCGGGTGCCCTCTGCTGAGCCTACTAACGAGGGCGTTCCGCCTCAGAATAGCTCCTTCAACCCCGAAGAGTGGTCTGAGAAGATTGGGCCACAGATCTTTCAGACATCGGCTGCGCAGAAGGCGAACACGGCTAGGCCGATTCGTAACCCGAGCAAGAAGCCTAAGCCTGTCCGTATGACGGCAGGCACGGCTGGAATGGTTGAGTCTGATGAGAGCAGCAGTGGCCAGGACGACAATCTCAAGAAGCCGCCTACGCCGGGGAATGCAAATGGTATCCACGAGACTGCCAGTCCCAATGCTATGGATATCGACCCTCCTATGGACTATCTTACTGCGAAAGGGGTCCGCAACATTCCTGTGGAGCCATCGCGCCCGGAGTGGAGAGCAGGTGATGTTAAGGGGATGACCACCCCTGGGCTGACACCGGGCGCGGTTCCTCAAGCAGGAGGCTCGGAAGATACCGAAGAATTCCGCGCCAGCCTCTCTGACCTCAAGAACGTGGAGCCATTTGCTCAACGTCCTACAGGTCTTGACTCGTTCGGGGACTTAAAATCAACCCTTCCATTCCAGAGTGGCGCATCAGGTCAGGCACCCGTCGCAAAGCCGGGCCCGAAGCCGACCAATCTCCACCTCCCCGTGGCACCAAAACCACCCAACGCACCACCTGCATTTGCCGTGGCGGGCCTGAAACCTTCTGCTGCTTCATGGGAGAAGTATGCTGGAGAATTCTACAGGTACTTGACTGAGTGGCACAAGTTCGACACCAAGTTCTGTGACCACTTCCATGCTCGGAACCTAGAGGTGCAAAAGAAGGTGACCGACCCCAGTTGGGTGAAGTCGAGGGACGCTACTGGCATCCAAGAATACCTTACGTGGGTTGAGGAGGATCGACAGGTGCGCGCCACATGGTCCCAGGCTTGCGACAACCATGAGATGCATATTCGGATGTTCATGGCGCACCGGGACAAGATGGCAAAGTGATGCGGGGCCATTCAGACGAGGAACCGATTTCTTGTATATTCCTGATAGTTCACTTCTGGGCAACATACGCAGGGCTGTCTGACTTGAGCGAGATGTTCCCGCAGCCTTGATGCGTGGGATAGGAGGCCTTGAGCTCAGCCTATCTTGCATGGGCAGACTCGGAAGAGGACTGACAGCTGTCGATTTGATTTGGGCGACCGAAATCTCCTCGAGCTCGGACAAGGGTGCTTCTGAGGGCGCTCACTTGGCCGGTGCTCAGGTACCTCCTCCAGCCCTCGGTCTCTGTTAGCGAGAGTAGCCTCTGTCTTTGCGCTGTGATACTTCGAAGTTGCGATCGGCAAGGGACACCACTCATTGACGAACTGGAAGCATGGGCAAGCGTCATTGGATTGGGACCTGTTTCGATATATGAAACCAAAGACGCTTGAAAATTCGCCCCGTTAGAGTTCAGACTCCATTCGTTGGGGGCCACTAGAGTAAAGGGCTCGAAGTCTTGAGCTTTTGCGGTGGAATGACGACCATGGGCAACGACGAATGGAAAGGCATGGAGAAGGGAGGCAAGGGAAGGAAGGAAAGGCGGTGGTTTGGTACAAAACCTCTCTCGCATATACTTTATTAATGAATTGACAACAGTATTGTTCGAGAACCTTTCCTTGATAGTCAGAGCGGCTCGGTTCCTAGGGAACGAACGGTGTTATTTGAGATGCTGCCTTGGGGATACGCACATCACAAACAGAGCAAGCATACATCCCTTACGCTGATATCTGAAGTGAAGCTAGAGGTATTGCTACCCAGGCAGCGTATTCTAGACAGATTTTGATGTTAGCCAGACCAAACTACATCTCACGGCTATGCTGAATTTCTGGCTATATCTGAAAGTCCTACACATTTTAATTCCGGTAGGGTGACCTTCTATAGATAACTTCCTATGGATGACAACTTATGGATAACTAGCTGTCAGATAATGCCATAGACAAAAGTTTTCAATGTTTTGCAGAATTATCTATGAGGCGGTGTTTCAATTTGTCTTGCCCACTCTCCACGATATTCATGTGGGCAGGTACGTAACCAGATGCACAAAGTTTTCTCCGTAGTTACGCATCATGTAACTGTATTACTGCTTTCACGACCACTTCAAGGCCACAGAGGAACGCAAGCAGCGGCTGAGCTCATTGTGATAGGCACAATCTATCAGATTGCAAGCTTTTCTATCTGACTCCACCAGAGATGTTATGATATAACCTGTTCCTGATCCTCACATCCTGGAACTCCACCCAAAAACCCAGAGAGAGAGAGAGAGATTCAGATTACACCATTCATACAAAAAGCAGCCGAAGCATTAAGTCCTTCCTTCTGACGACTTTGTCAGATGGCCGCAATATCATCAGGCTCGCCTGTATCGTCTGTGACGGAGGGGACGCCTTCCTGGCCCTCGCCCTCAATCTTCTTGCCCGCCTCGTAAGTGAGACGGCGCCAGCCACACTCTACGGATGGGTCTTTGATCCACTCTACCGTGGGGAAATAATGCTCGTTCTTCTTCATGGTAATAACCCATGGCACGCTGTCAAAAGTGACGGCTCTAAGTCGGAAATCTGCGGGTATCTTGGTCAGCAAACCACGACGGGTAGGTCACGTCGTCTTTGAACGAAGAAACTTACAGGTGTTGTCTGGGATATCCACCACAGCCCCAATGAACGACTCGAGATCTGGCGTGGGTTTGTTGTTCACGTGTGTGATGAAGTTTGTCGGTGCCAGTCCATACTGGTATGCTGGCGATCCACGCGTGCGGGCAGAAACATATACCTCGCTGAAGAGCTTGCTGATCTGCTGCCGGACAGCGTGATGTGGCCTGTGGAGGATGGCGCCGCAGAATGACACTGCGCGGTCCGTCTCGACGTCATCTGCGGCCACTGTCGGCAGCTTGAGTTGGATCTCCTCGCAGTCGCGGACAATGACGGCGTCTAGGAAGTTGTTTGAATACATGATATCCAGCTCCGAGATGCGCGTGATGAGCTTGCCATTCAACGTAAGCAGTATGTCACCTTCGAGCAGCGCCTCGTCTCCCTCCTTATCCTTGCGCTCAAACGTCCTCTTCGTCACCATGAACAACTGATGGTGGCTTGTGTTCACACGGGACACCTGGGCTATCCACTCTTCCGACACGCCCATGAGGCGAGCTTGTGACATTGCGATGGATCGGAATTCAACTGATAGCATCCGAAGGTCGGGCACAGCGCCTTGCGAAATCTGCGATACCACCGGGAGCAGTGTTGGCGTGGCAAGGCCGAGATGATACTCCTCGTCTCTATGGGTTGAGGGAGAGCGCTCTCCGAGATACGTCAGCCAGAGCGCCTGTACAGTGCCGTCCGGCGCAACTAAGACACCGCTCCCGCATTGCTGGCTCAAGCTCGTGTCGACTGTAATAGCATCCACGTTCACAGCCCTATACCGAGGTGCCCCAGAGTTGGCCGGAATGGCAACAGCGAAGATCTCGGTGACGGTTGTGGCCGCATGGACAACGCGTCCAATCCTGTTATATCCGATGAAGTAGGTTGACGCGCCCTGCGTGATTTCCTCGGTTGAGAGCCTCGCGCTCTGGACGGGAGCGTCAACGAGTTTAGGGTCGTATTGCACGATGGCGTAATTTTGCAAAGGATGAAGAAAGACGACCTTCCCCTCGACAACAATGGAGTCCGCGATGGTGATGCTTATATCGCACAAGTCGTAAGGCACAATGGCCCGCGAGATGACTACTAGCCCCTTGTCTGCGTCAACCACTAAGCCCATGCCCCATTTTCGGTTCTTCGGAAAGCCGTCCAACTTGACTGGCATCGTGCAGTTGACATGCACAAAGCTCTTCACGAGCTCGGCCACGGCTGGATGAGATGTATGCTCCAGCTGAATGAAGGAGGCCTTGCGCGGAACAGGTGGCACGGCCGGAATCGGGTCAGCCAGATCAGTGAAATCCCATACTCCGCTCTCGTCATTCCGCACTGCGAGCTTCATCTTTGAGGACCAGTGCCTGTCGACGTATATGATGGTCGTGTTAAGCGTGTGTAGGTCCCTCAGGTGTTTGTATGTCACGACAACGCGGGATTTGTCGGGTATACCTTTGGCGACTTCGATGAAAGTCTCCAAGTCTGGTACTTTCTTGTGATCCAGAGTCTGGAGTATCCAACCGTTATCGCTGTTATCGAAGCGGAAAGAGCCTGTTGCCTCGCAGATATAAACTCCTTTGCATGCCACACCATACAGTCTGGCTTGCTGATAGGATAATGTGTGGAAGCTGCCGCCAGCGACAGAAACGAAGCGATCGGGAGTGATTCCGTGCAGATCACCGACCCCGATTTCTACCTCGACATCATCTCCGCCCCTTTGAAGAAGCAGTTTAACGCTGCTGCCGACGCTCGAGTCCAAGATGTCATCAAGCCGTACGAATGAAGTTATCAGCTCGTCATTTACCTTGACGAGGACATCGCCTTCCTCGATCTTGCCGTGAGATGGGCCCTCAGGAAGAACGATTTCAGCAACCAGCATGTTGGTCTCTCTGGGGAACTGCTTCCTCATCTGTGCCTCCCATTCGGAGGAGAGACCTAGTCGCCTGCACTCATCGAAAGGCTTCAGCAGGAACTGGCACTGGATGTCACCTCTGGTAATGGGTTTTCCCTCTTGGAGACACTTCAGAGCTCTCAGTGGACGATCCAGAGGCAGGAAGTAATCGGTAGACGCGCCGTCCGCCCTTCCACCGGCCTGCAGAGCGACGGCACAGCCATCAAGGTTGACGACTGGACTGCCAGAAGAACCTCCACTGGCAGCAGCACTAGCTTGATAATATGAAGTACTATGTGACTACTCGTCAGCAACTTGACAGCTTGTTTGTGCCAGGGCCACGATTCGTAAGAAAGGGTTCGCTTGACACCAAAAACCCAAGCCTCACGAGTGATTAGGAGACAAACGTACTTGAAATCACTATAACCTTCGCCGTACTCGGGTGCGTTGCGGTCCAAACGGCTGATCACGCCAGAAAGGATGCTCAGCTTTTCACCGGCATCGTTACCAACGACGCGAATCTCGATACCAACTGTATGCACACATCAGCCAAGGACTGTAGCAAGTGTTGAATTCTGGAAGGCCTACCTTTAGCCAGATCGGGCCGTAAAGTCAGGGCTTTTACGGGCATATATTTGATAGCCTTGGGGTCGAACTTAAGAATACCAAAATCATGGACTGGGTCTCGGTAGACTGGGTAGGCGTCGACCTCCTCATGGTTGTCGAAGATACAGTATCCCCAGAAGGGCCCTGCACCGACGACATGTCTATTTGTAAGAATATAACCTCTCTCGGCGTCCACCACAAAGCCAGTTGCCTCTGAATTCAGAGCTGGGTCGGTGTCAAACGAGCAAGTCTGGCAGAAGCGGATGGAGACGACATTTCGGACGACGTTCTCGATGGTCAACTGCCACTCGGCGGTGTCGGGACCCAGGGCAGGGAGGGTCTGCAGAGCAGCTTCCTCGATGAATTCGTGGTCGTGCATGTCGAGGTCCGCAGCTTCGATGTCGGGCGTGTTGTCGCCGGCAGACTGCTTGCCGTTCAAGGAGTGGCGATGGTGCTTCGGTGGCCGGCCGGTTGCGAGTGCATCGAAAGGGGAGGGCTTGCGCTTCGCGCGAGGCGAGGTATTTGTACCGTTCATCTTGGAAGGTTCTGAGGAGGACTCGACGGTGATTGACTGTGGTACCTGGTCCGAGGTCGATGATGAGGCGGAGGATGTTGCCGTGAAAGCTCGGGCGAGACGAGTGCGAGGTGATACAGCTGATGACTGGCGCGGTGATGGCAGAAGACCAGACGACCAAATGTGAAGAGGACGGCGCTGGTGGGCGGTGTTGAGGAGCGTTGAGATGCAGCTTCCAGCCGCAAGTCTGCCAGTGAGTTTGGCTGTGCCTCTGCCAATGCTAATGCCAACGCCAACTCGGCTGCGCAACGAGGAGGGCAGAGCTGTTAGCATCAAGGCCTGTTGCCCTCGTCCGACGGAATACAACACAGACACTGCTAGTCTATGTTAGGACGGCAAAGGATAAGGACATGAGTGAAAGAACGGCGACGAGGACGATGCAGAGCGCACGAGGAGGAAGCGATGAGGTCGCAGGCCGCAAACATTTCCAAGGCTACCCTCGAGCTGACGGCCCCCTGCCTAGCCTTACATGCACTTACATAGACCCAGTGAACTTGAGCTGTTCGCACAAGGCATTGTCCGAACCCACCCCCATGCCCACGGCACAACCCATGAGACAACCCCACAAATATGCGTGAGCTTGCGTTGTCTGTATGGGAACACTACAGAGGTCTAGCTACCACAGCTACATCAACACACAGCCTTTACTTGTACAGTCTTGTATTGATTGACTGGTGATTGCTATCTTGTAATGAGATACGATTCCCAGTCGCCTTGCCCTGAATCCTTAGTAAGCCATCGGAAGTTACTGTGGCGCGTTTACATGCCTTTTGATTACGCAGCTGCTACGTCGAGGCTCGAGCTCATTCATCTACAGGTTGCGTTGGCTTCCTGAGGTCATGAAGCTTGTGGGCGACCTCGTCGCTCTTCCCGCGTGAATACACAGAGTCGAGTGTGGGTGGGTAAGACACTATGGAGGTCAAGTGGGCCGTGGCTGCATAAGTACTGCGGTCAATCTGTACAGACAGACGCCTGGCCGCTGTCGAGGCTTGTCTTGCATGTTCATGTGGTCGGCGCGTGGCCCGCCTTGCGAACACCACCAGATGGGGCCTGTCCCCTCCGTGTGTGGTGCCCGGTGCCGGCGCCGGCGCCGCAGACGAGCGGGTTGGCCGCCCTGGGCCTGCTCGGCGCTAGGCTACCAGGCCGCCCTAGGAGGTGTGGCTATTTAAAGTTTGACGCAACATGCAAGACAGCTGGCATCGAGACCGCGTGCCCTATGAGAGCAGCAGAGCGGCCAGCAGGCCGAACAGCAGATGCGGGGAAGACGATCGCTGCAAGTCAAAAGGTCGCCAGGCCAGGGAGAAAGGGAGAGCATTTGCTCTCGTGCAAGGGTGGGATTGGAATTGCAATGGGCGAAAGGTCCTCGTCCTCGTCCTCGTCGACGGAGATCCGAGATCGAGATGAACAATACATGACGAGGCAGCCCTGGCCAGGCACGAGAACAGGTACAGCGTATCTGACTTCGGCCCGTCCCTGGGCACGGTACAGTAGAGTTTTGGTGTTGGTCTGGCCTGTCTGGTCCATCCATCTTAGATACTGTAGTCTAGGCCAGGCGGTCGCTGGCCCAGTCGTCATGGTCATGGTCATGGACATGGTCATGGTCTTCACCATTGCCATAATATCTTGGGGGTTTGGGGGATCCATGCCCTTGGCCGTTCTCACTCCCATGTCCATCCCATCTTACACACAGGATTTATTATCAGTGCCTTTTCTTAGATCAGCCGACGCAGACAAGGGGGCCAACGTATATTTCACCCTTTTCCTTCCAGTGCCCTGGTCTTGGTCTGTCTGCCAGCGGTGGCATTGTGGCCTCCGATAGTCGAGCATTTATACTATCCGTTATCTATACGCCTACCTCTACCTGCTGGACACGCAGCCGTGCATTCCCAACTGTCGTTCCTCCCCTTGTTTCCTGTCAGACCTTGCACAACGTGTGCTGCGGGCACGCTGGCACGACAGTCGACCCCTCCAAAAAAGAAGCCGCAGCGCAGCTCGAGCTTCAGCCCCGTCCAGCTCCCTCCCGACCTCACACCCCCCCGGGCTGTCATTTATCTGTCACCTGCCAGCCTGCCAGCTCGCCCAGTCGAAAAAACACCGTCTGTCTGTCTGTCTGCCTATCCTGCAATCAGCAATCAATCAATTATTCCCACTCATCTCCTAGCCTCTCGGCCGCCCAGACCGCCTTCTCTCCTCATCTCGCTAAGCTCAATATCTGCGTGATCGCATTGATCCAGAGACGTCATTCCCTCCCCCATGGGCATTGTGTCGCTCCACGATATTTCCAACTGGCGAATAGCTGTCGCCTTGTCTTCTGGATAGAAGCGGGTCTGCTCAGCGCTTTGCGAGAGCCCCGGCGCTTCTCGGCCGGAGAATTATAGTTTGCACGTCCACGTCGCCGGTACTCATCAAATCCGCCCCACGCACCCCTTGTACACGAGGCGACGTCCCGACACGCTTCCACGACTGCCCAGCGCGAGCAAGGCGGCCTCGAGCCTCGAAAGGCCAAGACCCACGGCCCTCCGGCTCCAGATCCGACAGCCTCGGGACCACCGAAGGGTACTCGATCTCCCGAACAAGCATCGAACCGGCGAGTCATTGCTTGCTGGCCACATCTGATCTTCTCTCGTCTCCTGTCTGCTTCATGGCCGTCTCATGACAACTTGCCCTCCCACAATTCACACAAGCCGGGCGTTGAGAAAAGTGCCAGGAGAACGCGCGGGAAGGCACAGGCTCGAGGGCTGCAATCGCGTCCACAATGGATACCCTCACCCCGACCGGCAATCTGACTCCCCTGACCGCGGGCTCAGGGACCTCGACGCCCACGAGTCCCAAGAGGAGCAGCTTCGTGCCGCTGGTCACCGTAATTGGCTTCCACCACGCGAGAGGGCCTGAAGTCGAGTCGTGGTATGGCAGTCCAGAGGGCACTGACCCGGCGGTCGACTACGGGTGGTCACTGCTGCCCTTCATGGCGCTCAGTGATGGCGCGCATGCGTAAGTGCTCATTGATAGCAATCTGGGTGATCTGGCGAGGCTTGCGAGGCTTGATTGGATCTATCGCTAACCGCCCTGGTTGTTGGACACAGATCGACAGAGGACTTCTCCTACTTCACGCTCCTTAAGCCCGCCACCGACACCGAGCCCGCAACATCGCTCTTTGGAATATCTTGTACTAGGCAGATGGACTCTTCCGCATTGATCAACCGACCCGCTGATGTAACACGGTCGACCGTGCAAAAGGCCGTCGTCGTTGTGGCCGACAACCCACAGACTTTTGGCACACTCAGGGAACGGCTCAGTGTCGTCACACACGCATGGTTCGCACAGCGCGAGTTCACCGACACGGAGATCCTGCGTCGCTTCCAGGAGAGTCTGGCCGATGAGAAAGAGCGAGGTCTTCTGAGCGAGGACGAGGGTCGGGAGGCGTACCTCGGTATGAGTCTGAGGGAGATGATCCATGAGTTCAGGTGGCAGACTTTGGTCTTGTTGAAATGCTGCTTATTGCAGCCCAAGGTAAGGAACAGTGGCCCTTGGGGTGTTTCTCCCTCTGCATATGGATGTGCGGATTTTACTAACGCATCCTCCTCTTTTGCTAGATGTTGTTCTTTGGTTCCCGTTGCGAGCGACTTTGCATGATGCAGTTTTCTTTGATATCTTTGATACCCGGTCTTATTCGGAAGCTCCAGGACTGCGCCGACCCGGAACTGAATAGCTACGAGAAGCATTTGACCATGCCCACAAACTTTAAATCTAGCGACCGGTCATCGTTACAGGCATACATGGGCCTTCCACTTCAGATATTTGGCAAGGTTAGTATCCTGAACCCGGGAGTGCATGCGGGTCGGAGCTGATTTTCTGAACATAGGGGAGCCTGTTTGGACCATATACACCCCTTCAACAGCTCGACGTCTTAGCGGACCACGAGACAAAATCCTACATCGTTGGAAGCACCAATTCTCTCCTTCTCCAGCAACGAGATAGATACAGCGATATCCTGATCAACCTGGATGATGACTTCATTAATATCACCTCTCCGTCACTGAAGCAAGCACTGCAGCTCTCGACCCCGGATAGAAGGTGGATCGATTTCATCACGCAGACCGTGAACGAGACCTGGGACGAGACGAATCCAAGCCGGCCGAAGACAATGGGCTTTATGGGAAGCGAAGAGTTCATCCGACTCCAATTCGAAGACTACGTTATTGCGCTGCTCTCGGCTGTTAAATACCACACCTTCATGGTCAAGCACAAAGATAATCCGCGAATGCTCCTTCCGCACATTGAGGGCGACCCGGCTGCGGATTTCAACTTGGACTGGGTTGAAGCTTGGATGAAGACCGAGAATTACCGGATTTGGAACAAAAACACGGACAGTCACCTGTTCGATATTGCTGAACCTAGACACATATGCGCCGGCGGCCTCACAATCGATGACGTGTCGAGGCGTGTAACCCAACAAGTACAGGATTTGCACTTGGATGAGAAGCTTACGCAGGGAAGAGAGGCGGCTGCGAGGAATTTGGCTGCGGCGAGGGATAAAGGAGGTGCAATGATCACCAAGTTCTATGGGGAGCTTGAGGCATATCGCGAGGCACAGCGGAAGAAGGCCGAGGAGACGAGGCAACAACAGTCGAGCGACTCGGTGCCTGCGAGTCCGACTATCAAGAACGGCCACGATGCCGAGAAGGCAGGTGTCGGCGCCTACATGAGCAGTTGGGCCACGTGGGCAGGAGAGAAGCGCAAGGCACTTGCTACCCGTGGGGCCGGCGACAGGAACAGCGGCAGCAGCACGAGTGGGTGGGGCCTCGGCCTGGGGAGGACCAAGAGCAAGAGGGACGCGGGCAGCACGACCTCGTTTCATTCGGCCTCGGAGAAGGACGTGAAGAGCCCGCGCATGTCGACATCGTCGTTCTTCGGCGGGTCGAGGAAGAGCCAGGAGAGCGCGAGGGGGCTGGAGAAGGCACGGCAGGAGGACACCCGCCCGGGGACGCAGCACTCGTTCAGCGAGAGCATACTCGGCTCCGAGGAGTCGGGGACGGTATCGTCGCCCGAGGTGTCGCCACAGAAGCCGCGGCTCGACTTCGCCATGAAAGAGACCAGCGTGTGGAACGACGCCGAGTCGCCGACGGAGTACAAGCTGGCATAGCGGGCAGCGAGGCAGAGGCGGAGCCGGAACCCGCTCAGCCCTTTGAGGAATAGGGAGAGGTTTAATCGTAAGAGTCTGGGTTAAGAAGCTTCAGAGGGCGCGTAAAGCATGGACCGACCGCATCAAAGCATTCGAAAGGTTTTAGATCAAAATCAAAGTATACCACGGCATAGCACAGCATTCACGGCACTTGGCGCTCATAGCAGCAAGGACGATGCCTAGTTTGGATAGGTCAAAATACATCGTTGTCGAAGATCTGCTGACCACGGTCACCTTCTTCTATTGCTTGTTCTCGTTGGGACCTGCGCTGGTGATTCTCTCTTCTCATATCCGCCCCTTCCATGCTCTCATTTCGAGCAAGTCACCTGTAGTCAAGTTGCGCTTTCGGTCAGTTTCATGATGTGGTTTCTCATGTATCCTGTCACCCACGTGTCACTGCCCTGGGCTTATCTTAATTAATGGAAAGTCAGCAATGGAGTAGGAGTTGACTGGGGAATCCGGTACTCGGCCATCAATAATTTTGATTTGTGAGACTTTGCCAGCTATCCCAATACACGACACCCACCCTCTTCTTCTTAACGCCTTGCCTCTGTAGGGGAATTTCTCAGATGCGGTACATGCTGAAGTTTTGGAAGAGGTCTGCTGTTTGATGACCTCTCTGTGTCTTTCTGTTTTTGTCTCCTTGCGGTTGCCGGAGAACTGGCCTGAGGCCAGCAAGGGCTTGAAAAACGCCGTTGTGTATCTACCGGGTTGTCTGAAGTAACAAGTACCACGACCGTCGTGAAGAATGCGCCTGTGATGCAGTACCCTCGTGTTTTCCTTGCATCAGCCCCTTTGACACACCCCTGTATTCCTTGGTATCAATCGCCGAAACACGTATTAATCTGCTAAACAGTCGCGTTGAGTGACGTCGGTATCCCGCTCACTGTGGGCCATGAAACTCTCCTTCCATTGCTGCAACTCCGCTGGCTTCCACATTATGGTAGTCGAGAATCTCGGAGTACCTGCAATCAGACGTTAGCACAAGTTGAAACTTCCGAATCGGCAAAGATCCTGAAGGTGGCGGGTTCTGGCAAACTCACATCATGATCTTCCACGTGTCTACAGGTAGGTCCGCATCGTTGAAACTCCAGTCGAACTTCTCCTCGGCCACAGGCTCGTCGGTTGGATCGTGGTAGGGAGCCAGGTACTCATGTGCTAGAGCATTCGTGGCAGTTATCCGCTTCTTAGGGTCGAAGACAAGCATTCGTTCAAGGAGATCGACAGCTATGTGGTCCGTCAGAAAGGCGTTCGATACAGCTGCGGGGGTGTGCAGGGGTAACGAACCAGACTCGTCAGCGTTCTTAAACTTTGTTGCTAGAGGTTGCCGCTCCCGCTTGGGTAGAGACTTAACAAATCTCAAGGTCTGCCGTACTGTCAGTCGCTGGTGCTTCCAATCTCACACATGAGGCGTAACTTACGTTTTCGCTCGCGATGGTGTTGATGACATCGTCAGGTGGTGTTCCAAGGAGCTCTGTGATGATGGAGAATTGGTTGACGTGATCCTTTCCGGGGAAGAGTGGTTTGCCCTCGAGCATCTCGGCGAAGATGCAACCTGCGCTCCAAATGTCGACCTCGACATCGTATTTTTGCCATGTGAGCATGATCTCGGGCGCACGGTAGTATCTTGTCGACACGTAACCTGTCATCTGGGGGTCTTGGATACGGGCCAGGCCAAAGTCGCAAATCTTGAGATCACAATTCTCGTTGACCAGAATGTTGCTAGGTTTCAGGTCTCGGTGCACCACGCCAGCAGAGTGCACGTATTTCAGGCCGCGCATGATTTGATACAAGAAATATTGGATGAACTGCTTCTCGAGGGGCCTGGAGGTCAATAGCCGGTGCAGATCAGTCCCCAGAAGCTCGGTGACAAAGTAGATGTCTTCGAGGGGGGAGATGAAGATGTCGCTGAGCGAGATGACGTTCTCGTGCCTGAGGTGCTTGAGCAGTTTCAGCTCACGGTAGGTCCTCTTGGCCAGGACGGGGGTGCTGAAGGGCTTCATGATCTTCTTGATGGCAACATTTTGGCTGGTCAGTTGGTCTCTGGCTGAGCAAACCAGACCAAAAGCACCCATGCCCACGGGCTGCAGGTCCGAGTATCTCGACGTTATCTCGAAGGTCGTCCCAAAAATTTGGGCGCGGACGAATTCAGCCATGATTGATATATGATTCGGAAAACCGGATAGTAAGGGCGACGTGCCGGAGGGTAATCAACAGGAGGAGGTAGAGATCGACGTGAGATGGTGAGATGTTTGACGAATGGGCGCAAACCTGTCGTTTCGCTTCGTAGAAGGGCAGTGGTGAGGCAGACTTGCGGGGTGCCTGCGGAAGAGCGAAAATGATGCAGCAATTGTCGTCAAAGCTAAGGAGTGCTCGGTTGTAGGGACGCTTGGCTGGCTGGCTGGCAACCGTGGTGGGGACGAAGAGGCAGAGGTGGGCGACGCGGGGCTCTGAGGTGTGGCGGAAGCTGGGGTTGAAGAGCCGGAGTGGCAGAGGGGAGGGCGAGGCGCTGAAAGTCGGTGTATTAGCTTTCCAGTCTAGCAATTTCCTAGCAACGGGCGCTTGCGATTGGGTTTCATCTCTCGAGGTGCTGCCATGCAACAGCCTCTCCTTGCGAGCTCAGTGCAATGCCAATTCCCACCATTTGGAGCTTTTTGGGGCTGAAAACCGGGAAGACAGAAAAGGAGGCTGCGGGATCATGGAATTTGCCATCTTGCATATGCTGCATTCTGAACTGTTGTCCCTGGCTGGAACAGGACACCTCAACGTACCAACGCAAAAAGACCAGTGCTCTCCGTCTTCGATGTGTGCGCAGTCAACAGTAGTTGTGCCTCGGCGACTAGCCAGACTGACTGGCCTGCTTGGTCGTCAGGTCGATGGCAAAAGACCGATGTGCAAATTCAAGCTTGACGCCTTGAATTTTGGGCAAGCCTTACAGGTGCGTAGGGGTATTGCGGTACGACAGAAGTAAAAAGCAGAGGAGAATCACGGGCGAGGCCTTTGGAAGGGGACGGAGATGTCAGAATTATCAATAAACCCTGAGATCTCGATCTCTCCCCGTGGACAATCGGGCTCGTACCTGAGTCAAGTGGCCTGGTTACAGTGCCGTTGAGCAGCTCACAGGGGGTTCAGTGTTCCGGATGGTCGAATTGTGATTGGGTTGTATGCTGCGCGCGTCTCCGACTCTTCTGGAAGGCAAGGTGGTAGGAACAAGCAGAAGACTATGGTGTTCTTCTCAACGACGACTTTGCAAGCTCACAAGAGAGGGGAGGACTTGAGACAGGCTGGCGGGGGAAAAGGGCCCTTTTTGGTGGACAAAAACCGGGTTTTAGGGACGCTGGTACTGGGCGTGCCAATCCACGATAAGATAGTCGATGACAGCTTTTGCAGGACGGGCCAAATCGAGATGGTGACCACGACTGGAACTGGGACTGGGACTGGGACTGGGGACTGGGACTGGCAATGGACTGGGAAATGCTTGGGCTGTAACTGGGGCCTGGGCCGGGCCCCTTGTTTTTTCTGGGGCTCGCAGCGCAGAGCAGAGCAAAGCAGAGTAGAGTGCAGTGAGTAGACTACTGTTACGTGCAATGCAGAGCAGGGCTGAGCTGGGCAGCACCAAATTCAGGTTGGGAAATGGCACCTTTCCTGATGGGAATCTCCAACACCCCTAATTCGAAGTAGGCAGGAGGACCAGGCTGTTGCCGTCCCGGGACGAAAACGGTGACTCGTGGGCCACAAGGCGGTGATGACGGTGGCCATATGGGCATGTACAGCGCTCTCGTGCCCAGAGGGACAGACAGACGGACGGACTGTCGTTGGCAACAGGGTGACTGGCTGGGTATGTACGTGGGCCGTTCAACCATCCCACGCAGCGCTTGTCAGCCATCAGCCACCAGCCAGCAGAGCACCTCTTACGGGCTCCAAGCCCCCACCCTCTTCTCCTCCAACCTCCAACCTTGGAAGCAGGGACGAAATCGCGCTGGTGCAATTGATGCTGGGAGGTGGCGCTGGGTGGTGGTGCTGGGCGAGGTTGAGAAGAAGAGTTTCCGCTACCTAGGTACTCTGCCCCTCCATCGGCCTACCACATCCCACTTTCACTCTTTCCCATCCCGCAGAGATCGATTTCCGGCAGCCCGCCTGACAGAACCAGGATGTGCCTTCTCCTGTCAAGGCATAGTTGGCCAGCCTCGTGCAAAATCGCCGCGCTGTTCCAAGGTTTTTCGATAGCGTACAGCACACCTTTGCCCTCCCCAGCCTCCAGTCCATCAGGTATACCACCTGTTCTTCCCCTCGCGCGCTGCTCCGACACGCGATGTTGTGCCGCTGATGCGAGACTTGTTGCTCTTCTCATCATACGGCAATAAGAGTTACTTGTTGATGACGTCAGGGCCCCACCCCCTGCCGTTCCCTGACACTGACTGACAGGTTACTGACTAACAGGACATGCTTCCAGTTGCTGCTGCTGTTCTGCGCAAGCCGCCCCACCAGAGCTCCATTGGCGACTGCAGGGTCTTTCTCCCTCGGCCTCGCAGTCTGGGCAGTCTGGTGGGTGAAAGGCTTTGGGAGGGGGAGAGTGTCTGCTACGCTACACACGGCCCCCTGGGCCCCTGGGCCCCTGGATCTCGACACATCTGCCCTGGCCTGGTAGACAGAGTGCGCTGACTGTCACCCATTTCCACAGTTGCTTCTGGGCGTATAAAAACCCGTAGGCCGCACGAACATGCTACCTAGCAATGCCTAGATTGTTGTGCTGGTCCCACAAAAAGACCTGTTCCGCTCATCGTCAAAATAGGTGCTGATCGAGATCAGTCTAGCCCGGCGAAGATCCCGCAGAGTCTGGACCCGTACCCCTTGTCTAACACATCTGATACTACGGACCTTTTCGTCCGACTAGCCCAAACCTGACCTGCCAGCCTGCCGTGCCTGCCAGCCAGATGCCAGCTCAGACGAATGATCTAGCCTATAGCGCTATGCAGGTATCAGGTGCCTCAGGCAGCACTGGCCTGACTGGCAGACTGGCGAACAAGTAAGGCAGCTGGATGTACAAGACCACTGAACACCCACGAGGACCTTTGGTACAAAGATATCCCCTTGACCATCTTTGCTGAACACCCGTAAACGATGTCTCACAATCACAGAGGTAGCTACCCAACAGGAGAGGACCTATGAAGGTACGCTTGAAAGGTCCCAGGTCAGCCAGGCAGGCCAGGTTGCTTGCATGCTAGCCTCAAAGTATAATTCATGCAGGTCCTATAGAAGACCTGACACAATTGAGTTGCATATTTGCACATCGGTAAATATCATACATAGCAAGAATACCATCATGTGCCAGATGTGCGTACCTATAACAGGCCCGCCGCCACAAACTTAACCTGTATCGGACACGCTTGTCTACCTTAGTATATGCATCTTACTGTAACTATAGATAAACCAGATCTGTCCATACAAATTCCATCGGAAGTTCCGATCCCCCAAGGGAACTAGAAGGACTTAGATTCCATCATGATAGTTCGCCGTCGCGGCTGTGCCCGTGACCAACCTTGCCAGCCATGACCGCGTCGATCACTTCCCCTTCCCGCCGCCGGATATCAGATTTACGCTTTTTGCCATCCGGGTCTGATCCTCTCACCTGGGTTGAGGCGAGAACTCTAACAGCCAATCTTACAATCTATCCATCACCCATCACGACTCATAACGTCTCAGCCAGGCAGACAGCGGGATGCGCAATACGCAAGCACCTCTGTCGGATGCGAACAGCTACCTACCTCCCTGAGCGATGACGACATAGGGGCAGCAATTCGACCCACAGCACGACACGCGCAGCCAGGCTGGGATGATGTCATTGAGGGGTGGTGAGTGTGGTTCCTCCTGCCTGTCGTGGGCCATCCTTGATAAGACCCGAGAATTCGAGACTCGCGACGCTCTTCGGCTCGCTCAGCACACACCTAAAAGCTGACGGGAATGGATCCCTTCGACGAGTTTTGCCCCACTCGGACCCTGGATCTGCACAAGGTTTACGGAGAGCCCGCAGCCTGGGTAGTGTTGGAATCTAGGACTCATGGCGGCAGTCTCGTCCCTTCTTTTATGATAAGAGGTCTTTGTATATACGATATTGCTTAATGAAACGAGATTTTCTCTCCTCCTCTTCTGCAGAAGCTAGTCTATAAGCCGAATATACAGCGCTTTTCAGAAAACTCCATGTACTGGGTGCTGTGGTCAGCGCAGCGTCTTCGACAAGGCCTCTTTTCGTCATGACTAGGTCATTATGGCCCATGATCTGACTCAGAGTGTTCGCTGTGTCGGTTAAGACTTCGGATTCCGGCAAGAGAATGAGAAATTCGAGTCAAAAAAGAGAGAACAAGAAAATCAGGGTCAGCGTGGGGGTGGGGAGGGAAATTTTCTTTTCCTAGCTGGGTAATATTTGCACTATGCGGTACTACGCATGCACAGCGCTCTTATCAAAGCCTGGACCTCTCCTGCAGCGCAAGCCCTCGCAAAACCGACACGGCATCCAACCCAGATCAGTGCTCCCACTCTGCTAGCTTACAACAGTGCTGTGTGTATACTGCCTCAACACGCACGAGTTCACCTGCAAGAGGAGGGCACCTGGTGGTGCTCGACACTCGACTGCACAGGAATATTGTAATTTTACAAGTCATCGTTTGAAGGGGTCATCGCGCCGGACGGTGTCCTATGAAACTCGGGACACTATTCCGTGAAGAAAGACCATACTTGGCTTGAGGGACTATCTCGTAACAGATCATCTTACTAGACTTAGAGCCTGATCCTACCGGAGAAATCCAACATAAGGCTATCTGATATGAGACTAATATCCCACGAGAGGCTATCCTGGAAGACGTTAAACTACAGGAGAATCATCCTACCGGAGATTGTCCTAGAAGAGATTATCCCATACGAGGTTGTCCCACCGGAGGCTATCCCCCAAGAGGCTACCCAACAGGCAGCGTGTTGGGACCAAGTCAGTTGTGCTCCGAGTTGAGGTGTGGATTACTAGGGCAGTGGTAAGTTAGCTAGGTATTGCGGTGGCGGCATTCTGACGGGGTAAGACAGAATATGTGCACTAGCAAGGGCAGCAAGTGATGAAAAGGTCAACAACATGGGCGGACCCCAGCATAGTCACGCCGCAAGGGCCTCAGATAAGCCCTTCAGAATTGATATTGTCTGTTGCTACTGTGCTGCTACTGAATTTCATGTCATAAAGCAGGTGCTCTCTGTAAACAATAGTCTCTTCTCGCGTCTTCGCCATGCAGTGCAGGCTGGCCTCAAAGCTTCCCGTTCTTAAGCGCCCTCAGACTTGTCCGCCGGCAGCGGCTCGACGTTCCAGATCCCCTCTGCGTACTCGTTGATGCACCGGTCGCTGCTGAAGAAGCCCATGCGTGAGACGCTGGTGATGCTCTTGGTGAGCCACTCATCCTGGTTCTTGTAGGCCTCGTCGATGACGGCGTGCGTCTCGATATAGCTGTGGAAGTCATCCGAGACTAGGTAGTAGTCGCCGTGATCACGGACCGCCGAGATCATGCCCGCAAAGTCGTTGGGCTGCCCGAATGTGCCCTTCTCGATGGCCTCGAATACCTTGGCCAGGTCTGGGTCCACTGCGTGAGAGCCGTACGTGTGCGAGTGACGCAGGTCCTCAACGTCCTCGGCCAGGTTACCGAAGAGGAATATATTGTCCTCACCGATCTCACGGGTGATCTCAATCTAAGACAGCGTCAGTAAGTTCAACTTAGAACCAGAAGGAGCTTACTCAGAAGAGCAACTTACATTAGCACCATCTGCGTTGTTCAAAGTCAGTCATCAAATACATCTTAAATAGTACGAGCACGGAAGGGGCTGCTTACCGCAGGTTCCAATAATCAAACCACCGTTCAAAACGAACTTCATGTTGCTGGTTCCTGAAGCCTCAGTTCCGGCTGTGGAGATGTGCTCGCTGATGTCTGAGGCAGGAACGATGATCTCCGCCTTGCTGACGTTGTAGTCCTCGAGGAAGACGACCTTGAGAAGGTCTCCGATGTCCTCATCCTTGTTGACGACGGCGCCCACGTTGTTGACAAGGTGAATGATTTGCTTGGCCTGCGATGTGTATACATGGTTAGTTATGGTCACAATGGAGGGGTTTCATGGAAGCCTCTTCGGCAACGAGCATGGTCTTCAGAGACGGCAAGTAGTGGGCAGGGTACCTACCATCCAGTATCCGGGGGCGGCCTTGCCACCGAAGATAGTCACTCGGGGCTGGACCTTCTTCCTCTCCTCTGGTGTCATGGCCTTCAGTGTTAGGTATCGATGGATTGTCCCGAAGATGTTCAGCTGCTGGCGCTTGTACTCATGGATACGCTTGACCTGTACGTCAAAGAGGGCCGCAGGGTTGACAGTAACGCCAGTGCTAGCCTTGATATGCTTTGCAAGTCTGACCTTGTTGGCATATTTGATCTCTTGCCACTCCTTTCGGAAGTCTTTGTCCTTCACGGACAGCTCGATCTTGTTGAGCTCTGTCAGATCCTTCAGGAAGTTGTAGCTACCGGTCTTGCTGGCGATGAGCTCGGATAAACGAGGGTTGGCTTGGTGCAGCCAGCGTCGCGGAGTAATGCCGTTTGTCACGTTGGTGAACTTGTCTGGTCCGTATATCTCAACAAAATCCTTGAAGATTGTGGTCTTGATGAGGTCAGAGTGCAGCTCGGCCACACCGTTCACCTTGTGGGACCCGATAATGGCCAAGTACGCCATGCGCACCATCTTCGGCTGAGATTCCTCAATGATGGAAACCCGGCTGAGGAGATCGCGATCACCAGGATGAGCACGCTCAACACTCTGAAGGAAGGCAAGGTTGATGTCGTAAATGATCTGCAAATGACGTGGGAGGAGATGTTGGAAAAGAGGAACAGACCACTTCTCCAGAGCTTCTGGGAGAACAGTGTGGTTTGTATACCCGAACGTTTGCGTGACGATGTTCCAGGCCTCATCCCACTCGAGCCCCTCGACGTCGACCAGAATACGCTGCAGCTCTACGATAGCCAGGGTGGGATGGGTATCATTCAGCTGGATTGCGACCTGATCGGGGAATTCGTTCCAGGCCCGCTTAGACTTCTTGAAACGGCGGACGATGTCGTATAGTGATGCAGCAACCCAGAAGTATTGCTGCTTGAGACGGAGCTCTTTGCCTCGGTCCAGATTGTCATTGGGATACAGCACAGCGCTGATCGTCTCGGCACGTTGCTGGTCAGCAACAGAGCTCTCGTACTCGCCAGAGTTGAACTTCTGGAAGTCAAATTCTCCACTTGCAGCCTTGCTCGACCACAGCCTGAGGTTGTTTGTGGACGGTGTGGCGTAGCCAGGGATCGGGACGTCGTAGGCAATGGCCGTCACGACATCTCCACCCTCCCAGCTCGCCACGGTCTTGCCGGCCGAATTCTGAGACTTTGTCACATGTCCGTAGAATTGTATCTAGGGAACGATTAGTAACATATCGGAAAAGGACGAAATGTCAATTCTGGAACTGATTATCAACCTACATCAACAGTCACATCGTGACGGGGAAATTCCCAAGGATTGAAGTCTAAGCAGTGTCAGCAACTGGTTCATGAGACTAAGTTGATAGTTTTTAGAGCCCGACCTAGCCAATAATCCGGAACTTCGACTTGGTATCCGTCAATGATCTCTTGTTTGAAGATACCATAGCGGTATCGCAGCCCATATCCCCAAGCAGGATAGTCAAGACTGGCAAGACTGTCCAGGAAACAAGCGGCCAACCGGCCAAGGCCACCATTGCCCAGGGCGGCATCGTGCTCCTGATTGATGATGTCCTCGATGCGGAAGCCAAGATCTGCGAGGCCAGCCTTGGCGACGTCTTTCTGACCGATGTTGAGCATGGCGTTGTCGAGGGCCCGGCCCATCAAGAACTCTAGACTGAGATAGTAGACCCGCTTGCTGTCGGCGAAGGTCTGGCGCTGCTGGGTCTTGTTCCACTCCCGGATCAGGCGGTCGCGGAATGCGAGACCGGTGGCAGCGTATGCAGCCTGCTCGTCGCAGTTGTACACGCTTCGCGCAAGGGTGGTCTCGACATGGCGTACGACCTCGTTCTCGAAGCCATCTTTGTCCTTGAAGCCCTGGGTCTTGTGCTTGGTCCAGGCCTCGCGCTGGGGCTCAGGAATGGAAGCTGCTCGCAGACAGAAGATCGTCAGCACCTGCAAGTCATCTCATAGCAGGGGAAGGGTCCATCCGTCCAGGAAACCCCCTTCAATGAAGGCTCCACTGTTCCGGTATAGTATCCGCACAAGGATTGGCAGATCCCCACCTTCGACGGTCTTGATATCACCGGCACCAAAACCAGTAAAAGTCCGCTTGTGCTTCGGCCTCGAAATACCAGCCGGGCTTACAGAGCCTTGTATATCGACGATGGGGGCGCTTGTGGAGGGGCGGCGCTCCCTCAGGGGAACCCTCTGGGGCTCGGTTGAAGCCATTGGAATGGAAGCAAGGGTACTATTGATGATGATGCGGTGTCAGCACTTATACTCTGCAATTGGCCTAATAGGAGACATTTATCAAGTAGAACAGCAGTCCATTCCGAAGGGCAAGCTGGGAATTGCTGCTGGCTGTAAGCTCAACTCCCTCCCCGCATGAAGCACTAGCGGTGGTCTGCAGCTATGGCGGGGTAGGTGAAGCTTCAGGAGCTGGTGTGGGCGGGTGAGAAAAGTGGTGAGATCGACGTCCGTCCTTCGGGAGCTTTGACGTCTAACACAGCACACTTGACCACCTCCAGGACCCTTTCCGGCTTTCTTATTTGATGTTGCAGCCACTCTGCCCAAGGTGAGGCAGGCAAGAAGACCAGACAGACAGATAATGTGTAAATGTGTATGTATATGTGCTCGTTGCGGCAATTGCACAGAAAGTCAGCCCACATACCTGGTTATTCCACAAGAGCACGAGAGCCCGATGCTGTTGCTTGCGATGCCGGAAGGGAAAAGACGGGGGAGAATTCCCTACGAAGCGACCAGGCACAGCTTGATGAGGACGGAGAGCAGTTCAATTGAAGACAGCGAGGTCTGGGAAAGGGAAAAGAATAGAAAGAGAGAAAAGAGTTCCAGGAGAGGAGCCCGTATAGCAGACACGAGAGACTCTGGGGGAGCTTTTATGCAGTTATGGGGAAGCTCCTGCACAGCTAGCTTGCTTTCGAGCACGCCGCATCTTCCCAACATTGACTGATCAGAACCGCACCCGTGGTACCTTCTCACCCACACCCGCTCAACCCCTCCAAGACCCCCCCTGCGAGACGGGCACCCGCACCCAAGAATAGAGGTGCAGGTGTAGGTGCAGGTGCAGGCGCAGGCATAGGCATGTACATTGGAGGCGGGAAGCGTAGGATTCCGCGCAGGCAGGCAGGTAAGAGCTTACCTTCGGACCTGGGGCCTATACCTTGGACCTTGGATCTTGGACCTTGGACCTTGGATGATGGGTACACCAACCTCTCCCGCCACGCCATGCAAATGCGGGGTGAAGTGGTGGGTGCTCGACCGCTGCTAAGCCGCCAGGACGACGCTCATTGAGTTCACACCGCTGACGGCAGAGTCGCATGTTGCATGTTGCATGGGGGGAGGGGGGCAAGCCTTCCCTGCGGCTTCCCATATCCAGTTGGCTCCCGTATCTACTCGCTCGTGCTCGATGATGCTGGGTGGGGGGGCAGACTAGAGCTGCAACTCGTCCAGCATCCTCGTACGACTCCCAGGTGCAGAGGATCCTCTCACCCCCCTTCCTCGGCCCCCTCCATCCACCATCCAGCAAGCACTGGGGATGGTGTTGGAAAAGTGCTGTGCTACCTGTCAGGGTGTGGAAAGGAGCAGGTTGAAGGTCAAGACATTGAACCAACTCGAAACAGTTGACGGTTGGGCTCTCGCCGTGCTACCCCGCCATGCCGGAGCTTGTTGCAGGTCAGTGAGTGGCACTGGCGATGGTTATGGCGACAGCTCCTGCGACGAGACGTAATTGTACAGGTTGCGTGCCACATAAAGACGTACAGTTGCACCCCACCTACCGCCGGCAACGGTCTGCAGCCCGATAGATAATGCACGTTGTCTCCGGGCCTCGCTCCATCGTGATCTGTGCTCGTTCGGCTGGGCTGACGGACTGATGGACTGACTGACTGACTGACTGAGTCCACGCTGGCGTTCGGCCACTGTCTCGGCCGTTGTCGAACTTAGACCTGCCCAAGTTCCCACAAGTCTCCACGGGTTGCGTGTGGGCGGCGGGGGCGGGTCGCTGTCAGTTCCCCAAAGTGGATCCCTTTCCTTGAACCTCGAGCGTCGACACGCGATCGATTCCTGTAGTGGGGGGAGATTGTCAAACCAAACTACCTGTTCGCGAAGGAGGAAACAGGTCCTCGGTGGAGAATACGGCAGCCAAGCGTGGGCTGATTCTCTCACGTATCATGGATGCTGCTCCGCTCCCTGCCAACGAGCCAGCCAGCCAGCCAGCCAGCCAGCCAGCCAGCTTGAATTCCTGCGACACGACCTGGGGGTTCCAATCCTCTTGAATTAAGCTAATAATCCCACTATTTCGTTGACGTGCTGTGGCTGCTCAGCGTCTTCCCTGAATACATGTACAATTCACCTCCTGCCCGTAACCAGGTATCATGAACCAGATTGTTCGTCACGTTCCCTTCATGACCCGCCCCAACTCCTTGCCAGTATAAAACAACCATCCTGCCCCCTCCACCCATAGGAGGGGCAGCATTGTCAGACCACAGATTACTATCGTGTGACAACAGTCCTGGGCCGCCACTTTCCCCGCCGTTTTCCACAGAAGAAACCACCGCCCGCGTCCAATATTTCCAACTAAGAGCAAAATACGGCAGTGCCAGAATGTAGGGCCCCCCGCAACGCCGGGCCGCAAACACACTGCCGTCCTGAACGCCGAACTGATGCACTGAATGGTAAAGACCGCTCGTCGACATGATGAAAAGCCGCAACCGCAACAAAGAAAATCGAAGTCTCGGTGAGATATTATAGAATGCCGGAGTCCTTGAGCGCGTTGTTGAGAATGGTCTCTTTCACGGCGGCGAAGACTAATCGGATGTTTGACGTGTCCGTTGCTTGCGTCAGGCTAGGCGATTAACGTTAGCTATTGGACAACGGACGCTCCAACCTTGACACTTACTGAGGGTAGAGGTTTAAATGTGCTCTGTTGACTTGATTAAACCTCCACAAGAGGTATTTGGCCGCCTTGTTGACGTCGTTGCCCCCCGAATAGTCTGGGAAGTAGTTGCCAAGTGGCGATCTGCCGAGCTTCTGCTTGAAGATGTCGACCTTATTGAGGAACAATATTATGCTTGTTCTCATGAACCATCTTGAGTTGACAACTGAGTCGAACAGGAGTAAACTTTCCATCATACGGTTCTGTCGGTGTTAGAAGGCGGGCAGTCCTACAAGACAAGTGACTGAGGCTTACCTGACTACTCTCCTCCAGCAGCACTTGATCATACTCGCTGAGCGCCACACAGAAGATAATTGATGTAACGTTCTCGAAACAGTGGATCCACTTCTTGCGCTCACTGCGCTGTCCGCCGACGTCGAACATACTGTGCCATGTCAGCTTGGAAATAACCACATGGGCCCCTTCGCGCATAGTATCAAGGTGGTCTTACTGGATGCTCAGCTGTCCCATTTGGAACCGAGTTTCGTATATGCCGGTGGTTTTCGTCCTCGCTCGAAGAACATCCATCTCGTTCGGCAGGTAATCTGGCCTGACTATTCGCTGGGCCTGCTCGAAAAAGCTGCAAGCATGACGGTCAGCATTGGCATCTAGCGTAAAGCTAGCTTTGGGAGACTTTGGGAGGTTGGGGTTTGCGGGCGAGATCAATCACTCACTACTCAGCCGAGTCCATCAAGTAGAATTCGGTTTGCCGATCCATCAATTGCTCCCTTGCTGGGTCGTTCCATATTGCGAACACTGCATCTCCGACCTTGGAGTCCATGATCGCCTGGGGTCCGGCCTCGACGCTGTATTCGAGGATGTAATCGCAGTATGCCCTGTTCTCCTCATTCGAAGGTTCGATGTCGAACTGGCGCATGGCGTTGATAACCGCTTTCGCACATTCTATCAGGTTCTTGAAGACTGTCGGCCTGTAGTTATAGAGCTCATCGTCCGAGTAGCCTTTGAGATGGATAATTTTCATCTGCTTTACAATTGTGGATTTGCCGCTCTCGCCGGAACCTACATCAGGCTGGTTAGTCTGCTTGTTCTGAATTCACATTACGTCTTGATCGGCCATGGCCTTTTCGTACCCAGCAATAGTATCTTGCATTCTCGCCGCAGACGTTTCGAGTCCTCCTCCAAGTCCTTGTCGATCTTCTGACTCCGCTTCTTTTGCTCCGTCTCCTCGCTATTTGCGCTCATGCAGGCACCCATCGTGTGGGGTTTCGGTGGCCCTCCACGGAGCCGCGTTTCAGGGTTCACAAGACGGGAGGGCTGCGAAGATGGTACAACAATACCGCGAACTGGAGTCGAGGGTTTTGGAAGCCAGATAAACTAGGCGCCCATGAGAACCGGAGCTGGCAAGGAGCACTCGATCGTTGGTGGCCAGCTTGGTGTGATGAGAGGGCTAGAGCAGAGCAGATTAGAGGACTGGAGCCGAGCGAAGAGCAGAGCGCAGAGCAGAGCAGAGCAGAGCGGTCTGTTCGCAAGTTCCAGGCAAACGGCGTGTCTCGGCACGAGTGGACGGGCCGGGCGTGGAAGCGATTGATGAGCGCGGATGGCAGGCGTGGATGAGCGAGTGAAGTTGATGCAATTGCAGGTCACTTCACGAGACAAGGACCATTTGCGCCGAGCCAAGGGCTGAGTTAAAAGGCCAAAGTTGTCGTAGCAGAGTAAGTAAGGTTTGAGGGCTTGGGCTTGCCGTTGCGGGGGGTGGTGGAAGGGAGCTTGACGTCGGGTTTAGCCGCAGAGGCCGGACTGAGTTTGGCTCTCGTCTGGTTAGTCGCGCCTGCACTGACTGCGGCCTAACGAACCAGCGCTGGGAGATTTCGGGATGGGAGCTTCGGGTTGAAAGAAAGCTGAGATTATCGGGATTGGGGCAGATTAGGATCCGTAGAGCGAGAGAAAGAGCGCTGCACGGCTAGGAGATGGCGAGGCGATTTACACGACAGTGTACAGTAGCACAGCACAGCGCAGCGGCTGCTTAATTAGACGGGGGCAACAGTCGCGGGCACCTGCTGAATGGACAGGTAGAACGGGCCGAAGGGGCCACCCAGGTATCTGGGTCGTAAGGAGATCGTGGGTTGCGTCAGGGCCTCAGGTTCGCGCAGGTTTGGCTACCACGTAGGCAGTGGCGGACTTGTGTCGTGCTGGTAGAGAAAGGCGATGCGACGGCATGTCCCCGTGGTGGGCGCGAGGAGAGACTGAACTGGACAGACAGACCGACGACGTCAGAGAGGCGCGGAGGCAAGAGACTGGACGGACGCAGGCGGCATAAAACCACACGCAGACGCAGTGGCGGCGGTGGTGTCGTATTAGTCGAATCAAATCGAGGCGAGTTGAGGACGGAAACTGAAGAGCCAAAACTTCAACCCGAGTCCAATGACGAGTCGAGGATCCGACGGATGGTCTGGCAAGACGGCGGCGGCGGCAATGGCAGAGCAGTGGTGACCTCGGGAGTGGTTGTGCAGAGCGAGTGGGTGAGTGCAGATACCGACCTAGACGACCCAGGCACGGTGCAAGTGCAGTCTGGGGGGGAGGGAGACAAAGTCGAGCAGGTGAATTGACGGGAACCGGGACCTGGTGTGTGGTGCTTGCCGGCGTGCAGGTGCTGGTGCAGATGCTGGTCGCTGGTGCTTCCTTGCTTGCTTGGAGCTGCGGGAACTCTGTGATGAGATGAGGTCCCCTCGGTGATGAAATGACGAGAACCGAGTACGAGTCTCAACAACAGCAAGGTATGGACTGCAGGGCGAGGAACAAGTACTACACAAGTACCTCCCGATATCTACAGTACCCAGGCAGGCGCAGGTGCAGGTACATCCGTACCAGACTCCAGACTGGACCTGTACTTGGCGGCAGCGTCTCTCTTCTGTTTGCTCCAAACACGTTGCGCAAGATCCAGCAACAGGACGGGCTCGAGCGTGGGGGACCGGGCCAGGGACAGGAACCGGAAACTGACGAGACGAGACAATGGGTGCGATGGAAGGAAAGGTAAGGAAGGGCAAAGCGCAGATGGATGGTCGGTCGTTGATGATAGCAGTCAGGCGAGGACCAAGACTGGATGGACGGTAGGTACCGTACCGTGTTGGAACCGAGCACTGGGCTCTGCTGCCCTGCCCTGCCCTAGCCTGGCCTGGCCTGCCCGGTGCTGCAGCTGCAGGTAGGCGGTCAGAAAAGTGGGAACGCCCTGGGCGAGGGTAAGTCTTTCCTGGGCTGCTGGGGCTGCTGGGGCTGCTGGGTCTCTGCTGGGTCTGCTGCGCGTGCAGGCTTGCAACTGTATCTTTGTCTGTCCTGACCGGCAAATGCAGCGAGCTGGAGTCCCAAGGACCGACCGCTCAGCCCGGCCGCTGGGTCTACCTAGGAACCTAGCGGCGAATCTCAGTCCAGGGCCCCAGTTTTGTTCTCTGGACCCCAGATGACGAGGACCCACCTGGCCACAGCTCGCAGCTCGCAGCTTGGAGCACGCAGCACCCAGCACTCAGTGCACGCAGGCACACACAGGCACACGGGCACACCAGCCCACAAGTCTCCAGCCTGCTGCAGCAGGAGCTCTCCGAGGCTGGAGACCCAGGAGACCCAGACGGACGGACAGACAGGCGGACGGAGAAAGACCCAGTCAGCCATCTCCTGGCTCGACCACTGAACCACTGACCACTGACCGACCACCGTCATCATCCCATGCTGTACCACCAAGGGCGATTCAATCATTGAGCACGTCTCCCGTCGACACATCACATCCGATCCGACCTCTGACATGCGACATGCGACATGCTGACGAGGCTGATACCAGCGGGCAGTGCCCACACGGCAGGGCAGGGCGGGACAGAGCTCAATTTCCCGGGGTTTGCTCACTGCTCTGGTCCTGGTTTTGGGTTTGGACCTTTCAAGGTTGGTTTTGCTTTTAACTTTGACTGCCGTCCAGTCGTGGCCACCACCTACTGCGGATAGGCTGCGTCGTTCTCCGGTTGCGACGAGGCCATTATTAATTGCCCGAGCTGGTGCGCTCCGCTCCCACCCAACGTGACGGGGTTCATCTGAGCATTCGTCTACCCAATCTGTACCGCATCTTTGTCTTGTCGGGCCCTTCGACTCTCTATGCCGTCTGTGTATCAACGCCTTCCCCCCCGTCAGCCTTTTCTGTCAGCCTGCGAGTCTGTTCTGTCAGCCACACTATCGGTTGACTCGAGACGACAGATCTGAGATTTCTCGTCGCCAGTTCTGCCAACCCCTCCCCCCCCCCAGAAGGTTTACCGTCTCGGCCGAATTCGACGCCGGCCAGCAACAATGTCACCAGCACATATCCCAGTTCGGGTGCCGGTCAACATCATGCCGCGAGAGCTAACACAGCTGACAGCTTGTGACAACGCCCGCCCCGTCATCACTAACCCGCATAGGTAACTACTGTCCGATAATGCTGCCCCGGGCATGTTACCTCGCGGCGTCCAGCCTGTATACGCACCGCAGGCACAGTACAGCCTTGTCAAGAGTTGGTGATGCCAACGGGAATAACATCTCCTGCCCAGCGCCCATGCCGCCAAGGCACGGGCAGCCAGCGCGAGAATCCCGGCATGCAAGCCCAGGCAGGCTACAGCACCTTGACACAAGCTGCTGGCAGCGTCCACAGGATCCTCTTCGCGTTTCGGGCCCGTGGGCAATAATATATCTGAATCCTTGCCCCCTTTTAAGCAACAGACTACGGAGGATATATATCAACACATGGGAAAGGGCACGAGGAGGGAGACAGGATCGCTCTCCGAGCCACGTGTTTTGCGCCAGACTCTGCTCTGGGCCTGGCCCACCCGAGGCTTCATCCCGACAAGGGGGCATGAGGCGCCCTGAAGACGGCCAAGGGGGCCGCAGGCAGAGCGCTCTCCACCTGCCCAGTCCACCCGTCCACCCAGGACCTCTGCCAATCCAGTCGCTATAGAACGGAGGTCGAATCACAGCAGCCGCCCTCCCGAAATAGGCATGTCCCAAACGAGGCTGAAATCGCAGCAATAGGGCCCACCCGAAACCCCCGAATGAGATCTGTGGCATAGGCGGCTGTTGTCCCACATGCCACAGACAACTTGGGACTCGAGAGTTGAACACCAATTACAGTGCCAGTACCAGTGCCAGTGCCATGCCTCCATGGTCTTGACAGCCTGGCAAATCCGGACGGTCGCTCTTGGATCGATTTGCTGGCTGCAGTCAACTGCCTTCTAGTCCACTAACCATTGGCCCCTTCCTTCCCTTCCGCGGCATGCTTCGGCATGGACACAGCCGGTTGAGCAATTCCGGCCGAACAATCACTCGCGCGCTGAACCTTGCTCGTGGCAGATATATGCTTTACGGCTGCGAGTCATGGGAAACCTTACCGCCTACTAGCCGTCTCACGACTGCATATCAATCACTCAATCGTGGCGAGTCCACCCTGGGCGGTCTAGGCCGCTGCAGCTGGGGGAACGGGAATGTGGTGGGCCACATTCCTCGCCCTCCGGCCAACCAGGGCCACGCCGTGTATGGCTTTTTTTGAGTTTCCTGGCTTGGTTACCATTTGGGCCATGTGTGTGTTTGTTTCGCTGATCACGACGTTTTAACGGAGAAACCTTGGGAAATATCGGGGCGCCAGTGTCCTGGCCTGCCTGGCTGGGCAATGGGAACTTGCATAGAGAGAGGTCTCGGTGTTACCGGCCCCACGCAGCGTTCAACGTCTCCGCCGCGGTCGAGCCCGGGGTTCCTCTCACACCGCGCTCGGCGTGGATTCCTGCTCCTCCTCGCTCCCACACCCCTCCCAATTCGCGTGGCGACAAACGACTTCCGGGCTGGGCAGCGTAGCAGCAAGTGGCACATACAAGAATCATTTCACCTCCGCATTCGGATGAGCTCAGAGCACTTTGGAAACCCTCTTCCCTGCAGTGTTGGCCATGACTGAACCCTCACCGCAGATACATCTAATGACATGTTCATCCCTCTGCAGCGTGACTGACCATTTAGTCGCTGTACACTGTTATTTGACCACTTACCATCTCACTTCCCTGCCGCCGGTCAGGGCTCCACATCACATACTTCACCAGTGGTAGGTAGGGCGCTGGGGGAAAGGTATGGGCCAACTCGGAAGTCGCACGTTGTTACAAGATGTAGAGAGGCGACCCCTGGACTCCTTAGATAATCCGTCACCGTGACTACGAACCAGCAGCAGTTTTATTCATATATTTTTGATTCCGCCCAAAATGCTACTGGGTCATTCTATCCTCGTAAGCCTGTTGCGCAGCGCAGCAAGCCGCTCATGTTCATAAACCCTCCTGCCTCATCGAACGCCGCGCGAATCCGGGTCGCACAACCTGACAAGCCTCCTGCCTGCGTGATACCAGCACCGCATGTAGGTGAATGCCGACCTTCTCATGCAGACTGGGCGGAGGACAACCCATGCAAAGACGATCTAATTCCCCTCTCGAGTGATCAAGTCCAGAGGACCTCCCGCTCCACGAAAAGGCAGGCAAGGCCCACACACACAACGTGGTGAGCCACGACTCAAAGGTTGAGCTGTAAGTGTACAAGTCAATGGTGTTTCGCAAGGTTGTCTATGCGAGGTAGCCGAGCTCATCGTCCTCGAGACGTTCTAGGTACTCCTTGTCCAAGAGAATCTCAATGCACTTCTTGATGTCCGCCACCTTGGGGACAAACCTCGACCGGATCTGGTTGATCGTCTCGCTCACCAACTGCTGGTGCTTCATCTTCTTCCGTGCCTTCATGATCCGAACGATCGCCGACTACATGCTGGGTTAGCAAGGGCATATGCGGGACGAATTTGGCAAATAAACCTACCTGAAGCAGAAGCTTGCGATCCTCCTCGATGGTCTTGTTCGTCTCAACCTCCTCCTGCTTGGACTCTGACTTGGTTCCAATGTTGAGATTGACCCGAATCTTCTTGCTCTTGAAGCCGTAATTTAGGTGGAAGGTCTTGCCCTTGGCGGGCTTGCCATCTTCAGGCGACATGGTAAGAATCTTGGCCTTCAAAAGTATTCCAAGGGCGGGATCCAGGCTCTCTGCATTCATTTGCGTCGCCTCGGCAATTTCCTCGTACGTGTTCTGGTCGTTCTCGTTGAAGAGTAGCAGGACCGCCATCTGATACAAAGACACTTGGTAGGTGTACGGCGTCTTGCTGTTCTTGCAGTAGTTGGCTTTCAGCTCGCCCTTGCACAGTTGCCAGAGCCATGTCAGTTTTCGGCCCTCGTGCTTGTGCTTGTAGAATCTCGTGAACCTCTCAATGTCTGCCGCAATTTCGGCTGGTGGATTGTAAGTGGTCGACGGAGGAGTCAGGGGCCAGAAACCAGTACCAAGAATGTTGTAGTATGAATCCAACAACGAGGAGTCCTCAAGACCGCTTGTGTGCTCCTTAAAGCCAGCGTTGAGGTCCTTAGAAATTTGCATGTCCTGGAACATTCGCTGGAGCTTGTTCGTGTACTCAAAGCCGCATGCCTCCTTCAGCTTGCTGATCATGCTGGTCTCGGCGTCATCCGAAGACGAGTTGCTGTGGACAAGCCGGCGAGCAAGCATCCGCGAGTAAAACTTCTGGAAAACATCCTTGTCCTCGATGTACTTGAAAACCGTCATGATCTGGCCCAGTGTTTCTTCTAACTGCGACTCCTCAACACCAGTGCCACTCTTGCGAAGCAGGACATCTGTGTACTTGGCAAGGAGCTCAGGGGACTTGTTGGACCCTGACTTGCACATGTCGTTGCGGTTGACAAACTCGCGACAGGCATTGTCAAGTGATCTCGTGAACTCTGGCTCATCCTTGAACGCCCGCTTGACAAGTCCCTGGTATTGTGCGTGGATCTCCAGAAGAGCGTCGACGTAAACCTTAGGCTCGAGCTTCTCGGCGTCTTGTGCAACCTTGGCCACCGCGGCCAAGCCAGCTTTACGGACGTGAGCCTCGAACTTGGCGCGAAGAGGATCCAGGCCGTTCTGGATCCTAGCAAGTAAATCATACATTCTTGCCATGTCCTCCTCGCGATCATTCTCCAGCAAGATCTGGAACTCGTCTCTGAGAAGATTGGCGTGGTCTCTAATCAATGCGTCATTGCAAGCCATCTTGAGCGACACCGCTATGTCTGGGTGAAGATACAGCTTGACGCGCTCCTCTTCCTCGTCGAGTCTAGCAACAGCCTTCTTCATGTACTCCACAACACTGTTCTCGGCGAGAAACTGCTTGCTCTCCCTCTGGTAGAAAAGCCTGGTTGATTCAAGGAAAGGTCGCTCGAAGTGATATCGGTAGCAGTCAAGGGTCGTCTTGCTGGGGTCAGACGGATCCAAGCCGAGGGCCACGAAAGAGTCAACAACCTGCTTTATCTGGCTGTGCTCGATCGTCTCGCCGTTACGTTGCTTCTCGACCAGTTTCAGGACAGCATCCATGACCTTCTCGTCGATCTTCTCGAAGAGAACGCCACGCCACTGCACGAGATGTAGGGTGTACACATCAAAGATGTTCTTCTTGCCTTCGTCCATCTCTCGCTTGACCCAGTGCCGGTTCAGGTATCGGAACAAGTGGTGGACATATTTTCCGGCGTTGGTGAAGCGCTCCCACTCCTTAATATAGTATGTGAGCAACGCCTCATCCGTGTGTTGCAGAGCTCGGTCCAGCAGGTCCTTGAGGTGCTGGTCGAGGTAGTCCATCAGCTTCTTGTAAAGGTCCTCCCCCAAAAGGTGTGCTCCTCTATGATTGCCACCGAGGCTGGGTGATGCGGGTGCACTGTTGGTCATGGGATGAGCCTTCTGCGAGGTACAGAAGTTGTGGACGGCAGTGTAGATGCCCATGTACTGTTCGCAAGGGTTGGACGCGTCAGTTTGGTCAGTTCAACAGAGGACGAGCCAAGTTTGCCCGTGCGGTAGGAAGTAGGAGATACTCACATCGTCCATGGTCATGCCATTCTGAAGATCGGTCATAATCTTGGTGATGCCAGAGGCGAGGTAGCCCCAAGTATCCTGAATGGAATCACGGTCAGGACCCTTGGGCATACCAGCGGTCGACCGCATGGTGGTCGTGGTAGAGCCGCTTGGGGGCATCTTGGAAGGTGGCGACGCTTTGTCGAGACCCTGATGTCAAGTATGGGCCTTCTGGCACGATGGGAGACTCGGGCGGGAAATGAGGGTCGGAGAGGTGGGATGCGAAGGTTCTCCCACAATAAAGATGAATCGCCAAGCTGATAAGCTACTGGTCGAAGTAATGGGTGCAGGATGGCGGGGAGTTGGATGGCGGATGTCGAAAGTCGTGGGTTCAGGTGGGAGGGTCGAGTGGGTGACGTGAGGCGAAGTTGGAGGGGAATGGATGGTGGCAGTTGAATGGGGGAGGCTCTCGTCTGGCGGGCCAGAAGATGCCCCTCAAAGCAGACCTCGAGAAAGAATTAAAAGTCCCCAGAGGCAGATGCGTGTAAAGAGAGTAGACAATGCAAAGACGCTGTCTCTAACTGCAATGTCGAGGAGTGTGATTGTTGTTGATGTTGACCTCGTCGCACGATGAGGCAGGAGGCACAGAGAAAGGGAGTTTGTTGGTAGTGGTTTGATGCCTGCGACGGGGCAAGGTCGGCCGTGGGTATGATTCCATTGGCAACCTTGATGGAAAGAAACCAGGGGCCAGGCTCCAGGCTGCCCAGGCAGGCACCTAGGCTGCTAGGCCAGGTAGACAGACCGGCTAGCTGAAGGTGAATGCTGATGGCAGGGTGGCTAGGTGGCAGGGAAGCAGGGTCTAGGCGGGCAGACCCACTCTTGACGCGTTCGGCGCTGAAATGCATTCACTACGTGAATCTCGAGTTCAAGTCAGCCTGGTCAGGCTTCTCTCTTATGGCAACATGCATGGGGATATTGCAACACAATGAGATCAGTGAACACAATGAATATTAATCTTCCACGTGCCACTAGGTGGTCATTTTGAGGTGGTTCTCTCAGTGATCCGCCACCGCAACCAAGACGTTGCTCAGTCACTCGGTCCTGGCTCATCAGAGATTAAGAATTGTATGATAAACTACTATGTACACTAAGAGAGCGGTCTCCTATCCTCTTCTCCTCCTAGTCTGCGGACCAACCTAAACACATTCACTGAGAAGTTCAGTATCCACCCGAACAGGCCAAGTAGCAGGAATGAAGCCAGGGCCTTCATCTTGACATTCTGGTCCCTGGGACTGTTGTTGATATTCAGAGAGTCGAAAGCCAGTGTGGTGCTCGCCGACTTGAATATGATGAAGAACAGATCCATCAGCGTGAGCGACACCTTCTCCATGGGCGATCGCAATCCCAGCTGCAGGCCTTGGTACTCATCCCAAGTCATATAACACACATATGGCATGACAATACAATCCACCACGATCGCCACGATCCATTGAGAGCGGAGTGTCGCCCCAGGCCCGCCTTCCCTACCGCTGTACAGCAGCCAGAGATTGCCCGAAAACGCGAGCGAGATGGCCGATGTCACCAGGACGAACAGCCTCAGCAGAGCAGGCACCAGCGGGTTGTTAAGAAGCAGGCGCCATACCTGCTCGTGCAGTGCCTTCCTCCTGCTCCTCTGTATCCGCTGCTCCATGGTGTCTGATAGATGAGGGACACGTTCGTCATTGAACCCGGGCATTAACTCGTCAAGCTTCTCCGAGTCAACGTGCTGCGACCTCTCGCCAGGTATTCGGCCGTACTTTGAGGCCTGGACGTAGTTCGTCCACGGCGAGGTCGAGTCTGCATAGCGCATCATGTGGTTCGGTATGATCACAGGCTCGGCTGTTCGGAGGTGATCCCACTTCTTGCCCCGTTGGGTTTGCCGTCTTCTCTTCATCGCCAGGTGCTTCTTTTTCAAGGGCACGGCGGGCTCAGCTGCGTCCCATGCCACAAACCCATCCCTCGAAACCCTTCGTTGTGGCGGCGCGGGCGCATTGTTGTGATCAGCTTGTACGGCATGCGGTGGTCTGTTAGGTATAGTTTGTTGTGATTCTGGTGGAGGCGGCCCATTTTCCGCATATGAAGCAATCCACGCTGTGCTAGGTTAGCCAAGGATAGAAGCTGAGGATGAGATGTGCTTTGGGAAGGCTCACGAGGTAGACTTCGGAACCTGCCACAATTGGCTTCAACAGCAGTGCTTCCCGTCCCAGGGCGGAAGTTGTCCATTACAAAAGGGCCCGAGACCAGCCGAAGGAGGAGAGATAGAGAGACAGGCGACGTTGGACAAAGGGGCGCCGTCAAGCAGTTCTTGTGACGCCTGAGATTCGCAAGGGGTGAAACACGGAGAAGCGAGTCCTGTGATGCTGGTTTGTAGGGCAGTCGACTGGGGAATGACGCGACGAGAGCGCCTTTCTCTCTTTTGTGTGTCTACCTAGGTGTTGAGTGCACTATGATTCCTGCGGCCCTCGTAAGATAATATTGGGCTTATGCAACTGGCACATGCGGTGGGATCGAAGGAAGGTATCAATGGTATCAACAGGTGTTCGGGAAGGACGGGCAAAGAAAAAGAATTATGAATTAACGCTGCACAAAAGTCGAATGCAAGAAACGCTGCAATTCCAATCACGCGGATTCTCTCTGGTTCAGCAACGGGAGCGGCCCGTAATGAGTCGTCGCTGGGATGGCCGCGATCTGCTGTGCTCACTGACGCCGACAAAAATAGGCGCGGCCCCAAAAAGATGACGGAGCGGTTTGGTCAAATCCAGCGGACCGCAACACAGGCCTGCCAACACATTGTCTAGGTGGCCAGCGCTGCAGACGAGGCTGACTGCTTGGTTGATTGAGTGAACGAATGAAAGAAAGCAAGAATGCATGCAGCAGAGAAGGAAAGGAAGAGCCGGTCAGAAGGCAAAAGCAGAGGCAAACGAGTGGGATTGGCGGGTACTGTGTGTAGGAGAAGGACCAGCGTTGCGAAATGAGGGAGGCTAGTCGGGTCTGCAGCGGAATCAAGTGATGCACGCGACTGGATGCCAATTTCAAGGTTCTCGGCGAGAATAGTGGACAGGGCTATCCTCATCCAACAACCGAAGGATCCACATGCACCAGCGAAAGCACCCAGACGTGCCCAGAGCAACAGAGCACCCAGAACAGCCACCCCGCGATTGCTGCTGTCGTACTGTGGTAGTGAGATACCTCGAATGGACCCGACGCTAGGGGGAGGCCTGCTGACTTGGGCCAAGTCGCCCCGGCAAAGCATGCAGATCTTCGAGTCCTGCCCCGGCGGGCCCGCTGCTGCAGAGCGGCTGCAGCTCGAGGCGCAGGTATCTCCTCTATCCTGCATTGACACGGGCCACCTAAAACCATCTAAGAGTGCTAAGCATCCACCCCGTGCGTCACTGCTTGGCCAGGATTGGGGAGGGAGGGAGCTTGATTCGAAAAAATCACTATGCCAGGCCCAGCAAGGTTCCAGACAGACAAACAGACGCCAGCCAGCATCTAAGCTTGTGTCGTGACGACAGCTTCTCGCAGGCCTCCCTCCCTCGCCGCCTACCGACTCCCAACCCGCTTTTGACCCGCGAGTCACCCATAACCATGCTCTTGATCTAAGATGGCACCCTATCAACCTGCATTCAGGCTGGTAACTTGATTGAGCAATTAGCTTTCTCGACTATCTTTGAGCTACAGGAAGCCTTTTTCTCACCAGTCAGTGCCGCGCCCACCAGCTCCCTAGAGCGCGATTCCTCGACAAAAATGCGCATCTTCCTCCTGCCGATATCGACGCGTCGGACGCTCCTGTACGCGCACCGCTTGAATTTTGTGACACCCTCGCAGCAAGCGAAGCAGTCATTTCTGGAGAAAATACAATCCAAGGCTGCCAAAACATGGGCGGGTTGGGAGCAGAAGGAGTCAGGATGGCAAAAGACCGTTGTCGTCTACGGAAACCAAGCATTGAAGAGGATCCCGTATGAGGAGTGGGCCTTGAAGTCTGTGCCGCCTCTCTCGACAAAGCGCAAGGACGATGAGCTGCGGGGCGACGACAAAGTAGAGGTCGTGTACCCTCAGAAACTGGTGTCGGCCGACAAAGTTACTGAGGTCATTCATGCTCTGGGAACGGAGCGTGAGGCCTTGCATCGGCGCAGGCTCATCTGGTGCCTCATCGGAATGCCAATTAGTGCTCCATTTGCGCTGGTTCCAATGTACGTGCTATTGCCTGTACTATCTTGAGGTCTATACTGACGCGGGCGGGCTAGAATCCCGAATATCCCTTTCTTCTACCTTGTGTACCGCGCCTGGTCACACTGGCGAGCCCTCGCCGGCGGAAAACATCTGCAGTTCTTACTCCAGAATAAACTCCTGCTCCATAGTCCCTCTCCCAAGCTCGATGAGGTCTACACCGAGCAAGAGCCTCCTTTACCGTCAACTCCTGAATCCACAGCCAAACCGGGAGAACCAAAGAACACAAACCCAACGCTATCCAAAGACGCCCAGCCGGAAGGTGGAGAAACGATGTTGCTGTCCCAGGCCAATGGGAAGATAATGACGCAGGCTTTGGACCTGCCTCAGCTCGAAATCGAGCTCGAGCGAGCGATATGGCAGGTGGAAACTGCCATCGAGAAGCAGAATGCTGAACGCAGCACCTCGAAGGAGGACAAGCCGAAGTCGCAATAACTTGAGGCGCACGACGACGTCATGTGATGGTACGAATCGGAAATGGTGTTATGATAGCATACGACGCGCGCAGAGCAGAGCTGGCTTGCATCGTGCGGTCCGCAGTTAGGACCATGGAGTTGAATCCCACTCAAATCCTCGTCTCAGGCGATGATCTCCACACAAAATCAAATTCGCTTCTCGATTTCCCTCTCCCCCACCGGCATTGTCAAATCTGACGCGCAAGGTAGTGACCTCTCAGTGAATCGAGCCCAACGATGGTGAGAAAGGTTGAGCACACGCTCAAGAGACTCAAGATCAGGACTATCTGGAGCCGGTGCCGGGCGGATGATTCTTGCTGTAGCAGGGAGAAGTCGCTTGCCGCCTGTCTTTCCACATCGGAGAGCCAGCCATGCCGAACGTCGCCGACCTTGACCACTCGGAACATCGTCCCAGTCTCGTGCACTGTCGGCGGTGTCTCCACCGTGGTGATAGCCAAGCTCGACCCCTTTGCCGATGAATCGCAGATCTTGGTACAGATCACCGTGCTGGCGTTTTGAGTGGGGGATGAGCAGGCTGTCGTGCGCTCATACGCAATGGCAGCCTTCCGACGTAGTAGTCGTTCGGTGGGTGTCTCCGTGGTCTTCCTTCTTGCTGGTCTGAGTCTTGTAGAACGACGGCTCTGTCTCCTCGACTCCCTGTCGCTGCAGCAGGTCGGGTTTAATGGTGATGATGCGGCCGGAGCATATTGTTGTGCAGCTGCTGCGATTAGGGCGGGAATGATGTCGTTTTTAGCACACATTTCTGGGTAGCCCGTCCTATCGACGTCGTTGTGTGAGAGTTCCTGAGACATGTTGTATTGGTTCGTCTCCAGCATTGCAAAGGTGATTGCGAGAGTAATGAGGAGCGACGAGGAGAATGAGGAAGAGGCGGGGCTCGCTGAAGAGGTCGAGGGGGCGAGGAAGGGAGGAGTAATGCTGTATGAGACAAGTCACGATACAATGTCGCACTTGTGGAATCTACTCAACATGGGGGCAGGAATGTGGCACCCACAAGGCCAAAAGGGACTGAGCCCATGCCCGTTTTGTTTTGATCACCCTTGAACTGAAATCTTGGGGATGGCCGGGGCACATCATTCGCAACAATATGTTCAAGGTTTCTCGAAGGGCAGAGAGTCCCGGCCGCCAAGTTCACCACCTGGTTGACCCAATACAATCATGTCCGGTCCACAAAATGTCTCAGTTAAGGAGAAGGTGGCTTCTGTAATGCCCTGTCTGGACGTTCATCACATCTAACCTAATTTCGACTCAACGGGCCAGATTAATCTATTCAGATGACGGGCCGCTTTCCAATCTCGGGGGAGAAATCCCCTGGCCAGGGTTATACGCGCATTGGCCAGCTCCTGGTCCCTTCATATGGACAAGCTCTCCATTACCCTATTAGAATTACTGTGCATACTGCCAGGCTGCCGCCATGACCAGAGTGGTGCACAGTAACAAGTTGTGTATGGTCCTGATAACCGTGGATAAGTGGATTATACCCCCGACGCTAGACCCGACTGACGACTCCGAAGGCCACAGTTCCGCCGGACCTTCACACCGCTCACCGAACTCCAGTGCGACCGTCCCGGGTGGTGCATCAGGTTTACAAGCTACAGGCCCCAGAGGCGGAGCCGCTTGATCAATGCGGCCCTAGAAATTGTCCTCGTGGCATCAATTCGGTTCTGAATTGAACCTGACATGATGGTTACCCAAGGCAGACATTGGGAGTATCGGCTGCCAGGCGGGGAACAGCTCTCCACGAGGTGAGAACAGAGCGTTGTCCAATTTCCTGGTGATAGCACATTTGCAACGAAGTCATCCCAGTCTCATACAGCGTTCCCCTCGGAAACGAGACAAATCGCAGGCTTAATGTCCAAGAGGGTGGGATCGCAGACAGAGCTTCAGTCTCAACGCAGACCAAAATGGACTCCTTTTGATCCATCGGACACATATGGTCCGGGCACCACGCTCCCCAAGGTCCGAAGCGAGAGTGCCGACCTTCCCCAGTTCGGCGAGACCGGAAGGAATGCCCATCCAGAATAGGGCTGTCGGCATCACAGGCAGTCGTGGGTTGGCATCCACCAGCGACTCCGCCGATCGTAGCGGGAATCGGCCCACTGTGTGAAAATAGGATGATGACCTTCACCGCAGTGCTGGTCAACCCACGGGGTATGCGCCGGTGGATAAAGGAGAACAGCCTCTTGTCCCGGCTGTGGAACTAAACAAACGCTGACCTGACCGGAATATCGGGCCTGGCATTCTCCCATGTTCTACCAATGTATCAGGATGGCTGTTGGCAGCTTCTTAGCCCTCCTATCAATTCATCATTGCTCTGCTGCCGCCCATGATCTGAAGATAATTTCATGGTAGCGACAGGTCATCTTTGCATCTATTTTAAGATCATTCCTGCGTAGAACCTCTGGGGAGATTATGCAAGGAGAAACATGTTCAGGCCACTAGCAGAGACGCGGGTGGGAGCTGCAAGATGAGAGTTGGGCGACGACGATGTCTTGTAACAGGTGATACCACATGATCACTTGACAAAGGATGTGCTACTTCTAAACATATCTTGCCATGATTGTTGCTCTCACAATGAGGAAGGGCCACGACACGTTTCGATATTATTGTGAACACATTTCTGTTTGATACAAATGTAAGGTAAACTTTTGTTTTCCATTGCCGTGATCTAAGTAGAGGCTGTGAATCATGAAATACTCCTACAACTCCACGAATCACTGTGATGTCAGTGTACCGTCTGACTCCGCCCTCGAACTCAGAATTTACCGAACAGAAGGTACGGGGAAGGACTCTTCAAAATTACTGTCCATTCGCCCCATCCTGCAAAATCAACGCCAAGAAACTATCAAGCTGTGGGTATGAGCCTTGAGTCATCAGACATTGGTACAGCAATGGTCGCACGCAACCCCAAACAGTGTAAAGGCCATGGCAACTTTGTGCGGTGGCGCAACGGCGGAGTAAACAAGTCGTGAGTTGAGATAAATCGCGTTCTGCGCTTCGCGTCCATCATCGCGCCTGGCAACCACCAGCAAACCTGACCATTTATGATGCGGCCTGCAAAGCCTCCGCCGGGTCCGCCGTGGTGGATGTAGGCACCTCCGAAGTGGCCTCCACAGGTGCCTCCATTGGAGCTTCCATCGGTGCCTCTGGAGGCGCCTCAGTCGCAACCTCAGTCGCAACCTCTGGCGCAACCTCCGTAGCAACTTCTGGCACAGCCTCTGGCGCAGCATCTGCAGTAAGCTCTGTCGAGATCTCGGCCGAAGCGTCCGCGGGCTTCTCTGACAGAAGCTCCGCCTTCAGCACCTCCTCGGCATCAGTCGTCTCTGTCATGCGCATCTTCTTTGCACGGCCATTCTCATGAGACTGGAGTTGCTCCTTTGCCTCGTTCAGCTCTAGCTCCATCTCATCCAGTCGCCGCTTCATGCTGTTCTCTCGTCGATGACTCTCGTCAAGTTGAGAGCGAAGTTGGGCTTCCGATGCTGCTAGCGCTTCAACCTGAGCACGCAGCTGAGCCTCAGCCTGCGTGGCGTCGTGTCCCCCGTCGAGTCCATTACCAGCAGTGGGACCAGCGCCGGTTCCGTAGGTCTCGTAGTGCTGCAGGCGACGCTGAATCAAGTCGTTGATCACCTCCAGCTCGTCGATGCGGGTCTTCAGCCCCGAGTTAAGGGCGAGAAGTTCCTCGGGCGTCTGCGGCACGCCTTCGCCGTTCATAGGCGAGGGTACGCGACCATTTCCTCCCGGGACACCAAATCCAGACAACGGCTGCTGCAGGTGGTGCTCATCGAGGCCATGGTACAGCATGTGTCCGGCGTACATGTTGGGAGTCGCGGTCCTCGAGATTGGGGAGTTGGTGTCGTCGATGTGGCCATTGCCAGCCTTCTGAGAGGTTCGTCGAACGCCGAGGGCAGCGGCAGCAGCATTCTGGGCCTGGATATCAGCGACGTTGGCATCAGAGGCGACGGGTTGGTTCTGTGGGGGAGGGCAAGAAGGGAACATTAGCCTCGCCGGACTCGAGAAACGCTCTGGTGTGTAGAAGAGCTGGATCGCGTACCTTCTTCTTCATGTCCATGCCAGGACGCATAGTCTTGACACGGTTGCGACTCTTGATAACGTCTGTCTTGAGGGAGATGGGTCTGGGGCGGCCATGCAGCTTGAGAAACAAGCCGCAGGCGTTGCAGAGGACGGCGCCAGACTCATCGCGACGCCACAGAGGGGTGGTGGAGGTCTGACAATTTTGGCAGGTAGGCTGCGATGTTTGTTGGTCATTGTTAGCCGCCATGGAGGCCATCATGGTTTGGAGGGCTGCAGCGACGCGCTGCTTGAGACAAAGTCGAGGCAAGAAAGGACGGAATGGTATCGTAGCGTATCGGGACTATCGTGAGATAGATACAGGTAGGGAATGGGAATGGGCTTGTTGATAAGATCTTGGGTGCCAGAGATAAGAGACTTTTGAGAACGGGAGAAGATTTTGGGGGGAAGAGCCAGAACCCGCCCACAGGCCAACTGCCCAGTTTTTTTTTCCCACTAGCGGGCGATCCCACCCGAGCCAATGCCCACAGTCGCATGCTTGGACCAATCAGAGGATGCGCTTATTATCAGCACCGGCAGTCTACACCCTGCACCTCCAATTTTTTTTCTCTCTCTTTTTCTTGAGATGGGTTTATACTCTCGCTGGCACTCTTGCGTGACGCGTGTCGCGAGAATGCAACGCTTCGCCTTATGGCAAACGTGTTCGATACTGTAGGGTGCAAGGTGGATGATGGTGGTGCAAAGACGAATGCGAAACATGACTTACCAAGTTGCCTCCGGTGCCAGCGCTCGTCGCAGCTGGTGCCGTCGCGGGTGTTGAATACATGGCGGATGGCGTACTCGTCACTGCTCTGTGTTGTGTAGGAGACCAGTTAGCTCGAGATCAGGTCGAATGTTGATGGGAACCTGGCCGGCAAGAGAGCAAGCGTTTCGGCCGAGTGCGGGTCCAAAGGGAGTAAGGACTGAGCTAAGATCGAAATGATGGCACATATGCCTAGATACGGCAAATTCACATCCCACTCTATTCCGTCCCGTTCCATTTATGGTTCGGGCAACGGTGAATGCCTGGGGCGCCAGTTGGCGAGGTCGAAAGTGTAATTCGGGGGGTGCATCGTAGTGTTTGGAAGCTGAGTATTCACCTACCTCATCTGCGGTGGGCTCGACGTAGAAGTTGCGGCTGCGGCCGCAGCTGCGGCCGCCGCAATCGACGAGATACCCGGTAGCTGTTGATGGGTGTGAGAGGCCGAGGTCGACGTGGAACTGGGACGCGATATCGGCTCGAGGGTTGCTGGAGGAGGCAGGCCGCCTGAAGCTTCTTCCATCTTGACCCCAGGGGAGAAGGTCAAGGGCGGCAACGCAATATGGCACAGGTGGTCGTGATCGGGCGGTGGTGTCAGACACGGATGGGGCACAGGTAGAGGAAGAAGCAGCGGAGAGCGAGTCGAAGCCAGCTTGGCGGTTGGTGGGGAGGTCGAGAGGGTAGAGATTATCGTCGGGCTCGGAGGGCCAGGGTCGGAGCCGGAGCCGGAGCGAGCACTGCTTTCGAGTCTCGAAGATGATGCGCGCCGACGTGATCGAGTCGGTCGGGCAGCGGGGGTTTTGTCTTGGTCCGTGGCGATTCGGCTCGAGGCTGGCTAGGGAACCCGGGTCTAGGACAGGCGCGCAAAAGATAAACGGCAGAGGAGAGAGGAGCGAGCGACTTGAAGGCGGAGGCGAATCGTATGAAAGAGGAGGCACCGATACTTCAAAACATTACAACTTGGTTGGCTATTATAGTTGACTGACGGGTAGACAAAACGTCTCAGAAACAGACACAGACAGATACAAACAAGAGAGACTGGAAGATAGGCAACGCGTTGCAAAAGGTAAGAAAGAAGCAGACGAGGGAAGAATCCCGAATCCCCATCTAGACATGTCAGCCACGGACCGAGCGGGCAAATTATTTCACAATCAGTAAGGCGAGAGACAGGACCCCTAGACCCTGGCCAGAGCAGACCGAGCCCCTGATTTCTGCGTACTACTAGTACTAGGCAATGTCGTGTTGGTCGTATTCTGGCTCGAGCTCCAGCTCCAGCTCACCCCTACACTCGCGCACTGTATTGTGTGTGAGCGGGTGTGTGTGCGGCGTATGTGTGAGAACGCGAGATGGATGCTATGCAGGCTGTGCACGAAATCAGATAGCTACGGAGTAGCCTGTTATTGGCCGTCCCTGGGAAGGAAACCCGGTAAACAAAGTTGTGGCGGCGGGCAGGATTGATTCTGTACAAGGCTTTGCCACGGACCGAGACTAGTTACACAAGACACGGAGTTTCCTTCTGTCAAATTTGATAATTTGACTGACGGAACTCGGTGTCTTGCTACTCATGCTACTGTAAGCACCGTTGAAGACATCTGCGTCAACGGAGAGACCAGAAAAGGGAGTGATCAGCCAAGCATCGGCTCCATGGATGTTTCTATATCGGGATCAGTGGAGGAGGTGAGAGCTTAATTTGGTGCTATCATGATGAAGAACCACATAGTACGTAGGGGACAATGACAAGCGTATCTAGGCACAATTTACTGAGTGGCTGCCCCGTCGTGACTCCAGAGACCTATTGGGAAGAGAGTGCTCCCAATCCAACCCTCGACAAATGTCAGCTCCCTTTATGTTGTGAGCACCTACATGCCTACCTATTACCGAATAATCCATGCTGGGCAAATCTCACAGGCCGTCTTTCAGATTTGAGGCGTGACGGTAAGGATGCCGAGTGGGCAGGTCGGCGTGGGGCCGAGTAGGAAGCTAGGTACCTAGGTATCTAAGTATCCAAGTACCTTCTTTACAGGGTACCCGGCCAATTGGGAGCTTGTGCCTGCCGACTTGGAGAGCAAAAAAAAAAAAGAGAGCCCAAATGATTTTGGCAACCAACACCAGCTTCACTTCTCTGCCGGCTGTCACAAGGTTGCGACACACCTGCGCCTACACCGTTCTTGCTGGAGATTTCAGCCAACATGTCGACAAAGCACGAGAAAGATAAGCCGTATGACATTCTTCCCTTTCTCTTGAGAGTATCGGGTTCAAAATTACTGACGCATACTCTTCTCCAGGTGGGATACGGAAGACATTAACAAGTGGGAGATACCTGCCTTTAAACGAGAAGACAACATCGGAGGAACGTTCGCAGAAGAGTCAACTTTCACAGTGCTATTCCCAAAATATCGTGAGGTGTATTTGAAGGAAGCAGTCAGTACCGTCGCCCGCAGTCCAACCTCAAAGCCTCTGCCAGGACACTAACCAGAGACTGACCAGTGGCCCCTCGTCACCCGAGCCCTCGAGAAACACGGCGTCGCCTGCACTTTGGATCTGGTGGAGGGAATGATGACAGTCAAGACAACTCGTAAAACATTTGACCCCGCCGCCATATTGAATGCGCGAGACCTCATCAAGCTGCTCGCTCGAAGCGTGCCCGCGCCCCAAGCGGTCAAGATCCTCGAGGATGGTGTTGCGTGCGATATCATAAAGATTCGCAACCTGGTTGGAAATAAGGAGAAATTCGCAAAACGGCGTCAGCGAATCCTAGGGCCCAACGGTTCCACCTTGAAAGCGCTGGAGCTGCTCACGTCGACATATATTTTGGTTCATGGCAACACCGTCAGCGTGATGGGTCCGTTCAAATCGCTGAAAGAGGTGCGCAGGGTCGTCGAAGACTGCATGCACAATATCCACCCCATATACCTGATAAAAGAACTCATGGTCAAGAGGGAATTGGCCAAGGATCCAGCATTGGCGAACGAGAACTGGGATCGGTTCCTGCCCAACTTCAGGAGAAACCTGAGCAAGAGAAGAGTGCCGCACGTAGTCACGGACAAGAGCAAGAAGACATACACGGCATTTCCCCCTGCGCCGGAGAAGAGCAAGCTGGATCTCGAGATCGAAGATGGCACGTACTTCATGGGCAAGCAGGCAAAGGAGCGAGCCGCAAAGACTGAAAGGGAAGAGAAGGCCAGGCAAAGGAAAGAGGACAAGAAGCGGGAGCGAGAGCAAGAGTTTGTCCCACCAGAGGAGCCTGGTTCGAAGCCCAAGAAAAGGAAGAAGAATAAGGAGACCTCGGTTTGAGGTTCGGGCTTCACTGCTCAGTCGGTACCTCGCCACTTACACGATACCCGGTCAAATCGCAGACCAATTGTAATCTGAGAATCAACGAGCGACCTTCACCGAAATCTTGTGTGCCTGGATACGATATTACAATCACGAAGCGACTGTTTACTGGGAGGCTCGTCCGTGGTGTTTCCCACCTGGCATGACTGCCCGACAGGACCCTGCGTGAGGTGTCGATGGAGGACTATCTGCAAGAAGTGTGGGCGGCAAGACCCTACAACTTCGAGGCCGGACCAGCCTCCATATCGATGACCAACTTGCCAAATTGCTTCCCATCCTTCATGTCTGCGAAGAGTTCATCGATGCCGTCCAGGTCTTTCAAGCCCTTCGACACCCGGCTTATGACTGGTTTCAAAAGCGGCCGTTCCCTGACGAATGCTACCATAGCTCTAAACTCTTCCCTCGAACCCATGGTGCTGCCCCTCAACTCGATGTTCTTCAAGACGGCCGGCATACCCCAGGGCATATTGGGCCCAATGGTCATTCCATACTGAGAAATGATGCCTCCTGGTTTGAGCAGCTTGATCGTCCTCGCCACGATATCTCCTCCCGCTCCATCAATGACGGCATCTAAGAAAGGCCTGTCCTTTGGCAAGGCTTTCTGCAGCTGCTTGTCCCAGTCCTTGTCTCGGTAGGATACGCCGCCCCTCGCACCCAACTTCACAGCCTTCTCAATCTTGTCCTTGTCACCACTTGTGACCCACGCATTGCACCCAAGCTCGACGGCAAACTGCAGAACTTGCAGTGCAACACCCCCGCCGATCCTTTTGCACGCTGTTAGTAAAGCACACATTTTTGATCAAACCCTATCATATCTCAGGAGCAACTTGAGGTACTGCATGAGCCGGGCACACTCTGAAGACTTTTGCTTCGATGCGCTGGCACATCAGGAGGGACGCCGTCTTCTGAGCCAATGGACTCATGGTGCGACTCAAAGCACTCCCGAGAGATGCGGAAAGTGTCAGACGGACAGGATTGGAGGAAACGGACCCCGTAATAAGGATGTTGCGGCCACGGCTCGCATTCTCTCCAGTTTTGGTCACCAGCGCCCTCCAGCCTGTCAAGCCCACAAGCGGCAGCGCTGCTCCCTCGATTGCTGATAGATGCTCTGGCGCCACTTCGACGTCTTCCTCATTGCAGACTATGTATTCCTGCGCCGTGCCCGCATCATACATAGCAGTTCCGCCGATAACGCTATCTCTTGCGTCAGATCACATTTTCGAGGAGCGAGGGGATGTTAAAGGGAAAGTGGCAGAGTAAATAAAGAGTAGTAGAAATATCAAAGAATGATTCCACGCACCTATACTTCTTGATGTCTTCAGGCCCGTGCGGGTCAGCATCCCAGCCTCGAGCCGGGAAGATGAGCACGTCCTTGCTCTGGAGGTTGCGAACGCATTGCGGCCCAGATTGGATTACCGTGCCCTGGCCGTCTGCCAGAAGTGGGTTATCGAAGGAGATGCCCGGGTAGAGATGCTGACGGACGAAAAGGTCGCGGTGGTTGAGAGCCGCAGCATTTAGGCGGATGAGGACTTCCTTTGGGCCCGGCGAAGGCTTGGGCACTTCCTTGAGTTGGAGACTGTTGGGGAGTGAGTATTTGACATTGCCTCAGACGGGTTGGCTATTCATAAAGTTAGAGCTCACGGGTAGTAAACCTTGCCCGGCTTTCCGTCTATCTTCTTGACTGTTAATGCGACAGGCATCTTGGCTAATTCGTGATTTCAGCAATGTGTCCCTATGTTTTTTGCCGACTGTAAGAAATGCCAATTCCCTCACGATCAGACAAAAGGTAGAAAGAATAAGAGCGATAGCAGGTCAGCGGAAGCTAATGACGTTCGATGCAAGGCGTAGTCTATCATGTTCAGATTGCAAGTACCGGAGCTAGGGAAACATGAGCGACTCCCCGCATTTCGGTGCCGATGTGCCTCGGCTTATGTGCCGCCGGAGCGGCCGGATGTGCTCGAGAGAACCGGGGCCGGAGGACAAGAAGAAGCAATGAGGTCCTGGCCCCACTCTTTGATTTGCGATGGCGGTAGACCGCACATGTCTGCTATAATCATAGGATTCTATTATGGTCGTTCCAAGACAACGAGCAAGAGGTAAGTTGACCCCATCACGATCACATCTACATCTTCGACACAGCAATAGCAGCCGCAAAGGTAGCAATCATGGACACAAAACTCGACACAGACATCAACCCCATCCCGCTAATCCCGTGTCCCGATGTACACCCGCCGCCCAGCCTGGAGCCAACGGCCATGAGGAAGCCGCCCCAGAAAGCTTTCCACGGGGCTATATGCACTGTCCATGTGGCGGCCGCCACCGTCAGATCGGGCCTCTGCCGAGCCAGCAGCAAGGCACCGGCTGCCATGGAGGCAGAGAAGAGCAGCGATGCCGTCGCGGGCTGGGGTCCTCTTCCCCCTCTCAATAAATATACGATCCAGTCACCAAAGTGTTCATAGCAGGTCGAGACGCCGAGCAGGGAACCCCTCAGCACCAGCGAGAGCAGCTGCGCGGCGCCAACAGCCAGGCCTCCCGCCACGGGGTGCAGCGCAGACGGCGCCGATCTGGCCTTGCTGGCTGTTATGGCCACGAGAGCGCCCAGCAGGACCTCGTAGAAGACGAAGGTCGCGGCTCGCCCCGTGCCGAAGAGCTGGGCCAGTGTCTTTGGCGGCTGCCTGCCTGACACACCCTTTCCATTGGCAGCCCGCCGTTGTTGTCGAGCAGCTAGCCATGGCCGCAGCACCGCGGACCAGAATATGCCGCCGACGGATGCGCCCGCGAGGGTGATGGGCGCCGACGGGACTCCCATGGCTGCTTGTGGGAAGACCATGCCAGGACAGGATGCTGCGAGAGACATGCCGGCGCCTAGGACGGCGCCACCGATGATGTTGCCATCGAGCGAGAATCCGAGGAGACCCAGTGATGAACAGGACCGTGGTGGAGGAACGTGAGAACCCAAACCGTAGAGGAGTTGGAGGGAGAGACTGCACAGGTTGTCAGTCTGTCAGTCAAGTCTCTACCGTTGTAGATGCTGATCAGGAGGGCCGCCAGTGCCAGGGGACACTCACGCGCTGCAACCAGTGGCTGTAAGGAACGTCTGCACCATGTTCCAATTCTCCAACGTGAACTGCGATGCGATCAGGTATGGCGAATACATGCCCGAAGCCACAAGGGCGGCCCCAAAGGCCATTCCGGAGACGACTGTGTCCATCATTTGTCTCTGTGTGCTGTAAATCGATGTCGTTGAATGGGCAGGTTCAGCTGAGCCGGGTCTAGTTTTCCAACTGTTGAAATTCTTTGGGGCCGTGGAATATCGACGGTCTCCAGGCTAATTAATAGATATCCCATAGACAGTGATCGCCGGCCCAAAGATGGTTGCGGCAACCTCAAACGCCAGTCCTTTGTCCGTCCGTCCGTCCCGCCAGCTCCCGCAGGGGCAAGGCCGAGGGAGGGTGGAGCTTTACAACACAACGTTCGCACTTCACTGTAGTAGCCCGATCGTCTGGGTGAACATTTTTGCAAACCTAAAGCTGGTGTGACCTGGGCCTGGGGCTCGAATTGGGAGTATTAGAAATCAGAAAGGAGGCCAGGAGACTGACCATGACCATGACAAGCAACCCAAGTCCACCCACGACCCACCACAAACACTAAACACCAGCGCGCCCCCCAATTCGATCGCCGACCCGGGGACGTCTGGCCAAAGACCTTTGTCTGTCTCCCTACCCCGTTCGGCGACCACAACGAGTGGTCCAACAACCTCATCAGTCATGAGGTTGCAGCACGACGCTTCCTCGCTGTGACCTCGATCTCCACCTTCATCTCCTCCTTCATCAGCCCAGCAACCATCATCGTGGCCGCGGGCCTGACCTCGCCGAGCCAGCGCCGCAGCACCGGCCACGTCTTGGGGAAGTCAGCGCGGTCCGGCAGGATGTAGCGCACGCGGACGACGTCCGTCACGGCGGCGTCCGCCTCGGATAGCGCGGCCGCGATGTTGATCATGCATTGCTCTGTCTGCTCCGCCACGTCGGGCGAGATGGCACCCGTCTTGTAGTCGTAGCTGGTGGACAGCATTATTAGGTCAGGATGCGTGAAAGAATTCTGATGTGCTAAAGAGAAATGACTCATTGTTTACTTACCCCGTGCATCCCGACACAAACACGAAGTCACCGTCGACCACAGCCCGGGAGTAGCCAATCTCCGCCTCAAAGGCACTGCCTGAGCTGATGAGCCTTCGAGAGGGGGGCGAAGAAGACATGGTGAGGTCTTGAAGAGCAAAGGCAATTATTCCTGTAGGACGACTTGGACAAGGATGACTCTAATTAGACTACTGTCACCTTTGACGTGCAGGTCTAGATCCAGATCACCACGTGGCTCTGTGGCACCCCAGAATTCTAGGCGCTGGAGCTCTCCGGAGTGATGAGACCAGGGTCGATGCGCATTAGACGCAGGGTGTCTGTTTGAACAGAAATACTTGCAATTAGTCTACCTAGATAGACGCGCAAGTGGGTTTCTGGGGTGGTGTCCGCACTTTAGCTTTGAGAAGTTTACTCCTATACCGGGGGCTTACATGCACAAGGGTTGTTTCTGTCAACACTTTTTTCAACCTGACACATTGGCACAAGACAAGATGTGCGCAGCATGTCACAATAGATTACCCATCTAAAACCACACTGACAGCAAATGTTGATTGCTTCTTCACTTGGAGTCACCACCACCATTCACGCGCAGGCCAGAATCACGAGGATAAGTAGGTCGCCGTGCTTCATCATTAAACCAGGTCTTTTCCTTGTAGTACTTATAACCAATCCCCAAAAAGGCCACCTTTGCAGGATACTTGCTTTCTTGGTGGACCTCTACTACCTCCATAGTGACCTATATAGGCATGCACGCCTGTTTTTTCTCTTTTTGAATATCCCATACATACACTTTGGCGTCCCAAGCCTCGCCTCTAAACTCCCAGCCAGGCCTGAAACACAAACAAGCAACAACTCCCAGTAGCTGTTCATCACTTGACACCTTGCACCCTGTTCTTGCATGTTCTTGGATTCAAAACTGCAAGGAGTGGCTCTATCAGCCCAGCATGGAATGCGTCCTGATAGCCTTAGGACCAAGCTCACTAGAAGAAGAGAAGAAGGGTCAGCAATGTATTTTTAGTAGAGCAATGCGAAGATCTTCATGAGCAAGCATGCAAAGGGCATCATTAAGCAGTATATAGTCATAGAAGAGCATGAACTTACTTGAAATCCACACGGTGCAGGCTCATGGACCTCTGCGCCTCCAGCCCTTGCGCATCCAAGTTATGCACACAGAATACCAGGCGTGCGGCCACCAGCGAGCCCAGGAACATGGCCTCCTCGAACCCATGTTTCGTCCACTCGGCCAGGTACGTCGGCATTGCCGCCAGCTTGATCGACGTCGGCGTCTGGCTGTGGAAGTGGTGCGACATGTGCGGAGCAGACCCGTCACCCGACGTAGAACCCGGCGCGCCGCCTGGGGTAGACACGCCTGGGTGAGGTGTTTGTTGCAGCGACGCCGCCGTCGTGGCAGCCTGCAGCAACGGGTTGACCCCCGACGAGGCACCCGTGGGCATTGTGTGTGGCGGGCCTGTGAAGCTGCCCGTTGGTGTCTGCGACCCTGTTCCGGCGGGAGTCGCCACATTAGAAGGTAGCTCCGATGTAAACATTGTCGCGCTGCTGGGCGAAATCAAGTGTCGCGACGTCAGGGTCTGTAGGATGTTGTCTTTCAACCCGCGGATGCGGCTGCCGTTGCCCACAAACACGATGTTGTCCCAGCAGCCGGGCCGCATGTACATGTCGCCAATCTCCTGCACGGCCTGGTAGATGGTTGCCACGATCCGGTCGATCTCGGCGCGGTCCGCAAAGGTGAATCTCTCGAGGCCGATCTCGATGTCTTTCTTGATGCGCTTTGGTTGCGGTTCCGAGGACGCTGGTTGTGCGGATGCCGAGTCCGGGGGCGGTAAAAAGTTGTCTACCTTGAAGGCATCGCCACTTGGCTGTTCACCCGTCGGCTTGTTTGCCTCACCTGTTGGTGCTCCCTCCACTTTCGGCTCCTCACCATTGGCAGGCGGTACGACATCCTCCTTCGGCTGATCGACAGCTTTTACTGGCACGGGCGCGGGCGCTGGCGCTGGCGCGGGCTCTTCATGGGTGATCTCTTCAAAGTGGAAAACATTTTTCAACCTCTTCGAGTTCGGCAGTCGTGAGGGCTTGTTTGCATCTGCGGCGTCCTGCCCTTTGCCCTTTTTGCCTGCCTTGGCCTTCTCCTGCTTCTCCTTCTCCTTCTTGGCGAGGAACTCTTTCGTTTGACCGCTCGTAACGATGTTCGCGATGTCAAGAACGCCGTCATTATCGGCACCCTTTTCATCTCCAGCTGGCCCATCCTCGCCCTCCGCACCCACTGGTCCGTCGCTCGTTGTGCCGGCCGCCGCTTGAGCAGCTGGTTGACCCGTGGGTGCCGTGGCAGGCTGCTGGCCTGCTCCACTCGCCGAAGGAAGCTCCATCAGCCCAGGCTGATCCGCCGCATACGGCAGAACCTCGCAGATCTGACTCTTCTTCAGCTGTTCTGCCATGTCGTAGCTGAAGCCCTTGCTCGAGAGCAACTTCTGGAGCTTGAGGGTAAACACCTCCCCGCCGGAGATGGCCGCCTCCTCCGTACTATCAGGAGTTGTCAAGCCCACATCCTTGTGGTTCACAACCCTGTTATCGTATATGCATGTCACATCCACCTTCTGGAAGCCGATGTCGACGACCGTCATGGTAGGCCACCGCAGTCCGTATTGTGTCGCGACGCCGCTGTGGATGAGGCACAGTGCCGGGGTCTTGGTCTTTTCGAAAACATAGCGCGCGATGGCTTCGCAGTCGGGGCGCGTCCACTGAGGCGATGCCATGAGCGTAATCGGAGTATTGTGGTAGGTTGTGGTTAGCATGCTGTGGACGTGGTCCATGAAGGCGAGAAAGGCGTCCATGTTTACGATGCGGCCACCTATGTAGCAGATCAGGCGTGTAAGTCTTTGTGTGAATGCCTTGACTGGCTTCCAATTGGGTCTCCGTCTCAAGACTTACCACGTATGGGGTACACCGCGCCCTCACTGGAGTCCGGGTCCTCGACGACCTCGTACTCTTCCTCAACCTTGACATCATCAACACCTCCATTCTGCGCGCCTCCATTAGACTCCGATGGGTTGTTCTTCTTTCTCTTGAAAGTATGATATGGCCTCCAACCCCCATTCTGTTCGTCCTTAAACATGCGCGTCGGAAAGCGTTGCGAGGGCGGCGTCAATTCGCTGCAGCCTAGCTGGGCCATGGTTGTGGAGGAGCCAGGGCAGATGACGAGGATCTGCTCCTCCCTCCATTTTGTTTGCGACGACATCGTGGGGCCTCGTGAGTTGCAGGGTGAAGCTTAAAAACGAGGGGATGCCCGTCGTTTGAAGTCCAGTCGAGCCGGCGTACAAGCGCAAGTATGTCGCGAACGCGCCTCGCAACTTGTAAGCTTGCCGGGAATTTTAGCAGTGGAAAAGCCCTAACCCTAGACAAACCACAACCATCCACTGGTCTAGATAGTGAATTCTGGCCTAGACACTGCTTCCTTTACATCGCTATCATGTTTGCTCTCGTTTCTATTTATTTCATCGGCCTGTCTGGCCTCACAAAAGCATAGCACATTTACTTGATAACCATATAGCTGCAACAAGTAGGCGGACTCAATGGCAGTGTGAAGACCTGATTGTCACAGCTCGATACACAGACCCTTGCACAGGGAGCCCTAGCCCAAAACAATCAATCAATCTTACCTCACACTACCCATCGCATCGCGGTCATAGGGAGAGGTTGTAATTTTGTTGTTCATCATATAGATGGTCATCTTAGGTATTGTGGCTACCAACAGGAATCATGCCCATGTAGCAATGCATAAAACATTAGACATAAACACTAACAGTCGCCTGCTCCCAGCCTCCAGCTTCCAGCTTCCAGCCTCCAGCCTCCAGGCTGCAGCCTCCAGCAGCCGTGCCATTGCCGTGCCATGCCCAGACCTATTTTGCCCCTCGAGGGGATGGATATCGTGATTCTGTGCCCAAAACGCCATTGCCAAAAGTCATTCCCAGTTCCAAATCAATGGGCTTGCCTACTTCTTAGTAAGTAGCCTCGAATTCAACCCCAAAACTCATCACCTCGTGTCTTGCCGCCTTGGCATCTTTGGTTGTGGCCATCTCGCTCTCTGGTTTCGGCGTGCGCGGCTCCTGCTCATCCCCTGATGAGGTCGGTCCCGACGTGTGTAGTGTGGATGGCGTTCTGGGCATATCCTCCGTTTCCAAGCTCAAATGCTTCTCAACTACAGTAGTGTATGTTGGCGAAGACGCCCGGTGATGGCTCATGGACGAACCAGACCGCAATTGCTGCTCTTGTGTCTCAGCGTCCTGCTCGCATGGGCTTGCTGGTGTTACATTAGTCGCCCATTTGGCTGCAGACTCGATCACTCCGTCCATAGTATTATGCTCTGCTCCCTCTTCACTCTTGCTCGTTCTCGTAGACTGGAACGAATTTCTCAGTGGGCTCTTCAGTGGAATCTCGCCGAAGTCGCTCTTGCTGAAACGGGACGACCTTGCTGGACTTCTCGGTGGTATTGCCGGAATCACACGCTTGGGGATGTTGACGAGCGCTCCCTTGGCGTGAATAATCTGTGTGACCTGGGGTGACAGTGGAGCCGCTCGGACTGGCTGAGCAGCTGTTGCCAACTCAAATACGATCGGTTCGTCGTCTTCATCTTCGTCATCGTCTTCTTCATCCTCCTCCTCCTGTGCACCGTCCTCGAGCTCCGGGTCAGTTTCGATTTCTGAGCCTTCCTCTTCCTCATCGTCTGCGTCCTCATCCCGCTCATCCAGAGAGACCTTGTCTGCTTTGTCGGCAGTGCTGCCACCCATAGCAATTTCCCGCGGGGCCGTTACTGTCTCATTCGCGGCCTTTTCTTCTGCTACACTGTCCTCCGGGATCGAGTCTGGGCGCTCTCGGGATGAGCTTCTGGTGACCGTTTCATGCGAGCAGTCGATCTCCTCTGGCTCCATGACGACCGGTAGCTTGTCAATAGAGGCTCGGTCCACGCCCTCGTCGGACGTGGGCGTGGTCCCCCGAGTGTCGACTGTCGTCTGTGTGAATGCATCAGTCATACGGCTGAGAGTTGTTCTGTTGGACATGTAGCTGCCCCTGTTGCTTTGGGTAATGTAGGTGTCTGTGCTCTGGCGGTTGTTGAACTGGCCGAACAAAGGACTGTTCGGGCTCGGGCTGTACTCGAACTGGCTACTAGCAGGCCTATGTCTCGTTCCAGCTTCTCGAATCTCAAGCCCCGCCATCTCGAGCGCCTTCACACCGAATGGATCCGGATCTTCGTTATCTGGGACTCCGAATGCAGGTCTTCCAGGAGAGAGCAGAGACATCGCGGATGAGGGTTCGATCAAGGCGTCGCCCGGAGCCGGCTGCAATGCCAACTTTTCCAAAAGGGGCGCATTGAAGTCGACCCTGCCCTCCGCGCATTTGAGAACCTCGTACAGTGTCTTGATTTCCGGTGCGTCTTTCTCAGGCACCTGTCCCGCCAAAACGTCAAGGACAGATACGTTGCCTCCGTAGAACCTTTGATTCTCTGACCCACGCTCAGTGACCGACGAACCATCGATGTTGACCGCCCTGTGTTCGCCCCTCGCTCTGACGTAGGTCAATACTGTGTGCCCTGGGTCCTTGCCCCGGAGCTCATTCTCGATGCGTCCGTCTGTTATGAGAGGTCCAACAGCGAGCTGTACGTCTGCGCCTAGTGTTGTTTGGGGCCGTGTGAACATCTCCAGTTCAGACATCGAGTTGATGACCAAGACGCAGTCGTAAACATCCACCCCTATCACGAAGCCAAGAGCTGCCGTGTGCAGCAGGAATGCCGAAGGAGGGGACCATCTTCCGTCGGATTTCCTGGCAACCAGAATTCCGCTCCCTCCGCTGCCGCTCTTCCACAACCCGGATCTCATGCAAGAGAAGATTGCAAGACCGACAGCATTCTGGACTATCCTCGGCGGTATCCTCCTCTTTTTGTGCTGCAGTGACGTGACGGACGACCGTCTCTCGAGATTGTTAGTGTTGTCATCGTGATTGGCGACGCAACCTTCAGCTATATCATCTTGTTAGCCAGGACTAAGCATCAGCGAATGGCCACAAGGTCTGACGTACTGCAGAATGCCTGAAGAATGCGAGCCGCCTTCTCGCTCTCGCGATCCAACGTCGACGGCCAGTAGTCCTCGGGCCCGTAGCGACGGGTCAAGGTGCTAACAGTGTCAAGGGGGGCGGCAGGGGCAGCATTGGTGACTCCAGCGTTCGACTTTGGTCTGTCTCTCGAAGACCAAAACGCGGAGATGCGCTGCATGGTGAAAGTTGATTTATCAAAGACTGTTTAGGCCATTAAAGAAGAGAAAGTGATGGCGGGCATTGGAGTTGGGAAAGGGCAGAGGCAGAGTCTGCCCGCGTTTGGCCCCTGCGCTGGTCGCCCGAGTCCAAGCGAGGCGGGGAGGTGGGATGCTGGATTCTGGACGTTGTATGTTGTTGGATGGGCGGGTTGAGGAATGAACAGTGGTCGCGAGTGGGTGGGTGGCTGGTGACACAGGCTTCGAGGACCGCGGGCGGGTACCAGGGTGACGGTAGCAGGCAGGTAACGACCTTGGACCTTGGGCGTGAAAAAGGCACGGCCGCGGCCCAGTAGTGGAATTAGGGCGCCTTTTGGTTCAAAGGCCGGGTGAACGGGTTGAACAAGCACGGTCTGGGGGCCAGCCTCGTTATGCTAGTTCTTTGTGAATGGCGAGCAGCAGTAGGTCGAGCGATGGAATGGGCGTCTGGGGCCGTTTTGTAGATGCAGGCGGCCAGAGACGTGTGACGTGGGACGAGGTGTGGTGCGGTACAAGTACAAGGTGCAGGTTAGGCTGTGAGAGAGCGAGCGAGCAGATCAAGCAAGAAAGCAAGAAACAGTACAGCACGGTACGGTACAGTAGTTAAAAACAGAACCGATCGGCGTCTTTTCTCGGCAGCTTCGGCAGGCGTGTTGCGTGCGTGCGTGCGTCGTGCGTGCGTGCATGCAAAGAAAGTGGGCAAAGCGAACAAGCGAGCAGGCCGAGCGGGTCAGGCTGCGTATGTTGGTGTTATTATGATTATTCCGGCTGGAAGAGCAGAGAATTCAGTCCCAGGGTCTGACTCTGGACTCTGCCCGTTCTGTCAGAGAGGTGGGATTTGGGTCTTGATCTGGATCTGGATCTGGAGACTGGGAGGGCCAACTGCGCCTGTCTGCTGACGTCGATGGCACGTCGATGACCAAGTGCCCCCAGAAAACTCAAAGGCTGCTAAGGCTGGTTGTGGTATCTGATGGCTGGGCTTGCAGCACGTGTGGTGCAGTTGCGCTGGGTAGGAGCTAAGCAGAGGGGCGTATGCAGACGTGGGTGGCATCCGGTTGTTGGCTAACTCGTGTCAGGCCAGGCTTGCCGAACAGGGTGGCCCGTCGTGGTCGTCGACTGGTTCGAGTCCAACGGTACCTGAGCGGATGATAGAGTGGGAACGCACCCTCTTGACTGCAGGCTCCCGTACTATCGGTGTAGGTCTCAGCACAGTCAGCTCGGTGCTGGACTGGCAGACTGGTTCTGGTTCTGGTTCTGTCCTGGTGTGGAGGCGGAGGGGAAGGCGAGGGGGAAGGGGAAGACACGAGGTCGAGGTCCAAGGCAGAGAGAGGGGATCGACGGGTGATATGACAGGCTCTGTTATTATTACTGTTGTTTGGTACACCACGGCACGGTACGGTCCAGCACTGCTACAGAGCACACAGTACGGGAAAAGGGACGTGCGAAAAGGAGAAGGGGAGACTGGGAGAGAAATCAAGGCACATCAAGTCGAGTCAAGTTAGATTGCAAGAAAAAGTCCAAGCCTCGCAGAAAGAATGCAGTGGAGGGCGGGGACGGGGGGGCAGGACAGGGCTGGGCTGGGCAGGCGTGGCAGGGCAGGGCAGAAATGGAATTGGAAATGGACGGGAGACGAGGAATTGGACTGGACTGGGCAGAGCAAGGACAGGGAGGAAGGGCCATTGACGTTGTGAAATAAGAGGAAATCACCACATCAGGCACATCCAGGGCCCCGTTCATGCCAATGGGCGATGGCAATCCCGAAGAAGAAATTTGAGTTGCTGAAGCGGTTGTTTGGTGTTGCAGCCCGCCGTGTCCAGGGGCCTACTCCTGCGTGCGACTTGCTGCTGGCTGCTGCTGCTGCTGCTGCTTTGCCACATTTGCTACATTTGCTACACGGATATTCTGCGTCTCATTACGCGGCGGGGATTGAAATGAGATGAACCTTTTGCCTGCGCCTTTGAAACATGCACAACTGCACAACTGCAGGTTCCACTCTCCACCTCCCCCACCCACAATCTCGTCCACGCTCACTCATCACACAGAGGCAACCCAGCCCGCATTGCTGCCATCTCCTCCTTGGACGGATACGACCTTGCACCAGACCTAGACTACCTGTGGCCTGTCCTTGGACTTGGTCCCTTTGGTGTGCCGACTCGACCAGACCACGAGCGGCCCTTGGACCCTGATGTCGATGCCGTCCCCGGATCCTAGAGCACCACCGCTCGGACGCTTTCTTCATCAGCGCCAGGACTGGGAATGACTCTCTTCAGCACCGGCAGGTGGTTGGCTCAGCGAGTAGCGCGGCACATTGCTTCTTTGACCGTTGGGGCTAACACGTCGGCTAGCAACACCCGTCTACATCTCTAGCATCCATCTCGATTTCGGCAAGAGGCTGCTGCCATCTCATGTTTTATTCCGATACAGTGCTGGGGCCTGACTCGGGCTAATCGCAACTGCACGCACCTGTTTCGTTTGCGTGTTTCCTCCTGCGGTATCCACACGGACGGACGCCAAGCTCAGGTACTGTGCCATCTTGCTGTCCTGCTGTCCTTCCCGCTCCTCGGTCGACATTTCCGGCCGTCCCAGGGTCCCGCCAGCGGAGGGGCCGACGGATGTCGCAATCCTCGCGAGCACATATACACTGGGGCAGAGACTGTGACAGCGTGGGTAGCCATGGCCAACTACCGATCCCGAGTCGATCAATCGCATCAAACCGTCATGTCCGCCCCAGACACCCTCTGCCAAGCCTGCGAGCTCTGCCCGTCTGGCCCCCTCCCCCATTTCATATGTCACGTAGCTCGAGCCCGGCCATCTGAAAGAGTCGTTGTCGGACAAGCAAAACACCTTCTTCATGTGGCCCCCAACAAGATTCACAGCAGCTGCAGCCTGCTGCCCTATTGCTAAAAGCGGCCATGCTGTCGATGCGAGTGCGACTCTGTCTGTCGCCAGCATCATCACGTCTTAGCCCTCTTTCGGCAACCCCCAAGCAGAGCCGCGTCCCGCCCAAAAACCTTCCTCAGGAGCGGTTTCACAGGGCGGAATCTAGCACGTCCACGCACCATGACAACTCTTGGTACATCGCTGACACGAAATTCTGGAGCTTATGTTGCTCAAAGGCACTCCTGTCACACTCGCGTGGAGATCCAGGACCCACAGGATCGGCACAAGCCTTTGTGCTTGCCCATTCAAGGACTGGGGGAGACCCGCCCTCGGACATTCTCGCCATACAACCTTGAATCGCATGCATTCGCCTCAACTCTAATTTCCTGCCTCTCCCTCCTCCTTGTCCTATCAGACATGCCATGAGGCGAGGCAAGCGCGATTTGAGCTCAGCTCGACGGTGGGCTCGGACTTATTCACCCATGCCCTGCTTTCCTGTTGACGTCCAGCCCATCCTTGGCTTGCCATGCCTTGCATGAGCTGCCTGACGGGAGACGCATTCTGACTTTTCGGGGAGAACAACCCCGGCTTCCACTCTTGTGTCCTTGCATCACAGTCGTATCGATTGTTTTAACTGAGCGGCTTCGCTATATTCCAGTACCCATCAGCTGAACCCTGCCAGCCAGTAGTAGATTGATCCCCCAGCGCGTACAAACAATAAAATTTTACCCTTCAACCCGTCACATGAGAAACACTGTGCTGCAGATCCCATACAATACCAAATAGAGGAAACAAGATCTCCGAATCGCTTCATCTCACCAAGATGCGATGAACCCGTGACATGTTCCGGTCATGCGTGGTTGCAGCAGCCGGATACCTAGAGGCTCTTCTTCAGACCGCCCAACGAACCCACGCCTGCCTTGATATCTTGGGCCTGTTTGTTCCCCTTTAGCTCGGCTGAGATGCGAAAGTCAGTAAGGTGGCATTCAAAGATGTGAGTGCTCCGAAGGTGGAAATCTACAACGAGGCTGAAGCAGAAGGGGTTCTTCCGACGTTCCACACATTGGCTCGAGGAAGGAAGAGGAAGCAAGCCATGGGATGAAGTCTCCGCCCGCCCCTCCGCCGCCTTCCACTTGGATTTAGGGAGGAGCGGACTGATGCAGAGAGGAAATTTGTCCATCGAAGTCTTCAGAGGCCAGGTTGTAGGACACGCCGGAGGACGGCGCGCGGAACCGGCACGGAAACACCACGACTAAGCAATACGAGGTTTGCGGGAAATGGAAACTATCTTTGTGCTGAGGATCGCAGGTCTGAGGATATGCGCAAGCAAGACTCACAATCAACAAAGTCCTCCCCCCTCTTCAAGCCCTTAGCCTGCATCTCCTTTGCCTCAGCCTCAGCCTTGGCCTTCATCATGAAGACGCTGCTCGGCGGGAGAAGAAGTCTTGTCAGCCATCATCGCCTTTGACCCTCATCGGGGTGGAGAGGAAGTTGAAAAGTAGAGACACGGGCAGGACTCACCCAAACTTCTCAATTAGAGGGTCCATGTACCCTTGCTCATAGGCGAAGTACGACCCTGCCACGAGAATGAGGACGGCAAGGAGGGAGACGGCGAGCTGGTAGGTTGATTCCATTTTGATTTATGTGTGGGCGTGTGAGTGAGTAATGGATTGATTATTTTAGGAGTATATGGCTCTTGCTAAACTGGGACGACTGGTAAGATGGATATGAACAAAATAGGTTTTCAATTGACATTGGGGTATTTCCTTTATATCCTCCCTACTCACTGTCTAATACATTTCAATCGTCTGAGCCGTGCACTATCCAAGTTCTTTGTCGTGAGCTGCGGGTAGCCTGCGATGACGTCCCCGCGCCCAAGGGTGATGTGCGGCTAGCCGTCACTTTCCAAGTTCCCGGGCGGCGTCAAGCAGGTTTTGTTACCCCATGTGGCGTCGTCGCATCGCCCTGCTCAGGCTAGCATGCAGATGTTTGCTTTAACTAAAACTATACGTTGCACTGTTATATTGAAGAAGAAAAAAGTCTTGCATGCATACATGGACGTGGTAAGTTGTTGACGTGGCAGGAGAAAGTTGAAAGGTTGGCATTGGGCTCAATTTCTATTTGATATCGTCAAATCGTTTCTCGAAGCTACATGAGTTGGTAGTTTCGGTTTGGGTTGCCGTGGGGGCATTTGTCTATATATAAAAATAAACACAACAGCTCAAAAGACTCCCGGTTTTTTGGAAAACCCCCAAACCGCCCCCGAAAAGCAATTCCCAGAACACCAGCACTCGATCGCCGAGCCCCAAGTCTAGTTGCAGATCTATGCAGAGTGAGAGAGAGTGTGTGTATGTGTTTGTTGCAAGGTCGTGGAAGTAATGTAACAAAGGCCTTCCGCCGCAAGACACCACCCTGGGTGCCGAATTACTGTGCCGGGGCCACGACAGCAGGGGACACGGAAGCGGAGCCGGGGTATCTCCCTCCCTGGAGCAGGTACCGCTCGAAGTCGAGGCAGTCCCTGGTGTCCCTGCCCGTCGACGACACGGCGCGGCCGGGCCGCCAGTCGCCGGGCATGTCCTCCCAGTTGTCGTTGGTGACCCCGTGGAAGCTGTACGCCTCGTTGGAGGACCTCTCGACGCCGACGCACTCGAAGTCGCCCTCCAGGTGGATGCGCTCCAGCTTCGGCAGCCGGTTCCGCAGGCCGACGAACAGGCCCCTGAAGGTGCCGCGGCAGAGGTGAATGCCGCCCAGGCCTCCCTCGTGGGCCTTGGCGAGCCCGCGGCCGCCGAGGCGGAGCCGCTCGAGTGTGCCGGCGTGCCGGAGGATGAAGCCGCGCAGGTCCTCCTCGTCGCACGAGATGCCCTCCAGCTTGAGGTCGGTGAGCTTCTCGAAGGTGAAGCCCTCTAGCAGCGTGTCGAACCAGATGATGAACTTGTGCTTGGGCATGCCGTAGGTGTGGAAGGCCAGGGTGAGGTGAGTCACGTTGGTGGCGCAGCGCAGAATGTGGCCCAGGCCCTTGATGGCCTTGAACCTCTGGTTTGGCAGTTTCAACGTGGACGGGTCAACGGTGATATTGAGGGTTGAAAGCTTGGCGAACGAGGTCGAGACGCAGTCGAACCAGTGCTTCCTCTCATCCGGCAGCCTCAGCGTCTCCAGCGGGAAACGGTCGATGGTCAGGGAGGACAGGTTTGTCTCCTTGAGGGCGGATGCGATGAGAGCGAGGTTCTTGGCGGCGTGGTCGCGGTCCATCTTCCTACAGCTGGGCAGTCCCTGGAAGACCTGGTCCAGCACATCAATGTCGAAGGGGCACCTGGTGAAGGTGACATCGAGTTCGCGTAGATTTGGCAGGTTCCGGAAGGCCTCCAGGACCATGTCCGGGCGGCTGTCAAAAGCTGGTACTGTCATGCGGCGCTGCTTTGCCTCCCAGTAAGCCAGCCAAGCGGCTTGGAGACGCTCGTTGCGCTCCTCGGGGTCCTCGAGGTAGTGCTGAAAGAAGGAGGCATGGCGAGCGTTGTACTCGTCGACATCGGCGAAGTTAATGGTCAGAGACTGGATAGCACTCCTCAGGCGCTGGTGGGAGGCGATGGAGTGCAGCCTGGCAACATCGTCCCTCCAGCTAACAACGTTGACCTTTGACTGCATGAGATACTCCAGGCCGATCTCCGCAAAGACGGAGGACATGAGGCGGAGAGCCTTGACGCTGGGCAGGTCACAGCTCTCATAGATGAGGCGCACCAGCTCTACGGGGAGGGACTCCATGATGGAGGAGCAGGTAGCCTGCCTGAGGCGGCTGCAGGTCGCATACGAGGAGGGACGGGAGGCAGGGAGGGAGAGGGATCGATCGAATGGCGAGGCCGAGGGCGACAGGCACGGCACAGGTGAACACAAGATCGGACAGGACAGCAAGCAGATAGGCAGACAGGCAGACAGGCAGGTGGGTGGGTGATAGAATACAATATGTTTTTAAAAATCAGAATCAGGCAGAGGGAGGAGGAGGTGGGCGGGAGAAGAAGTGTTGAAGAAGTCCTGAGACTTTGTACCTACATAAGGGGGGAACGGGGATGGGGTGAGATCAACGAGTCGGGACTGGCAATGCAGGCATTTTGCAGGCATTCCACCAGCAAAAGGCCTCGAGCTGGACAGGGGCGTGGCAGGTACATGGCACAGGATGGCATGGCATGGCATGGGCATGGCATGGGCGTCCGTGGATGGGCCGTGGACCAGACGGCATGGACGGGCCCAGCAGCGCAGGAACCACTCGGGCGGCACAGTCAGTCAGGTCAGTCCGCCCGTACCTAGACTAGGCAGGTAGTGAGAAAATGGGCGAGCGAGTGACATCTCATCAGGTCAGAGCAGGGGAGAAAGAAAAAAAAAGAGACAGACGCAGGCCACCAGTTCGGGCCGGACGGTGAGGGAGACGCGTGCATGGGTTGGGTTCTAGGACGGGCTACAAAGAAAAGCAAGCCATCAAAGACCAACAGGACCAGCGAGAAGCAGCAAGGACCAGCAGAAAAGTGGACAGCAGCAGCAGAGGCGCTCAGTCACCGAAAGTCTGATCTGAAAGTCAAGTCCAAGAAGTCGGTGAGCCTAAGACACTCATGGGCCGCCATTGGCCCCCAGCCCCCGATCCCCGGCTTGTGCGACGACACCAGCACAGCACCAGTCGAAAGGTTGTTTTTTTTACCCTTCATTCGCTCACTTGTCTTTTCTTCTCAGGCAGAAGCAGTTGCATACACACGATGATACTGTTGGTTGATTCTATGTATGTAATGTTATTTCTGCACACTACACTGCACTGCATCACACCACCTTGCACCACATTAGCCGCTGCTGCTGCTGCGACTGCTGCTGTTCCGCCGGAGGGGAGAAAAGGAAAAGAAATGCACAGAGGGTAGATGGGTGGATGAAATGATGAGATGAGATGAGATACATAGTATCACGCATCTACGGTCAGTCATCTGCAGACGAGCAGTCGAACCCGAAACGAGCCCACTGCCCTGGTGGGTAGTGCAGCAGCATGGGTCTCAACACGGTCTCACAGTCTCACCGTCAACCTCTCTGCACGAGAAAAGGCACTTTTTTTTTTCTCTTTCTTTGCTTCTCGCCTTCGCTCCCCCAGCAGTGAGGGTTTCCAGATGCCCGGGGATCTGGTTCCGACACTTGCATTGTGGACCGCGACGACGTTTCGACAGCAAAAGGGGAGTTCCCTGCGGGCCCTGCCCACCACGACCACATGCCGCGTCCATCCCTGCTCCCGCCTTTTCAACCGCCCGCCTGTTAGCCCGTCCGCCCTGCCAGCCCTGTGGTTCCTTAACTCGCGTGCTTCTCCAGAGGTACCCAAGTACCCAAGTATCAAAGTATCCCGGTACCCAGGTACCGAGGCCTGGCCTGGCCCTTCCTCCACACAGCTAATGTGTGTTTATTTCCTTTCCTTCGTCTTCTCTTGTCCATCTTATTGTCCTGCTTCACCACCGTCATCATTATTAACCCACAGTGCTGCAAGGTACAGTGGATGCAGCAAGAGAGAGGCACATGAGGCCCGCCTATACCGCCAGACCTGCCTGGCCTTCTCCAGCGGTCACGCGAGGAGCACTGATCAATTGGTTGACCTGGGGGGGAATGTCTTTGTGATGATGTATGAGCGAGTGCTCACTCACACTTGCACCCCACCACACGCGGGTACACTACCATTGCTGCTACGCGGAAAGAAAGCATCGGTGAGCACCGGCGAGCGTCGGCCGGGAGGCAGGCTGAATGGCTGGCCGAGGCTGCTTGAGCTTTGAGCTTGAGCTGAAGATGCAGCTCGTGTGAATGCATGCTGAGGGCTGGAGCTGAAGCCGAAGCGTCATTGCTGCCGACATATCCACCCTGCCCTCGTCAGGGTTTGCCTTGCGGGACGGCCTTCCGTCTGGTAACCTGCGATGGGCCCTCAGAGTGCCATCAGAGCCTAGCTCCCGTGATTTGCCAGAAGGTTGAGTTGAGAAAGAGGTGAACAAGGTGTTGCTGAGTCCTGAGTCCGGAGTCCTGAGTCCTGAGTCCTGGGCTTGATCACCGGGTTGACAAGTGACTCGCACCCGAAAGTCTGCTTGCGACCAAGGGCCCCACTCCCATGCAGCGTCGCACCCACCGCAAACCACGAGGCCCGTGATAGGGCTGGGGGGGCAGAGGGTGGGAAGGGCTGGGAAGGGGTGGGCTGCCGACAGGGCCTGTCTCGCCCAGTTAGCCTCACCGACTTCTCTCGCCTGTTCGGTCTACAGCCCGCCCTGCAGGCCCGCCTGCTCTTGCACTTGGTCTTCCTTTGCTCTTGGTGGCTGCTGCTGGCCTGCGAGGGAGGTCTGGACTGCAAACTGACAGGACTGTCCAGTTCGCGCTCGCTCGCTCACTCACCCTCTCAACCACTCACTCACTCGCTTGCTCCATCCCCAAGAAGATGACCGCCCCCTCTCCCCACCCAGCCGATTCTGGTCAGCAGACTTGGCGCATCAGCCATAATCCGCTCTGCCGCTTCGAACCTCGACCTGGTGAAACCTCGTGTCACCCACGTTGACGACGAGGGTATAAAAATAGTGGGGATCGCCTCCTCACCACCTCGTCGATTCCATCTCGTACATATGAGGACCAGTCGGTGAGCAAACAACTTGCCCAACCGAGGCCGTACCTCGGGCCATACGGCCAACGCGTACGTGGAGAACCACCGGTGAGCAGCTGTCTCGGCCTTAGAAGGTTTCGATTAGGTATGTATGTATTCACAAATATCTGTAAGCTATCACTGTTCTTTACCCTCTCCCTCCCAGACCCATTGTAACAAACGCCCAAACGCCAGTCCCCTGACCCTGCTATGCCTAATGCCTGGGCCGTTGAAATGCTGTAGCTCACATCGTAAACGCTGTCGATGAACCTCGTATCGTCGCAACCTCTATGCCCGGCTGCTGTGTGAATCGTAATTATAAAGTTGGGCATTGCGTGTGAACGTAATTGTTCAGTGCCCGAAGAGTGTTCCCACAATCATGTCGCACATTTCTGCGACTGTAGGCACCCTTCCGCAGGTCAAGGCCCTCTCGACGCCTCGACTCGTAATGGCAACACCAGTCTCGAGATAGGCCATCTCGGCGCCGCTAAGCTTGCGATGCTCGACCTCCTTCCATTTCTGCTCGGCTTCCTCCTTCGCCTTCTGGAGAAGGCCGTCCGTGTCCTCCTTCTGCCAGAGGTTGCACTTCTTGCACGCGTTGCATGGCCTCCCGTCGCCCTCGGGTCTAAAGTGCTGACAGAAGTGCTGGTAGCCCGCATCCTCCCCTTCCTTGCCGCCAATGTCCTTGCGGCAGACGTAGCACATCTTGTAGCCACACTGGCACGTCATCTTGTTGCACCCGGCCGTCTTGACAAATGAGGCGTTGCACTTGGGGCATACACGCTTCACAGCCATGCTCATCGCTTGCTCGACCTGGGTTCGGAGGGCGATGAGGCTGGACTCGTTACACACGTGGATGTCGATCCATGCCTTTTCGCAGTGGAGGCAGGAGCTGCGCCCGCAGGAGGGCGATTGGCAGGTAAATTTCAAGCCGCGTTGGCGTCGGCTGTGGCGTTTGAGCGAGGCCTTGAGCTCTCCAAGGACTCTTTTCCCGAACGGCAGCTCCAGCGCTCCGAGCAGGGCGATGAAGAGGTAAATCAGCGCCAAGATCACTAGAATAGGTGTCCACGCAATAGCGTGCAACGTCCTCAGGATACCGTTGCTGGGTTCGTCAGCCCCAAAGTGAGGTTGCAGCTCCTTTGACGTAAGATACACGTCGTCCACCTCAGCGTAGTCGCAGAACGGGCACCGTGCCAGAGGGAGCCCTGAAGCCAGGAGGCTGCATTCGGCCAGCCGCTGATCGAACTTGCGCATGATCTCGGCTCCCTTCTTCACTTCGAGCATGGCCCTGTGCATCTGGTCAAATGGTATACAGCTGTCGCATGCGTCGGAGCTGGCGTTCTCGGGCATCGCTGGGCATCTCAGAGTGCCTGTCTGCGGTTCGACGGTTTTGGCCCAACTTTGCCCGAAAACCGCCTCAGTAACGGACAGCTGAACGCATCTGCGACATATCATATGTCCGTTGGAATTACACGTCGTGAAATCCTCAAAGGTACCGGTAGTGAAGCAGCAGCAGCACTCGTGGATCTGGTTCTCAGCCTCAGCCTCATCCAGGTTCATGGCTGCGGCCATCTCCCGGTCCTTCTCCTCCGTCCTCTGCTTTGCAGAGACCCTGAGTGGGTTGACCAGTTCTTCAAATAATTCTCGGTCGAGTTCCGCGTTGCCCGTAGATTTGAGTGAAGGCACGATGGATCCGTGGCCAGACGATTTCCAGATGACCAACGGGTGATTTCCCACCTCTGTCGACGAGATGGTCTTTCTTCTATACAATAGAAGCGACGATAGGGTAAATCTCCACGACTTTTGGGAGAGGTCGACTAAGGTCTTTCTTGCAGGTAGGTACGAGTAGTTGGATTCGGCGAGGACCGCGTTAATTGTCGAGCGCGACAGGCCCTTGAACTCGTGCCACGCCAAGTCTTTGGTGGCAGCTATGTACTCGGGGCTCCTGAATCTCTCTGACTGGGGCACCAGGCTGGTGCTGTCTTCCTGAGGCTGTAGTTGCCTCCAGCGTCCTTTGACCCATCCGACGCGGTTTTTGAGCAGGGCATCTGCGACGACTGCCAGCCTGGATTCCTCGGAGAAGTTGGACAACATTTCTCGGAATACCTCGACCTGAACATCGGGGAAGACTACAGCAAGGGCCTCCAGGCTGCCGTTGAGGTCTCGCAAGTCGGGCGCCTCGTCGTCCTCCAGGCAGACGCCCAGTTGAGAATCGTCGAAGATATATTCAGAGCTTGTGTCACTCTTGACCGAAGAGGCGCTCATCTTTCGTTTGGTGCCCGGCCGCATGGGGCTGGAGTGCAGCAGGGCGGAGAACACCATCTTGACCTGTTCTTGTCGTGGCCCGCGACAGTCATGCTAGCATGTATTTCCGCTGCAGCGCTGGGTGACAGTATGTTCGTGCGTAGTTTCGTTCCATTTGCGTGCAGTTCGTTTGGTATCAGACTGGAGGACTTGGACGAGTCAAAGGACAACCGTCTGTCGCGTCGTGAGTGATTGTGGCAGTTGGGTCAAATGTAGGTAGGTGCTCGACAACGAGAGCTGCCCGAACACGACAGGACAATGGAAAGACGCGACACGGACTGTCGCCTTCGGATCTTTGTAGGTGGCCGTGGCGCTGCAGTGTATGTGTTTGTTGGGGGCATTGATATAGGTGACAACGTCGACCCTGGATATCCACACTCGACCTAAGTAAATTAGACTCCATAAATCGACTTGACTGCTTGGCACGAGGGGTCCTCGGATCCCGACGAATTCGCCCGCGCGGCCAGATTATCGATAAGCGAGGCGCAGCTGCAGGGGGCAGGGGACATGGGCTACGTAAGGCCATTTCCCGGCTCCGTCTTGCCATCAACATGCGGTGCAATCCTGCAAGGCCTAATCCGCACGCATTCAAATGACAATACCGTGACCCTGCGCCTGCGCCCGCGCCCGCGCCCGCGCCTGCCGTCATTCACATGACACTCCAATGGTGTCTCTACAGGTACGACATTCAGTATGCACACTCGCCATCATTCGAGGGCGGGCATGGAAAATGGGACGACTCAGGATCGTGCGCACCGTTCACAACGCCGAACCACGCATCACCTGTCGACTGCCATGATGCCTCCAGCCTAGGGCCTGAACGAGACAAGCGCTCCCAGCTGCCACCTTGCTCTCTGCTCACAGCTGGCTTGTTTATGCCCGCGCGCCGCGGAGTCAAATCCTAGCCATCTGATGACTTAACACACGATGCCTACAGGCGACATCCATCCACCTCGTCCGTACTCTCACAATGTGCTCCTGAGCTGGTAGAACGAGCAATCTCAACTAGGCCCGCACCTCTCCTCTATCGGGGTGCTTCATCCTTGACGCAGATTCTCTCATACTTGGCCTCTAGAGCAGTTCAGTCACGTTGAGAAGTCGACGAGGTAGACGAAACACAGCATAGTAAGGCGCAATTCATAGCTTAGTATCCGTACAATCTATAATGCGAGAAGGATCCTTTGAAGATACTAGCTAGACAAGAAGGCAGAAGCTTCGCATTGTACAGGAAACGAAGAAAGTAAAGAGACGCTGCATACACACAAAATTCGTCGTTAGCTAGTAGCACCCGCCGCCCGTCATGTCACCTTCGAGGTATTACGCTGATATCTCGAATTTTACAACTTGCCCTTCGCATCTGGAGCAAGCTCAACCGCAGCACCGCCGATGGCCAGCTTTCCGGTCTCCTTGACCTTGGTTTGGAAGATGACCTTGTTACCGTCCTTCCACATCTCGGTCACCAGCGTCTCGCCCGGCAGCACCGTGCCGGCGAAGCGAACCTTGATGTTCTTGTACGGGCCATATCTACGAGTTCAATTACATCAGAAAAAGCTCCCACCAAGGGCATAAAATTGTGTGGACGTGAACTTACTGCTCGTAAACAGCCTTGCCAGCGACGCCCATGAAGCAGAGGCCGTGCAGGATAGGAACCTTGAAGCCGCCCATCTTGGCGAAGGCGGGATCGACATGGAGGGGGCTATTTCAATAGTCATCAGTATTAATGCGCCCAAGTCTCATCTAGCATCAAAACACTTACTTATAGTCGCCACTCAGCCGATAGACACAAGCCTGCTCCTCTGTCGTCTTAGACTCGACGACGACATCCGGCGCCCGTCCGGGAGGCTTGTTCGCCGCCGTGCTGGCGCCCCTGTCAGTGGGCTTCTTCTGCCCGCCGAAGCCACCAGAGCCCCTGAGGAACACCGTCATCTCGTTGTAGAACAGTTCCTCCTTGGTCTCCGCGTTGACCGTCGTCACGCCGTGCCTGACGATGGCCGCGTTGCCCTTGTCGACAACCTCGATCAGCTTGGCGTAGCTGAGCAGTCGACCCGACGTGGGGATTGGGTACTTCCGGATCTCGAGGTACTGCTCGCCGTGGAGGAGCATCATGGGGCTGAAGTTAGGGACGAGGCTGTCCAGACTGAAGGGCGTCTCGGCGTCGAAGGGTGGGATGACGCCGTAGGTCGGGAGGACTTGGAAGTCCTCGGCTCCCTCGAAAACGTAGCGGAGGTCATTCCTCTTTGCGCCAACGCCGAGGTTGTAGAGCATCACATCACGCTCGCTAAAACTGAATTCGGTGCCCGGGGACTCGGCTTTCAGTGCAGTTTGAATCGCGTCCAGGTACTCGTTTCCGCCCGAGGGCTCATCACTCTGGAGATATGTCAGAATGTCTACCAGCTTGTATTGTTTACACTATGCTATCCAAAACAGAGTACATCGATGGAGCGCAGGTGAACTGGAAGAGGCTCATACCTTAGCACCTCCTCCTGCCTTGTTCCCAGCATTCGCCATGATCTTCTCCAAGCTGGCCTGGGTCTTGTCGGGGTGGTCGGCCCGGCTGTCAAAGGTGACAACATCCTTCCAGTTCTTCAGGACCTCTTCCGGAGTGAGTGGCACATTTGTAGGGAAGCCGTGACCGTTGGTTCGCTGCCACCTGGTCGCGCCGACCCATCCGCTACCCACTTCGTACAAACCTCCGGTTGGGTTCTTGGGGACCTTGTCACTGGACAGAGCGACAACCACCGGCGCAATGTATTCCGGCTTGAAAGCCTGCACCAGCTCTTCAGGCAGAATGGTCTTGGTCATCGCTGTGCCAGCGTTGGGAGCGATGGTGTTGACATAAATGTTGTACTTGGCACCTTCAAGTGCAAGAGCGCGTGAGAAACCGAGAATTGCACATTTCTAAAATGTTTATTAGTTTGCAAAATCACAGCCGCACAGAGCTGACGGAAACTTACTGCTGCGGAGTAGTTGGCTTGTCCGAAGTTGCCGTAGATACCACTCGTGGAAGTAGTGTTGATAATACGACCGTACTTTTGCTTGAGCATGTATGGCCATGCAGCCTTGGTGACCTTGTAAGTTCCGCGAGCATGAACGTTCATCACAGGGTCCCAGAGGCTGTCGTCCATGTTGTGGAATGACTTGTCCCGCAGGATGCCTGCATTGTTGATGACAATGTCAATGCGGCCAAAGGCATCGATAGCAGCCTTCACGACAGCATCGCCATCTTCAGCTGAGGCCTTGACGCCTGCAGCCTTGCCACCCAGCTTCTTGATCTCGTTGACCACATCATCTGGGTTGACGAGGTCGTTGACGACAACGGCAGCTCCAAGCTTCGCAAAAGCCAGTGAATAAGCGCGACCAATGCTGATACATTATTAGCTCCATGCCGGACACGTCGCAAGAAGTCTACTCACCCAGCGCCTCCTCCGGTCACCAGTGCGACACGTCCGGAGAAGTCAAGCTTCTCTCCTGCCTCGTTGGGGCCAAGCTTCTGAGACTCTTCCAGCAAGCTCACGAAGTCGTTGGGCCCGGTTGGGTATTGCGGCTTGGAGAAGTCGATAACCTGGTCCCACTTCTTCAAAACGGCCCCAGGGGTGTAGCTGTCATCACACTTGAGGAGCTGGCCGCTAGAGCGCTCCCACCTGAGCTTGGCCATGTGGCCACCGCCGACCTCGAAGATTCCGCCGGTCTCGGTCGTGTTGTCCTTATGGACCAAAACAGCAACCAGAGGCACAACCCACTCGGGCTTCATGAGCTCAAGGATATCTGGGGGCATGATGGTCTCGGTCATTCGGCTAGCTGCGATGGGGGCGATCACATTGCACAAGATGTTGTACTTGATGCCCTCCTTGGCCAGCGTCTCGGTGAAGCCAACCTGAGCCAGTTTGGCAGCTGCAGAAAGTCAGTCAAGAGGATTCATCCTATGGTGCGGAAGACTTTCTCACCTGAGTAGTTTGTCTGGCCAAAATTGCCAAACAAGCCAGCAGCTGACGCCGTGTTGATGACACGACCGTATTTCTGTTTCCTAAAATGTGGCCATGCTGCCCTAGCACATTTGTAGGCGCCCTTGACGTGGACCTTGAAAATGAGGTCCCAATCTTGGTCCTTGATATTCTTGAAGCTGACGTCTCGCAGGATACCGGCGTTGTTTATCAGAATATCGATACGACCAAAGCTCTTGATCGCGGTGTCGATAATCTTGTCACCGTCTTCTACGGAGTCATAGTTTGCGACGGCCTTGCCGCCGGCCTTCTTTATTTCATCGACGACTACATCGGCGGCCTGGTAGGAAGAAAAGGTCAGCTAAGGGAAAAGAAAGAACTCGCCGTGCAAGTCCTAGCGATTACTGCAGGGACGAATGTGACTCTTGGCAGGTTCTCACCTTTGAGGAATTGCCTTCGCCCTTGAAAGATCCGCCCAGGTCGTTCACGACGACGCTGGCGCCTCGGGAGCCGAAGAATGTGGCATATGCCTTTCCCAAACCACCTCCAGCGCCTGTGACGACCACAACCTGGCCGTCATACCTTAATTGGCCCGCCATATTGGATTGACACTGGTTGCTTGAGCTTGTGGAAGAGTCGTAAGGGGCGAGAATCGATCAGTAAGTAGCGGCAATAAGGGAGATGGGGCAGAGAGAAAGTAGAAGTCTGAAGAGACACGCACGAGTTGAGGACGTCAAGGAATCCAGCAATCTTGTGGTATGAGAGTCGGCAAGCCGTTGCAATGAGCCTCGGCTCTGAACCCTGTGCACACGGCTCCAGAAAGGGAATCCGATTTACCGAGGGGCCCGTGGGGAAAAGCCGGCCCAAGCCGTTCTGGGCGATGGTCCGTCTTCCTCATGACACCCTTTTCACATGCTTTAATCGCCAGCTGCTTACTACCAGAATTCAATCACGCACTGTACTTACTCACTGTAGCGTCTCTGGGGAAATGAGGTCATCCTGGCTAGTCTTGACATTTTGGATGGCTACAACGCATGTGGCATCCTACCCCAAGATTCTGTCTAGCGAGTCGTGATGGCGGCTACGGCTTGGTTAGGAGAAGTCAACTTGGATGAAGAATGAAGCCTCAATTTCTTGTACGACCTTGACCCCGAATTATGACGGACGGGCGGCACATAGCTGTGCCAATTCAATCACCTTCCGGTGCCGGAAGGAGACAAGCGAGGCTCTCAAGAGCTGGAAACTGCGACTAATGTGGAGACCTGTCGTCTGCAGTCAACATCACCAAGTGCCGGGTATTTTACGGTGTTTCGAAAGGCCGGAATATCAATATATGATCCACTCACTCGAACGAACCAAATAATTGCCAATTTGCCCGCGCGTTGAATTATCATAGACTCCATCAACCCTCTGAAGTCCTCAGGCACCATGGCGAGTACTCCAGACGTGCCCCTGCAGTCGCGAATTATCGACGACAAGTCTCCAAAGTGTATCCCCTTCAGTATGTGCCACTCTCCTTTCTCGGGAGATACTTCTACATATAAAGGCAAGTGACTGACTGGTTGATAGTCCTCGAGCGCCTCAAAGCCCACCAGGCGCAACAATCTGCCGGCGGCAATGAGAGCAGGCCGTTCGTGATAGGGCTGAACGGGGTCCAGGGCGTGGGCAAGACCACCCTCGTCAAGGCCCTCGCCGAGACCCTCCAGCAGCGGGAGATGCTGCAGACCATCGTCGTCAGCATAGACGACTTCTACCTGCGCCACCAGGACCAGCTGGACCTCGCCGCCGCCCACCCGGACAACGCCCTGGTGCAGTGCAGGGGCGAGCCAGGCACGCACGACACCGAGCTCATGCGGGACGTCTTCACCTCGCTGGTCAAAGCCCAGCCCACCCACATCCCACAGTACGACAAGTCTGCTTTCAACGGGCTGGGAGACCGCTCGCCTAAGTCAGCCTGGATCCCAGTCAACCAGCCCGGCCAGCCCACCGTGCAGGTCGTGCTGCTCGAGGGATGGTGTGTCGGGTTCAGGAGTATCGCCCACGATGTCATCGAGGCCAAGTGGAGAGCACCTAGTCGGACGCTGCACAGCCACAAGCTCGAGGACCTGTTCTTTGTCAACGATCAGCTGAAGGGGTACGACATTGTGACTGACCTGTTCGATGCGTTCATTCATATCGATGCCGAGAACACGGAGTATGTCTATGACTGGAGACTGCAACAGGAACGGCAACTGAGGCAGGAGAAGGGGTCTGGCATGACGGATGAGCAGGTGGTCAAGTTCGTGGACGCCTATTATCCGGCATATGAGCTGTTTTCGGACGCGGTCAGGAAAGGAATATTTGTGGACCGCAAGGGCTGTCAGTTGCAGCTGACCGTAGGTAAGGACAGGAGTGTCATCGACAAGTTGGTCATCTAGTGCTCATGTGAGAACCTCAATGGAACTTCCTCGAAAACTTGTTTCCGCATCGGCTTATTCCAGGGATCTGGCCAGTGGATCATGGGATGCCTTGGTTCTACTTCAAAGATCGCGAGGAGAGCGCGAACGATTTTCGATTTTCTCACTGTGTCTTCGAAGTCTGATGCAGACACCTTTCCACATATACTTAGTCAACCAGCAAACAAAATGGTATCATTGGTGCTATCAGCATTATTCTTTTTGGCTTTAGTTCATCTGGTATCGCCTCTGCATGTTGTGGCTAAGCTCAAAGCAATCTGCGGTGCCCTCTGAGATTGCTCTCGCTGTACCGTGTCATACGCACTCAACCCTTCACTGTTTCAACCAAGCCCAGACTGAAGAGAAATCCGCCACGCCCAGATATTCTTGAGCCACCAAGAGGCAAAGGTGCATGGGGCAGAAGAGTACGCTGCCCTCTTCCCTAATCACTGGACTCGCTGCCCTTCAACATCGCACTGCTGTCATGCTTCAGCTTGGACAGCTTGCGGTCTATGTTCTCTTTCTTGCGGCGTACTTCTTCCTCGCGCTCTGAAATCTGAGTCTCGTACTGCTCAACGATCTTGCGCTTCGCCTGACGCGCCTCTTTCATCTTCGTGACAATGTTGCTGAATCGTTCCAGAAACCAGTCGCCGCTGTCATCCCACTCGCGCACGGCCATCTGGGTGAAGAGCTGACCCTGAGATTCCTCGTCCTTGCTTCTGTAGAACTCGAGTCGGTCGTTGAGGTTGTTAGCCGGAGGTTTCGCTGGTGACGTTATTACTTGTCTGGTGGGATCATGATCGAAGGGTTCGTTCTGTAAATCCGCAAAGTTCATTTTCCGCAAAACTTCCTCGTCATAATCGATGCCACGAAGTCGCTTTTTGGCCGGGGAAATCCGTTGACCGAGAAGGGCCTCACGGATGGGACTTCCTAGCAAGGCGTCATCTTGTATTGTGACCGTTTTCTGAGGTTTCTGCGCCACCACAGGCTTTGGTGGGTTGAGTACCACTGTCGCATCATCGGGTACAACGCGTTGCCGGGTTGCCTTTGGGGTGTGCTGCTGGTCCTGATCTGGGAAATCATCTCCTTGGGAATGGATGTCACTATCATCTGCATCCCAGTCTAGAGCAGGGTTTCCGATAGTCTGGAATCCGGTTGGGCGCCGGGCACCGGGAGCGAACTCTTTGGCAGGCGGGAAGTATACGTCAGGTTGGATGGCATCACGAGCGTTGTTGTACTTTTCGGGAGAAATTCGCCTCGACGTTTCCTTAGGAAGCGAAGACCGTTCGAAGCGAGGAGGTCTCTTAAGCTCCTCAGTTCCACGAACGGGAAAGGCTGAGTGCAAGAACGAAGGCTCTCTCTGAGGCCGGGGACTCGACTCGTCTGACGTGCTGCCAAAAGGGTTTCTTCGAAATCGAGGTGCGTCTGCTCTGGGGTTTGTCGGTGCATGGGTTATCATGCTGGTGCTAAATCCCTTTCCTTGAACTGAAGGAACCACCAATTGACCATTCTGGTACTCAAAAATCGGGGCACTCTCAGCACTCCGGTGGGCGTTCCGACCTCGTCGCGGAGGTTGACGGTTGTCGACGACATCAGAGCTAGCATCGTCTTCATGATCGCCATGATGATTAGGGTACTGCGATGATGCTGGCCGGACGAGCTCGCTTTCGGAGAATAAGGAGTTGATGTTGGATTGTTCATCCCATTGCTCTCGCAGCCCGCCTTCCTCATGCAGCTCCTCCGGCACCGATTCCCAGCCGGGCATTGCCCCTCCACCGTCATTTCTTTGCCGCTCGATCAGATCATCGGCTTGGGGTGGACCAAGAGAAAGCTGCACACTCTCTCCCAGGCCCGATGGCTTGGAAACCTGCATTGGGTTGAGGGCGTCGGCGGCGGCTTGACGATCCAGACGGGAGATCAGGGGCGAGGCGGCAGGGCCAGCCGTCTGAGTGACTGCCTGGAGGGGGGGACTACCCGGCGCATGAGGATTGACTGCTATGGCACCCTCATGCTTCTGGATGAAGTTCTGCAGCTTCCTCCTCGCCCCGGGCACCATCATCATGAATGATGCGCGATGTGGTTGAAGGAATAATAAGCCAGGCGCCGGGCGTGGCTGGACAAGACCACACCAAGGACTTGAAGGAGATCTTATGGCAGTGAAACACAGCGTTTGTGGTTCCAGAGGCTGGTCGTTCCGGCTGCCACTGGACTTCAGTGGTGGAGACAGTTAATTCCTTGAGGTGCAAGGATGGAATAAGTGATAGTGTCAGTAGTCGTCCAGCTTCAACGCGTGTTTGCAATGCAGCGCATGGTACAGGGAGCCTTGATGAGGCTCGACTGCTCGAGTGCCGGTTCAGGGTCCGAGGAACATGCAAACAGAAACTTGAAAGAATTGGCTCGTTTTCCAGGCATCAGTTGAGATCCCAACTAGGTGATTATCATGGGAGGCACGTCGTGGACGCGCCGCATCGTGCCTTCCCAAAAAGCCAGGGACCATCAGCGTTGCCAGCCTCAGTGAGGTGGATCCCTGCAGGTGCAGGTGCAGGTGCATGGGCCATGCACAAACACAACGGCTCACGGGCCACGGCCCACCCCTGAAATGGGACTACGCCGTCTGCTTATTACCCACTGTTGGGTACTGTAAATGAAAAAGCGCCCAGGGTCAGACTAACAAACTTGGATGGGGGGCGGGGGCGGCTGGGACTTGATGTATGTAATCTCGACATAGGAAGACACCATTTAACTCAAGCACGGATGCTCGAGAGGACCAAATAGTATGTTATTGATCTGATCACTTTTTGTTGTACAGTAGGTGGAGATAATATCTAGACTACCTAGGCCTAGGTACTGTACAGTAGGTGCCGGGGGAACTAAAAGGGCCTGGACCAACTCGAGCTTAAATGGGACCGATCTCGGCAGCGGCAGCATTATCAATCATCATGCTGGACTGGATTGAAAATCGCCGCTGGAGTATGTACTTAGAGGGCCTAAACGCTCCGCAACGTCTCCAAGATCCACCACCCGAGCAACCGCCGTCATACTCAACACCATGGCGCCCTCTCTAGAAGAGCCAGAAGCCGTCCAAGACGTCCTCAAGAATCATGCCAAAACGAAGCCCTCATTAGTCGCCCCCGAGCCAGAACACTGTCCGGGACCCGAGTCCGACGCAGCTGGCACCGCAGACTCATGCGCCGGTTGCCCGAACCAGAAGATATGCGCCTCCGCGCCAAAGGGCCCCGACCCAGACATACCCTTGATATCACAACGCCTGGCGGGAGTGAAGCACCGGGTGCTGGTCCTGAGTGGCAAGGGAGGTGTTGGAAGTACGTCGCGTCCCCGCCCAGCCTGTTCACTCAGCCGAACGGCACATGCTGACTTGAAGCGTTCCAGAATCGACGTTCACAAGTTTACTCGCACACGCATTCGCGCTGAACCCCGACAGCACCATTGGAATCATGGATACAGACATCTGCGGGCCATCCATACCCAAGATGATGGGTGCCGAGAACGAGACAATACACATCAGCAACTCGGGCTGGTCGCCCGTGTGGGTGATGGACAACCTCGGGGTCATGAGCATACAATTCATGCTGCCAAACAAGGACGACGCCATAATATGGCGCGGGCCCAAGAAGAACGGCCTGATCAAGCAGTTCCTGAAGGACGTTGACTGGGGCGAGCTCGATCTGCTACTGGTCGACACGCCCCCCGGCACGAGCGACGAGCACCTGAGCGTAAACTCCTACCTGAAGGAAAGCGGCATCGACGGCGCAATCATCGTCACGACTCCGAACGAGGTATCACTGCTAGATGTGCGGAAAGAGATTGACTTTTGTCAGAAGGCGGGCATTAAGATACTGGGCTTGGTCGACAACATGGCAGGCTTCGTCTGCCCGAAGTGCACAAAGGAGAGCCAGGTGTTCGAGGCGACGTCGGGGGGTGGCAAGGCATTGTCAGAAGAGATCGGCATTACATATCTCGGCGCCGTGCCCTTGGACCCTCGCATTGGTATGGCTGGCGACTACGGAGAGAGCTACTTCGACTCCTTTCCCGACAGTCCAGCCTGCAAGGCGATCCAGAAGGTGGTGAGAGGCGTGGCCTCCCAGATAGCGATAGACACTGAGAGCCTCTTTCCCGAGGACTAGACGTCGATCAAGAAACAACCGCGTGATACCCCGATATTATGCGACATGCATATGTTTTGTCTGCATCGCGACAAGGTTTCCTGACGAGCTCGTTGGCAACCATCCTGCGTGGTGCCGTCCGTTTCTTCCAGCATAACAGGGTCCTAGCGGCTTTCCCTTCTTTTCATATTCGGGATTGCCTGTCAAACAGCCTTGTGATTTAGGCGGCACCAAGCTTTTCAGGGATGTCCTCCAAATCGTCAACAGAGGCGATATCTATCACCTTGTTGACCTCGGCCGTGTTCCGAAACAGCTCCTTGGCGCCAGCGTAGAGCATGCGAAGCTCGCTGTTGCAGGTGACGGGGAGGTAGAACAGCAGCACGTAGGGGACCGATTGCCGTCCAGAGGGCTTGCGCGGATAGGTAAGTTATTCAGATCCTATTCACCCGCACGGGCATCACAAATGGGGGTTCGTACCAAGGTCATTGGGTAGCTCAGAAGCACAAATCTGGGCGAGTGGTCCGGGAGGTCGTCGCCAATCTCCTCGAGGCTCTTGTAAACAGTCTTTTCATCGTCTTGCTTGATCTCCTTGGTCGCTTTATCGATCATGTCTGCGCCGGGAAGCCATGTCAGCTTCCACCTTTTCCTAGCACCGCCAGCTGCAGATGGAGAGGCGCACAGCGACGGCGTTTTATAGAGACGTACATACAAATGACAGCTTGTGCATCGTTCGACCTCGAAGTCCCAAGACGGAACTTGCGCAGGTGGTCTTTGGTGTCCTGGGAGAAGGTGTACAACCTTGCTTCGGAGCTCTGCGCAGCGTTGGAACTAGTCAGTCAGGGCTCAGTCATGGAGGTGTGGTCTCGCGGGTCGAAAAACTCCATACCATGGTGTCTGGTGTGTGTGTGTGTGCTGCAATAATAAGAGCCCTTGTTAATGTGCAAAAGTCGATATCGATACCAAATTCGGGGTGCTGTATTGTAGGCTCTGCCTGCGATGGTCTGAGGTCGAACAGCGAGCTTGGTTCCAGGCGTCGGGAGCCACCAGAGCAAGGTCAGCCCCGCTACCGCTGCCCCGCCCCCGTCGGAAGCCAGGGACAAGCCGAGAGCGGTGCCGGTGTTCGGGGCCCACCGCATTGAACTCTCACAGAGTCTCTATGACGGAATGACCTCAGCAAATGCCTCCTTGCAACGCGTCGACGCAGACTGTGATTGGGGTATTTCGGTGAGCCATTGCCCTCTCGGAGAACAAGTCCTGAATACAGCAGGTACTTTGATTTCAGTCTGGATCAACAGTCTTCTTCATGTTCTCCCGCGTCTCCCAGCTTGCGCGTCACCTCTCTAGACCAGCCGCTCAGTTCGCTTACGCCGGTACAACTCCCGTCGTATCGGCCGGAGTACGTCCACAGATAATCATGTCTACCGCGGAACAGAACTTTGCGCGGACGATTCACACCGCAGCATGCCTGATCATTGGTGATGAGGTGCTTGGGGGCAAGGCACGTTAATCCTGAACGACCCATCGGCAGTATCTGGGCCCTATAGCTGACGCGTGATGGTTGTTATCTACACAGACCAAAGATGTGAGTCGTGTACATATAGTATCCTTTGAGAAACCTGCTAAGTATTGGAAATCAAGAGTAACTCGAACTACATGGCAAACTTTTGTTTCTCATTGGGCATTGTAAGTGTTGTGTGTGGCTTCTCGCGCTGTGGACTCTGCTGAGTGTTGCAACGCAGCAACTCAAGCGGGTTGAAGTCATAGAGGACGATGAGTCAGAAATCATCGAGGCCGTCCGCAGGATGAGTGACAAATATGACTTTGTCGTTACCAGGTGAGGGGAGAATCCGAGCAAAGAAGTGTTTGGCCGTCCCAATGCCTAGAAGCCGAAGACGGAATATGCTGCTGACAAGTCGACTCGAAAGTGGTGGCATTGGCCCGACGTGAGCATTCCTGCCGAGTGACTCCTTATTGGAGCCCCAGCTTGCTAATATCGGTATAGGCATGATGATATCACCTATCAGTCCATAGCCAAAGCCTTCGGGCTCAAGGTCAAGCTGTACGAGGAGGCATACCAACGGATGAAGAAGCTGTCTCGGCCCCACTCATCCCAACCAGCCTTCAACTGGGACGAAGACAGTCCTGCCAAGAAGGCGAAGCTCAGGATGGTCGAGCTTCCGACGGAGGACTCTGTTCCCCTCGAGAAGCAGTTCATCTTTCCACGGGAAGACCTGTGGGTTCCGGTTGCAGTAGTGAACGGAAACATTCATATTCTTCCAGGTGTCCCTCGTCTGTGTAAGTCTCTATACTGCCTGAATGTGTAGCCGGCCTGCCACTGATCACAAGTCCGTCTTAATCTAGTTGAGGGACTGTTGGATGGCTTGAAACCGTATATCCTACCGCGCCTTGTTGATCCCGAGGGGAAAGGCATACACAGGGTCCTTATATCCACGCCAATGGCCGAGAGTGCCGTGGCTACTTACTTAACCGAGTTGGCCACCAAGGTTGAACCGCAAGGCGTAAAGGTGGGGTCTTATCCTCGATGGGAGAAGAAGAGGAACACGGTGACTTTGGTTGGCAAAGACGAGGCGTTCCTGGACAGTATCAAGGATGAGGTGGCTCGAAATGTCAATGGCCGGGTTGTACAGGTTGAAGGCGAGGACGACGATTTGCCTAGCGACAGCTGAGTAGAGACCGGGATCATCAGTAGAGGCAGCGATTAGAGACACCGTTCATGGTACAATCAACGCATCTCCAAAGCATTCAAACTGGTTAGAATTGTGCGATCTGTCCGGCAGATCCATCGACGAGCCGTTGAAACAGTCTGGCTGCGAGCGCACCATCACATACGATAGGATCCACCTGATGTCCGAACGATGGGATCCGAGACGGAGTGACAATGTGCCGGGACGGGTCAGCATTTGGTGCTTTAGCTGGATGCCGGGATGATGCTCTCGGGGCTCTGTGAACCACAAGGCCGTCTCTGTCCCGTACCTGCCGCCATCTGAGTAGTCAAAGCTTCAAGCCAGACTCCCAAGCGTCGCAACGAATATCAGATATATTTTGAAGAGAAACCGTTGATGTCCATCGGAGGTCCCAGCCCCGGATACTCAAGCTTGGCATGGTGTCTCTCGACAAGCTCTTGCTTGGACCAGATGTCAGAATGGGCATGGACGCAAATTTGGTGTCCGGCCCAAGAGCTTGGTCGCCAGAGCTCATTACAGTTTATGTTGAACCCCTGCTGTGGATCAAACACCCTAGCACAACAAGCTTGAGGTATCCGTTGCTGAGACTTCCCGTTAGTGTACCCACTTTCTTCTAGAAAATTTGTCGATGCTGTGGGCAAGATTGTCGAAAGCCCCCGAATTTTCCCAAATGGTCAGGGCCACCGGAGACGAGGCAGGTCGCGGTAAAGCGTCGGTCTGTCGGAAGATTTCCGATTCGAGTAGGGACAGAACCTCCGTAGGAGCAGAACGAATAGCCTCGACCAAAGGGTCACGGATTTCGGTGAGCGTTTTCAATCAACAATCGGCCCAGATCGAGCATCGTACGGTTCCAACAGATCGGAAAGGCGCTCATACGTACCCGAGCCTATCAAGGGAGACACTAGATCAATCCTCATGGTGTGAGCAGCGTTGGGCAGGCTGCCCCGAGAGGTGATACCAGTCTGACCAGCTATGGATGCCATGCGTGCCCGTCGCTAAACCGGTCTCGAGTCGTGGCCCGAGAAGGCACATGCATATACCCAGCTGGGGATTTTCCCACAAGCAGCCGCGCTCCGGCCCACGGGTGATTAGGAGAGGCCATCAAAAGATTGGTGTTGGCGGCCCAAGTCCAAGACGCCCGCATTGGGTTGTGTGATGAACCTGTGCTCCGATGCCACCCTCGTCAAGCTAGGGGAGCTCCTTTCCTTCCGAAGTCCTGATTCTCTGGCTCGTTATCGCCGTGCACGCCGTTGAAAACCACACCCCTGACGGGAAGCTTGGGAAGGGACACCCAAGCAACCGTGATATCAAACCAAACCTGAGGCGACTAAAGATGAAGCTCCAGGCACATAGCCGGGTTGCTTGGTCCCCAATCGTGAGAGCACCCTGGCCTGGTCGGGTGCCCGGTGTGGTTGTCGAATTATAGACTAAGCCGTTTGGTCTCATCTCAGTAAGATTGGGCGGGGTGGGGCACACTCTCCTCTCCCCTGACTCCTCTTCCTGTGCTTGTATACATAGTATGTCCAGCACAGTAGGAGTACCCATCTTTGGGAGGGGACACAAGCTAAATAGACACGTAGCGACCGACAGCTCTGTCCGCTAGCGTCCCGGGAGCGGTGTCCAGGGTTCAGGAAGCCTGGCTTTATTCTTTTCCGAGTGAGGTCTCCGGGAAGGCTGATGACATAGTGCTCTGCAGGTGAGGAGTACCGCGCCAGGTTCGCGGATTGGTCCGGCGCACGAGTGTAACTTGTAGTGTCAATCATGGTTTTGTTCTGCCTCTCTATTTCCAGCTCTTGCATGCCGGAAACTGCAACTAGCCATGCAGAAGCAAGACACTATCCTTGACGATGGGCAGGCCGGCCACGTGGATGGGCTGGGCGGTGGATCTCAGACAGCCCCCGAAGCCTGCCTATGATGAGGGAGGAAAGGATGGTGGTGTTCCGAGTTGGAGGTGGTTGCCCAAGCCAGCATCGATCTCGAGGGCTTTGGCACTCTAAACTTTGCTGAACTTCACGGGCCAGCATGGTCCATACTTGGAGGTCCGAGTCTGTTTCGATTCGGCATTGCCAGCCGACGGCCGAGCGCAGGGCAGGCCAGGGCAGGCCAGGGCAGGCCAGGGCAATCCGACCGTTGTGGACTCGGGCGACATTGAACCCCAGGAAGTTTTTCTGGTGCTGGGCGACAGCTCCTCATCACGATTGGCGGCGGTGAAATTGGCCTGTGTCCGCTCTCATTTCCATATCACGCAACCTGAGCAGCCCGGCGGCTGAACAAGGCACCAGCCTGATAAGGGGCTGGGCTGGGCTGGCTATTTATTGGGAGCTGCACGAGCGCGGCGATCAGAGGGAGAAAGGCTGGTTGCACAACAAGATATGTGTGCATCACAATGGGATCAGTTTCAACAGACAGGATGTTTTCTGCATGATCACCCAGCCAAACCAAGGTAGACTTTGTACATAATCAGTCCTATGTCCGCCCCTGGCTGCGCGGGCCCTAGATTTCGCGGCCGTCATCATGACGAATTGCAGAAGAAGCCCAGGAGCTTGACAGCAATGCGGCCTCGACATGCGTTGGGTTGAACTGCTGGAGCGGTGGCACGGATGCAAACCTACACCTTGGTTCCGACACCACCGTCTCCGTCCTGCAAGACATTGGTGTTGTACCGCGGTGACGAGAGCCTACAGAGCGCGCTTTGATACGCTGCTGATGTTTGTGGCCTTGCTCCGAGCGCTGTCATTGTCTCTGCTATTGTCATTGCAATTGCCACTGCTACTGCCAATGTCACCGTCTGCCAGGCGGGCGGGCGGGCCGGGAGTTTGAACAGAGGCAAAGCCATTCGCATCGCGGCTCTTGTGTCTTCTCCACTGTACAGGCTATGGCGCTCTGGACACCTCTCGGGACGAGGTGCAACAGCCGTGACACGGGCTGTGTTGGTGATACTCCAGGAGCTGTCGTCTCCCGCGTGGAGCCTATTTTTATTGCGGCGAGACCTGATGGTGTAGCTGTGCTTGCTCGCACAACCTCGCTCAACATGCACATGAAGATGCTGGGTGTGCGGATTTGGCTAGACCAGAGGGGTCCGGCAGCAACTGTCGTCAGATCTTGCCAGCCAGCCAGCCAGCCAGCCAGCCAGCCCAGTTACCAAGGCAGCTACCGAGGTATGTGAGGCAGACTAGCATCGAACTGCAACCCTGGAGGGTCGCAGCGCCGTCCTCAGCTTGCTTTTCAGCCTGGTAAAGATCGAGAATATTCCTTCCGACTGCACGACTGCAGAAATAGCCACACAGGCAGACCTTTACGCCAAGGGGCCGTGTTGGTGGGATGAGGTGAGCCCCCTGTGAGGCCCTGTGAGGCTCAAGAAGCCAACTGTACGATCCTTTTGAAGTCCAAGGGGGTCACATCCAGTGCGCAGGAAGGCGATCCCGCCCGGCATGCGATGTGATATTCTTGTCTTGTCCTCTGCCACCCGCCTTTCGGGGGCTTGGGCTTCCTCAGCGCCGAGAAGCTCACCATGACCACGGAGTACTTGTGATGCGAGCCGGAGGGGTGTGAACAACGGGCAAATACTAACTCAGTCTGTAGTAGGGGAGTTGAAGGTCACAGTTTCCAGTGGGCAGAGAAAGAGAGGCTCGAGCTGGCGCTGTACCGTTCCTAGCTGTACTCCGTGCAGCTATAGCAAGCCCGTCTCTATTGCCCCCAGTCGGACTGTGCTCCTTGCTTCGTGAGCATGCCTCCGAATGACGAGCTGGTCCACCATCTACCGTCATATGCTACCTATATCAGGGACCGATGAGCACTTGGCACTGCGCACATCGCGGTGCACCCCATGGCTACCGGTTCGGGCGAGCGTGACTGAGGCCTAATCAAAGTACGGAGTATTCAATTTGGGACTCCATCATACCGACAGGCCGATCCGCACTGTGTACCTGGCTGCCTTCCAGTGGCCCCAACTCCTGGAAGCCAATCACAGCTCCCGTCCCTGCAGCTCTGGTAGCATTCTCGGCTCATCTTTGTGAGAAGTACCCCAGCGTGCCCAGGAGGGTCCCCCAGGTGTGGGTACCCAGGGTACATGCTCCAACGTCCTGAGCGCCCCATGTGGTGGACAAAGCGTTCCTAGCGCTAGCGAGCAGCCAGCCAGACAGACAGGCAGGACAGACAGGCAGGACAGGCCAGACGGCAAAGCAGCCCAGCCCTGGGAGGACGGGGTGTGGGAGCTGCTCTTGCTCTTGCTCTTGCTCTTGCTGGCGCTGCCGCTGCCGCCGCCTGCAACTGGAACCTGGAACCTGCAATCACTTCCGTTTCCATTTCCCAGGGCGCCCACCGCTGCACCCACACACCACACCTCAATCTGGCGTACCCACGCCATCCATTTTAATTCTTTCTCCTGCCTACTCCTACTCCTTGCCAACCTTCCCGCGCATCAGAACTGCCGTGACAATCCTCGACTCTCGACTCTCCATCGCCTTCCTTTCGCTTTGGCCAACAAACACCACTGCGTTTCTCGCGATCGATAATCGAGCCTCCACGACCCGTCTCCCCAATTGATCGACCTGTGGCCGACCTCCCCTCCCCCCCGGGACGAACTTGGGTGTTTTGACTCCCAGCTTGGCGCTGGAACTTGGACTGGGATCGCCGTCTCTTCTTCAAACAAGCACCACCACACTAGAGCGTCCCGACTCCGTCTTCTAACCGGAAAGCCAAACGCACCACCATTCGGCAACATCTCATCATTGTTCAGTTGCTCCGGCAATTCTGTTCATAAAAGACAACTAGTTTCGGTTTCTGTCGATACTACAATCCCGGGTCGTCTCGATCTCTCTTATCGCAGCTACAATGGCTTCCAAGGTACGCCTCACCGTCCATGCACCATCCCTTGCCAGCTCCCGTGTCGACCATGACCCGTTCCCAATGGCGCCTCAATACGTTGCGCCGAACACGCTGACCATTGTCGCCAGCAGTTTCTGAGAGAGTACAAATTGGTGGTTGTCGGCGGAGGTGGCGTCGGTAAATCGTGTCTTACGATTCAATTGATTCAAAGTCATTTCGTCGATGAATACGACCCAACAATCGAGGGTACGTCGCAGACCAATCTAGTCCCCACCGGCTGCATCAATTGACCGCTTGTCGCAGACTCCTACCGAAAGCAATGCGTCATTGACGACGAGGTCGCGCTGCTTGATGTTCTTGATACCGCCGGCCAAGAAGAGTACTCTGCCATGCGAGAGCAATACATGCGGACAGGCGAGGGGTTTTTGCTCGTTTACTCCATCACGTCCAGGCAGAGTTTCGAAGAAATCACAACCTTCCAGCAACAAATCCTGCGAGTCAAGGATAAGGACTACTTCCCCATGGTCGTCGTGGGCAACAAGTGCGATCTGGAGGGCGAACGAGAAGTTACCAGGCAGGGTATGTCGCCTTGTTCCGCGCAGCATGTTCGCGCGCAGACCATTCTTTTGCTAACGATCCGTCGCAGAGGGCGAGAACCTGGCAAGGTCATTCGGCTGCAAGTTTATCGAGACATCAGCAAAGTCTCGGATCAACGTTGACAAGGCATTCTACGATATCGTCCGCGAAATCCGACGCTTCAACCGGGAAATGCAAGGATACTCGACCGGCAGTGGTGCTTCTGCGCCAAACGGTGCCGTCAAGCCGATGGATGTCAGCGATAATGATGCCGAGGCAGGATGCTGCTCCAAGTGCGTGATAATGTGAGGTTTTGGACCTGTGGCGTTGCAGAGCGGGATGTTCGGGGCAAGGGACGTCCATGAAGAGAAGAATATGGGAGAGTCAAGGAATGGGACGCACTGATTCTTAATGAGTCAATCGATGGTAACGTCCAAGCTTGATACGACGACATATTTGCATAAGGCTGGGGAGTCGAGTTCCCTTCCAGACGATATGGACGCACACGGCCAGCATTTCTGGAGGAGTTGACGCGCGCGAACTCGGACTCTCATGGGACACGACAGGGCATGGCCTCCATTTGATTTTCCCCTTCTGCTTGTCAACCGGAGACGCATATGGACACTTTACAGAACTTTTTATTTACTATTACCCAGGTCTCTCTGCCACTTGTTTTTCTTTTAGGGGGGGTTTGTCTTATCTGCACCGAAAACTGAATCTTATATTATGGTTGCTATCCCGACCTGTAATCTTCTTTTCGTCTACGTTCCCTCGTCCGTGGACAGTGGCTCTCGCGTATCAAGACGTTATATTCCTCTCAGGAGCTCTCATACAAAGGGAGTCGCAACTGTGGGTGCGGGTGCGAGAGTGTGATTTCAAAATTAAGTGCAAGAAATTTCTCAGCAATTCTGACCTAAGCCGCTTGTACCACCCCATTGACTGATAGTCCTAAGTCTAAGAAGAGAGCGAATAATACCTCGCGGTACAGTCATCTGTGTCTTTGAAACCCACAAACCTCAGAGCGGCCACAACTTGATCCTATTTGCTTGCGTATTGCTGGGTATGGCCGCGTGTGGTTTTCGTCAGTGTCTAGTAGCTGGCGACAGCGAGCTCTTCACCGGTTGACTGCGTGTATTTGGATGGTAGAGGAAGTTGGGGCTCTTCCTGGTCACTGTTAAGGATTTGACGTTTTGCACTTCGTAGGAGATAGAGCATATCATGCAGGGGACCCTGCCATCTACATAACGCAGAAGTTCCAGTCCTCCCTGATAGCACTTGATGTTGCTTTGAGATGCCAGGATTTGACCCGCGCCCCGCTACCAGCTCAGCACGCGATTCCGGTGTCCATCTCGAGTGGGCTCATGCCACGTAGCTTCCATCAAGACGGGGTGGGAGAGTATGGAGGCACTCTCTCGACACTTGCCCGCCTATCATCCATGTTCCTGCCGTACCACCTAGTTCCTGTCCATGGTTTTATGCCCATGTTCAAGACCGAAAGTGCTAGATCTGTTACACAATTAGGTACGAAAGCCGTGTGGACAGCACGCTCGGGTGAGTTTTGACATTGGGGTCGTTCAGGTCCCCTCCACCAGCAGATATCAGGTCGCACGGCATCACGCCGGCACACCGATCTCAACGACCGCCGATCAAGATCTCATGTGACACTTGCAAGGTGACAGGCCAGGCCCAATGGATTGAGGTGGGGAGAACCTGCGTGCAAATAGGAAACTTGCTCGTGACTAAGCCAGGGGATAGCAGCCTTTACCCAGATATCGAGACGCACACGCTTCTGCCATGACTGTGACTATCTTTGTGTATTCAACAAGCTCTCTGCATCCTTTCTCAGCATTCCTCAACGGTGCATGACACGGAGAGAGCGAAATGCCGGGGACGAAGCCGAGGCCAAGGCGTGATGTCTTGACTTTTGAGCCAAGCTGCTCACTGCGTATTTCAAATTATGCCAGAGGGACCGCCGAGGTCTGAAGGAAATTATGGCTAACTCCCCGGTATTTTAAGCCAATGGATGTAGCCACTCCTCCATCGACTTGTCTTGGCTCACAAAGCAAAGCAGCCGCGGGCGATTGATATATGGTCCGGAGTAGAAGGACTGGTCTTGGACATCAGCCTATTGAAGATCAGTTACGGCTATAATACATATTCAAGCTGGCCCTTCTGTGTATCCAATACAGACTCACATAATGAACTTCGCCATAGTAAGTGTCTGGGAGAGCATGAGTTGTTGAAGAGGTGACGTACTTTGCCGGAGAACCTATACAGCGCCACGAGCATCTGCACTTCAGGCAATAGCCTGAAGCATAGCCTTTTTAGGCTCTCCATGCTCAGTCTGCCACCCCACTGAAGCGGGCGAGACATATGCTGGGGATCTCACTTGGCCGCGGAGTCGGCTATCATCTTCCCTTCGGACAAGGAGGTATATGTGCAGGAGCATATCATCCAAAAGTTCTAGAAAATGTTTATACTTCAAATTTTGTTCCCAAGCAGGACCACAGTCACGAAGATGGCAGGGCTAACCGCCCAGTAAGGCATATTAGCTGTACCAGCTTTCCAGTACAGAAATGACTGGATTTTGCGTTCCATATCTACAACTATTGAATCTTAGAGACGTGATTGAAACGACTAAGGTATTTGACAGCGACAGGGAGCCATGGTCAAGGAGGGTATGGTACGCAATGATCGTCTTGTGAGATTTATTTCTGAGAGTGATCCTCGCCAATGTTATGTGACCAGTTTGTTCTTCTCCCTCCCTCTTCTTAAGCTTTAGATGACTGATTCCAATGTCATCCAACGAGTTGCCTGGGATTGTGAGCCTAGACAGCTTATGAGACGTGCCTCCTCCTTGTGATCAGACGTTGAGACAGCTATAAGTTCATCATGATAAGGGAAGCAGCCAAATACCTTGGTTGTCAATAAGACCGTGCAAACACATAATAGGACAGGATCGATTCTGCAGGATTGATAAGATTACCCAGAGCGTGCATCCATTAGTAGAAAGTACATATGAGAGTAATCCGAAATACTATTATGCTTATAGCTCTATGAGGGTGACACTGCATTTCAGCGCCGTCGAGTGCTTTTTAGCCATCTTTAACTCAGACGTCGATAGAACGCGCTTGGCCGGGACGACTACGCGCAGCAGCAAGGCTTCAACATCCCTAATGGCTACCTCAGTTTCCATTTTGCCGGTAGAGGCTTTAGATGCTGAGACAATCACACGCGACGTCGATGCCCCTTGCTTTCCCGCACCATGTTCCCTACACATAATACCATGTCGTCGGCGGCACGAGATGAGATGACGCAATGGTACATGGACAGGCTGGAAGCAGCAATAGGAACCTCGGGAAACAAGTTGTTCTTTAAAGCATGCGTCGATGATCTTGTTGATGCTGGACAACGTTTTGAAGTCGGCTTCTGTGGATGAGAGGCCGTTGACCGCGCTCACAGTCACACCATGACAAGCCACAGTCACATAGCAAAGGAGACCAAGGGCGAGGCGCAGCCAGCGCAGGAGCAAATCCACAACAGCGACAACAACAGCGCCACATTCAACACCGCCATTGAGCGGAAACAGGGGAATCGACTGCCCGAGACACTTGATGCTTACGGTTGGGTTGCCCTCTCTGATAAGCTCAAGACGGAGCGCCGGCGGGTGTTGGAGGACCTGGACAATGTATGCCGCCTGACTTTATGGCCGTACACACGGATTTTCAGAGACGGGGGATTGGACCAATGATGCTTGGGAGGATCTGTGATGAGACAGACAGATGCCAGGGACGCTGTGCGTACGCACTCGCGGCACCCGCGGGTGTTCGGCTATTCTCAAGGTTTGGCTTCATAGTCCTTGGGCAGGTCGAGACGCCTCATGGCAACATCATGAGCATGTTACGGCCTGCTCATCAAAGGCCTTGCAACGGTCGAAGCCATTGGTAATAAAAGGATGGACACCGGAGACATTATCAAAATGCCAACTGTAGCATACCCCTAGATCGTCATGGTCCTCTCGCTCCTCGTCCTCGTCCTGGGGACTTCGAGTAAACACGGAAGCCACAGAGGCGAACAGCCATTGGTCAGGTCATCAGTTCTACGAGGAGCTTAATATCAGCCTACTTTACGAGCAGTAACGTATAAAGTTGACTGAGAGACTGATTCACTGCCATAACATTACGGGTGTTTGTTCCTTTGCAACAGAAAGATTGACATATTCTTGCCGGCTTCGGCACCGAGGACGATGGTCTTATCGGGTGTCATTGCGGGGAGTCTTGCCATATCGGAAGAAGGGGAAATGGAATTATATTGTCGGATCTCCGCCATCACGATCAAGTAGCCCAAGTCTGGGTCGAGTCTGGAGCTCTCAGTTCCAAGTTTCTAGTTCGTGTGCCTCCCCTGGCGAATCAACTTACACGGTTTGGCGCCTAGTAAAGCTGTCGAGGCTGGCTGTCCATGTGTCGAGTCAGGAGCTAGGACATAAATTGCGCTATCGGTGCGCAGCGTAGCAAATTGGTGGACCGTCCTGCATGTTGGTGACAGACAGACAGACCAACAACCAGACACAGGCCGAGTTGACATGTGGTCCGAAGTCTGATACGGTTTGTTGATGCGTCACGGCCTGTGCTTGGTCGCAAGACCATACTGAAGCAAGTAGAAAATGCCTGTCCGGACAGCCCCACCAGTGCGGACGGCGGAGGTTGTAACCAATAACGACAGTGCTATAGTTGCAGCCAGAATGTGGGCTTCCCCTGCAGCGGTCGGGGCCGCATCGGCAGGGCCACTTGGCTGCTGTGGCGGGGAACGACAAAAGGGGTTGTTCCCCGATCGTGATATGCATGTCCTGAATTTTGCCGCTTTTCGCGCCGAAGCCTTCTTCCTCTTAAATCGCCTTGAGCATCTCCCTTCCCCTCTCACCGGAATCCCTCGCTCGACTTTAGGCCCTTCTCACAGTAACTCAGCTCAGCATGTCTACAACAACCACAGTCACGGCTACGGCCCCCATCAGCGCCGCAAATATCCTTCGCCTCTTCCCCGACATCGACACGACCACCACCTCGGAGCTCGACGGCCACGATGCTGAGCAGATCCGCCTCATGGACGAGGTCTGCATCGTCCTGGACGAGAATGACGAGGCCATTGGCACTGCTAGCAAGAAAGTCTGTACGTACTACTGCTGTTCACCATCGCGGTCCGAGCTGGCAGCTTCCACGACTGACATCCACGCGCAGGCCATCTGATGACCAACATCGACAAGGGACTGCTGCACCGCGCATTCTCCGTCTTCCTCTTCAACGACAAGAACGAGCTCCTCCTGCAGCAGCGCGCCACGGAAAAGATCACCTTCCCCGACATGTGGACCAACACCTGCTGCTCCCATCCTCTGATGATCCCCGGCGAGACTGGCTCCAATCTCGCAGAGTGTATCGAGGGCGTCAAGAGGGCGGCGCAGAGGAAGCTTGACCACGAGCTAGGTATCAAGAAGGAGCAGGTCCCTATCGAGGACTTCCACTTCCTTACGCGCATCCACTACAAGGCACCGAGTGACGGCAAGTGGGGCGAGCACGAGAGTACGTTGCACCTCTTCCTACCAACCTTTTCCAGCTCAACGAAGGGCCAGAGTTCTGACTGTTTGCAGTTGACTACATCCTTTTCATCAAGGCCAACGTCGACCTCAACGTGAACCCCAACGAGGCCCAGGCGACACAATACGTGACACCAGAGGCACTAAAGAAGCAGTTCGACGACCCGACACTGAAATTCACACCGTGGTTTAAGCTAATCTGCAACTCGATGCTTTTTGAGTGGTGGTCGCACCTGGATTCGGGCCTGGAGGCCTACAAGAACGAGCAGCAGATTCGACGCATGTGAAGTAGGATCTGGTCGCATCGGTCGCGTCTCGTCCCATGTTCTCCCACATGACGAGAGTATATAAACAAAAAGTTTAGACGTGGAACTGCTTTTCCTCCGGCGCATTGCCTTGTTCCTGTGGCCCCAGTCCTCAACACACGCGATACCCATACCCAACTGCTGGGAAGCCGGAACTGTTATGATATTCCGCACATAGCATTAATACAAGCATGGCGATCAACCCTCACCTTAACGACTCCGTGTCTGGACTATGGTGTTATTGATGAGAAACAAGCGGGCAAACTGACAGGGGAAAAATGAGGTTAAGTATTTCGAGGGCGCAGAGGATATATGGATGGGATGATATGGGGCACGAGTCGCTTCACACATCTTGCTGTACCTGTACGGCGTGTTTGCTGGCTTGTTCTCTTAGGATATGCCAGCTGAACAACTAGTCGAGCGCCTGAGGTTCTCAAGCCCTAGGTCGATCAAGGTTGATCAAGTTCGGTCTCCATCAAGCCCCAAAAATGACGGTGAGATAAACGCCAAAAGAAGAACAAAAGGACACGAAAGAAGGATGGAATCCACAGAACTCGCTGGGATGTGTAATATAGCTGTTCAACGACGTAGATAACACGGACAAGAACATGTAGCCAAGTGACCGCTACACTTCACAAGTCCAGTCAGTTGCAGAATCATTGAAAAGAGGGTGTGTAGATCAATTTCCAGGTATCATCTCCTGCCAGCCAATTGGCCTTGCTTTCCACCTTGTCGGCTCAGGGTTGATCGCTCGGAGCCCTGTAGGCCGTAGCGAAGCGAGAAACGGCCCCGGGAGGCTGTTGGCATTGCGTGCAAAGACGGAGCAAGGCACCTTGCCGTGGGGCATGGGCACGAGGCTCTGGCCGGGATAGAGTTGATTGGATCTGCTCTCCCAGATATTGTTGGGATGTTGGATCACAGCGTGGGTTACGCAACGCGGGTTACGCAACATTGTGTTGTATGTACCAATGGCACAGTCAGACAGACGGCCTCGATGCATCACCAACCGCCCCAAGCATCCCGCGCTGCCGGACTTGGCTGTCTCTGTGGGCAATGTCCTCATTCGACGCCTCACGGAAGAGCAAGCATTCAACCCCGAAGGAGCCAGGTCGGTGCTGCGTGGAGCAAACAGGTGCGTCCGCCCCGTCGTCACCTGTTGCCCCTCAGGTCGGGTTCCGATAAGCCACAGATATGCTGCCCGTCCACCTCCAACAAGCCGGCAGGTCTCACCCTGCGGCTTAACGCGACGGGCTCTCCTCCTCCACTCAGTGCCCAGCGAGCCAGGCTGCCTGGGGCGTGTTACTGCAGCACCTGCAAACATCCCGCGTGCCGGTGGTAACCCGACTACCCGGCAGTCACGAGTTCAAGTAGACTACAGTAGTACATGTACATGTATGCAGGCGACGGACAGGTCCGAATCTTAGCGGGACATCCGGATGTACCTCCCCATCAATCCCACCTGTATTTGTCTATTTAAGTTTCCCTAGCTCGTCCCGCCCGTTTTGCCCCCCCCCTCCTGCTACTGCTCTCCTCTCCAGGTCTTCCAGAAAGTAACACTTACACGAGAATATCGATTCACTCACCAGACAAGCATAAGAGTCCACCAATATCAAAAAGGCCCATCCATAGGGGTGTTCCTGACTAGAACAGCTACTCTTATCTCAACTGCCCTCGTCCTTTGTCCCAACAGCAACTCACAAAGAAGAGCTTCATAGCATATGCTTGCTTGCTTGACTGACTGACTGACTGACCGACTGACCGAACCTCATCTTCCTCTTTCAAATTATCCGAGGCGTCTCTCGTCAACTCTACATTGATGTCTGTTGATATACGCACCTGTCTCAACTGCCTCATCCACCCCTCCAGGTTTATGCCCGTCTCGAGATCCCAATTGTCTCGGGTCCATACGGGTGATAGTATCCAAAATATACAAACCACGTAGATTCCGAGGTGAGTATTGTTTCCGCCCCTTATGCTTGACTGTTCTGATAAAATTGTACAGTCAACGACTGCCCAGCATGGAGACCGTGAGCAGCAGCACCGTCACGCTCGTCGAGCTGAAGCACTCGCTCATTCCCAAGAAGTGGGGCGAGGCTGTGCGTATAGTTGACATGTCCGAATGCCAGCAGGTCGCCATCTCGCTGGCCCACGCTTTTGCCACCGACGACCTCGCCTGCTATCTCCTGAACTCGGACGACATGGCCGGCCTGTCGCCGGAGGAGAAGTGGAAGCTGCACGTGGACATCTTTCAGTACATCGTCGCGGCTCACTGCCTCAACGGCGAGGTTCACGTCATTGGCCCCGACCACGAGGGCGTTGCGTTGTGGTGAGCACTTCCATTCCATCCCAGGCATTTCCTTTTCCCTGCCCGCTCGCCAGAGATACGTCTTGTCTCCGTGGTAAAAGTGGGATGTGATATTACAAGTGACGCTGACAACCTAGGCAGGATGCCCCCGGGCAAGAACATCGACGATTGGTATACTGTTCTGCGGAGTGGCATGTGGAGGCTCTACTTTCAACTCTCGACTGAGGGAAGGCAGCGCTACTACAACGAAATGCTGCCACTTCTACACGACACCAAGGCCGAGGTTTTGGGCGAGCGCGACGAGAATGCCTACTACCTCGTGTACCTGGGGACCAAGCCCCACGCACGAGGCCGAGGATACGCTCGAAAGCTCTTGCAGACCATGATTGAGAGAGTACGTCCTCATGCCCATCTCCGTTCCTCCTGATGCTGTCTGATACGCTTCTGAACTCAATTGCTGACATTGACGACTGCTACAGGCTGATGCTGAGAATAGGCCTGTTTACCTTGAGTCGAGTTCCCTGGCTAACAACGCCTACTACGCCAAGTTCGGGTTCGTTGTGAAAAAGGAGATATTCCTCAAGCGCGGGGCCGTTCCGGTCCAGCTTACCATCATGGTGCGAGAACCCCAGCCCGCCGCCAAGGTTGCTAACGTCCCCGTCGTCAAGAGGCGGGTTAGAACAGCAGCTCCGGGGAGCCGTGCCCCTGACTCTTGAGGGAAGCCCTGGACTGTGGGCCGGTGGGCGGCCGACTGTCTTGTTGTTCCCCGGGAGAAAGACAGGGAGAGGCTTCCGTCGTGACTGGCCCTGTGTGCACTCTGAATGCGTGCCATGTGTGTGTGCGTGTCTGTTCTGTGGTTGTGTGATTTTATGCTTGTTTTTGTGGCGACCAGGCTAGACTGACCCGAAGTCCCTCCTTCTGCTGCGTTATTACCGTCACGGTTTGCTACGGGCCCCGAGATTGAAAACTTGTCAAGGCCCCTCATTTCTGCCATCTTGTCCCCCCGAACCAACAACCCACCCCACAAACCAGTCTTTACATCATAGCATAGGTATTATCATCAAATGAAAAACAAAAAAGGCAACCATTCTTTTTGCCACCAAACACGCCATCCAGGCCCAAAAGTCCGATTGTGGATGCAAAATGGCTCTCGGACAGCGTTATTCTTACACAAGTGACAACACAGCCGGGGCAGCTCGACTGCTTAGTACTCAAGTATTGCCCACGTCTCGTCATCGACCGTCGTGTATACAAGACCCTGCCCTAGCAACTCGTCTGATGCCCCCAGGACCTCCCGTGTCGTCATGCCAGTGCTGCTTGTGATGAGGTTGAGGTGCGCACCCTCGCTGCCGGGCGTGTCGGACAGGAACTTGTACATGCGCTGAGCGCTGGGCCCGCAAGCACCAAGCTTCGCGGCGTTCTCGCCACCGCCGTTCGCGCCGTATGAGTCGACGAACATGCTATCACCATTTCCGGCGTTGCCGTCCCCGTTGGCGGCGCCCAGGTCGCCCTTGGTCAGGTACAGGTGCACGTAGGTGGACTCGAGGAGGTGGTAGTTGACCTCGTTGAAGTCGTCGACTGCGCGGATGAAGTGGGCGCCGACGTGGCGCTTCCCGCTGAAGGTCTTGAGGCGGCCCCAGACGCGGACGTACTGGTCGAGCTGGTACTTGGGCTCCAGGTCCTCCTGCTTGTCGGCGTCGACCCACTTCTTGACGTCGATGACGCCGGTGCCGTCGTCGAGGCGGTAGGTTATGTTGGTGGACTGGGGGTTGACCTGGCGTACCTGGCCGACGATGGTGACCTGGGTGATGGGGTGGCCGTCGATGGAGAAGTCGGCACCCGGGTATGCTTCTTCGAGGTCGACGAGCTGCTTGATCGTCACAGGGCGGAGGGACTCGTCGGAGAAACCCTGGGTGGCGGGAGGCAGTGTCAGTACGCTGGGCGACAGAGAATCCTTGAAGGGGGATTGAGGGTTCGACACTGAGGTGTGGATACCTTTGCGCCGCCTTGTCCTCCTTGGCTGCCTGGCTGTGAGCCGCCATAGACGAAACCGCCGTCAGTGTCGCCGCCTTTGGCACCGTAAGATGTGTATGAAGCTGTCACATATTGTCAGCCGAGGGGAAATTGGCACAAAAACAGACCGGATAACGTACTCATTATGAATGGAGTGGTGGTGAGGTATGGAGAGAGGGGTGTGGTGTGGGAAAAGGTGGGGGGAATTTTGGGCGGCGGTTGAAGATTGGGATCAAATCGAAGGAGACGCGTCTCGGGGATGTATTGACGCGCCGTGCACGGGGAAACCACTTTAACGTGCGTGCTGACTGACTGACGTCCAGGGTGGGGGCCCTGCCTAACTGGCACCCTGGGAACTGTGTAGGCTAGGTGGCTAGCTACTGTTACATAAGCACAGCCCAGAGGCGTGGGGAGACTCTATGACTCTCCACGTTTGTCTTTCATTAGGTGGGTTTAAGCACCTAGCCGTCTGGTATCCTAAATTGGATCATCTTTCCTCTCTCCATCTAGGTCGGTTGGATCATACTGTGTAGATTGTAGGCCGTAGAATGTTCTAGGGAGCCCTCAAGACCCCCCGCAATCGGTACTGTTGGCATCTGATCTGAAGCCCGCAGCGGCAATCTATGCGGCATCCGGGGTCACGGCGGGTCTTTTTAGCCTCGGCTCACTCACCCGCACGCCCTCTCGCTCATCTCGTCAACGTCAACATCAGTCGAACCCATCACCACTCTCCTCAGCGCCAACTCAGCGCCAACACATTCGCCTTCCTCCCGAGGCACTCTCCCACATAGCCACACTCTCATCCACGACGATCAGTCCCGTAGCCCGTTCCTCCCGAACCTATCTTCTTCGTGCTTGAATCTGTATCATCTACCCGTCCTACGCCACCTCATTCTAGTCTGCTTGTCAACTATCCATCTCTCTTCCTTGCTTCTTACACTCGGATACAGTCTGCAGCTCAGACAAATTCTTCAAAAATCATCAAAATCTCCCTTTGGCACATCCTGGTTTGGTCCAGGTAATTGATCATCATGGCTCCATCACATTCCGCCACTCTGCCCATCATTCCTCTGCCCCATGGCATCGTGCTACTCCCAGGTACTATCCAGAGAATACCCGTTTCTCCCAGCCGTCCGGATATACCGGCCTTGCTCTCAACCGTCTTCACTCGTGCCGCTGCCAGCGGTTCCAATGGCCGCATAGAAACCGTTCCTATCGCTTGCGTCCCCCAGGCTCGCCTGTCACCCTTGATGGGACCCAATGGCCAGCTTCTGATCGAAAACGGCGAGCGGGACTACTCGAAACCCGCCCAAGATGACTCGGGAAGCAAGATATCCAAGTCTGATCTGTTCTCCTGCGGTGTTGCCGCAAAGATCACTGGCGTCGAAGGCCGTGGAACTGGCGACTTCTCTTTGATAGTCGAGGGCGTCACAAGGGTCAAGGTGGAGAAGATTTATCAAATGCAACCATACTTCGAGGGCAAGGTCACCTATCTCAAGGATAAAGGTAAGGGATTACTTCTAATCTTTGGTTCCCTCCTCCCCTTTTCGCACTATCCTTCTACTCCGTCCAGCCCATCTCATCGCCGTGGCCTCATTTATTGACTCACGATACAGTATCACAAGATAAGCCCTTCGATGAACTATTCCAGGCTCTGAGGCTTCTTTCGAGAGAGCTGGTTGCAATACTCAGAGTGGCTGCCATATTCAGGTCATCAGGTTCCCCTGGTCTGTCGCCTCTATTGGCCCGGAGGCTTGACTTCTTCATCAACAAGAAGACGCTGGCCGAAGCCGGCTTACTTGCAGATTTCATGGCCAACGTTGTTGATGCCTCCTTCGAGGAGAAGCTCAAGGTCCTGTCTCTTTTTGACACAAAAGAGCGAATGGTCAAGGTCATTGAGCTACTTGAACGGCAAATCTCTTCCATCAAAAACAACATTCGAATCACAACTTTCACGACCTCTTCAGTTCCAGTCATCATCGATTCCGACGACAAAGACCAGGAATCACAGCGCAAGCCCAACAAGCCCCTCGTCCCAGTGCGTGGGCCTGGAAGTGGGTTTGGCATTCCTTTCTCAGGCTCGAGAGGAATGAACGGCCCAGCAGGCGGTGACGACGACGAGCCCAACGAGATAGAGGAATTGCAGAAGAAGCTTGAAGCAGCAAAACTATCTCCAGAAGCAGCTAAAGTGGCTGAACGGGAGCTCAAGAGGTTGAAGAAAATGATACCGGCACAGGCTGAACACGCAGTCACAAGGAATTACTTGGAGACATTGGCCGAAATTCCTTGGACTAATGTAACGGACGACCGACTCGGACCTGGAACGCTGACAGCAGCAAGGAAACAGCTTGATGACGACCACTACGGGCTGGACAAAGTGAAGGCCAGGCTTCTCGAGTACCTTGCTGTACTGCGACTGAAGCAGTCTGTAAACGAGGACATAGACGCAAAAATTCAGCAGGCCGAGAAAGAAAATGCGGCTTTGGAGACGAGAAAAAAATCCGAAGATGACGCTCCTGCTCCAGATGGTCTAGATGAGCAGGTCAAGGCAAGCACAGCCAAGCTCGAAGTGCTGAAGAGCAAGCGGATGGTTGACAAGTCACCAATCTTGCTTCTCGTCGGTCCTCCAGGAGTTGGAAAGACGTCTCTGGCGCGATCGGTGGCCAAAGCTCTGGGCAGGAAGTTTCATCGAATTTCGTTGGGAGGTGTCCGAGACGAGGCAGAAATCCGTGGTCACCGCAGGACTTACGTCGCCGCGATGCCGGGCCTTATCGTGCAGGGCCTGCGCAAGGTCGGAGTGGCCAACCCCGTCTTCCTGTTGGACGAGATCGACAAGATAGGACAGTCAAACTTCAACGGAGACCCGTCTGCTGCTATGCTTGAAGTGCTCGATCCCGAGCAGAACCACACGTTCGTGGACCATTACATCAACATCCCATTGGATCTGAGTAAGGTCCTGTTCATCGCTACAGCCAACTCTCTTGATACTATTCCTGCTCCTCTGTTGGATCGTCTGGAAATGATTTACCTCCCCGGATACACTACCTTGGAAAAGCGATACATTGCTACGTCTCACCTTATACCTAAGCAGGTGCGCGTTAATGGTCTCGATGAAGACCACGTCAAGTTCACCGAAGATGTTGTTTCCAAGATCATCGAATCCTACACTCGTGAAGCAGGAGTTCGTAACCTGGAACGAGAAATTGGCAGCGTATGCAGAGCCAAGGCAGTTGAATACGCCGACGCCAAAGACGCCGGCCGCCTGGAAACATACAAGTCCATGCTCACCGTCGAAGACGTCGAGAACACGCTGGGGATAGAGAAGTTCGAGGAAGAGATCGCTGAGAAAACCAGTCGTCCGGGAATTGTCACAGGACTTGTGGCTTACAGCTCCGGCGGCAACGGATCCATCCTATTCATCGAAGTGGCCGATATGCCCGGCTCCGGGACCGTACAGCTGACAGGAAAGCTCGGCGACGTCCTGAAGGAGAGCGTCGAGGTCGCACTGTCCTGGGTCAAAGCGCATGCTTTCGAGCTTGGGCTAGCCCAAGACCCGTCGGAGAACATCATGAAGAACCGTAGTATTCATGTGCACTGTCCCTCCGGGTCTATTCCCAAAGACGGGCCCAGCAGTGGCATGGCACAGGCGATTGCGCTGATATCCTTGTTCTCGGGGAAAGCTGTGCCACCTACTATGGCCATGACGGTATGTGCTGTATTACACGTACCTATGCACCCTCACAGGGCTTACGTGCGTTACGGGTTGGAGGCTAACACGACATACGACTTTAGGGCGAGATATCACTTCGTGGCCGAGTTACAGCAGTGGGGGGCATCAAGGAGAAGTTGATCGGGGCGCTTCGGGCTGGTGTTCAGACCGTCCTCCTGCCTGCCCAGAACCGTAAAGATGTCAAAGACCTGCCCCAGGAGGTCAAGGATGGTCTGCACATTGTCCATGTTGGGTAAGTCTCCCATCCATATCACCAACTTCAGCCTCGGTCATCTACAACTTTACTGACGCTTGTTGCCCCAGCCACATCTGGGAGGCTCTCCGTCACATCTGGCCAGAAGCGCACTGGCCCGAGGATCACGAGCTACCGGGATACCAGAGTCGGCTGTGAACGGGGTCCCGTCGCTTGTGGTTCTACACTCGCGAACCAGAACATGCGTGACCGAGACATGCTCTGTCTCTGTGGCTGATTCGTCTCACTCAAAAACCAAGGAAAGAGTTCCGCTGCCCGAGCATATGTAATGGCTCCCATTGGCCTCGGTCTTTTTTGAATGTGATTTCCCACCCCCTTTCCGAATGTTGACCGTTGGACGAATGTCAGAAGCCCACGTTGCCCACATATGCAAGCTCGCGACGTCGCGCAGCAGTAGGCCCGGCACTTACCAATGTCACGGATATAGTGCTTTCTCGTCTAAATCTAAGATGGGATCTTTGTGTAATCCGCATCGCCTTGTACAAGGATTGATTGATTGCAGGACGAATGTGCTGAACGAGAAGGGGAGTGATAGGATGAAATGATGGCCAAATCTCCACCCCTTCACCTCCAGAACAGGACTCGGGCACTGGAATAGGGCTGCGGCGGAGGGCATGATCGCGCACATACACACGAGACTCCAATGACGAATGAAGCGGATTTGCGCGCCTCTCGCGGTGTAAGCATTTTCGGGAGAGTGCATTGTCAGGCTGTGTTATATATCCGGTTGAACAAGGCGCCTGTTCAACAGCGCCGTTTAATTGCAAGATCTTTGGACGAGGCTCGCACAAGGGAGAGAGTGTACGGCCATCCATCGCGATGTCACGTTGGACAATCTGACACGGGCACCCGACAATCGCCGTTGTTCCTCAGGCCGGTATTCGTCTCCCTCCCTCACGGCTGCGTTCGTTCAACGCGGCGGATCGGGGGGCCTCCTGCTGTGCCTTCTGTCTCTTGCGTCTGGTCTGGTCCGACCTTGCCCCCGCCCGCCCCATGTCTTGGGTTCCAGGCTGTCTACGTTTGGGCTTTGGGGGGGAAGTTTCGGCTGAAGTTGCGGATAGTTTAAGTCAACCTGTCACTCGTCCGTCATTCCTTAATGCCCCGGGCTCCCCGTCCCAGCCTGGGGAGTTTCGAAGGGAGGCAAGAGAATTGACTTGTTGCGACTGAAAGGGGATGAACTAGATTTAGGCATCCAATGCATTTGTCTCCTTGGTCCCGTGTCCTTGGTACTCAACCATGCCCCATGCACATCGGAAATCTCATGAGACGGGAACCGGACGGAAATGTAGGCAGGCTGGCAGCAGTGCGTGCGGTGCCGTGCGTGCGTGCGTGCGTGCCTGTCTAAGTGTGTGCGTGTGTGTGTATGAAAAATCGCCCGGCCGGTAGCTACGCAGGCAGGCAGGCAGGCAGGCCGGCCGGCCGTCCCTTCGTTCCTCTCGCAAACCTCTTTTCCCCCCGTCTCCCCCTCATGTTCTCGTTCGACGGAGAGTTCATTCCAGGTTCATGCGGTCCGGTGAGCTGGCCCGGCGGCCGTGTTTGGCTGGGGGGGCCGACAGATCATGCATTGAGTTTCCGCCAGCGCCCAAGTGTTCGAACCATACCTCGCGTGACCTGTTCGCGACGTGTGTCTAATTTTGGCTACCGATGATCAGCAGTCAATAATCTTGTCGCAATATAGGCGGGCCAGGCGGTGGTCCTGGGTTGTTCCCAGGTGGCGTGCCCGGCCCTGCGGCCGTGGGGAATTTCCTGCTAGTCATAACATTAAGTCCCCTGCAACGGACATTCCGGGCAAGGCGAAGGGAAGAAATGCTACAGTTACAGTACAGTACAGTACGATACAGCACAGCACGGGCTGAAGGAGACATCTGATATCGTTCCGTGTCCCTCCATCATGACATTCCAGTGTCGATCCCCGACGCAGGTGGGGCCCAAGTCTCTCCACAACCGAACGGTGTCTCTGTGTCTGGGTTCCCTGGTGACACGGGGTGCGACGACGGGGGCAGCGACCCGGGCAGCAGAGGTGGATTGGGGACCGGCACCTCGGGCGACGACACCGCGGCCGGGGGCTGGGAGGGGGAATGCCCCAGGTGCAAGGCCGCTGCCACGTTCCTCTTTTGGGGTGGACGGACGATGAAACCAGACAACGATAGACGAGAGCGTCGTCGGTCACAAGCCTTGAGCTTGTGTCAGAAAACGCCCAGCAGCGACAGCCTTTGCTGGTGAATGTCGCACACCACGCCACAGGGCACAGGGCACAGGGCACAGGGCACAGGACACAGCATAGAGTACGGCTACGAGTACGGTTGCAGTTGCAGCGGCTACGACATGTCGATCTGGACCGACTGTGCACGCATGCGGTTGTGGTTGTGGTGTGGGGTCCCAATCGTGAAACCCAAAATGTGTCCCATCTGTGTAATATGATGTGGGTGGGGCATGTGAGTGTGAGTGTGAGTTGAGTTGAGTGTGTGTGTCTGTGTGCAAAGGCCGTCTCTTTTTTTGGAAGCGGAAGAGTACATTAGACCTCAGTACGTCTCTTTTTCTGGACATGAACATGGACGGGGACATGGACATGAACATGAACGACAGCCGTCCGAGTCGCTGTTTGTTCCGAAGAGCAATATATGTCAAACGTCCGAAGATACTGCGCTTGGCGATTGATCTCCGGGCCTCTGGGTCCTTCAAAAGAGAGGGGCGCCCTCGGAGGTGCATGCAGTCCTGATACAGCAGCGAGCATGCAGGCCTGCCTCGGTACCTGACCTGGTGCCTGGGTCCCTATATGGTTCCGGTAGCAGTTACCGAGCCACACAGCCGGGGCGGCCCGCTCTTCGAAGTACCTGGCCATCACCGACCAGAGGGCATGCAAGTATAATAGCCGACGCGCTGGAGTAATAATAGCAGCACAACGACACACCAAGTCCATGTAGACTAGATACTTACAGTGATACTTACAGTAGACCAGGAATTGTGCCTTGCGAGCTGACGGACTGCCTCGCACACCACGGATTTAGACAGAGTTGGGCTCTCGAGACAACTAGCCCAACTCTATTGATCCCCCCGTGCCACACATCAGACCAGGGAGACAGAGGGACAGACAGACAGACAGTCACAGATGGATGGGCGTGGCGTGGCAGGCTGTGGTCTGAAAAAGGGGAGGGGAAAAAAATAGGGCTGGAGAAATTGGCGCCAACAGGCCAGCCAGACACAAGGCGGGCTTCATCTGGTGGAGGTTGTCGCGTCGTCTCGTCCCATGGCGCAGGTGACATGTGGTCTCGCATTCGGATCATGCGGGTGGTCCACTGGCCGCCCCTCCCCCAGTCAGTCCTTCTCGGTCAGTCAGCCAAGTGCCCAGATTTGGCAGTGGTGAACAAAGGCGGCCAGCGAGGCAAGAGAGGCAGGAAAATCCCCGAGATCTTCGACGTCAAGAGGGCTGGGATGCCGTTGTGGCTGTCGAGTCGGGATGGAGCAGCGCCCTCCGCGCACCCCTACGAGATTGGGTTCGCCAGAAAGAACTTCTGGAACAAGCGACTCGAAGGTTAAGCCTCGACAGGAGATCTGCTCCGACTGACACAGACGTCAATGTCCAGTCCCCCGACCTGGGCTGTACCCTGTTTTATTATGGGTGGCCGTGGATCAGGGCTTTTTGGCCGTTCATGGCCTGCTTGGCGGGTGAGCTGGCTGAAAGTGAAAGCCTGGGTCCTGATCTGATGGTAAAGGTGATGGTGATGCTGAAGGGACAGTGTCTTGAGTAGTACCCATACTCTCTCTCTACTCTTTCGCCCCCACCCCCTTTTTTCTCCCTCTCTCTCCGTCTCGTGTGGTTGTGTTGCGCTCCTCAGTCGCCGCCAGGGCTGCAGTTGTGGGAGGAATGGGAACAAATGAAGGTGGCCCTGGTTGTTTTTGGTTCGTCGGTCACTGAACTATGTGCTCCACGAGATCCTGCCCGACTCAATGCGCGGGACATGGGTCAGGGACAGAAACAGGGACAGGGGCCCCATCACCAAAAGCAAAGGCCGGTCGTTCGGCGTATTATTATCGTAGACTAAGGAGCAAGTGGACGTAGCAATGCGACGCCGGACGGAGCGCGCTGGACCCAACAGTTCGAGAATCGAGAGTCGCAAGCCGAGGTGCCGGAAAGCTACGTTAGCATGAACGCTACGGTCGCAGGGCAATGGCAGGGCACTGGCAGGGCTTGCCAAATGCCCGCGTGCTATAGGGAAGGGTGGGCTATAGCAAGATCGCAAAGGTGTGAGCGATCGATGACCGGTTCCCGAGGATCCTGAGTTTCAGTTGCTGCAGGTTCCCCAGCCTGGGCCGCCAGCTTTTCTGCTTCCCTGGTAGCGATGGCTCCTTTTGGGCGGGCCCCGGGAGATTGGGAGACTGAGATTGGGGGCATGAACGGGCCTCATCCCTCACATTTCAATCAACTCAACCTCACCTCATCCTCACCAGTGCCCTCACCCTCACCCTCACCCTCACCACCCCCTCGTCCAGACTGCAGTGGCTTGCCCAGACTGCCTGACAACTGACATCCATCCCCTTTGAGCAAATTATTTCATCCCATCTTTTTCCCTATTTTGTTCTTGTTTTTTTCCTCCGCGCACCCATGCACCCATGCCCCGTCCCTGGTCCTTGACGGTGAGCGATTCTGGGGAAGCCGTGGCACCAACCCCAGTCAGTCCCCATCCACCATCCACCTCGGAAATACACTGAGGTCAAAAGTGCACGGTCGAGGTGGTCCTGAGGTGAGCCGAGCCGCCTTCGTCATTGCATTCGGTTCGCCGGTCAGCCATCGAACCAGCCAGTTGTGTGTGATATGGCAAGGCGGCCTTGGCGCCCACGGTGTTGCTTCTTCCGCACCGCACAGGCTCGCACCACCGAATCCGACAATCCGGTAGCGTACCATCTATACAACGCAATAATAAGGTCGACCTAAGCCAGCACGCAAGCAAGTAAGTGTAGCAGTGGCATCGCAGGGTGGTCGAACGAAGGGATCCAGGATCCCGTCGCCCGGCTCTGTCACATCCATCTGCCAGCCCAACCCGGATGGATAGCCAGCCCAGTCCAACGCTGGAGGGCTTTGTTCTTTTCTGACCCCACGCACCGCGCGCATGCACCACGACCTGGGTACTGACTGAATG